TATCCGAATTATTTTGGTATATTAAAGTGAGATGCTAGTGATGTGAAAAACAAAGGGAGACAATCCGCTTGATTCAATGTTTTTCATTGTGAATATATAATATTTTATATCTAATTATTTCTGTGAAAATGAAATCTATAAACATTTTTCAGATCTTGAAGTTTTTATTATGACTTCCACCGGACCAGACAACTCTGCGTACATTACACAGGACACTGCGAGAAAAGTAAATGTCTATGCTGAAGAACAAATAATTCCATCACCAAGAACTACTAGAAAAATTCCCATTCCATCACAAACAGGCGTATCAAAGCTTATTAACACTTTTAGATGAGAAGTATCCGAGTAGACACAAAATTATTTAAGGTTTACAATATGTAATCACTGTTGGAGGACATTTGTACTGAAAGTAGCGTTATCAGTGTATTTTTGTACTGAAAAATATACTGACTTTTTTTAAGTACATGTCTCAGTATATTAGTATACTGAAAAATGTACTGATAAAAAAGTCAGTATATATATAATGTACTGAAAAATATACTGACTTTTTAAGGGCATTTTCAAGTACAAAATGTACTGAAAAATATACTGACTTTTTAAAGATAGTTTTAAGTACAGAAATGTACTGAAAAATATACTGACTTTTAAAATCATTTTTTAGTATAAAAATGTACTGAAAAATATACTGACTTTTTAAGAACATTTTAAGTACAAAAATATACTGAAAATATACTGAATTTTAAAAATATACTGACTTTTTATTTTGAAAACTGAGCATAAATAATATACTGAAAATCCATCTTGTATAGGATATTTCCATACTCAGGGCAATTTGACATTATGAGGAGATTGTGACACCTGGGTACACCTGGTCATTTTAATAGGTTAATGAAACACTTTAACACTAACAAAAGGATTAAAAACTGGATGTGTCTGTATGGAGAACAAAAGAAATGTCTGAACTCATCAAGCTTAATTGGTTTACTATATGATCATGCCTCTACTTTGCATTGATAAATCCATGATTACTTCATTCCTTGCACAAACAAAATGAAAACATGATATGAACACAATCACAAATTAATTGCAATATTATTTATACTTAAAAATGTCCTTAAAAAGTCAGTATATTTTTGTACTTAAAATGTCCTTAAAAAGTCAGTAAATGTTTCAGTTTTTTTGTATACTGAAAAATGTACTGACGTTTTTCAGTATACAAATATTCTGAAACATTTACTTAAAAAAAGATACACTGAAAACGCTCCTTTCAGTACAAATGCCCTCCCCTAGTGATTAAACCTTAAATAATTTTGTGTCTACTCGGGTACGTCTCATCTATATATAATGCAATGCGGTTATAAGAAATAGCGTGTTCGGATTGGATTAGGACACCTTGCATAGCCTTGCATAGCTATGTGTGAATTCTACGCTAATGCACTTCTTTATAAAGAATGCGGGTTGTACAGATGGGATTTGCGAGACACCTTGGGCGAGTAAGTCAAGTCATAACTGTGTACAGTACCTAAAATCACAAGCTCAAAACAATAATATGTAAAAATTGTAACATTGAAACATTGTAAATAGGTGGCGAGGATAATTCCCCAAATCATTTCGCATTTTTAAACCCAAGTTTATCACATTTTCAGTGGTGATAGGCGTCTTGGTCTTCATATTTGGGCTTCTTGCAATACTTCTCATTATGGAGATATTCATAAGGATTGAAAGAGCGTAAGTGTTCAATCTGATCAATGTTATTAATCTTACTCAAATAACACTACTTTGCCTGGCTGCAATAGTTATTCTGGCAAATATACTCTGTAAAAATCTTAACATCGTTTTACATAATACATTCAACAATCAACAGACAAATAAGAAATCAAATCTTAAAGATTAATCACTATCAAGAAATACTACCATCCTATGCATTGTACACAAAGTATTAAGGATATTTTGCTTTTTTTCAGTAAAAAGGCGAAAAGACTAAGGTATCGAGAATATCTGTTGGGTGACCTCAATGAAAAGGAACGAAAAGATGCACTAAAGAAGTTAAAGGAAAATGGAGGATATACTAACATAGCATTCGACCCTTCGGATGAACCAGGTGAATACTCGATTGTTCCACACCTTGCTGGCTGGGTCATTTTTTACAAGTGAACAATATTGCAAACTGTAAATTGCAAATTGTTAATTTTATCCATAATTTTTTTTCAGATCTCGAAGGGCTTGTGATTCCATTGGAGGAAGCAAATGCTGCAGATATTGAAGTTTTAAGTCAAACTTTAGAAGACAATACTCCTGTTGAGGAGGAAATACCAATGTTGGAGATTAAACATTCCGTTTCAACGCCAGGAACTACTAAGAAAAACCCAAATACGACACACCTATCACTGGAAGACAAATATAAACACATACCATATATAGACAAAGATTCCATGTCTGATACATCATCACTCATGAGATTCTTTCAACACATATCTGACGAAAGCTGATATACACCAAAAGTACATTCTTGAATGAAAGTCCAAACGAACATAGACAAAATACTCCAAAATGATTCCTTGGTTAGACAGGGTTACTCTACTAATCAAATGCATGCATCTATAGTCAAATCATACAGGGTGATCCAAAAAAAGTGAACCCCTGCAACAGGCTACATTTTTCTTAATATATGCATGAATTGGCTCATATTATCACATGTTGTAGAGAAAGGTCTAAAATTTTGGTTGATGCCATAATTTATTCTCAGTCTTAAATTTTGAAGAAATTACAAGCGTTTAACAAACATGCCTGGAAATTAGACATTGTACGCAATTTTACAAAGGTGATTCACGGAAATTGTTGAAACACATTGGATGATCTTAAATAGCTTTCAGTTAGAGATAAAAGTTTAAAACCCTACCATATGACAAAAGGGACACTATTCAAGCAGAAAACACATTTCACACTTTCATTGATCATTTTGAAGCATTTTTAACTGTTCAACAGTTCAGGGGTATGTTACCTACATCAACAGTTAGAGGGGGGCCTCTTATGGAAGGAAGTTGCCCCCTGTGATCAGGAATCTGATAACCCCTTCATCAAATATCTTTAAAAAATCAAAAGAAAATCCAATATTCAATGTTTTGAGCCATATATCATTAGAATTGGTCCATGATTTATGAAGATATTGACAATTCAAGATCATATAGGGGTATGCTCATGATTTCACTGGAAAATGTTTTCGTCTGTGGAAGCTTAGCACATCTCTTGGATCACAATAACTTTGCAACTAACAAATGTAGGATGCTAATTTTAAGCCATAATGTGCAGGATTTAAAATTGAACAAAGTCAGAAAATTTTAGTTCTTTAAGACTGCAGCTTAAAAAATTCTCAGGGGAAAGGTGTTAAAGGGTTGAAGAATTGCGGATATTGAAAATCACAATTTATCCATTTTCAGTAATGTTTGGTTAGGGCTTATAATTTCTGCAAATTTCAAGACTAAGAAAAATGTATGGTACCAACATAAATTTTAGACCTTACTCTACAACATATGAAAATAAAAAAGAATTCCTGCAAGTTATAAGGGAAATATGCCCAGTTGCAGGGGTTCACTTTTTTGGACAACCCTGTAAATGTTTGGGAGTACTTTGAATTTAAAAAATAAGCAATCAAATGACCAAATTGAAACAATTTATGTAAAAATAGGAACATTTATAATTATCCTAACTTTTGTATATTTCAGATAGTAATGTATAATGTGCAGCAAAGCTGTGGCCTTTTGTAATTTAGGAAGTTTCAGCCATGTTAATTTTTCCGAAAATAACATGGCAGAGAAGTATCAAAATATAAGAGGACATAGATATGATAGCTAAACTACAAAACAAACTAAAATATACAAAAGTTAGGATAAATATAAATGTTTCTATTTTTACATAAACTGTTCCAATTTGGTCATTTGATTGCTTATTTTTTAAATTCAAAGTACTCCCAAACATTTATGATATGATTCATTCCTTAATGGTAAAATAAAATAAACGCTCACATGCTCATAAAAGTAAAATGGAATATCTTCACTTATTATATTCAATGTTTCGTGAGATACCTTACGGTCGTCTAGAATACAATTTACCACGAAGTTTATTGACATCAAGGGCAACACAGTGAAACACAGTGGGTGGAGATAGGGAGAGAGGAACTGGTGGTTCACGACTAACCAACCAGTAATCGCGTGCTGAGGACGTAGTACGGGTAAAAGGAAACTGGTCAGCGACACCGGAGCTGGCAATCGCGTGATTCGAAGTTAGGGACCCCTGAAATTATTTGTAAACTCCATATTCCCAATACAACAAGCGAATTACCTTGTATTCAATATGGTTTGAAGTGATACCAAATCACATATATGTATAATCACGGATGTTCACCGCTTCAATTATAGAACACTGTTGATGTCAACATGTTTACCCCCCCCCCCCCCCCCCCTTTCACACCAAACTAGTTCTTACCCGTTCTTGCCAGTCCTACGAAAACGTCGTAAAACGGGCTCAATCTGGCTGTGGTCGGGAAATATGTCTAAAATGATTAGCTTCTTCGTTCTTAAACAGCCTTCAATACGTCCATCTCGTTCGCAGTTCGTTCAGGTCGCACCACGTCGATATGCAACGTTGTAGAACGCGTCCCTTATTCTAGAAGGTCAACATGACCTGATTACAGAACGGTATGGTCGCCATCGAATTTTGAATCGATTCAAAATTCTAAAATCACATTCCCGTCTGAGTACGTTCATAAAGTTCGTAAATAGACCTTAGAAAGTTGCAGCTACGTTCATCCCGTTCGCACACAGTTTCAAACCAGTTTTGAAGAACGCAGTGGCAACTTGTTTGGTGTGATAGCTATATTTTTGCTAACTCGTTCTTAATCAGTTTAAACCCGTTTGCAATTAGTTCTACCTCGTTCTCAACACGTCCTCAGACAGTTCAACTCGTTGTTAAAACGTCTAGTAGGATTGAAGTACGACGGTTCCGTCAGTAAAACAAGATATAAGCATTAATTAAAGAAAAAACTACAATATAATTATAGATCTGATTATGGAACAACATACTAGCCAGTCTAGGTAAGATGAGCCGCCATTTATTTTAGTATCGGATTGTCAATTCGAACCCAATACAAATCGCCAACCAAACTAGATAAAGACTCAGTTTTCAAGCCAGCATCAAACCATCGTTACCATTATTGTCTGGATCTCGTTGCCTTCGTCGCCGGGCGGGGCATTGCGAGAATAATATTTTCCCAGAAATATTTATTATTTCTCGCAAGATATGTTCTTGTAGATAAATACAACTTTAAAGAAGGATGTTTTGCTAAGTCATCTTCGTCTAAAGTATCCAGCGAATCATACAGCACTAAGATGACAGGATCTCGTTCACCTCTGACCCAATCATCGTATGACCTTAAAAACTCATATAACGCGTATCCACTTTGTAGAAACTCATTCGACAGAACAATAATTGTCCTTTTGCTGTTGTCTATGGCATTATTTATGTTGTCCATGATAGGTTCCCCAGCTCTGAAGTCACGTTCGTGTAAACAGAGCTTATACCCAGCTTCCTCAAGTTTTATCAGCAACTCATCACGCACCCAATCACCATTGAGCCCACTGTATGACAATAATGCGTCATATTGTTTATTACTGTTGTCTATCCTGTCGAATCGCCAACCAAACCAGATAAAGAACTTTAGTTTTATAAGTGATTCAAATCGTTTAAAAAGTAATGCAGTTGTGAGGATGAGAGATACAACAACAAGTACTCCTATAATTGCATGGAAGTACGAAGTCTGCTGGAATGGTATTGGCGGCTCTGGAATGCATGTTAAGTTCGAATCACTGATTTCGAATAAAGGAACCAACTCGGTCAAATTGCCTCGCATGCAGTGAATGTCTACCAAATTGGGTATGATTGATTGGTGAGAGTTTAACCATCTCTTTAATGATAAAGCCGTACAGCAGTCCCATGGATTATTAGACAGCAAAATAGACCATTTTGATTCCCATTGGTCTTGAACATTTAGGGGGCCACCTCCAAGTACCTTAAGTAACGGGTTTCCATTAATTAACATCAGATCCAGTGATTCAAAAATCGTAAGATTTACATTCTGAAGACGATTGCCTTCAAGATCAAGGGAAGACAGTGTTTTGAGGCCAGAAAATGCATTGTCTTCGATCGTTTTGATAGAGTTTTTGGAAATGTAAAGTTCATTCAACAAAAATAGGTTTTTAAACGGTTCACCGTTTAGTTGCACTATGAGATTATTACTTAGGTTCAATATTGTTAATTGAACAAATCCATTGAAAATGTCATTCCCAAGGAGTGCTGTGATTTGACAGCTAGACAAGTCCAAAATTTGCAATATAGGACAACTAGCATTATGAAATGTTGCCGAATCCAATTGATTAATGTTATTATGAGATACATCTAGTACGTTAGTTGTATTTGGAATTTCAAAGGGTATGTACTCGAGTTCTTTGTTGGAACATTTATATGTATCCAAATGTACGGCTCTTTTACTGTATCAGCAAAGCACTCACATTTTTCCGGGCATTTCATTTTTATTTGACAAAGATATAGACGAGCTGGCACATCTTTCATCCTCTTTGCCGTCCCATCACTCAGAATTGGAACTGTGCACAGAGACTCATTAAGTGCGTTTCTTGCCCATCTCATGAAACAATCACATACAAACGGATTTTCTGTACCAACATGATAGATAATATCTCCTGGATGATTCTTGGATATGAACGTTGGCTCTTTTATTGTTTGTATTCTGTTAGCCGACATATCCAGTTCTTGCAACCATCTTGATAGATAAAATTGATTTTCTGGAACATCGGTGATACGATTATGACTTATATTTACACTACGAAGAAAAGACGGAATACCTGTCAATACTCGTGGAATTGATCCAAATGAAGTCATATTGTTTACTGATAGGTCTAAATGTATAAGTGATGGTACAAGATGCATATGTTCAAAGATATTCCATGCGTTCTTAAGTTGATTATTTGCGACGTATAAATGACTTAACTTCTTGTTTGATTTCAACGAAACATTGAAGTCTTTGATCTGATTGTAACTTAAATCTAGGAGTTGTAGATTTGTACAACCGTCGACTAGTTTCATAGATAGATTGACAAGATTGTTATGGGAAATGACGAGATAACGTAACTTAAAGAATCCTGTGAACAAATCTGCTGGTAGTGCACTTAGGTTGTTCCCTTTAAGATCTATCCATCCTAATGAATGACGCAAATGTCCAAATATACCATATGGTATAGTAGTTATGTGGTTTGACTGAAGTGAAACAATACGAAGAGATTTAAAGTGCTGGAATGTATATGTTTCAATAGTTTGAATCATGTTATTGTCTAGATCAATAGTATCCAACGAGTTAAGACCCTCAAGCATTGTTCCATCTAAGTTAAGGATATAATTTTGTCTTAGTGACAACGTTTTTAAATGTTTTACTTTTTTGAATATTCCAGACGGAACCTTCTTGACTTTGTTGTTGTCCAGAAAAAGATCTTCCAATTGTTCAAGACCTTCAAATGCCAGTGCACCAAGTTCTGCGATTTTATTGTTCCTTACGAATAAACGTTTCAGCTTTCCAAGATGATGAAATGTGAAGTTCCCCAGAATTGTTAAGTTGTTCCGATCTAATCCCAAAAGCTTTAGGGTTGGCATTAACAAATCATCGGGATGAATGATTGAAATATGATTATCGCTGAGCACAAGAATATCTGTGTCATTAGAATAAAACATATTACCTGGAAATGATTGAATAACATTGCCATTGAAATATATGAATTCGAGCCGAGTGTCCTTAATACTTCCGTGTACGTGTTCGATTTGATTCATCTGGAGGTCTACAAATGTCAATGCTACGCATTTCACGAACAAATCGAATGAGAAATGGGTAATGTTGTTCGAACCCAACTTTACATGTGTAAGATTGTATAATTTGGACGAACTTGAAAATATGTCAACTGGTAATTCTTTTATCCAATTCTGTCCAATGTCTAAATGTTCGATATTTGTTAACCCTTCGAAGGCATTCGCGTCCAAAATATGTATGGAGCAATTATAAAGACTCAGCTTGGTCAGTATGTTCATTTGAGAGAATGAAGCATTTGGTATACTGACCAGTTTGTTATTTGAGAGATCCAGATCTTGAAGATTGCCTAGACATGTCGTTTTGGATTGGTTGTGTGCTGTGTCAATGTAAGGATGGAACGCAGCAGTTGGGAATCCTGTCAGGTTTAAGTAATCCAGCTTCAATGACTTCAATTTGGGCATATTGCAGAATAGTCCATTAGGAAGGAACTTTATCGGGTTTCTGGTTAAGACTAACTCTTCCAATGCAATCAAATCATCAAACGCATGCTGCTCAACTTCAGTAATATTGTTGTTCGCTAGATCCAACCACTTTAAGTGTATGAGACCCTTTAAGAATGGTGTAGTGATGTTCTTCAAGAAGCATTCAATTCTTGAGTAACGGATATCCCTATACCGTCCCAAAGTAACAGCATTAGGAATCCAAGGTTTCAATCCATTGTATTCTCTACATTTAACATGTAAAACAGTCGTGTTTCTTTGAACCAACGGATCGTCCCAATCAGATTCAATGTCAAGCTTATAGATCGTGCCCACGATGGTGTTGCTCTTCACATCCAATACAGTTGAATAATGACCAACTGTTAACCATTTCGAACTGTCTATATCAATGACAACCTGACCCTGATTGTTTTCCAAAGGCCATTTGTACTTATATTCTGGAATGTCTTGAGATGTGCTCTGTACATAATCCAATTCTCAGTCGGTGGTCCATCTATTACAATTTGTCTCGTCTTCGAAATATGGCAGATGATTAAAAACACAAACGCAAAGCAAATTAAGTTTTGAATGTCCAACATATTGCTCTCTAGATGTCGATTATATTTGTATTATGTTTTTATAGTTTCTTAACAGCACAGTTGCCTTTTTACCGGGAATATAGCGACAAGCTCAACAAAATAAAGTAAACAAACCTTATATTTTCTGCTGCTATGATTTGCTTTGTGGAGTTTTATATACCAGGCCGATCAATTTTATCGATTCAAACTAGTTTTGTGACCTTTTCATTCACACTGCTACCCACCTAGTTACACAGACGTATCGTCAGTGTATCATTGCTGAACTACTTCCGGGATTTAAATTTGGTAAGATATTTTTATTTCTCGATTTACATCTACTTATAAATCACGATGTGGATTATAATTTGGCTCGAAGTTATGGGAGATAGTCTAGTTTGAGAATGTGTCGATGGTTTTAGGTTGGGTATGTTAAAGAAGACGCATTTCACATATTTAGTACCTCGCTTTTGTTACACTGACGATCGGCATTAATATTGCCAATATTACACTGATATTGGTCGTTCGTCAGTGTAACAAAAGCGAGGGACTAAATACGTGAATTGTGTCTTCGTTAACATATAAAACCTAAAACCATCGACACATTCTCAAACAAGACTATCTTCCTTAACTTCGAGCCAAATTATTATCCACAACGTGACTTATAAGTAGGTGTAAATCGGGAAATAAAAAAATCTTACCGAAACCTAGTCCCGGAAGTAGGTCCGCCATGATACACTGACGATACGTCTGTGTAACTAGGTGGGTAGCAGTGATTCAAATCTGTGGTGTGAAATACATTTTTTTAAAGGTTTTTGTTATTTATTTCTATATAATTCAACATAATTATTTACATAGATTGCGAGGGGCCGAGGCTACATATAAATACATTCTAGAATTAGAATGCTTAGAATGTTTTAAACACTGATTCTTCTGAACTTTGATGAATTATATGGTTAAGCCTAGGTAACATTTGCCCCGATCTATCGGCTGGTGCCCGGTCGATTGAGTATTTTGTTCAAAATTGAAGGTCAACTCTCAAATGTTATGGTCAGTTGTAAACTCCTGGGAACTTGTACATGATTTCAAAAAAAGTTTGGTCAATTTGAAGCAAGTTGAAATCAGTTTTGAACAATATACTACAATCAGCCGGGCGGCGGCCGATGAATTGGAGCAAATTGGACCTAGACAAAAGTACTGTAAGTAATGCCTTGGTCACATTTGCGCCGGGCACCGGCCGATTTCTAAAACGACCAGGCACCGTTGACTTTTTCCCGATGTCTTGATTTTGCCGTGAGTATTGTCACAACATCACTAGTTCACATTTGCTCCGATTCATCGGCCGGCGCCCGGTCGATTGCTTAGAAAAATGCTGTTGGAGTTTGAAACATCTTGGACCCCTTATTTACTTTAACTCACACGTAATTGAGAAGATCTGCTGCAGGATAGGGATGTCCAGCCTTCTATTATAATACAAGGATGACAATAGGTAATGACACATTAATGTCATCATCCTAGGATCATCTAAATATAATAAAGGAATTTTTTTATGAATGTTTTCAATAATTGGTTTAAGAGAAAAACAATGTTTAATTCAGTTCGCTATATCGATACCAATCCTTTTGAGCGTTTATCTAACACAAATACATATTTCTTACCAATCGTTAGGGAAAAACACTGGCCTAGATAAAGGCCTCTGACCTTGACCTAGATCAACTCAGATTAGTCAAAGGAGCATATAAACGGTTTGCTGAAATCTATCTGGAAGTAAGTGAAAAGTGTAAGAAAATCTGTTTTAAATCGAATGGATAAAACATCCATGATGTTATAATGATGACAAGTGTTCTTTGATTGCAGTGCTTTAATATATATATATTTCAGGAGGCAGGTGTCTTGATATTGACGTATATGGCATCGCTACATTTTTTGGTATACTTGTCAACGAGGATCAGTCATTTTTATGCTCATCTGTTTATTTTGCAATTGGTCAGATGTAATAATATATACATGTTTTTGAGATCTTGCAGTTCTTATGATTTCACTGGAGGAGGCATACGTTACATCTAACATTGACATTGCCATTGCAGCTTAAACCTTAATATCTGCAATTTTTTATAACACTACATGTAAGTCGCAATTGAGGCGGGGTCATTTGGACCCCCTCTGTGATTTTTATTACTTATCTGATGTCATTATAGTTGGTATTGTTGTAATCCTTGTTCAATAACCTCTTCAGAAAAGTTTTGTTTTTTAAAAAATAGGTCAACATAGGTCAAATCGAGGTCAACGTGACCTAGGGGATGCAAATTTTTGACATTATGTGATAAATTATCAATTTTCTTTCGCAATAAATTGTTTGTGCCAAAAATGCTTCGCTGCCTTTAATAACAATCTATTATCTTTCAAATAAAACTAAATCATGGTAAAACTTTTCTAGAACTGAAGTTACACACTTTCAAATGCCAATCAATGATTTAGTATGCAGGTGTACGAATATATGACTTGGTATTGTTCCAATATAATTTCGGTTCACGATGTTGCATTCAACAACCTAGCAACGGCACAAACATCGAAATAGTGAAATGAAAAATTGGGGGCCGGGTAGAATAAAAAAATTATATCTAAAAATTGGAAGAAGGTATCATCATTATTCTGGTACCACCGTGTGCATAAAGATTTAGGAATATGCAAAAGAATTCAAAGGAATAATTCAAAAGATGATCTAATTTTTGAAAAAATCAGTTTTTCTCTCGATTGACTGTTTCTTACCTTAACAATTTCATGACACAGTCGATAGTTGCTCGATTTTCATGAAATAAAGCATATTGGAAAGAGAACTCAATATGCTTAATTGTTATCTATTAAACAGAGCAATAATTATCTTTTTTCTATTTTCTAGAGCATTTGAAACAAAGTTTGAAACAAACTGTGGCTCAAGCTAAAAAATTAATGGAGACGCAAAATAATTTTGCTAAAAATCAAGAGAGGGGGATAACGTCACGGTAATACATTTCATGATTTCAGACAAGGAGGATTGGCTTCAAGAGTGCAACATCGATATTCTGTCCCATATATGGGCATGTCGTGATACAAAATTCAAATTCAAACAACCGCCATTTTGTTCACTTCAACATTTGAATCATGAATTTTGGTCTTGTTTCCTTACGAAATATTCCAAAACTCACAAGAAATGATCGAGATATTGGTTCGAATCTTCTGAACTGTTTATTTTGAATTTATAGTAAGTTATAATTTCAGAAAATAACGACATTTTGACGTTTTCATTGTTGGAAAATATCAAGTTTCGATCCTGGGAGCCACCTCCTTGATTTCAGTGTGCAAATGTCATAAGGGCATATATTTTTTATCGATTGTGCATTATATACAGGGTGTTCAAAAAAAAACGCAACCCAAAGAAATTGCTATATCTTGGAAAATACTTGTCCAATTGTGTTCATTTTTTTCAGGAAAGAAAGAAGAGACTGTGTATGTATAGCTCATGTTGTTAGTTAGTTGTAAAAAATGATGCCTTGGACAACTGCTCAAAAGACATTAGTATGAGAAAGAGAAAGATACGAAAAACGCAGTCAGAGACGACTTTCACAGCAATAAAACTGAATAACTTTCTAACCACAGTGTTTTGGCTATTCAAATTTGGCACCAATCATCTTCATTCAATGTATGATAAATCTGCAGAGTGAAATCAAAATCACTCCAGGGAATTTACAGTTTTGATCGAAATGCTCAAAACTCAGTCAAACACCCTGGTTCAGCCAGACTTAAGAAGGCATTTTGACCATGACTGTAAAGTCCCTGGAGTGATTTTATTGAAACTCCCTTAATTCTTTACACATTATATGAAGATAATTTGTGCCGAATCTGAGGTGCCAAAACACCATGGTTAGAAAGTTATTAGGGTTTATTGCTCTGGCAGTCACCTCTGACTGCGTTTTTCGTATCTTACTAATACTAATGTCTTTTGAGCAGGTGTCCAAGGCATCATGTTTTACAACTAACTAGCAGCAGGAGCTATACACACACAGTCTCTTCTTTCTTTCCTGAAAAAATGAACACAATTGGATAAGTATTTTCCAAGATATAGCGATTTCTTTGGGTTGCGTTTTTTTGAACGTGAAGAAGAATGCCAACTAAAGCTGAAATGTTTGGCTCAAAATCGGACCCTGGTACAGGCTATTTCAATGGGAAAGAACTCGGATGTATGTGAAAATTCTGTACCCGAAATGAGAGCTCTGAACAACGCAGAAGGTAAAAATACTGTTGTCACTCTGACCTATCGCGTATCATTTTGTTCTTCAAATATATTCGAATTATTTTGGTATATTAAAATGAGATGCTAGTGATGTGAGAAACAAAGGGAGACAATCTGCTTGATTCAATGTTTTTCATTGAGAATACATAATATTTTATATCTAATTATTTCTGTGAAAATGAAATCTATAGACATTTTTCAGATCTTGAAGTTTTTATGACTTCCACCGGAACAGGCAACTCTGCACACATTACACAGAACATAATTCCATCACCAGGAACAACTAGAAAGATACACCATTCCATCTAACATGCGTATCAAAGCTTATTAACACTTTTAGATGAGAAGTACCCGGGTAGAGACAACATTATTTAAGGTGTTATCACTAGGGGAGGGCATTTGTATTGAAAGGAGCGTTTTCAGTGTATTTTTGTACTGAAAAATGTACTGACTTTTTTAAGTACATGTTTCAGTATATTTTCAGTATAAAATTCAATACAAATAATGTACTGATAAATATGACTTTTTAAGTACAAAAATGTACTGAAAATACACTGACTTTTAAGGACATTTTTAAGTACAAAATGTACTGAAAAATGTACGTAGGACTCGTAGTGGTGGATATTCTGTCATATGACTTGCGGCAAACCTACCATTTCCTATTGGTTAACATGGGAATGTAGATTTTCAAAAATTCATCAAATCTATCATCAATTTTCGACCTAACGTAATTGAGGGAAAAAATTAGAAAATTTTGAGGTATTGAAAATGAAGTCAAATTACGTTTCAATCAATAGTATTTACATCGCAGATTAAGTAAATAAAAATTCAAAAGTAAAGAGGCTTTAACACGAAGTTCAATGGGGGAGCTAAGGTTGCCAAACTTATGGAGGGGAGTGTATGTGTGAATTCTACGCTAATAACAATCACCGTGCAGTAGTAATATATGCATGTAGGAGGAAGAAAATGTAAATAAACCCGTCACCAAGAAGATAAAATAAAGTATACTCGCACGGGGTGAACTGAAATGAAACTCTCCACATAATGGACATTAAAACAATTTAATATATGATTATTTAGAAAATATGGCGTGCACGCAACTTCAAGAAAATAAGTTTAATGAGATACCTGGCACGGCTAAGGGAGCTTTTGTTACATTTTCAGTGGTCGTCTCGACTGTTGTTAGGGCTACCGTTGTTGCTTTGGTAGTTGTCGTTGTAGTCGTTGTTGCAGCCACAGTTGTTGGAGCAGCAGTTGCAGTCGTTGTAGTAGTTGAGGTTGTTGTAGGACAGTTTACTAAAAAGCAACATGCATGATTGATTTTGAAGAACAGGGTGGGCCAATATGAATTGGAACATTTTTCTCACATTTAATCAATTTTCTGAATTATTGCAGTTCAATCCACAAAAATTCAGATAATGGTTAAATGATCATTTATGAAAATGTTAAAGAAAATTATGTATGTATAATTATTTTTGGCTTGTCATGGTCATGATCTGTAAACTGCGTATGTCATGATTTTTTTCATTTTCTCTGCTTGAGACATCACTGCTGAAAATACAGTATCTTTCAAACCACACAATATGAACCCTTCAAATGGTCTCAACACGATTTCCATCAATCAAAACATTCGTTAATATTTCTAGGAGAAGGTAGACATGTTTGATAATATAGCTTAACTGACCTCAGTTTTTTTTCAAAACTGGCACAATATGTCACCGAACGTTAAATGCAGCTAAGACTGAAAAAAAGATTGTTCAGCCATGTGGAGGATATGTTCACGAAACCCTTGCATTCAGTAATTGAATATTGAGCTTGTATTTTCATATTTACAATCTGTTGACAATTAATTGTTTTTCAATTTCCCCAAACTACTGAAGATAATCCATGACAAACAAAAAGTTACAATTTACGGAAAAATGTTCTTGGTCCACCAACCTGAAGCTTAAATAATAGGTTTCGAGACATATTGTGCCAGTTTTGAAAAAAGTTGAGGTTAGTTATATAAGCTATATTATCCAAGGGAGGCATGTCTAGCTTTACCTAGAAAAATTGTCGTATGTTGATTGATGGAAATCATGTAGAGTCCATTTGAAGGCACATATTGTGTGGTATGAGAAATACTTTATTCACGGAGGGATGTCTCAAACAGAGAAATTTGGGAAATTTCTCATGATACACGCACTATACATATCCTGACCATTACAAACCAAAAATAGTTAAACGTACATAATTTTATCTTTAACATTTCCACAAATAATCATTTAACATTTTCTGAATTTTTGTGGATTGAACTTAATTAATAAAGAAAATTGATTAAATAGAAAATGTTCCAATTTTTATTGGCCCACCCCGTAGAATTGGAAATTAACAATATGTGCTAAATTACTTATACTAGAAAACATTGCATGTTACGGATATATAACGTATGTATATATTATTATTGTACCTGCTTGCATTTTTAATTTGAATCCCCTCCTCCAATAGGTTGTGTCAATTAGGTAGTTTGAACGGAATAATACAAGTGCTGTGGAACTCATCGAAACTGGCTTTTTGGAAGGAAGCGAATCACAGCAGAATCTATAAAAAATTATTCCGATTCAAAATTTTGAAAAAAACACACCGTGATGTTAAATGCATACCATAAAATATATATTCCAAGTGCATTAGCAGATTGATACATTTTGCGTGATAATGGTAATTATTTGAATACAGATAATAACGCCAGATCCGTGGGCTTAATGCATATACCTCTGTCCAGTCTTGTCATATTGGGATTGATCAAGCTTTAGTTCCACCCAATGAGCACATGTTTGAAAGTTTAAACAAGTCATCCTGAAGTCCTCTACAAACTCAAACTCTATCTGACATCCAGTTGGTACCTGCATCGACAACGAATACGAACAAATTATTATTTTTTATTATACTATATCTATTATCATTTTTATCTTACATTTACAAATTACAATACATCATAATAGAATAGGAACAAATTATGATCTCAGTTGCGCATGAAAACACATTATGATTTCAATTGAAAATGGAACCCATTATGATTTCAATTGAACATGGAAAATATTATTATTTCAACTGAACATGAAACAGATTATGATTTCATGGAACCCATTATGATTTCAAGAGGACGTGGCATAACATGGGACACATTAGAATTTCAATTGAACATGATACAAATTATGATTTCAATTGAACATGGTACAAATTATGATTTCAATTGAACATGGTACAAATTATGATCTCAATTGAATATGGGACAAATTATGATCTCAATTGAATATGGGAGAAATTATGATTTCAATTGAATATGGAACACATTATGATTTCAATTGAACATGGGACACATTATGATTTCAATTGAACATGGTACAAACTATGATTTCAATTGAACATGGTTCAATTTATGATTTCAATTGTACATGGGACACATTATGATTTCAATTGAACATGGTACAAACTATGATTTCAATTGAACATGGGAGACATTATGATTTCAATTGAATATGGAACAAATTATGATTTCAATTGAACATGATACAAATTATGATTTCAATTGAACATGGTACAAATTATGATTTCAATTGAATATGGAACAAATTATAATTTCAATTGAACACGAGACACATTATGATTTCAACTGTACATGGTACAAATTACGATCTTAATCGAGCAGGGTAACGGGATCTGAAATATCAACATTGTTGTCATGGATCGAATTAAGAAGTAAAAACAACAAAAATCTAATTTATCCTACCATTACTTCCCAGTTGATCTCTTGGTAATTTTCATAATAAGATGATGCGTCGCTGTATGTTGGGTGTGATGTTATATATGACGGTGTAGTTTCATCCAATGATACAACTCCTCCTGCATCCACTGATCGAAGTATAAAACAATTCATTACAATTAAAATATACAATTTGTCACGATTAAAACATACAATAAATTACAATTTAAACGCACAATTTAGTTCAAACAAAGAAGTGGTCTTTTAGAAATTGATCAAAATGTAATGTATCCTTTTCCAGATTATATATTATTATATATTACGTCTAGAATACCATTATGGTTCCATACCAACATTAGAAGGTTGTATATCTCCACATGTATCACCACTTAGGCCATCTGGGCATTTACATAGGTCGCAGTTGTTAGGGTCTTGGTATCCCCCATTGCTACAAGGTTGTGGTAGAGGACCAGGGCAGGTTTCACTGCCTACAATATGACCAAACGAATATGATGACTTCAAACAAAGGAGTTGTGGATGTATAAATACCTTAACAATGCCAAGAAGTATGTTAAGTCATCAATAGAAATATTACCCTTGTAGCTATATTGTTATATGCAGACATACATATTATATCATTAGACATGTTATATGTCATATGGTTTTGGATTATTATATCTGATTATATTCCTAATTTTAGTGTCGAGTGAAAGTTTGTAAATCATAATATGACTTACAGTATTCAATGTTGACAGCCATTGCATCAAAGAATGACAAGCCAGTTCTCTGTCCTATCGTACTTAAGTATGATCCATCTTTTGGTATTATAGAGGGCATTATTTCGATCCAAAACGCCTAAAATTTATTGAAAATTGATTGATATAAAGCGTTATTCATAACGTCGAAGCATATTGCAAGACACAACTGTTACGTTTCCGCGAATATCGATTTGATTTATAACGTCAAGTCAATTTGACTGGACATCTTGGATATAATTACTGATGTTATTTACAAATTACCTTCGCATGATAATGCATAACAGAACCATAGTCATACGGCACATGTGTAACGGCATCCGTGTACTCATATTTGATAAAGTTTCTTAAACCACTAGGTCTGATTTGGTCCTCATACACATTGATATAATCATCCCTGTCAGGTCTTTGATGTTCATGGTACATCCCCAGTGCATGTCCTATCTCATGGACAGGAGTACCATCCTAAAATAAAATGTTCATGGTGTATCCTCGAAACATATTTCGTGAAAAAATTAATTATACATGATGACGTGTTCAGACTTATATATATAGATAGGGTGTTACATACCGATCCAAAGCATGTCGAACCCAAATTGATCACCTGGCCATCGACTGTATCCTGACGTCCAAAAAACGAATTGCAAGTTGCCCTAAATTAAGACATTTAACGTGATATGACAGTTTTGGCTTACGTTACTTACATTTGGCGACAATCGTCTATCTCAAAGCCAGAGTAATGATTTTTGAAATCCAAATTGAACAATAGAATTGGAGAACAAGACTTTTGTTTTTTATTGATAAGAAAAGAAGGGCTCTTTTCAAAACGTCTAAATGATTAAGTAAGGTCTGGGAAGAATTCAGCAAAGTGATACACATTCATACGAGGAAAATACAAGTGATGTTATTTTCATCTTGCATCCATGGTAAATGTGGATGACTGTACCTTTTTAATAAAGGTAAAATCATATAACCTTAATGGGAAACTACATTCTATGGTATGCGACAAGGATACAGAGTTGATTCTAAAAGTAGATATCATTTTGAAATATGCACATACGAATTGGCTGGATTTTCTATCAGGAGGTGTGGGGCACCAACGATATCATTTATTGGTCTTTCTTGGAATCGTAGACACGTGTGACTTTCCCAGTGTTGGAATGCTCTATATATCATGGTTCTCTCTAGGTCAGCTAAAAGTTAAGAGAACAGTTTAAACAATCGCCAAAAACATGAACATGATCAGGGAACTCACTCCTCCGTTACAAAAATGTAGACGTAGCAGGGAAAAATTTCAAGGTATTCAAAAGACAGGTAGACATTAAAGAACATCAAACCAGATTTTAACATATTAACGATACACCTAGCTATTGGCCAGTGTCATTTTGGATAATGCATTTACTTACTGTAGTTCTCCCCTATGATCTTGTATGGTATCACTCCCGTCCATTTATATGAAGGATAAGTAAGAAAATTCATTGTATCTCTTTTCGACCTATTTTTTAGTGAAGTGAGTATCACCGAAGCTTGCTCTGCATTCAGTATAACATCTCCAAAATAGACATCTCCATTTTCACCCTCATCTGCTTGATAGAGTGTTTGAAAAGGCTCGTTGCCCTGGTAATCATCAGCACTGATGAATTCTGACAGGTCTAACTCATTCTGCAAAATTTAGTAAAATATTCAGCTATAATTGTAATTAGTTATGATATGCTCGTATGTTGGCTTTAAAATTTTGTATCACGTGTATGCATGCTTACAGATATACAAACTTACAAAAATTACTCTCTTACATTCTGGCTTGGACTGATATGTTGGGTCTTGATGATTTCATTAATTTCCTTATTGATTGTTTGAATCGTATTCCATTCCTGTTGCGATAATCCCATTGTCGCCATATACTCATCCCTACTCCTCCCATCTGGTGGTGTCCACTTATCACTTCCATGAAGGTGTTCACCGAGTGGCTTACTGTCAACTATCTAAAAATAGGATAATATAATATTAATTATCCTACACTTAGTACATGCTAAATGTATAATAACATTAAAAAGTAAATTTGATATCTATTGGCAAAATGAATAACCGGAGGATATCGCCACGATATACTCCGGAAAACCAATATATATGCGGAGGATATTGCCACGATATACTCCGGAAACCCAATATGCGGAGGATATTGTGATGAGATATACTCCGCTTGTTGATTTCCCGCTAAATTGACCCTATTTGGCATTTTACAATTATATCATATACACTCCTTGTTCGTTTTTCTCTCTCGTACAGATATCAATATCACCTCGTAGATAAAAATGATATTCCTCAAAATCATAGGATATCCTGTAAGAATTACAATGTAATTTCAAAACAGGGAAACAAATCAGACAAAATATGATGTGTAAAATATTCCCTCAGCGACATCTAATAATGTGTATGAAGTAAATCCAAACGAAAATAGATCAAAAGAGTACATTTTCTCTAAAACTAAGCATTTACTAAACACGAGCATGAATGTACTTTAAATTGATTGTTTCTTTTGTATTTCTGCATTTTACTGACAATATATTAATGTTATATACAGTGAAAATCCAGAAATAATGATCGTATATTTTTATGAGTTATATGTTTGTCTCTTTGACCGTGTCAACATTTAGCTAAGGAAATGTAATTTTATGAAAATGATCTAAAATGTACACAGAATTTTGAAATTATTACTTACTTTAAGAAATGCCATCACGGCAAGCATGTTGGTGATCAGCTTCGTTTTCCAAAACATTTTGATAATGTTCAAATGCCAGACAAAAAACTAAGGATAAATTATCCTTAACAACGGACAAAAAAATGATCTCAGACCAATTACAAAATTGGACTGTAAAACATCAATATAACTTAAACACAATTAGATGTTTAACCGAGTTGGGATAACCTCAAGATCACGTATCAAATTAATATCCCACCCATGTCAACAATAAGTTCATAATACCTGAGTAAATGTTGGTGTGGACGAAAGGAAACAATTACAAGTAGTTGTCATGCTATTTTTCATGAGACGTTTGCATGCGTTTTACTTTTTAAACCTTTAACCTTTGTATTTGGTGTTAAAAACTCCCTATAGGCTACATAGACAACATATTTTAGACAGATTTGATTGTTTTTAGTTTATATGTTAAATGTAATTTGTCCATTTGAATAGTGTATGAAGATAATGTAATTGGGAGTCTTGGATACAGGCTATACCCGCTTACTGTTTATCCTAAACCAACCGTTCATAACATATCCTATACCTACCGATTCTTCTGAATTTATTCTTGTATTAGTTTTGAAATTTTTTCATGTACTGTTTTAAGAACTCCTCTTTTTACTACTGGAATTGGATTCTTGCAATTCTATCCAAAATGAATCTACATGTTGAGACTCGGTCAACTTGAGTTCTTCTGAGAAAATGAGGATATAGAATTGATATATTTAAGGTGCGGAACAGATTATTATATATCTTCCGTTGTATATCTCCCGTTCCAATATTCCAGGGAAATTCTTTTGTTCGGTGAATGCTGCATGTATGTATCTAGAAACGGTAAAGTTCGAATATATTATAGCATTAGGCGAAGACAGTCAAACTGGAAACTAAAGCAGACGGTAGAATTTTTCTTTACCAGCATGTTGGTAGATTTCTTGAAGATAATGAGAATGAGAACACTTTAAAGAAAACAAACCTGGATATGTGTGTCCTGATGAAAACTTCACTCGTGAACCACACTTGTCATAGGATAAATTAGTTATGTGATGCTCGGTTTTGAATATGGGATATGAGCCCATGGGACACCGGTAAGATATATAAATTTCCCTCAGGATATGCCCCATATCCAAAACCTACTTAACATAACCCTTATGTATGTAACTATGGGGATAGATACAAAATCCTCATTTCCTCGGAAGAAGCCAAGTTGATCGAGTCTCAACAAACACAATTAGTACATTCATGTGGGATAGTATTGCTAGAATCCAAATTCAACGAGATGGGGTTCTTAAACACGTTACAGTACATTAAAGCTTTACCTTACTATCACACCAAACTAGTTCTCACTGCGTTCTCGAAAACGGGCTTCAACTGCATACGAACGGACTGGACCTACTAAGAACCGTTTGGGATCTATTTACAAACTTCATCGAACGTACTCGAACGGGAAGGTCCTCCAGAACTTAGACAATGCTCAAAATATTCTCGTGGTCGTCACGTTCTACAATTAGAACGAGTGACAACGTACTAACGACGAGCTGGACGTACTACGAACGGAACCGTCGTACTTCAATCCTACTAGGGACGTTTTAACAACGAGTTTAACTGTCTGCGGACGTGTTGAGAACGAGGTAAAACTAATTGCAAACGGGTTTAAACTGATTAAGAACGTATTTAACACTGCTTATGAACGAGTTAGCAAAAATATAGCTATCACACCAAACAAGTTGCCACTGCGTTCTTCAAAACTGGTTTTAAACTGTTTGCGAACGGAATGAACGTAGCTGCAACTTTCCAAGGTCTATTTACGAACTTTATGAACGTTCTCAGACGGGAATGTAATTTTCGAATTTTGAATCGATTCAAAATTCGATGACGACCATACCGTTCTGTAATCAGGTCATGTTGACCTTCTTGACTAAGGGACGCGTTCTACGACGTTGCACTCCGACGTGTGCGACCTGAACGAACTGCGAACGAGATGGATGTATTGAAGACTGTTTAAGAACGAAGAAGCTAATTACTCGGGGTGGAAGGTGTGAGAATTGTGCAAAAAATGACTTTGTGAGCTGGATGGAGTTTCTCTGTATTTTTCATTCTATTAGGGTTTCCTGCATAAGGGATTTCGCCTGCGAAGCATATCACTCTTGCGAACATATCTAAATATTGGTCCAAGGAAGACATACCTTGAATTTTTTAGAAAAAAATTGGCTAAAAATGGAAACTACAAAAAGTCAAAATGTTCAACTCAAACAAAACTCTAGCTATTTAATATTAACACTATGTATTATTTAATGTTTTTCAGATGTTTAAGGTTCTTCATTAGTGTACTAGTGTCTAGAAATAAGATAATTAAGGACAAAATTTGGCATTTTTGATCATTTTCGCTTTCAGCAGTAACATATAGTTCCTTATATCTTGAGTTTAATGTTGACTGGTTGTTGCAATTTTGATTAAATCTGTGCTTGTACATGTCTTCTTCCATTTAAGATACAAAAAATGTATATTGGACCACCAATGGTCATATTAGAGCTTTCAGATCTCCCCTACCCCATTTATTATGAAAAATTACTGAAACATATGAAAATATAAAATAACTTGAATTTATAAACTTTAACAATGTTGTAGCTATTCTATATCAATATTATGTATTATTTAATGTTTTTCAGATATTTCAGAACCTTTATTGGTATACTAGTGCCTAGAAATGAGACATTTAAGGACAAAACTTGGCATTTTTTAAAATCATTTTAGCTTTCAGCAGTAACATATAGTTCCTCATATATTGAGTTTTATGCTTACTGGTTGTTGCAATTGTAATAAAATCTGTTTTTGTAGATGTCTTCTTCCATTTAAGGTATAGAAAATGTATAGTGGACCACCAATGGTCATATTAGAGCTTTCAGATCTCCCCTACCCCATTTATCATGAAAAATATAAGAAAAATATGAAAATATAAAATAACTTGAAACTATAAACTTTAATAAAGTTGTAGCTATTCTATATCAATATTATGTGTTATTTAATGTTTTTAAGATATTTCAGAACCTTTATTGGTAAACTAGTGCCTAGAAATGAGACATTTAAGGACAAAACATGGCTTTTTTGACCATTTTCGCTTTCAGCAATACCATATAGGTCCTTATATCTTGAGTTTAATGCTGACTGGTTGGTGCATTCTTAGTCAAATTTGTTCTTGTACATGTCTTCTTCCATTTAGGATATAGAAAATGTATATTGGACAACCAATGTTGATATTATAGCTTTCATGTCTCCCCTGCCCCATTTATGTAAATGAAAAAGTAATTTCAAATCATCAACTTTAACAAAATTGTAGCTATTCTCTATTGATACTATGTATTATTTAATGTAACCTTCATTTGATTACATGTGTCTAAAATTTGGCATTTTAGCATTCTGCATTTAGCAGTAGCATATAATTTTCCACAATTATAATTCTTTGATGATAGATTCATATATGTTTTTTATTGAATCTGTCTTCTCTGATTTAACTTAAAGAAAATGTATGTAAGACAACGAATGTTTTTATTAGAGGTCTAAGATCTGCCCTCCACCATTAAATGAGAAAACCAACACAAATGTTATTATTGCATGATAATATTCTTAAACTTTTCAAAAGTTTAGCATATTTATTAGCACCCTAAAATCAAAAAATGACACATAAATGGGCAAAATGACCAATGTTTCACTTTCAGCAATAGTTGTTTATATTTTTAGTTGAATGGTGATTAGTTGACATATTTTAGATCATATATATTCAACAATGTGTCTTGTTATCTTCAAAGCATGGAAAATGTGTTTTAAACACAAATATACATATTAGAGATAAAATTACTACACTACTATATTTTTAAAAGATTACTCAAAAATAGCATAGTGCGAAATAATTTTGTAATTTCGCAGTTTACTCTCATATGAATCAAAGGATATGTCTTTATATAGACATGATTGTTCACAACTCTCGAACTTAATCCAGCAACAGCCTGATTTTTCAAATCTCCCTGGTTCTATGTTAGAGCTGCATTTAAGTCATTTTAAAGGTAACTGGTGAACTGGTACCCAAGACAAGTCGTACCCAAGCATATATTTTGTTTTGAATCAAGTGTTGGACTGGGAATGTGTAAAGAAGAAGAAATTGATATAATCAGAAGAAATTGATATAATTTTGTAACATTTTGAGCTTTGAGTGTCAATTTATTTTGACTATTATTTTATATTGGATGTTCGAGTGAAGAGATATATGTTTATTCCACACATTCATAATCATTTTTTTAAATATTGTATGTTTATGAGTGTTTGGAACAAGTGTCAGATTTAATTCATCTTGGAAGATGGTATTATTATAAATGTATTGATTCATCAAATCTTGGGCCTAATTTCTTATTAAACAGATAATCTATTTGTCTAGGATTTCATATTATCAGAAGTCATATTCATGAAATTTAGCAATAAAATATTTTGAATAATATAATAATAGTATACAAGTAATAATATAGTATAATATTAATATCAAATATTATTTTGGTACTTATTCATACATGATATATTATTACACTTAGTATGCATGTGCATAATCCAATTTAGTTCCAATTGGAAAAAAATTAACAGATTAAACTTCCTTTAAACTTTCTCAAAATGCTCAAATTAATTGTTTGATTCATTTGTAGAAAAGTCACTGTTGTAATTATATTTATTTATATATATGTTTGGCAAAAAATGTTGTGAACAAGCACTTCAAGCACTTGTTTTATTAGTAAAAAGGTGATTCAAGTTAAATCAAAATGCTTTACTTAATCCATTGAGAAAAAATGTCTTCTAAATTCAAAAAAATATTGAGGCTTATTTGAGTCACATTATAACATGAAAACATAATTATACAAACTCAATTTTTTTTCCTAATATCCACCCATAATACTGGAAATAACTTGGGTACGAGTTGTCTTGGGTACCAGTTATCTTGGGTACAAGTTGTCTTGGGTACCAGTTATCTTGTGTACGACTTGTCTTGGGTACCAGTTGACTAGGAAGCATTTTAAAGGTCTAAGTTGCTCATGACACCACAAGCTATTCAGATATGTAAGATCTCTAAATAATTTTTATAGTTCTGAGAAACTCATCCTTAAATATTGTCCAACGATGTGCACTATGTTGTTTATTGCCACATGGACAAGTAGCAATACACTCTTGACTAGAAACTTTGTATAGCAATTTTCGCTGCCTTTTGCCATTTTACATTTGCGAATTGCCAAGGACATATGTTTCTTGTGTTGCTACGAAGGTTTGTTTGTGAGTACTGGTACAAGACACCCATCTTTGATATATCTTCAAATAGGTATTGCACTTTGAGATTCATATAGTAATTTAGAATGCTACCTTGAAGGACATAAGAAACTTTAAGAGCACTTTTTAACTCTCATCCTTCTTTGCAAGCAACATTCTGTATCATCAGACTGAATACAAATTCTCTCAACATTGAACTCCTTTGTCTTGTCTGCAGCACTGTAATAGAAAAACAAGAAATTTTTCTAAATCGTGCCAGATCAGATCTCATTCTCAAATCACAACTCAAGGCCCACAACTGGACAACTGTTGACTCTCCAAACTGCGAATGCGGAGCCCCTGAGACTTTCCGCCATTTGTTTTTTAAATGCCCATTGAAAACTGAACAAATTCTTAAATTTAATAGAGATATTGAACTAATCACTGGAAACCAATCTCAGTTTAGGACCCAAATGGACAAAATAAATCTTTACTTATTTGCTCACCCTTCACTTACTCAGGAACAAATTGACAATCTTTTATCAGTGGTGAGCCTATATCTTATTGAGCATGCATAGTTACATGTAGTTGGAAGCTGGTCTACTTTTGTTCTCAGCCTACCACTCCTTATCTCTACTGCTTTTCTCCCCTTGTTTCATTTTCTTATATTATACTGTAGCACCATGAAGTCTTCTTTGTGCCACATAGAAAGTACAGGCAGAGGCAGCAGCCCCCCCCCCACACTCCAATTAAAATGCAGATGCTTTCTTTTCTATTTTTTTCTAATATATAATTGTGTATTAAAACCATGTTTACAAATTGTAATTACTACATTGAGGGACACCTATAATGCCACTGGCGATTGGGTCCCTCATGTATGATATGTACTTTTAATGATTAATGGCAATAAAATCTCTTGATGAAAAAAAAAAAACTGTAATAGACATGGGCCATAAGGAGAGTGTCAACTTCTTCATGATCAGTATTTGATAGATAAGTTGCAACTATCAGTTTTGCAAAGTTCAATAGCAGCTCTGCCATAAGTGAAATTCATCCCATTTTAGAGATACAGTAACATTGCTTCACAAACCAAAGACAGCTTTACCATTTTGTAATCCTTTCCAAAATCATATTGTTGGCTGTTCTTCATTTCACAATGTTTACATTTACCAAAATATCCCAAAGCCCAATATCTATCATGAACTTCCTAATTACACCACCCTTAGGTGTAATATGGAAATCACCAAGCATTTGACAACATTGCATTTGATATGAGGGAATTCAACCAATATGGCTTGATCACTGGTTATAATTATCACAGTACTCTACCCCATTATTTTTAAATATATTCCAAGTATTGTGCTATACATTGCATAGATTCATGAGCAGTTTGCAATATATCATAACCAGAAAAGCCCAATGGACAAAGATACAGAATACCCGCCCCATTTGCAACTCAACTTTAAATGTCTAATTTTTAGACTTGTATACTCATGAAGTTCCTGACACATCTGAAAAATATCAAATAATACATAGTATTGATCTAGAATAGCGACAACTTTGTTAAAGTCTATACTTTGAAATTGTTTGGTTTTTATATTTCTGGTTATTTTTTCAAAATAAATGGGGTAGGGGAGATATGTAAGCTCTAATATAATGACAGGCTTTCCAATATACCTTTTTAAATACCTTAAATCAAAGTAGGCAGGCAAAAGAACAGATTTGATCAAGAATCCATCAACCAATCAGCATAAAACTCAAGATATAAGGAACTATATGTTATTGCTAACAGTGGAAATGATGAAAAAATGCCAAATTTTGTTCTTAAATGTCTAATTTCTCTACACTAGAATACTAATGAAGGTCCTGAAACATTAATTATAGCAATCAATAACACATAAAGAATAGTTACATCTTTGTTAAAGTTTATACTGGTAGTTTGAAGTTATTTTTTATATTTTCCAGTCATCTTCCCTAATAAATGGGGTAGGGGAGAACTGAAAGCTCTAATATGAACATTGTTTGTCTACTATACATTTTCAGTACCTTAAATGGAATAAAACATGTACAAGAACAGATTTAATCCAAAATGTATCAACCAGTTAGCATAAAACTCAAGATATGAGGATCTATATGTTACTGCTGAAAGCAGCATTGATTAAAAAATGCCAAGTTTTGTCCTTAAATGTCTCATTTCTAGCCACTTGAATGCCAATAAAAGTTCTGAAAAATCTTAAAAATATTAAATAACTCATAATATTGATAATAGAATAGCTACAACTTTATGAAGGTCTATAATTTCAAGTTATTTTATTTTTTTATATTTCTCGTTTATTTTCCATAATTGATGGGGTAGGGGAGATCTGAAAGCTCTAATATGAACATTGTTTGTCTACTATACATTTTCTATACCTTAAATGGAAGAAGACATGCACAAGAACAGATTTGATTGAAAATGCAACAATCAGACAGCATAAAACTCAAGATATGAGGAACTATATATTACTGCTGAAAGCAAAAATGATAAAAAAAATGCCAAGTTTTGTCCTTAAATGTCTCATTTCTAGCCACTTGTATACCGCTATAGGTTCTGAAATATCTTAAAAACATTAAATAACACATAATATTGACATAGAATAGCTACAACTTTGTTAAAGTTTATAATTTCAAGTTATTTTATTTTTTCATATTTTTCGGTAATTTTCCATAATAAATGGGGTAGGGGAGATCTGAAAGCTCTCATATGAACAATGGTTGTCCACTATACATTTTCTACACCTTAAATGGAAGAACATATGTACAAGCACAGATTTAATCAAAAATGCAACAACCAGTCAGCATTAAACTCGAGATATAAGGAACTATATGTTAATGCTGAAAGCGAAAATGATTAAAAATGCCAAATTTTGTCCTTAAATGTCACATTTCTAGACACAAGTATACTAATGAAGGTCTTGAAACATCTGCGAAACCTTACATAACACAAAATATTGATATAGAATAGCTACAACTTTGTTTGAGTTGAACATTTTGACTTCTTGTAGTTTCCATTTTTAGCCAATTTTTTCTAAAAAATTCAAGGTATGTCTTCTTCGGACCAGTATTTAGATATGTTCGCAAGAGTTATATGCTTCGCAGGCGAAATCCTTTATGCAGGACACCCTAATAGAATAAAAAATACACAGAAATTCCATCCAGCTCATAAAGTCATTTTTTCCTTAACGGAGCCTCTTAGAAAATTTTCCACCCCGAGTAAATTATTTCAGACATATTTCCCGACCACAGCCAGATTGAGCCCGTTTGACGACGTTTTCGTAGGACTGGCAAGAACGGGTAAGAACTAGTTTGGTGTGATAGGGGGGTAACTAAGACCTTTTGAAATACTTGGTTGGCTCTATCGGGGACCATTTTGAAAAGTTGTTGACATCAATGGGATTTGCTACTGCCTTGGCGTTGCTGTTGTTTTTCATAATGATTTGGGATGTTGTTTTCGTTTGATTGAACTGTTTGAAAAGTGTAGAGGATGAGTTTCAATTCCATATATATAACGAAGATAGCGAACAAAAACGGGTCTATTAAGCATTAAAAATCCGGCATTCTTAAAATGACTTAACATTTTTGCGAAGTATGCAAATAAACATATGGTTTAGAAACGTTAATTTTGGCTAAATAAAAAGCAAACATGTATTTGCAGAAAAACTAATAGTTGATATGCATTGATGAAAAATCATCTTCACTCTCGATCTCTAATGTTTTCCTAGTTTTTAAGAACATTCTCTATCAGCTTTGAAAAACCACAATTTTGTCATTCCAAGAAAACTTTAGGTTTGGAATTTTTATAATATATTTTAGCATAAATATCTACATTAGTTTGTAGTTTTATAATAATCTAGCGTCCCGTATTTATAGCGGTGGTGAATTTTGGATTTCAAAACTTTTATTCAATTCCTTAAGTAAGCATGGGTGTTGTCAAAATGTGAAGTTGTTTAAACTGGACATTCTTTTATTTCCAACATAAAACGAATAAAAGATGGTCACCTTCACTTCCTTAACATTTTTCATTCATAAATCAGTTTTTATTGAATACCTTACGTTTATCTACGTTACCACACAAACAAGGAGAGTGAGGCCCGCCTACTTGGCCATATAAGGTATTCCGGTGGAACCGTAAAAAACTGACGTCCCGCTTTGATTACTTTTTATTTAAATATGAAAGAAACTTCTAGCAATGAAACATGAACCGCCGCATTAATTGTGTGAATAAGTTATTCGATTAATCGATATTCTTTTGCCGACGATAAACACAAGTATAGGTATGATTCACTCGTAGTGCAAACTGACGGAATATAAGCTCCACCTCCCAGTCAAACACCCGGAGCATACCTTCGGCTTCCTCGCTCTAAAAATAGACGGCTGTGTCATCCTAAGTTGCACTTCATTAAAATATATAAAAGTTTATGGATTTTTCAAACAGTAGTAAATAATCAGTGAACGAACACAATAGCAGTGATATCAAAGATAACCAAGATGAAACAAATTACAATATTTGGAATAATATATACTATTTTACAGGCAGTACATGGACAAGGTAAGTGTTCCGAAATATTTGATGTAAAGTATTATTTTTGAGATAAAGGCGGTACTTGTTTAACGATCCATATAAAAATATTCACAATTTTTATCATAATTTTATAGAGTTAATTCTCACCATGAAAAGAATTGATAATATACTTAAATAATAATTGATGTTAATACTAGAATAACAAAAGATCATCGTCACATAACAAATGTTTTATAATGACAAATTTTCTTCAGATTGTGATGGCCGTGTGCTGGGTAGGACATGCTATGGCTTCAGAAATGATCGCAAGAGTTGGACTGAGGCAGAAGAAGCATGTGTGGCCGTTAATGGCCATCTAGCATCTATAACCTCACAGACAATACAAGATGAGCTAGTTGATGAACTTGAACAGAGGAACTGGATCAACGGGAAGACGTGGATCGGTGGGCAAGAACAGAAAATGGACTGGGGATGGGTTTCAGGTAATACAAAATATAAATGTATCCACGGATCTTTTTTTAAAAATTAAGTAAAGCCAAACTTGATGTAAATCTCCAGACAATATCGAAATAAGATCTACAGTTTAAAAAGGGGGGGGGGACAAAACAATATTTACGTAATGCGTGTTTAACAGTTGACAGTTCCTAATAAGGTTTCATATTATTTATTTTATCATGATTAATCATTGCTATTGTTCCTGTCACGAAGGAGCAACTGCTCTAGGATGAAAATCAATTTGCTAATAGAAAGTCGACATATCGTTTGGGTGTGGCCGTGTGGGGAAATGAAAACCCAATACCAAGCTAAGGCAATTGGATTATGTATAACAGGCGTGTATTTGTTAAGGGGAATACACTGTATCTCATATATTTCATTATTCGTAAAACATGCAAGTTAAGGATTAAAAAACTATTTTTTGGAAGCACTAATGATTATATCATGTAATATTTGTCAGATTAAAGAGGGTTATTAAAAAAGATGGTAACACTTTTTGAGTAATGTCATAATGGCCATAGATACCTTCACTAAAAAAATATGTTGATCTCGATGTATCTTGATAGAACACAATCTAGTGATTAGCGTAAAGGTGCAACTAGGATGATAGCATCGTATCACGATCTGCACCTTCAGCGAGTGTTTATCTTAGAATGTCTTCAGACCATGTTGAATTATTGTAAAAAATCAATATCCTATTCATAATTTGTGTTCATAATTTTGAAATGAATCGATACGTAGTTGGGAGTACATGTATGTAGCAAGATTTTGAAATATAGAACCCATATTCAAACAGTCCATCATCTAAATTGCAGACTATTGCAAACATTGCGATGCCATTTTGAAATACCATATTCTGTACCATATTAAAACTAATACCAAATGAAGTATTCCAATAGTTACATACTATCAAATCCGTCTGCCTTTGAAATGAAGGTTGGTGGACCTCAGCGATGCATCATAAGAAAATGACAGATGAAGTATTAAACTAACAAAATCACATTTTTGTCAAGAGTATTGAACAAACATTGAGTCTTTTGTACAATTGAAGGGTATTCACGAATAGTACGGAAATATTTGTATTTTAATTAATGCCTCTAGCTATCCTTAGGTAAAGATTATTTTAGGCCTATAAATGTAAATGACATTTGTGAATTGATACCTGACATTCCTGAATAGTGATACATTGACTCACGTTTGGATGAATCTTAAAATGTATTTGAACTATGAATAAAATTAGAAAATTGAAATAATTCTTTGCTCGCTTTAGAATAGTTTGAAACCCTTATTTCATGCCTTGGAAATTCATGCTATTTAATTTAGCTTCTTGTATGCATTACAGCAGCATTTCGTCTTTTAAAATTTAATGATAAATTACATCTTTCACTTCAGAAAATACCAGGTCCATGAGCCTCCAGGGATGCTTCAAAAACACAGAGGAGAACAAAGATCTGGAAAAAATGGTATATAGACGTGAAGACTCTACACCGGACAAATGTATCATTGAATGTGAAAGCCTGAACTACAAGTATGCAGGTGTCCAGGTAAACATTGATCACATCTTCTCCACATATTAATATATATATATTTCGTGTACTTGTATAGATATAGATCACAAGGTTAGTGTAGGTAGGTACAGACAATCTCGATGAACGTCATGATCACTGCCGTGGGTACTTTTGGTGAATAAGTGGATAACCCCCAAACAAATCAAAAACTTATCAGTGAACCAAAATTAGAATTTTAACTTGGAGTGTAATCTGTCTATGGTGATAGTTTACACGATTTGTGTAGAAATATAAATTTGCACAAGGAAAGTGTTTGAGTATGTATTTAGCTTAAAGCTAAAACAAACTTGATAACATCATAATTGGGAGGTTTTGTAAGGAATATAGAAACTAGGCGATATATCATCTTTCACATATAGGACTTCCCTGGTGAAAGTCAATATGACCAACATAAAACCATATTCGCCAACTGAAAATTCGTATTGAACATGTTTCAACGAATTAAAAAATCAATGCTGATATTTGAAAAACCTGCACAGCTGTCTTTATCCCTTGTTCGTTTATCAGATTAAAATAACATTCAAGCTGCAAGTTGTTAGTTGAGATAAAAATGTGTTAATTCCGATGAAAGTTTATATCCATTTTGAACATTTCTAGATATTCTATGCTTAGCGCTACAAAATAGCATCCATTTTAACAGCACTGCTATTGCCAAATCCATTTACTAAAATACAATCACAATATTAAGTTACGAATCAACACGCAAACCGATTGATTGGCCAATAATGTTCTCCGTAATGTGTGTTACAGAATGGTACAGACTGTTGGTGTGGTAATTCATATGGTAACATCCAGAGCTACGACGGCTGTACCTCGCCGTGTGCTGGTGACGCAACTCGTATATGTGGAGGTCTTGAAGGATGTTCAGTGTATAAAGTCGGAGGTGGGTGTACATGTGTTTCTAGCTAGCTATGGATTGTTTTCTTGCATAAGAAATAAGGATAAAACCTCTTCTGTGTGTCGATATAGAACCAACAATGACGTATTCGTCGTTATTCAATATCAACCATTATCAATGGGCTATCATCGCGATCGGTAGTTATAATCAAATCAATTTGTCATTAAATAGCAAATAGAATAGATGGCATCGCGTACAACATTATACAACCTAGAACATATTGGAGATTTGAAAAGAAAAGTGAAAAAATAATGCAATTGCGCCACATGTAAAATATGTGATCTCATTTTAGGTGGATATTCCAATTGGTTGAAGCCTGACGAACCAAGTAACGATAACTACTATGAAACTTGTGCCACAATTCTAGTGGAGAATAACGAGTGGAATGATGAGTTCTGCTATAAGAATAACAGCTTCATTTGTCAAAAAGGTACAATTTCCACCTAGTAAATATATTATTTATTCATTACCAACCAGATTCTGCCATGTTATTTTTGTATCAAGTGAGTTAATAAAAATGAATTATTTAACAAAAAACAACCCTAAAGGGATCGAAGGAACTGCTGAACGCAATCTTGTGTGCGCTAAGTCTATCCATATAACGAACAATTGTGGTAGTTATTACCTATTTGTCATGATGGAAAATGTTTGTGATAGACCAATATAAATCAATTTTGAATTTATTTGCTGATAGCTGGTTCAACGTGTGACGAGAACAACCCTCAACATTTCTATGATACCAACCTCGATGTGTGCTACTATATGAGTGACGAGATGACAAAGGTGACATGGTTCCAGGCGAGACAGAGCTGTATTGAGATGGGAGGTGATTTGGCTGTAATAGACTCAGAAGAGAGACAAATTTCTCTTCAAACAAAAATGTCGAATTATACAAATGAATATCCATCTCTGAGGCGATTTTGGATTGGAGCAATGAATACAAAATGGAACTGGGTTGGAGGTTAGTGTTGTCAATGTACACATAGGAAAAATACATTCATGTATCAGTTCCCACATATACTTAAACTAAATACATCGTTGTATTACGCCTAAAGTACTATCAACCTTAATTTTTCACCTTTTTTTCTATTAGGCGAGCCTTTTGTCTACACTTTTTGGGATCTCCCGGGTGATCAGCCAAACAAGCCAGATCAGAATTGTTTGATGATCGGAGCTGCTGCAGGACGAGCTGGGTGGTCTGATTGGAAGTGTGATGATACGAGCGTCGACCAATATATATGTGAATATGTAATGCCCACCACAACGACTACTACAACTACTACCACAACAACCACCACCACCACACCCGTTCCAACTACTACCACAACAACCTCTCCTCCACCAACAACTACTACCACTCCAGAGCCTACCACATCTGCAGCAACCACAACTGAGCCTACTACAGTTCAAACCACGACAGAAGCATTGACTACAATTGAGCCTACAACAGTTCATACAACAACAGAAGCATTGACCACGATCAAGACAACAACTGAAGAAATTACAACCATTGAATCAACCCAAGCTCCAACGACCACCGTCACAACCGATGCAACCCAAAAAGGAGAGAATCAAACTGGAATAGATGGTGGAGACGGCACAGATACAACAACAGATGCTGGAAGCGGTAAAACTGATGCACCTATTGGTGGAATTACAACATTTAGTTGGGAAAACGAAGGTATGCTCGTTATTTTTTAATTATATTTATGTAAATCCAAAATATATATTTATTCACGACGATGATTCATTATTTTACAAGACTCAAATGAACATTAATAGTTATGCCATCTATCAATGGCTCTTAACACAATAAAAGTACTTGTACTATGTGTTTGTGTAGGTCAACATATTTTTAATATACAAAGTGTATATTTTTACCTTGTTCATAATAACAATATCATGCTTATTAAAAATGGATAATTATAGGATATCCTATGATTTTGAGGAATATCATTTTTATCTACGAGGTGATATTGATATCTGCACGAGAAAAAAAGCGAACGAGTGCATATATCAATATCACCGAGTAGATTAAAATGATATTCTGAAAAAACATAGGATGTTCTTATTATCCTACACTTACAAGGAGTGTACTAAATGTATAATATCATTACAAAATAAATTTCATGCGAAATAGAGTCAATTTGGCGGGAAATCACCGCGGGAGTATACCGTCACAATATCCTCCGCATATTGGGTTTTACGGAGTATATCATCACGATATCCTCCGCCCGGAGTATATCATCACGATATCCTCCGGTTATTCATTTTGCCAATAAATATCAAATTTATTTTTTGATGTTATTATACATTTAGCACACTAAGTGTAGGATAATATAAACTACTGAAATCTAAATGTAAATTAATTTTCTTTCCAGGTATTTATGTAATTGTGGCAATAGTAGTTCTTGTGTTCCTCGTCATCTGCCTCATCGTCTGCATCTGTTGTATCAAAAAACGTAAGCGAGACAAACTCAGGATTGAGAGAAGGAGACGTTATTTAAACAGCGCAGGAGCAGGTGCACCTAGAGGTGAAAAGACATATGATAGTCATGATAATCCTGGTGTTATGTTTGATGAGGGAAATACAAAATATGAGACTTATATGGTTGAAAATGAAACCAATGAACCTGACTATGCAAGAACTAATATAAATCAACATAACCACGCGGATGATAAAGACTCTGGTGTACATAATCTAGAAAATTCGAATTCTGACACGCATTCAGACGAAGCACGACCAAGTAATAGCAGATCTCCGAGGACTAATGAAACTCTAACGTCGTTTTAAATGTTTTTATTGTACCATATAAAGTGTAAATAGTTTTGTAAGAATGTGCTGAAGTCAGTGTTCATAGTTACGCAACAAGGAGAAACTGTCAAAAGATCTTCACTTATATTTAATCTGCAGTATTTCATAATTTATTTGCATAATCGCAGTCATTCCATGTTTTGATTATGTAGACTCAAGAGAGATCAAGATAAAAGTCATTGGCGCCAAAGAAATTAAGTCATATGTATTTTATAAATAAAAACAAAACAGCTATTATATTATATTTATAACGAGAGTAGAAGTTTGTTTTCCTAAAATATGGTGGTGCTAGGTGAACAGCTCCAGTTCGAGCTGAATTGTTATATTTTTGTAATAATTTTGTAAATAAAGTTTAATAAAACCTTAAAATAATTTGCCTGTTATGTTTAGACACATAAAAGGTCTCTCCGGTTAGAAATAATGATTCACAAATTATGACCTGGCCATGGAGATGATAAATGCTGCTGTCATTTGCACCTGTGCGGAATAACAGGTACACAGAACAATTTTGATGACACCCTAAGAACAGTAAACATATGACCAGTTGTTATTCCACAATGTGAAGTAACAAAAGTCATGAGAAAACAAAATTCATGAAAACATTTTTTAAATGGATTCTTAAAAATAAATATCGACAATTTTTGAAGTTTAGCTTGGATTTTGACACATCAGAAGATTGTATTTAAGGATATAAAACTATTTTTTAATTATATCACTTAAAAAGAAGCGTAATAAGTATAATTGCCATCGTAATTATACTGCTAAATTGTGTGATGAATTGTTTCGGACTTTTATTGCAGTGATAAAGTTTTTGTCTTAAGATCGCCGAAGAACAACACGAGAAGACACAAACGCAAAATCCTTGATTAAACAGTGAATTTATGAGAGATGAGACAATGACCCAGGGCATTGGATAAAAGTTAGATTAAAATCTAAAAACTGGATCGGCATTAAGTGCTTAATCAACTGAAAATTATGATTTGGGCAACACTGAGATAACAATCATGAGACAAATGTGTGTCGTTGGTTTAGTTATTATTTTAGCAGAGTTGCAATTAGGTAAATATAAATCATTATGGTTGATAATGTGTGTAGTATAGCATCATATAGGCATTCATTTCATAGAACTGATTCCCATTCACGGTGCACAAGCACCTGGTTCGAAATAAAGTCAACATAAAGGAGGCATGAGCGCCAGATTAAATGAGCAGCGTAATATTAAGTTAGATGACACTTTATTATCATTTCTGATATTTGTTGCATGCGTAGAATATTTGTATACTATAACTTTCGCTAAAATATGATTATAACTTCAGTTTGCCATTGTCGTTCTGTATGCTAAATCATACATTATGTATATTGTTATATTTTTGTACGTGTATTATTCGTATTCATATAAAGGTGAATTCCTTGATTTATGATTACCTTGATAATTTTAAGGCTGGGGTTGGCACTGGTGCTATGTATGCACTGGGGTAGGAGAAGACAAGATGTGTGAAGAGAGTCCACAATCAGTTACAGTTGGTCCAAAAGCCATCAACTGTACGAATAACTTCTGCACAGCAATCAAAGTGACTCACAGAGGTATGTATGCTTACTTCATATGAAACGTCATCATTTCAACCTAGGATTCCTTAACCTCTTTCTCTCTCTCTTGGAAAGTGAAGGAGGTTGTGTTTTGCAGCTTTATGTAATTTAGTCTAGACTTACAAAAACCGACGTCACTAAGTAAAGAATATATGTTATACAATATACGATACAAGAATGAGAAGTGGAAATTAGTTCAATCATAATCCTGTTAGAAATGATAGATATCTTAGCTTCATATTTAATTATATCCTATATATCATTACAGATAATAGAGCAACTCACTCAATAGCAAGACTCTGTGAGAATGAGGATAGAGGGAACTGGTGTTATTACGACAAACGCTATATAACTTGTTACGTTACATGTGCCACAAGTTTCTGTAATGATGTCAATCCTAAATATATGAATATGCCAAAGAAAACAGATCCAGTCCAAACTACTCCATACTACAAGAAATCCCCTTCTGGTGAACGTGTTGCAGATAACGTATGGGTACCTGATTCTAAAGGCAATTCTAAAAATCAACATAATGATAAACTCTGGGACAATGATATCATGGTTGATAATAACTATGGACCAACTAGTGATGCATTTGTAGATGTTGAAAAGGAAAATGGGACCTCGATTACGCGTAATGCTGCAATATCTCTTGACTCAAAAGGCGGAAACATCGAGACATTTGCATATATTATTTTGTACATTGCTATTGTAGTTAAGCTTATGATTGCATAACTTGTATATAGTGCTTATACAATTAAAATTTCAAAATGTAAGATCCAGTCGTTAGTCCTTTGGTATACAGAGGGCATACAAATTCTAGTGTCCAGTACCTGCCGTGACAATATCACAAGCTGTCACTCAGAACAGCTCGTGCACAAGTAATTATCTTACCAGAAATGGGCACGCCCATATATAAATTAAAACATGATAGAGTTATATAGCATTTTAATTAAGCGTTTATTTCATTGTTGTGATATATTGAATGCTTGGATATTTCAAAAATGGATATTTTTGTCATAACCTTGATCCTTTCCGGGATTTTTCTTTATGCTGGTAAGTAAACATCATTTTGCTTCATCCTTTATCTTACGTTTTATTCAGTAATCTTAATTGTTTTACAGTTCGTTTTATTTTAAACACTGATACCCTTGCATGTACAATCTAAACTTAAATTTTTACTATATCATTCCAAACGAAAATATATATTCACAAGTATTTCCTTGCCTGGTTGTACAGGCATAGAAGCACAAAGAACATGTTATGTGTGCTCCGGACAGAGACCCGACAGGGAATGTGAAAACAACCCAACCGGTGTTGCCAATGGCTACGGTGGAAAAGTTGGATGTTCGAAGAGTTTCTGTACAACCCACGTAAGATACGTCCCACGGGAGAATTTGTTAGATTTTGGAAGAAATATGGGAAGATATGGAAGACTGGATACAATGAAAGGACGACCCATTGGTTAGTTGAGTAAAATTCCTACGACAGTCCTTACTCGCCTTGAGATAGTTATTCGTTCAATCAGATTATTGACCTCATTTGAAAATGACTAAATTGAGTTTTACAAATTCCAGTAAAGTTATATACAATAAGTCATATCACACAGGTCAATGTTAATATAATTGTTGAAGAAAAATTCAATAACAATTAAAATCATTTGTAATATGTGTTGTTATTGTCATCAATGTTTTCTTCTGAATAGTATACCTACACGCACTCTTTCACATTATCAAAGAGCGCCGGTTTACCGACCAAACCTTAAATCCACCTTATATATTTCAGCAACTACTCGTCCTCTAACCATCAACGACTACGAAATTAGCTCTATCGCGAGATCATGCGATACCATAGATAGAGGCAACACATGTGATCGGGATTGGGACGGTCTTGGCATCACTTGTTGGACAACATGTACCAGCGATGGATGCAACTCAGACGCCCCTAGACGACCATCAATGGAATTGCTGACTACATACGGACCACCCAAAAGTACAAAACAGAATGATGTGATTGACTACAGAGGAAACTACAGGGAGAGTGTTGATAGTGGAAGGAAGGAGGGTGCCAATGCACGTAGAAAGGGCGCTGATGGTAGGGATTATGCTATGGAGAATGATGTTAGCTCAAAGATGACGACAGAATCCACTCCCGAAGTGTTCATGAATACAACTGAGCCAAATGATACAGAAGAGCTCGGCGATTTTGATGGACAGAAAAACAACGCATTGTCTCTAAACTGTCATATATATCTTCTGGCTATGATTGGACTATCCCTGATCTTTGTGATACAATGAGTGAGCCTCTGAGACTGATCTGTACATACTTGATGACAATGATACATGTAACTCAAGATAACACGCGCATTTTATATAACGTACATATTATATTGATTACATTCCTGCAAAAGTTACAGTGAAACAGTATATATACCATATTTAGAGCAAAATGATTCAACTTCAAAAACACAAGTGCGCCAACTGGCGCCTCGAGTCCTATTTTTCGTATAGAGACTCGCCATGATATATATATGCGTTTCCCGAGTATCATAACTTATGATAAACATTTCTATGCATTTAAATCATATTTATATCACCTATTTAATGTTTTTGATGTTCTGGTGTATTAACTTAAAATAAACCGTTGCAAAATTATTTCATCATCAGTTATTGTCTATAGATACTTCACATATGTTTCGTGTTACATATATGTTGACCATGTGTTGACAATCACTAATTATTAAAACATAATTGGATAAATTTTAACACACTATTAATAAATTACACATGGTGCATTCTTAATGTCTAAACAGACTGTTACGGAACATAAGAATTACTTGTATGGAGATAATTGATAAAATCATGACAAGGAATTATTGTCATAAAATGGATATCGAGGTGTGACTTTAAAAATGAATGCTTCATAATTGATACTTCAATAAGATGAAGACATTGTCACTACTCAATTTAACATGGATGATTCTATCATGGAGTTCAGGTAAACTACATACATTACTTTATGGTAACATACGAAGGAGAAACATATTACATGATATTTATGTTTCTATATAATTATTTACTTAATCACATATTTATTTATTGATTGATTTCGGCATGTACAATCATATATGCCTTGTAGCGAACAAATACAATCTTATAGTTTTAAAATCGATTAATGTTATACTTTATGTCGGATAGTGAGTACTTGGCATCAAAAGTTCGATGTCGATGTAGAAAACTAAATAAATCTAGTTGGGGGGAGGGGTATCAAATCCATTTCAGTTTGCTATCCGACAAATTTCAACTATCGAAATTTTTGCCAATTTCGACTCAGAATGCCTTGGAATGATTTAAAAATAAAGATTTTACCTGATGCTTTCTACGTCAAGATCATTCCAATGGATTCTAAATATTCTATCGATAGTTGTTAAAAGCCACAAATTACGATAGCAATTAACAAAAACTAGATCTTGTTTAGCAATAATTTTTCAAATTCTCAAACCGGAAGTCAGCGATCAACTTTCATGGTATTTAGTTTTGGGGGGAGGGGGGGTCAGAGCCAAAACTAGATTTATTTAGTTTCCGATCCGACATCGAACTTTTGATGCCTCCCCTTAGGACAAGACAAACCGTCAAATGGTTACTTAGTATATGTTTTGAAATGATGTAATACCGACTTTGTATTTCTATTCAGAGCTGTATGGCCTGACATTTGATTCCAAGAAGTGCTTTGCCTGTACATATGTACAGACAAATGATCCAACGGCAACATATGAATGCGTTGCTGACCCTGAGAACGTGAAACAAGGACAACCCATAGTTACTTGCAGTTTTCCCGACAAAGCTTATTGTATAATCAAAAGACAAATGTTCATATGTAAGTTATTCAACCAGACTTGAAGAAATGTTCTTCGTATATATATCCACAATGAAAGTTTTTAATTAACTCCAAAATATATACATAAGATTACAGTGTGTCGTGTAAGAGCAGTAGCAATTAAACTTTTTCAAAATAATTCTACAATTAGAGTTGGAAATTTCATCTCTTAAAAATAAATGCTGATTTTGTTCTGTTTACTAATGGCTATACAATTTTAAAACAACATTGGTGAGTCTATCTGGACCAATGAGCAGCCTTTAGTTAGTTCAACTTCAGCCTACTTCAGTGTGCAACACAAATCTTCATAGTTTCCAAAATATAATTCTAAATCAATTTTAATTATATTTCTTCAATATTTTTTCTCTAGCAACTGGGAAACTACGATCATTTTCAAGAGGATGTGATAATGTTGACCGTGGTAACAAATGCACACGTGACCACTATTTCTATACATGCTACACCACTTGCACAGAAGATGGTTGTAATGGAGATACTGGTATAACCGGAGACTGGGGCAAGGGATCAGGTGGAAAGAAATCAAAATACCTTCCAGATATAGGGTCCGCCCCGAGAATCTATGACAAAAGATATATGGACAAAAAGAAAAAGAGTAATGGAGAGCTATCTAGTAAAAGTCAAATTCACAGTGGTGACAAATACAGCAAGAAAAATGAATTAAATGGTAGAAGTAATGGACCACAAAATAGCAGAAAATCTGGTAGCTGTAAAAATGGAATTTCCTCTTTCGTAGTTACAGTCCTCTTCTGTTTGTACACAATTTTGTAAATGTGTATTTTAAATATTGATAAGTACATTCGAACATGCGTATAAATTCAAATACTTAGTGCGTCTAAGAGTTTAATTAGATCACGGTGGACAGCTTTATGCATGTGATATTCCCGGTGATATTACTGCATGTGATATTCATGCCCAATGGATCAGAAATATTGTCCAATGTTTACAGGTGCCATTTAAAGACACTCAATGTATAATCATGGTGTATGTCTAAATTGTCTATTGAAGTATAATTGGAGGGCTGTTCAATTATTAATTGGACAATTGTGGGACAAGGAAGGTATAATTTCCCCCTATTACAGCAGGTGATGTTTTCTCATTAATCTCGTGATTTATTTGCCGATATCGCATCTCTAGCCACTAATAGGCACCATTCAATAATCTATTTGTTATCAGTTCTATCAGGTCCTGTCAAACATATTTGTCTATGAACGCTGTGTGTTAGGTAGAGATAGATTTTATGCAAATTGTCATTACAATTCTATAGATATTCAACTGATTTATTACTATCACGCAAAAATTGCACAAGAATGTGTCTTGTATATATATTCAGTATTTATTGTGTTTTATTTCAGATTATATATATTTACAAGAAAATCTATATGTATATACACAATTCATTCAACTCTGAATTTTTCTGTTCATTAACTGTTTATTTACAATAAATATTATAGTAATGATATTGCACTGATGGGTAATAGAATATATCCATTATTTTGTATCCAGTCACGACACCCTCGCTTGGAACTTACAAATTATGATATCAATTGTAATGTAGACCCCCAATTATTTCACCTAATTGGACAGATTGTCTTTGATCGAGCTTCCTAATTAAGAAACATATATGGCAAGACGTATGGTATACAATAATTATTTGAGATATGATAAACCCAATCTAGTAAATCGAGGCATCAAAACACGCATTTGATTTACAAATTCGAATCATAGTTTACGAACAAGCATACAAACATCCGAACAAATATCATGCGCGTTTCATTGACTAGATATTAGGGAGGTTAAGTTACACGTTGAAAAAAGCTACGTGGGCGTGTAATATTTCGACCCCCGGGGATTACTGTCCCGCTCTCAGCTCAATTCATTTTTCCCAGGAACCGAATTACAATTATTTTCCGAATACCTTTATACTCAATCGGCCAAGTAAAAAATACACAGGAGAATAATTCTACACGTACACGTTTTTTAAACGTGTATCTTAACCTCCCTATTGTTTATACAGCATACACTTATTTGATGACCACTACAGTTTTACTTCATCTGCATCATCATCCTCGTAATTCACTTGATTTCCTAGCAAGAAAGTTGATTCTCTTTTTCAAAACCTGGATTCAAGTCCAATCACAGAGAGAGATGTCGAGCATTGTGTGTCAAAGCATAGGTCTACTTGGGCATTATCTGTCAAGGTCATTGAATACGGTTACGCCAACCCAAAAGGATGTGAAACATTTGCAACTGGGGCTGACGTTGATACTGTTGAAACTGGAATATTAGGCGGTGGGGAGCCAGAGTGCTGCTTGAAATATGAGCTATAAAGTCCACTGGTATAATTTGGTGGTAGAGAAAATGGGTTCGGTGCTGCATTTGAAGGTAACCCCAGCGATCTGAAATGCCATTACATAACATTAACACACAAACGATCTACTGAGAATCAATCTATGAAATATAAAAATGGTTGGCTAAAATCAAATCAAAACTAATAAGCTGTACTTCATAAAATTGACAAGATGAGTTATGTTTAATAGATCTTAAATAGATATTCTGATTTCAAAGACAAACGTTTTTTTAAAGCAGGCCTAAAGATTGTAATTTAGATTTTTTCTGAATGGTGAACTACATGGGTTATTAAATATCGAAACTACATTTTACATTACATTTTAGTATTTCAATTTCATATGATAAAATATTATATGATTTCAAAACTTAGATCTGTCTTACCTGATATGTTGATCCATCTGTGCTTTTTCAATGCGTTTGTCCTTAGCTCTTCTATTTTGAAACCATATTTTGATTTGAGTCTCTGTCAAATTTAACATTTCTGCAAGTTCAAATCTCCTAGAATAAAAAATAGTAAGTAAAATTTAAGATATAATTCAGATCTCTTAATATGCATATCGAACAATTTATAATTGCATTAACATCAAATTAAAATTGAATTGAAATATCGCAGTACCTTGGTCGAGTGATATACTCTGTTCGGTGATATTCTAGCTCCAGTTTCAAAGTCTGTTCGCTCGTAAATGTAGTTCGTTGTCTCCTCTGCTGATTCTCCTTACGACGTCGTCTTGGGACTAAAACATGTCAGTAAACATTTTATTTTCAAACAGCCAAACTCAAGTTGTTGAATTGCATTTAGTTTAGTTCTGTTTTGTCTCGGTGGATATTAAATACTTAAAAGAATTGCTCATCCAAATTAACCTCATTTTTAACTTTATTTAACTTCATTTTTTCTTTGGTAACTTCTTACATTATGTAACAGAATGGACAGCTTGTATCAAGTCAATTGATGGTGCAAGTATGTTTTGATTTTGTTTAAATTTTAAACGTGTGGTGTGTGTCAGCATTATTCACAAAATGTTGAAGTTTCAATCATATCATTATGAAAAGTTATATTAACTTACAGAAACTAGCCAAGCCTGGAGGAAGTGGAATATCTGGAAAGTTTGCGAAAATTGACTGTGTGGCATAAGGGTATAACGCGGGGTGTTGTGTCCTTAACGGGTCCAATGCAAGCTGACGATGCACGCTCGATAAGTCCATTTCAGCCTTCATAGGTGACCTCATCGGTTTTATTGTTGTGAACGCAGATAGTCTTGCTTCTGGGTATGCCGACGTCGGAATGTCTTGACGTCTATGAGTTGGGGAGGGTGTTCTGGCTTGCTCTGTGGTTTCTTTTGGTTTCATTTCGTGTCTTATACTGTCATGTTTGGTTTGCGATTTGCTTTCTAAAGTTTCTGATGAGGAAATCGGACTTTTGCGCAACTCTTTGGTTGTGCTGATGTCCTTTGCCCCATCTTCATGAACGTATATACTTCTAACGATGTCAGCCTTTTCATTATTATTTTCATTATTATCCTCCATAGCTATTTTCTTGAATCAAAAAGATGTTAGATCCGAATTCGATAACTTCGCACTTTCGAGTTTATCTAATCCCTTCGACTGGTGTTTACTATTGTCTTATACTATTGTGTAAACCAGTTAACTGTTCTGAAGTATTAAATCACAATTCCTACTTAACTAATTTATATAAAGTGTTCGGAATGTTTTCTCCAAGAAGAGATCCTCCGGTTGTCTCATCAGAATCAATAGACAGACTAATCGCAGAAGCTGCAAGGAGATTCCTGAGAACCATCAAGTGTGCGGACAATTAAAAAACAGACGTCCAATAGCATCATCCACTCATTAACGCAGCCAGGCATTGTCACCAGCCAAATGTATTGCGAATAATGAATATATAACTAAGATAATTAGGATAAATTGAAACTACTTCTTCTGTAGATGTTTGTGTTATTAATTAAGGGAGGTATTTCTATTGGTGGTTTCGACAGAGAGTTCCTGCCGCCGGTAATGATGTGATTCTAGCAGCACCTGCTCTTACTGCCCGGGAACCACCTAACAATCTACTCAATTTAAAACAAAATAATCATTACACTTATTGCGTATTCCCAGAAAATTTACAATAGCAAAACGAGCTTTGCGTTAGCTCATCCATCAGAGGAATACAATTGCTAAACTTGTTTATGAGTATTAAGTACCGAACTCGTTTACCTTCATTAATCAAATTAAGTACAGCCATTTAAAAGTTTAATTCATAGAAATGTTAATGGTCATTACTATTTATGAATCTGTGCTATTTTGTTGTTTTAAAGATCTTGTTAATCATCATTACGTTGAATTATTTAAAATTCAATCTAGTAATTCTATTGGTAATTGGGCCGGGTGATTTATAGAAGATTCGCCAATGATAGATACCCTATCATTAATCTTAAAAGAAGAACTATAATCAACCAAGTTGTTAAAATAGAAGATAAAATTCCATTTTATATCATGTAGAGCACTAAAGACATGGTTGTTAGGTAACCCACTGCTAGAAGTGATCTATGGCAGACAATTGTCCAAGATCTAATTCAGTAACTTGCTAGGTCTAAGGAAAATGGAGTTAAAATCAATTAGGTCGTGGATGCACACATTGACTTTTAAGTAGACATTTAAAGAAAATATTTCCGATTTTAATATGTTTGGGGAAATGGTAAATCCTTAACGTATGCATCAGTAAGAATTGGGTAAAACATATTACTAATTAACAAAGCAATTAAGTTTTTCGCTAACAACAATATAATGTCAGATAATAAAAATCAGTAGGTGGCAAAACTCACAGGAAATCATCACTGACCACGGCAATTTATATAATATGGTCAACGTACCTTAAAGGAATGTTCCCTGCCAGACTATATCTCTCTTAATATGGAATTTAACTATTTATTCCATAATAACATGTTTTCCCTTCGAAATAAACTGGAAATAAAACTGATATTAATAAAAAACCGTATCAGATCGCGTATCAGCCAAAGTCCTGTATCAGATCCCGTATTGGATCCCGTATCAGCCAAAATCCCGTATCAGAACTAGCATGCGAGGCTTATATTTTGTTATTATGGCATATTATGATCCATATTAGTATTATAAATTATTTCTATCTTAAAACTTGTTTGTAAAAGTTGAAAATGTCATTAAATTATCATTTGGTGACGACATACACTATTTAAGTTTCAGAAAATATTATTGAATAAATAGGTTATTGATGGTCGTGATGGAATATGAATTTTTCCTCGAGAAAGCATGATATTGGCCTCCGAAAATATCAAATTGACATTCGGACTGTCGCCCTCGGTCAATATGATATTTTCCTTGGTCAATATCATATTTTCCCTCGAAATAAAATTCATATTCCATACCTCCCATTAAGTAACCTCTATTTATACCATGGTCAGAGCAATATCAGGTATATGATAGCAAGTGATAATTATAGGATATCCTATGATTTTGAGGAATATCATTTTTATCTACGAGGTGATATTGTTATCTGCACGAGAGAGCAAAGCGAACGAGTGCATAAATCAATATCACTGAGTAGACTAAAATGATATTCTGAAAAATCAAAGGATGTGTTCTAATTATCCAACACTTACAAGGAGTATACTAAATGTATTATATCATTCCAAAATGAATTTCATGCCAAATAGAGTCAATTTGGCGGGAAATCAACAAGCGGAGTATATCGTCACAATATCCTCCGCATATTGGGGTTTCCGGAGTATATCGTCACGATATCCTCCGCCCGGAGTATATCATTACGATATCATGATGGATATCAACCCGGTATACATTAAAAAAAATTCATTTTTCAAAAATTTAAATGTAATTTTTCTCTCATTCAACAGAGGATTTTAGGTAGATATTGCTCTCGACCATGCAATGGTATAAGGTCGTTATTCACCTGTCGGGAGTTTATGAGGAATATCCCTAGTATGATATCAATATTTTTCTCAGTCACTGCGTTCGCTCGGTAAAAATTGATAGCATCCTTGTGATATTCCCCATATCAAATCCCTCCTGGTGCATAACTTTTGTGAAACATGGGAAAATGTTTCGATAGGTTATTGGTTAATATTGATGTTTTAAAAATGTCCCTTTTATACTAGTCGTCTTCCATCTTCTGTTTTTTCTGTCCAGAAGTAATTTTGTGCTACTTTCCTATACTGTTATGGGCAAGGTTATGGGTTATAGTCTCCGTTTTCTAGAACGGGGTGTTTTATATACCTCTAGAGTGGGCTAACTCTGATTTTAATAATCTATATTCATACTTATAAAAGGAGGACAAAATGTAATTAAAAAAACTGTTAATAATGACTCGTGATTATATGATGACGTTGAGATGCCAGTGCATCTGTGGATTCTCACTGCATCACCCCTTGACGACATTGCACGTGCCCTTGTTTAACAAGATCATTACACGTGAAAAGACAACACAATAAACCACAGTACTAATAACAATATTTGATTTCTTCAATGTGTCTCCTTTTGTTGTATAATTACTACCTATACACGCTCTAATAATTAACTAAAAGTAAAAGTGGTCGCAGTTTAGTAAAATCTTTAACCTACCTGAGAATCGTCATAAGCTAACCACATTGACATTATAATTTATATTCATAAATGCTATGGTGATCAGCAGATTTATTGAGTAAAACCACTTACTATCTTTCATTAATTGATACCATTAATTAGGAATAATAAAGAACGATTGATAACGTCTTTGATTTCAACCACAAAGTCGACATATCAAGTACGCATAAGTTAGACTCCCTATATCCCCCCCCCATTGCATTTTAAGTCTTGATTATTTAAGCTTGGATTTTATTTACTTAACTATTTTAAAGATGGAAATATGGTTTTCCTCACATTTTTTGTAAAATGAAATTTGCAAAATGGCCCTGTTTCCGTTTGAATTTTAATCAGATTGCAATAGCAATACACAATAAGGCTGACAGTGACGTCGCAATGATGAACAAAATTATTTCAAAATCATGCAGTTTTTTCACAATTTTGAGTGATTTTTCCAAAATTGTCAGGTTGTAAGTTCCCCAATCCCATTCTTTAAAAAACTGATGTTAACTCAACTTTTGTACAGCTTGTCTCATAAATCTTCCTCAACATGTTCTTTATGCAGCATGAACATAGGATATTTAAATAGATGGCATTACGTTTAATTTTGATGGAAGCGTCTGCTCTTCCTAAAAAATCTCCCTTTCATTTGTTCAAGTTTTAACAATTTTTGGGTTGACAATGTTGTCGTAAAATTGGTGGGGTTCACACAAAATGTGCAGTCTCGAGTCCCTCGGAAAATGACGTTAGATTACGTTTGAATGAACGTAAACACTACGCAAGATTTCTTGGTGTTATCCGAACATGATCTTCCAATGGCCTGGGCTATCAATTGAGATGGCTTTAATTGTTCTAATCAGTTACATGACGTAGGTGGGAAAGACTTAAATCAAAACTTGATGTGAGAACCCTGGTAAACAAACGTATTGAATCTCGAGAAACAGAGTCAAGCGATCTAGGAATACAAATATGATGCTTACTAATCGAGAATTATTCAAGAAAAACACTTAACTTGTTCCTGGTTAAGGACATAAATCACAGAGTTGTAGCACAGTCACCCCACGGAGCGATTATAAGAAATGCGCGTTCATGGATCACCGCAAATGAAAACGAATTCAGTGATATCCATCCTGATTACGTAGAATAAGGGGGAACTAGTGTTACAATAACAAACATTTCAGAACGACGTCACTGTCAGGTACGATAGACAAAAGTATTCTGAGGTACAATTTAGGAACGACACCCAGCCATTATACGGAATTCTGAATAGTCATATGTTAACTAGTGCCTTCACGTCTGGGTAATGACTGACCATGATGCGGAGACGACAAGGGGTTATAGGAGTGTGTTCGCGAAGAATGTGCTACAAAAGTCGGCGTGTACAAGGGAGAAGAGCGACCTGGACAATCAGATGAGAGCCTTGAAGCAGCAGAGGAGTCGTGAGGAAAGGGAAGTGAAGCAGCAGTTGAGCAAACTGAGAGAGACACAGAAATATCTGTCGGGAACTGAGATACAAGATGGTATGTACATTTTACGACAAACTACGAATCATTGGCTGAAACATATGCAATCGCTTCATTACTACCAATTCTTGAATTTCAATACAAGATTAGCAATTAAAAAAAACAACGTTAACCATAGCGTAAATATTATTTTGACGATATTTTTCCAAATGACAGATTTACATGCAGTCCACTTCTATTTCTACCAGTCGTCTTGGACATAACATGGATACTAAGGTAATCTTGGTGTGAATTGCGTCTCAAATGAAGTGCTTTCGTTTCATATCAAACATACCTTGTTCTAAGGAAAGCTAATGAACTTAACACATGATTTATTCATCAAGTAGCCTATCAATCATCTCTTAATATAGCGTGATTATGACAGTTATGTTAAGAATTGCATTGACACCAATGCACAGGTTAACAACGAAAATCTGCTTCAAAGTTGCAATTTGTTAAAATAAACCAGAAAATAAGGCATCAGTTCTGACTTCAGTGTAGCACTTTTTAATTAAATACTGGATGTGGGTCATTGTTAATTAGAAAGTGTATTACAGCCGTGTCTTGTTGTGTTACTTGAGTACGGGGCTGTAAAATGATACTATCTTTGCATTGTTTGAGTCCACTAATCTATGATGGAGCAATGTATGACGTAAACTCCAAGCTAACTTGTAGTAAACGGTTGTGTACTTTAACAGAATTTTCCAGCTCCTTTTGGCAATTTTGCAAGTTTGTCACAAGCGTAACATGGTCATTCACTATTATTCGAACTTAAGATCGGACATAAGTATGATGTGTACTTCAAGGTAATAAAGTAACATCATACGTATGTCCGATCATAAGTTCGAATAATAGTTGTGTTACAAATATTAATTGTATACGAGACCAATGGTAATGCTACCAGGGGGATGAGATGTATACTTCTTAGTTTTTCAAAGATATCTGTCTGCATGGGGTGTATTATAGGCACTCATATTCTCAGATTCGCCTTGAAATAGATGAAGTTCCAAATGCGCATTTAAATGGTTGGAAGAAGAGATGAGACTTTCAAATATGTCAAGTGTGTCTCATCAGCCATTGACCAATCAGAGTGTGTCTCATCAGCCATTGCCCAATCAGAGTGTGTCTCATCAGCCATTTAACAATCAGATTGTGTCTCATCAGTCATTGCCTAATCAAAGTGTGTCTCATCAGCCATTGCCCAATCAGAGTGTGTCTCATCAGCCCTTGACCAATCAGAGTGTGTCTCATCAGCCATTGACCAATCAGAGTGAGTCTCATCAGCCATTGCCCAATCAGTGAACGATATATTTGAATTGGATTTTAAAGATTCATGGTAATATTATTGCTTCACGTTCGCAATCAATATCAATCAAGATCACCATGTAGCTATAGCTAATAATTCAAATACTCAATAATGCCTGTTTAGCTTGAAGTGCACAACCTTCATTACCTAATATACATTGTCTTTGACCTAAGTAAGAAGTAAGATATATAGTCATCGAAGTTAATACTTTCGATCTTGAGCGTCCTTACATGAATACAAAAGTATATTTTAGTATTGAATCAAGGCTCTGTCCCCACGCTCCCCAACTAGAAAATAAATATCCGCTCAGAAGTTTGCTGGTCGAATATGGAATTGTTTTGCTCGCAAGTATCGGATGATGAAATATGAAGCGATTAACCAGTTTTTGCTATGTTTGTTCTTTTGGAAATAAATTCCGACATTTCCACTCCCTACAACTAGATATTGAATGGGGAAACATTTTATAACTCATAAAAGTCAGCAAAACCCAGACATTAATAAAAATTGATATCCATAATACTTTAGATATACTCGACTTTAATACCCATTTCTAAAAATATATTCAGTATCCGTTATATTTTACTCCAACCAAAATCGTCATATTTTACTCCAACCAAAAGTCCATACAGTTAGCCATTAATGGGGCAAGTCTAATGTACAAAATGTTCATTTTTCGCCTAATTACGATATATAACTATCACATGCATGATATATGCATATGATATATTTTAGGTGACAATTTGAAATGTATAATTTTTTCGTACAGTTATAGAATAGGCTCAATGTTATGATCTATTCTTATACAGATGGTCGGCTGATAGAAGATGTTGCAAATATCAATGATTTTACTGAAGAAGATTTTACACAACAAGAGGAGGAACCACTCATCAACCCCTACCCCGTTGTCATAACAACCGCGTTATTCTCCACATCTCCCGACAAGCCAGGATCCCCAACGTCCCCTTTGAGAGGATCTGACATAAACCACCAAGCCATAGGTAAATATGTTATAATTAGTCCGTCAGTCAGAGACTACTGTACGTCTATTAATTAATAAGAAATTCGAAGCTTTGGGCTTTGTGACTATATTTCAAGGTCATCAAATTAGAGCATGCAAGAGAATCAGAAAGCAACATTTGTAAATTATTTTTAGAATTCATATGCATCCCATGTTCAGATCTAGTACTACCGCAGTTATACTCTCTTTCAGGATTATTTTATTATAGTTTGTGAACCTGGAATTCGAAAAAAAAGCTGCTCAACATAGACATGGCCAAATGAAACAGGCGTGGTTCAAAGTGACTTAATGGCAATATGGACCATTATCATTCATTAATCGTGTTTTGTCTTTCAGTAAGACGGAAAGCGAGATCTCAAAGGGAGCTTAGAGAACTGGGAAGTTTAAACAGCCTTGTTCGATCTCATACGTCAGGGTCACATGTCGTACTGCCACCTATAGGTGGTCCGAGTCGAGAAGGGTCAACTGTTTCAAGATTGGGAAGTGATGTAAGTAGGTTAGGTGACCAAAGAGCGGAATGGCTTGGTGATCCGGGGGCAATATCATCCATACGAAGACCTAGGAGAACGATTGCACAACAACGGATTGACCACATAAGTGCAAGGAATGGAAGTGAAACTGCCAGCACGACCTCATCCTTTATGAGTATGGCAAGAAGTATGAATAACTGTAACCTATCGGCTAGTTTTGGTGGTAGGGGCTCATTGAAAGTATTCAGTCCATCTGACAGACCAATGTTGAGGGCATCGAGCTTGAAAGACAGATGTAAAAGAACAAAACAAATATATGAGCATGCGAAATCACCTTGTTCGAGCAGTGCCGGAAGTTCAAAGGGTAGTCATGGTGATGGATCGCCTACAGATGGCACCCCGACATCTCCGAGATCTCTCTCACCTGGGTCTCGCCAGTGCCTAAGTAGGGCATCCAGCCTTAAGGAAAAACATTCACGTCATCCATTATCGTTAAGTGATAACTCTCCAACCTTCAACCGATCATCCAGTGGACTCATTGAACCACTGACGAGAGCATCAAGTCTCAAAGAACGAAAGATCTCACACACGGGCGTCTTTGAAAGACCTGTAGTTACAAAAATTGCTTTTGCTGACACTAAATTAGCAAATAAGTCCATGTATAGACGGAGGAGACTTCACAGTGCAAATGATGACTGTCGTGAATTGACTGGAGTTGACCAAGCCTTGGAAGTTGAATCAAAACCAGCAGTCCAGGACATTTAACCAAATAAATTTAATAACTCAGATCCATAAGTTTTCAACCGGAAGTTTTTATCGGATAGCATATGAAAGCCTGCTAATATTTGTATCATAATTTTGTTTTCTTAATTCACCCTATACAAAGAGAATAGACCATATCCATATGAATACGGTAGCAGACTATTGTATTTACACCCTATACGAAGAGATCGGATCATTTCAATCGGAGAAACGGTGGCAAAAGTCAAATAAGAATTGTAACACCATTTTAATCGTAATTGTATAGTACTAGATGATATTTATATCAGATGCCATGCCATTGTATAAGTGGTAGGCCTAGGTTATGCATACCGTGTGGTTTCAATGTAATCGACACAAAGTAGTGATGGGCAGTCCTTTGAAAAACAATTTGAATTTACCTCAATAAATTATGATCTAATACCAGAAATAGACTAGATGCGAGTAGAAATAATCTTGATTTACGTCATTAAATATTCAAAATTCAGTCAAAATGATGTCATATTTGAAATCTACATGTGAAAGTACATCTAGAAATATGGTTTCGAAAATTGTTTATCAACTTTGAAAAACTAATTTTTATGAAAATGTGACTTCTAGTTCGGGTTGATTCCCCATAGAGCCCATGTTACGAAATCACAAAACGTGAAATATCTTTTCTTGCATTGTACAGGTAACATTTTCTTTTACTGGGCATATTTTAATTTACATAACAATTAGATACATAAGGCTTATATGGAAAACAGATGTAATTCAAGTTAAAGGGAATTCCTACAATACCCGCCATGCTATCTGACCCGAACGAGCCACCTGGTGGCGAAACTGGTAACTACTTACTCGCATCTGCGTTATTGTAAAAGTGTCAGTAATTCCGGATCGATGACGCATATAAAGGTATTCGTATGTACTGAATAGTATATTCTTTGTTTCTTCGTTAAACAACACGGTCTTTGCTCATTTTTGTCTGCTGATACGAAACGTATGTTTACTAACCATCTCGTTCAAACATGATGGTATTACCACAGCCTTTTGCTCTTCCTCTTTATCTTCCCATTCGACTGGAATTGCGACCTATAAATTTGGGAAAGAATAGTGATAAAGTTTGGTTCATAAACAATCATGAAGTCTTTATCAGTGAATTTTATGCAAAAAGTACCATTCTTTTGAAATCATCAACGTTTCTCGTATATTATTGAACAGTTTGAAATAGTAAAATCGCTGAATGGTTTCAAATGAATATGCCGAATGTGTCGACCTGATGTCACTACCTAATTATTGCAAGTTAGGTGGAGGAATTAATATGTTTGCCATATTTCAAAGATTCCTTATCCATCTTCATCCAATTAGTGAGATAAGTTCTTGTTTCTATTGCCTTCAGTGCTTTGATAAGAAGCCACAAATCCTCCATTGATATTTGGCTTGAGTCATGAACAGGAAGAACTCATTTGAGGGTTGGATTTGTCTCGATATTTGACCGTTCATTGTCAGTCTGACAATTTATTGAGAGTCGGAGAGTAGAGAGGAGCTGTCATCATGGATACCATCAATTTATTTACATTTTGGTTCATTATGATTGCTAGTAAACAAGGTAAGAGAAAAAGTATATGTAGAAGATATGACAGAAGTTTTTAGGTTTGACGATCGGAAGATAAGACAACATTGATAAAAACTGCTGTAATTTATAATATCACAAATGACAATTAGGCCTACATATAGTTAAATAATGGAGATCCATTTTTGTTCAAATATTTTATATTTTTGTAATAATTAAATAATATTTTCATTTTCTTGTTGCATAAAAATGTTTCTAAAATATTTTTTCCAAATTTCGACTCTCTGATAACTAATTAAAAGGAAAATCTGAATATTTACTGCGTAAATAAAGATTTTAACTGTTAACCTTATAGCAAAGCAATTGTCAAACTACTGTGTGGAAACCGATGTTGCTGTTATAAATTAAATTCTATATTCACTGTTCACAGAAAAAAACTCATGACCAGGAAGTTCATCCATTTTGTTACATCGACGTTCCGTCAAAGTAATTAGTTGTGAAACAGTGAAATTCTTCGCTGAGTTTTACGTTACTTCTACAGGTATTCTTGTACAGAGCTGTTGCACGGGTGGCTTCTGTTACACGTTCTTCGAGACTGAGATGACATGGGAAAAAGCGAGCAACTATTGCCATTCCGAAAATATGGAACTTGCTGTCATTAATACAGAAAATACACAAGGATTCCTGGCTGAAAAACTAGAGGAAGGTGGCTGGAGTGATGGGTGGGTAGGAGGAAGAAGGTGGAATACTGACTGGCGATGGGTTAATGGTATGTATTAACATTCATCGTTATATTCAAGAAATATTTCAAAATTGATCAAAACACAAATAACAAAAATAATTAAATTAAAAAAAATCACACCTCTCGCGAACCGGAGTCGAACCAGTGACCTAGGGATAACAGGTATAGACGCTACAGTCCCCCGCTCTACCAACTGAGCTATCACGAGGTGCGGTGGTTGCAATTGGAAATCATTATACTTATTGCTAATGTTGATCACAATGTACACTTCTTTGAACAGGTGAATAATTACCTGTGTTTTAAACGATAATTTTGTGAAAATGCAGAATCTGATATTTAGAGAATAAGAATACGAAGTCAGACAGACTGATTTTATTAGCACACATCAGACTGATTTTATCAGCATACATTTTTATTGACATTAGCTATACATGTACATCGTGTACTTCGACTTTTATTACGAGGTATTATATTTCTCCTACACTCTCTTCCAAAAATGTTGTAACGTACCTTACATTTTAGCCAGTTTATGTCACAAGTGACCGACCAAATTAATGTACGTGTTTATATCAAGGAAAAATATGGAATTCAAACAGAAACATCTATCAAAACATGATGTCCAATGAGTCAATGTTACCATGTTTTTGAAGGAGTACATGATAATTAATCTTTCATTGATGAATCATTATTTCTTTGTTTCTCCCAAAGGAAATGCAACAATTCAGAGCCAGGGCTGTTACAAAGATTCTGTACCACGTGACTTGCCATACCAGATACGTCTTAACAATATCACACCAGAGAAATGCATGAGAGAGTGTCGCATGGCAAACTTTACATATGCAGGTTTACAGGTAGTGAATGACATCGAATTAATAAATCATAAACATTTAAAGATAATAATTCTAAGATAAAATCCTGTGGCCAAAGAGCAACATTTTAAAACAAACACACTTAATTACTTACAAAAACTAACAAGATTAGATTAATGCGCAATTTTAAACAAATGAATATATTTCATAAAATGACCAGTTAACAACACGGTTCGATTCAATTTTACTTATGGTGCTAAAATAAACATTATATATTTTGCAAATTATCGATTAGTGTATTGTATCTTTATTGGTACATTGTATATTGTTATCTTAATGTCTCAGGCGGCAAAATAGAGTCATTTGTTTTAATAGCTGTTCGTTAATTAATTATGAGGAATTATTCAAGACCCGATATTTATAATGTAAACCAACAGCTTTGAAGTTAAAATGTCTGATTCTAGGCTGGGACAACATGTTGGTGTGGCAACACATATAACAAGTACGGAATACATCCTCAATGCACTGCTAACGACAATAGTGTTTGCTGTAGTACGCCTTGTGGAGGTGACGCCTCGAAGACATGTGGCCAAACTGGGGCCAACCATGTGTTCAATATACAAGGTAATCCTCACGTAAAAAAACATTTGATTGATCACTTCAGTTAAGAGCTCTTGCTCTAAAATATTTAAAAATCTGCATAATTATGAGCCAGATGAGCGTGTTATGAAGCTCTGTCCTAAACGTATTCTCAGAGTATTTTAGTTGGTAGCAAACAAATGAAAATGTTTTTCCTGGTGATTCCTATTAAAACAATTAACACTGAGAAATGTAATTAATGAAATTGCTAGACAAACCAATCACTTTTCCACAATTTTTTTTAATTACACTTCAATGTTTGATTGCCAATTAAAAAAAAGGGACGCTATACGAGTACTATATTAATATGAATATAATGTTTTAATAAGTTATCAGGATACCTCATCTCGTGATAGCTCAGTTGGTAGAGCGGGGGACTGTAGCGTCTAAACCTGTTATCCCTAGGTCACTGGTTCGACTCCGGTTCGCGAGAGAGCATCCTTTTTTAAATGTCTCTTCCATTTACTATCTCTCATTGTATTCAAAATCCATATATCAACTCATGTAGTTGTGCTCAAGTAACTCATCTCGTGATAGCTCAGTTGGTAGAGCGGGGGACTGTACCGTCTATACCTGTCATCCCTAGGTCACTGGTTCGACTCCGGTTCGCGAGAGAAAATTCCTGTTAATTCTGTTAAATGTTTTCATTGTATTCAATTTGAAATCAATTTATAATCCATCCTTATATCAATTCATGTGATTAATAGTTTTAACTGCTAACTCTAATTTCGTGATAGTTCAGTTATTATAGCTGGGGACTGCGTTGATATTTGAACTAAACAAGGCTTTTATGACATGAAAACTCTGGAGTTCACTAGAGAGAATTATTTTTAATGTTCGTTTTGAATATACATTTTATAATTCATTAACAATTCATGATATCATATACCCCGTACGTAACCTTACAGGTCTTGCATATTCCAATTGGTACGGAGAAGAACCTCGTGACCCTGAAGGAGGAAGAAACTGTGGAGTGATGAATAAAGGGGCTGGTTATCTGCACTATCAATGGAGCCCTGAGGTCTGCACTGAAGCCCATGGATACATTTGTGAAATATGTAAGCCAGATTCATTTTATTAACTCTGTATGAGTATCGGCCCTTAAACTACATAAAATGACATTAAAGACACGTGTACACTTTAAGTCTTTGATTTCCATTAACGTTAACGGTTCGGAACTTGGTAAATTTAAATGTATGTATTTGCATATATTTTACTATAGTAAAGTTCTGAAAACGTTGAGTGCATCGAAAGAATTATTGGTTTCCTATCAGTTTTATTTGTTCTCTGTGTTGATCATGACGAGATTCATTGCATAACAATCCTTAACTTAAAATTTAAGCATAAATCATCATATTCATATACTCAATTATATTTACAGACATTTCTGAGGAAGAATGCAACGCTATACCAAAAAGCAAATACTACGAGCGAAGTTGTTATACGATGGACGAAAAAGTCCGTAAGATGTCTTGGTTTACATCGAGGCAATTGTGCCTCCAGATGAATGGGGATTTGGTGACGATTGACAACGAAATGGAACAGGACGTCATAAAGACATGGCTGTCTGGGAGTGCTATGAGGGGTGTTTCGCTTTGGATAGGTCTTACTAACAGGCATTGGGCGTGGAAAGAAGGTGGGTCAACATCAATACTTTTAGCCAATATTATTAGCCTTTTGGTGCAAGGTATATAATAACGTACATTATAACAACGATATTTTCAGAGAATGTCTCTTGAATTTGAGAAAATGTATTTACAGACATAGAGGTGGGATACTACCAGAATTGGGCTACTAATGAGCCTAACTCCTTGAAAGAATGTCTTAGTTTCAACAGACTCCAGAATAACAAATGGTTTAGCGAGGACTGTAACTCAACCAAATACTTTATCTGCCAAATAGGTAGGTAGTGAAATAAATCATTGAGGGACATAGAAAAAACTATAGCCATAATCATTTTACATCTAACATTCCGTAATATTGCTAGAAAGATTTCCAAAAAGATGACGAATAGAAAAAGCGTGTAAGAAATATATATTTTTAATTTCAGCTGACAATAGCACCGGGCCCTTGACGCAACCAGTATTGGCTTCCAAGGACCAGGTCAGGAAAATCGGTAAGTTACCCACATGGTCGGTTAAAATAGAACCATGCATGGTGCTTTGGGCTGCTAAGGTTCTATGATAGGACTCTAGTCTCTAACGAATGAACGGATGGGCTAAATATCTACTTATATTTCAGGGTTTCTTGTAGGGTTGATCATTGCGGCATTGCTCTTGCTCATCATTCCAATAATGCTGATTGGGATCTGCATCACGCGGAAAAAGTGAGTAGCTCGTACCCATTAAAGGGAATCTTTAAATATGTCTTGTGTAAAATCTTGGCCAAAAATGTAATTAGAAATTAACTACATTTATAAATGTTTTAAAAAGTGTTGTAATGTTGTTGTGTTGTGACTGTTGGTCTTAGCACAGTTAGGTTGCAACTGCTAGATTGAGATCGAGCTTGAATTCGATAGAGGTGTAGAAGCGAATATTAAAGAATAAATGCTTGAGTAATTATACAGTGACAGCATAATTGGTTTATTACAGAAAACAAACTTCTGAAATTCCAATGACTGGGTTTGAAATCAAGGAAGAAGCCAAAGCTAATGTTGAGGATCCGAAATTAGAGCGAAACAGTTCCATCATGCGATCACTGTGGGACAGGACGCTGAAATTAAGCCCAAGGAAATACAAAGAAAATGGTAGCCCCACATCTGAGTCGGTGGCTACAATTTCAGATGGAAAGAGTACACCCTCTACAAGTGCCCCATCAACTACTCAGGGATCCACTGAAGATATTATCAATGATAAGTCATCAGATGTGTACACACCAACCGATCGTTACAAGAGATCGCGATCTAGGAACAAACCAAAGCGAGAGTATACAAACGAACGACAAGAATATGAGAATCCAAGTTTTGCCTCTGAAATTCGGCCCGACCCTCTTGAAGCTCTCTATGCGGAGCTCGAAAACAAAGTAAAGACGAAAAGTAAAGTACTTCGAAGTACAAGCTATAAGCATGCTACGGAAAAGAACAATAAGGTGACAGCTGCTGATCGTGAGCGCGAAAGTAAAGACAACGCTGTTCAGGAGGGTATTTACAGTGTTTCTAGCAAGAGAATTCAAAACCCACGTGATGATCGTAACAATATGAACGGCCGGAATGGAAGAATAGAACTTTATGATTATTGTGTTTAAATATGATAACTAGGATGATTGTAATAAAAAATGTATAATTCATGTAATACTATATTTAATCTTTTACACTAATGAACCTGGAAAGGGTGGTGCATGAAATCTCATTTAGCGTACTTCATTTTTGAACAAATATAAAAAAAATGATTGAAAATAATCACATTATTGTTGTTTTTCAATATTTTTTACCGTTCCCTGATTTTCCTAACTGAGAATCTATAATACCAAGCAGTATATGTAAACTATTCGAGCAATCGGTCAACTGTAAAAAAAAAATTTGGGATAAAAGGCATGTTGTGTTCAGTGATTTAACTGCTGGGCTCTATGTGGACATCATACCACAGTTACCAAATATTAATCCCTCAGATATATAAAATCAAAATTTTAATACAATAAATGAAACAACAAGTCGTATCAAAGCTTAAGTACGTGTATCTCTGCTATGGTTTTTATACAAGTCAAATCATGTTGAGCATTTAACGAATGATTCAGAGTCCTCCGTCAAAATACCTTTAAAAGGAATGTAATTTGTTTTGAATGGAGATCAGGACACGCTGAGCCGGAGAAGCCCTAGTACACATAAAACTGCATATAAGCAAGCAAATATTGAATCGGTAGTTCACTTATTTGTATTAAATACACAAGAAAGTTAAGAAAATATGCGGCGATATAGTTGGGTTCGAAGAATCCAAAACAAAAGTTAGTTCTTTTTATTCACCACTTAATAACATGGATTAAGGATACAACAAAAATGAAACTGGATTGAGCTGATGCTGAGAGTTGTATTGTGATTATGGGAGGTCTATTTACGAAATAGCGGTATGACAAGGATGATCATCAACAGTATTTTATTTATGATCTTCATTTCCTACACATGTCAAGGTGGGTATAGCAAGTATATGTATCTGTTTAACTCAAGTGAATATATTCATATAAGACATATTTCATTTACTAGGAAGTGAAGCTAATGCATATGGAGTTAAATGTTCGTGCACGTAAAATATGCCTTGGGTTGTTATCATAACATTGAATATATTTTTAGTAGGCTACATGGCATAAACATGGCCTTGAAGCGCTCTTCATACTTAATATGCAAACAGTCACATCAAATAGCTCAGTCTGAAGGATTTTCATAAAAACTTCAATAGTCTATAGAACTTGTATACACTGCATATACCCTGCACATGCAACATGGTATACTGCTATACAAGACTTACAAGGTGGTTAGCACTTGTTTTATACGAGGTAATCCTGAACAAATATACCTTACATCTGATTCAAATGTAAGAATAGAGAGTGTTGGAATAGTTCTTGAAATGGATTCCACACATCCTTCATATTAATAGATGATAGTGTCGATGAATTCATTGAATTCCTTTACATTTCAAAGTCTGGTTTGGATTCTAGCACAAAACTTAAAATATATTCGCGTATTTGTGTCGCCATTTTCCAAGTCCATTTTTATAATAACGCGTGTTCAGGAAGAAAATTATTTTAGTCTAATTATTTTCAGATAATTTTCAACTATTAAAGCAGAAAAAATGTCAGGTCTTCTACTTCTTGGGGACTATATTCTAGTTTATTTTCACAAGCTTCAGGTAAACTGTCATTTACCTGAAGAGAAATAAATCGAAAATTTGTAATCTCAATATATTTTGATGTTTTCAATTTTTCATGTACAAACAAAAATGATATCACACTGACTAACTTTTGAATATGATTAATGATGAAAATCACGCTTATTTGTACATTCATCTAGTCATCCTAGGCAATACTTATATAGTAAGCTAAGGTATGCTACTTGCACCTGAGACCATCATGCACTCAATGCAATTCACAAAGTGTGTTATTGCTCAAGTGATAACCAAATGGGAATCATCAGGACAAATATTAGTATTTTCTTTTTGGAGGTCAACAAAATGTCTTAAAATAACAAGAAAGAGCTCAACAAATTGTTCACTGGACATATCTTGTCTCAATGCCCATCAGATTTTGCTCTTACTTATTGATATAGCAACACCATCTTATTGTTAAAGCAGCATCCATCGTCCAGAAAGGTTGGTCAGTGTTCATGCACATAAACACTACAGTTACCCGGCAACGTGCGGCTGAAGTGTGCTACAACAGCTTCGGATACATTCCTGATGTTACCTCACCTTACCAGGAAACGAATCTCGAGGAGGCATTAGCCAACTTTAAAGTTCAGTCAACATGGCTGATGATACAGGAAAGGAGCCTGGACTGGGGATGGATAAATGGATCAGGTAAATACAGAAGTCCACCCCATAAGTATGTCCCTAATCAAACATCGAGTACTAGTAAACATTGATGGTTTTCATTGATTGAACATAAATGTATATTATTTAATTTACAATAGTCTTTAACAGAACGTTGTATAAAACCAAAAGCTATTGTCTCAGGAGAATTTCACTCTCAATGATTAAACTAAAAACTTGAAAATATGCCTATATCGCGAACCGGAGTCGAACTAGTGATCAAATTAATATCATGACTTAATTGTTTATGAATTATGAAAGTTTCCATTCTAAAGGAACATTAAAAAACCTCTCTTGCGAACAGGAGTCAAACCAATGACCTTGAGATGACAGGTTTAGACACTATAGTTCCCCGCTCCACCAACTGAGCTATCACGATATGAGTTTATCTACCATTGATTATGAAAGTTTTATTCTGGACGAGCATTCATGACAGTAAATATTTAACGTCTAACAAATGTTTAAAATAATCTTTCACCCGCGAGCCGGAGTCGAACCAGACACCTAGGGATAACAGGTTTGGACGCTACAGTACCCCGCTCTTGCAACTGAGCTGTCAGGAGATGAGTTACTTGGGATCAACTACATGAGTTGATATATGGATTTTGAATACAATGAGAGATAATAAACGGAAGAGACATTTAAAACAGATCTCTCTCGCGAACCGGAGTCGAACCAGTGACCTAGGGATGACAGGTATAGACGCTACAGTCCCCCGCTCTACCAACTGAGCTATCACGAGATGAGTTAATTAAAATCAACTACATGAGTTGATATATGGATTTTGAATGACAATGAGAGATAATAAACGGAAGAGACATCTAAAACATAATCTCTCTCGCGAACCGGAGTCGAACCAGTGACCTAGGGATAACAGGTTTAGGCGCTACAGTCCCCCGCTCTACCAACTGAGCTATCACGAGATGAGTTAATTAAAATCAACTACATGAGTTGATATATGGATTTTGAATATAATGAGAGATAATAGACGGAAGAGACATCTAAAACATAATCTCTCTCGCGAACCGGAGTCGAACCAGTGACCTAGGGATAACAGGTTTAGACGCTACAGTCCCCCGCTCTACCAACTGAGCTATCACGAGATGAGTTACGTGGGATCAACTACATGAGTTGATATATGGATTTTGAATACAATGAAAGATAATAAACGGAAGAGACATTTAAAAAAGGGTGCTCTCTCGCGAACCGGAGTCGAACCAGTGACCTAGGGATGACAGGTATAGACGCTACAGTCCCCCGCTCTACCAACTGAGCTATCACGAGATGAGTTACGTGGGATCAACTACACGAGTTGATATATGGATTTTGAATACAATGAAAGATAATAAACGGAAGAGACATCTAATACATAATCTCTCTCGCGAACCGGAGTCGAACCAGTGACCTAGGGATAACAGGTTTATACGCTACAGTCCCCCGCTCTACCAACTGAGCTATCATGAGATGAGTTACGTGGGGTCAACTACATGAGTTGATATATGGATTTTGAATACAATGAAAGATAATAAACGGAAGAGACATTTAAAAAAGGGTGCTCTCTCGCGAACCGGAGTCGAACCAGTGACCTAGGGATGACAGGTATAGACGCTACAGTCCCCCGCTCTACCAACTGAGCTATCACGAGATGAGTTAATTGAAAACAACTACATGAGTTGATATATGGATTTTGAATACAATGAAAGATAATAAAAGGAAGAGACATTTAAAACAGAATCTCTCTCGCGAACCGGAGTCGAACCAGTGACCTAGGGATAACAGGTTTAGACGCTACAGTCCCCCGCTCTACCAACTGAGCTATCACGAGATGAGTTACACTGGTACCAAGTAGACAGAATTTCAACTTTGCATCATATATTTTCATTAATCAACACCTGTTACAAATGCCTCGAATGAAATTAATTTTGATTGCAAATTAGGAATGTACAGATCGTGGGCCAGTGGTCAGCCGAATAATTACAATGGTTACCAGGCATGTGCGGCAATGGACGACTTGGAGTGGTGGCGGTACTACGACTATAACTGGAATGACGAGGCATGCATAGAGAAACTTGGATATATATGCCAAACAGGTGAGTGCTCAAAATCATCAGGAAAGTCAAGGTTTGCAGGAGAATTAAATGAAGTTATCATTAATTAACTTTCTGTCGTTTGCATTGCATTAAACCTTTTTGTAGTCTCATTTATAAAAAAACGCGAATAGTATTGCTGCATGATTTCAAAAAGTATCTGCAATTATCAACATGTAGTTGTAAGTGACCATGTTAATTAGTGAAAAGAAGTAATAAAATAATAATTTTAGCTAATTCAAACTGCTCGGAAGATGGCTACTTTAAACGAGCGGACAACTGTTACTATGTCTCTGCTGGACTGTTCAGCTGGTTTGAATCACACTATGAATGTATTAAAAGAGATGGATACCTTGTGACGATCGATTCCCCAGAAGAGCAGATCATCCTGAAGACTTTATTAAATGAGAATTTTGATAAATTCAAGTACTGGATTGGCCTAGTTAGAAGCAAATGGTCAAGAAAATCGAACGGTGGGTCTATTTATTAACAACAAAATAGTATTCTTTGAGTAATAATGAGACACAATGCATATCCCGAAAATTGCTTCATTTCTCGTCTCTTAATAGTTTACTTATTGATTATTGGACGACTGTTGAAATCGAAATTGTAAGAGTCATAAATAACAAAATGAATGGACGTCAGGTTAAATGGTTAAACGTTTTTTTACATTTCAGGTGAAGTAATGTACACTAAATGGGCCCCCAAAGAGCCAAGCAATTCAGCAGAGCCGTGTGCTATAGTTCAGCACCAACAGGACAATACATATGCATGGTATGACACATTATGTAATACTACTCAACCATTGGTGTGCCAACTACACAAGCCCACATGGGACAATATAGTAAAACATCAATATGATGAAACAAAGGGGTACTTCAACCCCGAAACAACTGGAACGTGGCATTATGCAAGTCTCCTATGTAATAGCATCGTAGTACATGGTGATATGACAGTGCCTATGGATGACAATGACACTGCTGCGCTGGGACAAATACTTACGAGCAATGGATGGGACAACGTGTGGTTGGGAGTCAAAGAAACGAAAACGCCATGGCAATGGGCGGCAGGTATGTATCACAAACTATCATCTTTCTGTGTTGTCAGATAATGTTGAAACTTCCTTCTATTTGAAGCTGATCTTTTATTCTTCATCTTTTTATTCTCCATTTTATGCAAAACCACATGGGATATTGTAGTGTAAAGCTGGAAGTAGAAGAATTTGTTTATATTGTATCATATCCCCTACTCATTCTGATCTCAGGGAGTGGAATCATTGAAGAACAAGGTTGTTTTTGGGACAACCGAAACGATCGAACAATGACACTGATTATCGATGACTTCCATGGCATGACAAGAACCACGTGTGTTAATACATGTCGACAAGTCGGCTCATTGTTCGCAGGACTACAGGGAGGCAAAGACTGTTATTGCAGTGATAACTTTGATTTTGAAAGAATTGGTCCACCATCACCAACTGATCCTAAATGTGATCTGCCATGTGCCGGAGATGAAACAGAAACGTGTGGTGGAAAGTATTTAAACCAAGTTATCGCTGTAGATGGTATGATGCGTTTATCATATTTAGACGGTCAAACATTAAAATCAAAGGACCACGAGTTGTTAGTGGAATGAATCTGGGGAGCTTTTTCATGCATTTCGCTTGTGTTTTTCATCTAAAAAACATCAATACACTTCAAAACATTTTATTGACTATAAGATTGCACCATATAATCCTAAAAAATATTTCTCATTTTCAAGGATTATCTATGGATTAACACCCAGGTATTGTTCTTTTTCAAACTTCAGAGGGCTGGGAATCATTATTACGATCCCTTTTGAATAATATTAATGCTGTTTTAAATAGGTTTCATGTTTGCCAATAATTTCTCAAATTGTGTAAATGGTACCCCTTCCTTATTCCCAAGAATTTTCTCTTTGGGGAATTTCCCATAGTAATCCAATTGTATGATTAGTAAGCAGATTTTGAGATAACTGGAAAGTTAATCATTAATACACACCTCATTGGCTTGTGATCTAAACCAAAACAACCCAATAAGATGTGTAAGAATCAGCTTGGAACTAAGCTTATACCATTGGATTACTATGGGAAATTCCTCAAAGAGAGAATTCACAACCTCAAAGAGAAAAACACAACCGAAATGCATGGAAAAGCTCCCCAGATTCATTCTACAAACAACCCGCGGTCCTTTAAGATCTAAAAAATTAGTCTTGTTGCCTTAAAATTCTGACCTAAAAGGAGAGTATATGATTTCTTCTTGTTAATGAGCATCGCTTTAATATATCCAGATTAAATATGTAAGCATAAAAGCCAAATGAAAAGCTCAAATGTTCAAACACTCAGAAAACGGAAACATTGAAAACCACTACCAACGAACGAGTTATACAACATAATGAACCAAACCAAACATTCAAACGAATAATCAAACGTGACAAAAACATGAAAGATCGAATAAACCACCTTCACACGCGGCTCGTTCTCATTTATAGACGCAAAAAAGTACATCCCTCACTCATCTCCTATCTTAGGTATGTACAGTAACTGGGCAGCGTCCCAGCCAAACAACTATGACGGTTACCAGGCATGTGGAGCCATTGATGACTTGGAGGCGTTCAGAGAATACGGCTACGCATGGAACGATGAGAGATGTAATACAAAACTGCCATATATCTGCAGAAGGGGTAATACTTTATTGCTGTGTATTATATTGCGATGCAGTAGCAGTAGATCAGTGGGCAATACACTCATGTTTTTTAAATAACTTTTTAAGTCGTTGACACCAGTGCCCAATCAAAACAACAACAAAAAACTGATGTAGACAAAATAATGTGTTTACGTGAAAATGAGAAACAGAAAACAAAGAGAGAACATCAACACATTGAATGAGTAATATTATTTGAAATATATTTCGGAAAGAAATCCATCATGTGTTTTTAAATACTATCTAAGTCGTTGACACGAGTGGCCAATCAAAACAACAACAATCTGACAGACCACTATGTGTTTACGTGAAACTGTGAAACAGAAAACATGAAAGACATTTAATGATTATATAAATGTATTTCAGAGAGAGATCCATCATGTTACGGGGTGGAATACCCAATGGAAGACAACTGCTACTTCATATCAGTTGAGGCAAGAAGTTGGTATGATGCCAGATCTGACTGCATAGAAACTGGAGGAGATCTGGTCACTGTACATAGTGCAATGGTTCAACAACATATTACACAAATCATTAATGAAAATAATTTCCCCAAGAACAAATATTGGATAGGATTATTCAAGGGAGATTGGCTTCTTAGGGACGGTACGATTTTAAAAACTCGAACTATATCATTGTGAACAGTCGGTATTATGTTGAAATGAGCTTTTTACATTCCCTCGCTTACCTGTAACTCGTGTCACTAACTTTTAACAAAAGAAGATTTCAAACTAACAACACCATTTATCACAACGACAATATCTCAAAATATTTTGTACAGGGTGGTCAAAAAAATGGAAACCCTGCATGTTCCTCATATCTTCGTCATTTTGGGTGATTATTCCCTGAAATTTGACAGCAACATTCAATTTCCTACCAGCCAACCATATTTCATGACCATCAGATTGATAGTCACAGCACTTTGAACAAGATACCCCAGTGTGGCCACCATCGCGCTATTGGCAAATCTGAACAGGTTGTCAATGATCTGACTACATTTTTCAGCAGGTATGGCCTGAATGACATGGATGATCTGCTTTTTGAGGTCTGCAGTTGTCCTATTCTCGTACACTCTTTTTTGGTTTATCACCACAGGTTGAAGTTAGGTAGGGACATTTTGGATGATAGGTGCAGGTTTGCCGAAAGAGCAATATTGGCCAATGGAGCATGTTGTTTTAAAGTGCTGTAACATTGTGACTATCAATTTGATGGTCATGAAATATAGTAGGCCGGTAGGAAATTAAATGATGTACAAATGCGCTAAATATCAGGGAGTAATTCCCTAAAATAACAAAGATATGAGGAAAATGGTGACAGGGTTTCCATTTTTTTTACCACCCTGTATATACAGAATACAGATGTAGATGTAGCTGATGGTCCTATCAGATAAAAGACAAAGTGTGCATACTTTGATTTGTGTATTCCAGGTCAGAAAGTAACGTTCAGTAAATGGGCCGAGGGTGAGCCTGATGAGAGGAATGGTTTGTGTGTTCAGCTTATAGAGAACAATGGTGAATATTTATGGAGAGATGCACTGTGTACAGATACCTCGAACATTGTTTGTGATATTCGAATTCCTAGTCTAACAACAATAAACCCAACGACAATGTCATCTAATGGAACTAGTTTTGCGCCAAATGTTTCGTTAATATCGGAAAGTACAACAATAGCAACACATACTTTAATGTCCAATGCAACTGTTTCACCGAAAACGACAATGTCGTCTAATGTAACTATAACGCCGAATATGACAATATCGGAAAGTACAACAATGGCAACCATAACAGCAATATCCAATGCAACTATTTCACCAAACGCTACGATGTCATACAATTCAAGTATTGGGCCAGCTTCATCAGTTCCACGGTATACAACAGTATCGTCTAATACAGCAGTATCCCCCAATGTAACTCTACTCCCAAATACAACAGCATTACCTGATGCAACAACTGTGCCCAGCACAATAGCGTCTGGTGTTACTCCAAATACAACATCATCCAGTGCAACAGAAACTATATTACAAACAACACAAAGTATTTCAAACAAAACAAGCTCAGAACATCTAGGGGAAACGACACTATTTAGGAATCAAACTACGTATCCGACTTCAACACCATCTTTAAATGTATCTAATAATACTCCATCGGAGTCAATTACTGAAACTACAGCAAAAATGACGACTAGAAGCTCAACGACAACACAAGGCATGACAACCTCGAGAACATATGACAAAACGACGAATATTTCAGGAGATTTAGAAAACACGTCCCCTGTATCTAATACCAGTAGTGGACAGACAAGGAGTGTACACAGTGAAAATGTCACAAGCAGTATGATATCAAATCCAACTGTAATGTTGGGTTCTAGCACAACAGACACGATTGTGGGTAATGGCAACAACACTGGGATTAATGTAGGACCTCTTCATGGCTCTGATGTACCCGTCCCATTGAGTAAGTATGGCATTAGCTTTTACTGACATCCTTTGATAATATATCATCTCAACCCTAAATGAAAAAAACACAAGGAGCACAGACGTCTCGAACTCGCAACCTCGTGGTTACGGCGCCCAATCGCCTAGCCTGAACGTGCTGGCGCTAAAGCCCTCTCGGCCAACTGGACAGCCCCAAGAAAAGGTTATAGTTATAGAGAGGCTTTCTGAAAATGACGAAGTTATCTCTTGACGGTCCTGGAGAAAACCTTTCAAGTACAACAATTAAAGACAGAAAAAGACATTGAAAAGTATAACTAGTCATAAACAAGGGATTGAACAAACTCGAAGATTTTGATCTATTCATTCAGATAAAATCTCGAGTGACCGATCTCCTCAAAAGTAGTAAGTTCTGGATACTAGATACAATACAGAAGTATTTAGTCTCAGATGTTATGTAGCATTGAACGATTATTTAAAGTGTTTATTAAAGTGGTAAGTGAAAAGATCAAAGAGTATTGCAAAGAGCAAGAAAACACTCCAAACTATAGTTCAAACTTGTTTTAAATGTATTTTACAGGTGTCATCATTGTGATTGCCGTTGTGGGGACGTTTTTGTTGTTGATAGTTGCGGCTGTTATGGCGTACTGTTGTGGTCGACGGAAGCAATCGTGAGTAGACAATTTAAACAAATATAGCCCATTAATTGAAAACTACCAACGATTTGTACTTGAAAAACTTAAAAACAAAACCCAATAGAAGAAGTTAAGACTAGAATTTTTATCATTTCAGACATGAAAGCAACATGAAATCAACTGGCAATGCAAATGGAGATATCGAACAAAATGGAGTTCATGCAATAGATGGGGTGACAGTCACATCTACACAAGATGGAGACAATATAGAACAACACAAAGTTCAAATGAGGAAACACTCCAAGAGTAAGACGAGAAAAGTAAGCAGTATACTAAGCAGATCAAGTAAGACAAACTCCAGAGACAATATTGATGAGGATATGGAGTTAGAGAACATTGCAGTAGCTTATAAAGATTCAGATGACGAAACGATAGATGGAGACCCACACGAAAGAAATCAAACAGAAATAAACGTTGAAATTAACAGCAGAATAATGGGAACAACAAACACTCAGAAAGATGATTTTATTGATGACAAAGATGACGAGATTAAAACACTAGACAAAGACTCTATTCAATACGAAAACAATGCGTTTGAATATGACGAAGAGTCATACCCATCTATCACTTTAGATTCAGTGTTACAAGGTGTCCTAGATTTACCTTCAAACAACAAAGAAAATAAAGACCACAATAACGTTATCAACAATAAAGGCGATACTGAAATTAATATCACAAGTGACAAAGATGAGAGTAATAATAATGATGGTAAGGCAATAATTAATGATGATATGAAACTAGCACAAAGTAAACATGTCAATAGTGCAATACATGAAAACAATGAAAACGAGATACTGCAATCAAAGAACAACGAAACACATGAAGATCATGCTTCCCAAAACAAATATTCATACCCCGTTGATAAAAATAGGAGCTGGAAAAACACTGCATTTGATAAAAATTCTTCGAACGAATCTCAAGCTAGAGGAATGTTTGACATGTCGACAGATATATCAGCTTGTGATACTGTCTCCTCTCACGGCAGTTCAGTTGATGAAGCAGGATCTGCAGAAAGAGATGATACATATGCCAGTGATGACCAGGATACACACATTGCAGTTGATAATGATTACGTGTATAGGGTTAACGATCATAATGATTAGTAAAGAGCAATAAAACTCTAGTGATTGAGATGCTAGTTTATTGATAATAATCCATGTAAAGGACGACTTGTCACTTCTATCATTTTACATGTTCATGTCGGATTCATAATAAATGCTTTATACAATATGTAAATATTACTAAACCTGGTTAATATTCACACATAGCTAGGCATTTATCATTCCCTTTCGCTCAATCAGAAGACAGGATGCCTTTGATTTATCAGGAAAAAATAAAAGCATGGTTGATGAGGGGAAAATCTGTCATAAGAAAACACGTGACATTGTGAATACTTAAATCTATGTCAAAGATGCGCTTATTATGTCACCACATTAAGTGTTGACAAATTGTTATAGTCCCCAACTTTTATGTGGATGGTGTTCGCCGTTCGGTGGTTGGCGTTCGGAGTTCAGCGTCTGTAACAAATTGCAGGTGGTGGACATTTTGCCCTTTAGTGCCTTATGTTTGTGTTATTGTTAACATGTTAGGACCTAGGCTACACATTACAGTACCTTGCAAAAAGTTAATGGTTGAATCTCAATTTTTACGTCACTACCAAAACAACCTCGTGCTGTAAATGAACTGAAATAATGAAGTCTCGTGGCACAAATCATCGAGGCCTATTATTATGCGTTTTCCCTGCTAGTTGTACCGTATCATCGGTAATGTACCACAGTGGAAATCATATACCTTTGTTACAAATACGTCAATGTGATATGTGTTCACTATCTCTTAGTATTCAATTCACTGCAAGCGATGCATCTTTGTATTCATACGAGCAATCGTATCCTGTATTTAAAAAGAATAATTTAACTCTGTGAGTTATTGTTAACAATGTTCACTTAACTGATCGAATTGAAAATGAAATATAATTATTAAAATATAATTTGTGTTATTGTCGTTTCTGAATGTTACGGAGTACATGGTATTAACCAATAAAAATGTTGCGTCGAATATATATTTAATAACTGAGATTATTTACAGTCACGATAACTGGAAAATGCCATAAATTTATTGCCATTGAAACATTTGTGAAAATGAGACATATTTTAATCATTAATTTTGCTATTTAAGATAATTGTATTTAATTTGTTTCCGACGTTTACATATCAAAAGGTTGCAATGAGCTGAGGTACGTTTCCCGAACAGTCGAGTATCTTGCCTGAAGAAAATGCATCATGATGAAGACCGCATGATTATTTAAACATCATACGCTTTAACTTTGGCATTTGACCTTCCCTTTTGGGCATCAACTTTTTACTCAAATGTATAATTTATTCTACGATTCCACTTAATTATTAACAGTTTAGAGTGTAGACTATGTACAAGCAGAAGTAGCATAAAAAGATCATGATAAAGTGAATCCACTTTTTTAAAAATGGATATTACATCTTGGATATTGGTGCTAATAAATATTGCGCTATTATTGTATAGTTCGGGACATTGCTCTGCAGGTATGTTAACCTTACTTTATATAATAATTTCATTAAAAGAGTAAAATAATTATTTCGAGTGTCATACAATGAAGGACATGTTAAGTCATGTAAAGTGAACCGATATCGCTGAGATTGTCACGCGGTGGAAGGAAGACGGTCTCGTCAAATTTTCCTGTGTTAAAGCATTGTTTAACTGGCTGGGATACAAAGGAGCATGTAACATATCTGTGTATTATTTGATAAATGGGAAATTAAAATTATGCCCCATTTGGGAGTCTTACCTCCGGGACCCCTATGTAAATGGTGAATGGTGAGTTTTTGTCCATGCACACAAAATATTCATTGATTACAATTTTTATAATTTGAAACAAGAGAGCCTATGCGACGATGCCTCAATCATAGACAATGAGGACAGAGTATGTTACCTCAAATCAGACAGTCCGGCCTCATGGTCTAAAGCTGGGGAAGATTGTGGTAAGAAAGGCGGAGAACTACCAGTTCTCAGCGATGCCCACAGAAATGACTTCTTTGTTAACGCTTTAAGGAAAGAAAGCATGGATGACATTTGGATTGGAGCAAACCAAACAGCTTCACATTGGCATTGGCTAAGTGGTAAGTATACTCTAGATTTATCTCAAGAAAATCATTTTCCTTTCCACCATGCCTCCATCGTTGCGGATGGCAAAGCAACCAAAAATGCCCCCCTCGTCATGATTTCTAATAATATGTGAACGCTGGTACTAGACACCCCGTTAAGAAAATTAATTTGGAATGCAGGGGATTTGTTTCCGTATAACCGGTTATTCTATTAAATGTTATTTTGCTATATTTTGGTCTAAACGCTCGCGGGAATATAATACATATTCACGAAATGTTTTCCAAGGTTATATCCCAATACAATGCATTCACTTCAACCCTAACAAGAATTAAAAGTGATGTTGTAAAATCACATAACTATTTTGACATTCACAGAATGATATACGGAAGCGTGGAAAATCAAGAGTGAGATTGCTGGAAAATAGCATTGTATACTTTTATTTGTCGGTAATATTTAGCTGGATTATTTCATGATCAATTGTATATTTTTTATTAGGAGCTCCTATTCTGGAACAGGGCTGTTACTTGGACTTTGAAACAAGAGATTTCGAAGAACGCGCGCTAAGTAACGCAGGGAACCTCACATATGACTATTGTATTGACCAATGCAGCACATACAAATTCGCAGGTCTACAGGTAAGGCTTTAGGCGAGACAAAAGACTAATCATAAAAAGGATGCATATTGATAACTTTATTAAAAATATACAAATACAGCGTACACGACGAGTTTGATTATTAACGCCATTACAAACAATACTCCAACGTAGCTTCTCCATACAAACATAGCTTGACCATACAAATAACACGATGAGCTTGATAACGCCACAAACAAACAATACTCCAACATAGCGTGACCATACAAATAACACGATGAGCTTGATAACGCCACAAACAAACAATACTCCAACGTAGCTTCTCCATACAAACATAGCTTGACCATACAAATAACACGATGAGCTTGATAACGCCACAAACAAACAATACTCCGACATAGCGTGACCATACAAATAACACGATGAGCTTGATAACGCCACAAACAAACAATACTCCAACATAGCGTGACCATACAAATAACACGATGAGCTTGATAACGCCACAAACAAACAATACTTTATCATAGCGTGACCATACAAATAACACGACGAGCTTGAAAACGCCACAAGCAAACAACACTCCAACACAGCATGACCCTAAAAATAACAAGATGAGTTTGATAACGCCACAAACAGACAATACTCCAACATAGCTTGACGATACAAATAACACGATGAGCTTGATAACGTCACAAACAGACAATACTCCAACATAGCTTGACCATACAAATAACACGATGAGCTTGATAACGTCACAAACAAACAATACTCCAACATAGCGTGACCATACAAATAACACGATGAGCTTGATAACGCCACAAACAAACAATACTCCAACATAGCGTGACCATAACATTAACTATATCATCTTTCTATCAATCCAAGAATCATTTTCTTTCTATGCCCTAATACGTACTATGCTGATTTTTAATATTCTAGGCTGGACGAGAATGTTGGTGTGGAAATAGCTTCAACAAGTATGGTGTTCCCGAGAGCAGGGAGGAATGGTGTGCCACACCATGCTCCGGACAGGGGGATAGGTTATGCGGGGATAGTTGGAAAAATACAGTTCTGGCCATTGGTGGTTCGTACAGTTAATAATCATACACCCCTGTATTTGAGTACTGCAGGAAAATCTTATCGAATATGAAAGGGAATATCATATTTGCGAAGTGTTAACACCTTTCATTTGTATACTTCTACTAGATATAGTATCTATTATAAACGTTAAGAGGTCGAAATATGAGGGCGCCCCTCTTCTGATTTCATGTTTTTGTCACACGGTTGGACGTTCATGACTGATCTGAACCTTTCAGTGTATCAACAGAATGTAGGAATACATAGACTAAGTATTTGCATGCATTTGTATATTTTACTTGCTAATAGGTTTGTTCACATCATGGGCAGAGACCCAGCCAAACAACTACAAAAACCACCAGGACTGTGCAGCTACTAATAGAGAAGGGATTTGGTTTGATGAGACATGCACAATGTCATTTTATTATCTCTGCGACATAGGTAAATGTCAATACACATAATTAAGCATCACTAGCTTCAGAGGAAATAGCCTTCAAGTTCAATTTATTCATGATTACAAAATATATCATGTTGCTTTAATCTCGTACTCTTTAGTGTAATTCGTGTCCCTTCCAAATGTGGTATCTCACTCGGGCTCACGATTGTTTTGTATGGTGACCACACCTAATCCATCATTCACAGTCAAGAAAGGACATTTTGAGAGTGACACTAAAATCCCAATGGAGAATTATTTATTTTCAAAATGTGTCGAAAATGAATAATATTTCAATATCTAATCAACGTATATGATATGTTATAGATCGGAGTGAGGAAGACTGTAGGGGAATGGATGGAATCTTTATAAACAGTAGCTGCGTTACTCTTTCCACAGAGAAACGTTCCTGGTTTGAAGCTACTAATGCATGCCAGTCAAAGATGGGCAATCTTTTAGAAATCGAATCAGAACAATTTCAAGATGATCTTAAACAACGATTACGATCTCGTATTGGTGATAGAGAAAAATACTGGATTAATTTGGTAAAAACACGCTGGCAATGGAGTACAGGTAAAGTCGAGTGTGCCTTGAGCTATTGAAATTTTAGCATTGAATTCACGTTACAATAAATGAAACAAGGCCTTGGATAACATGTAAAATGTTACCTCCAGCCATTTTTTACAGAAGGCGAAATCCGAACGCCGAACACCGTCCCCAAAAAAGTTGAAGAGTTGGAGTATAACAATGTCATCACTTGCGGTGGTGACATAATAAAATGATAATATGAACCTACTACAGCTTGTATTCTTTGAAGGTGATCCTGTAATGGAGTTCCACTGGTCAGAAAACCATCCCAACGTATCTACAGACCAATGTGTAGCAATGGTGGAAAACGAGGGCCGGTATATGTGGCAGATAACTCCTTGTGATCAGCCTAGGAACTATCTCTGCCAGATTGTGATGCCTGAAGAAACAACCACAACTGAAGCTCCTACTACAACGTCTACCACTACCACGACGACCACTGTGCCTACTACCACAAAGAAACCAACCACTGAACCACCGACCCCTGAGCCAGAAACTACAACCGAAGATCAATTTAATAATTGGCCTACCTCTGAACCAGGACCCGCTGAGTCTGGAGATGATGATTCGGGAACGTACAGCGGTTTGGATGTTGGCGTTGTCATAGCCTTGTCCCTTGCTGGGGCATTGTTGATCTTTACTTGTATCTTTGGCGCCTTTGTCTGCCATCGAGCTTTGAAGAAATCACGGTAAGAATAACACAAAAATACTGAAAGCAATTTATCTAAAGTGACTATCATTTACATGTAGATATCTCTGTAATTAGATTTTGGAATAAATATTTTGAATACTTTTGTCATAAATCTTTAAATGAACAAGATTGAGAGTGAATCGATATTTTGCACTGTTTAAATTAAAACCTGCTAATCATAGCCGATGTAAAAGTTCACAGAACTCCTATGGTTGAGAATCTTCTGAGTAAGCATCTCTGAACTTGTTTCTTCAATTAGTGGTGGTAGAAAACTGACTGATGACGGTCCCAGTCCAATCAATGGATACAAGAACAACAATCCACATCACCAGAATCCCCAACCCCACAACGTTTATGAACTTAACACCAATTATGTTAACCCACCAGCGAAACAAGAAGTGAAACCAGATGACAACATCTATGACACTACACTTAAAACAAACTGGGTTGAAGTTAAAGATAACACTGAGAATGAATATGCTGAACCTCCTAATGAATCAGAGTATGCCAATACGGAGGTAATCAACGAACATAACGATGAAGACCTTGAGAGGAATAAAGTTAATGCTGAACGTATAAGGGCAGTAAAGTCTAAGAACAGGGCCAGGGCAATAGGACATGACGTGTTTAACAGTGCTGAAAATATTCCTGGACAAGTAAACCAGGGAACAGATCTTTAGACTTTAGAGTTCTCATATTGTAACAACATGGAAATTCAAAACTATTTGTTAATCTGACTTCAATTAATGCTCCATTCTCTGTGACATTTAAAATTATCAAAATGTGATTTGTAAGTTGATTAAGTGATCATTTTTATTTATTTTAAAAGTAGAATCATCAAACTTGAAGGCAGAGTCAATGGAGATACAATGTTGGCGAATGTTGTAGCCTACATGTTATGGTAATTCATACATATTTTTTCTTATGCATCTCGTCTACAGGATTATTTTGGGGAAAATCATTGCAAAATGAATATGAAACTAATTCAAACCGTGATCTGATTTGTTTGTATCTCCGTTGACTTTTGCCATTAAATACTCATATGATGTATTGTTTTAGATAGAAAGCTACAATAAAATAGATAATTCAGGAATCAGTTGGTAGTATTCTAAAACTATCAAAATCTTCATTTCAGAAATATATTGTACATATAAACTGTGCTTTATAATGTTTCTTCAGAAGAAAATTCTGAAATTTTTCTTTAGAGTAATACGATGCCATGTACAGTATACATGTGGTATTATCTAGAATTTGTAAATATTTTGATAAAAACATAGCCGCTGATATATAGTATTTGAAAAATATATTAATATTTGTTGTTATTCACTGTATCATCTTTATTTTCTTGATTTCACAAACTAAAACATTATAATAATAAAACTTGTGCCATTTCATTATATCCTCATTCCATTGCATTGCAATTCAGTTCATAAACAAAGTCCAATTCCTCAATTCAGTTCACTATTATATATGTACTATAAATGTTCAAATTATGATTAAAACCGTTCACTGTTAATGTTTGAACCGAACTTTCTCATCTCTTCCTTTTGCTTGATGTAAACAATCTGTACCTGAAGTAAGGTCAAGGAAAACTGTTTTACAACTGGTATAAGCACTCTTTATAAAGTCAGAGTTTAGTTTGCCAGTACAGTCTTTTCAAAGCATAACTACAAGTATATTGAATACAGTTTGCCTTTCATCATTCTTATACTATACATTTAACTCAACAAATGATGATTTGAATGATGGTTTTCATGTTAACATTCAACACTTTCTGAGGAGTAATGGTATTTACTCAAAGGATACATTTGCATACTGAGTTCTTGTTGAAGCACTCCTGTGAGAATGAACTCATTGGAGACTACAGTGATTCCCATGTCAATCATTGGCTGGCATAACTTGTGGTCATCCTCTGTTGCTATGACAACGTACTTGTTTCCAGGTTTCTTCATAGGGCTGCTTAAGTACTGAAGACCAATCAAATTTTGTTTTAAATATTTGAATTGCAAAACTGAAAGCAGTTCACAGTTCAGTAAATTCTGTGTAAGATTTACAAATAGTTTGATTCCATAAAACATTAGAAAGCTTTCAAACCCAGGTACAGTATCACTCTTTTAGAGAAAATACATTTCAAGTAAATGTGCATAAAAAGATTAAATTAGCATAAAAAGAAAATGTGTCTGCTAAATAAACCTGGTGATCAGAACAAAAAATTAGTTTCTTCATCTATTTGTGAATATTTTCCAAATCATTTACATGTACATGTAAGTAATAAGTATCAGTGCATCATTTTAATTTATGGATAATAAATTAATTGTGAATAATAACTCTCACCTTTCCTCCAGCACTTTCTACTATTTCTGAAAATAAAAAGCAGTGTAAGGTTTTCTGTGAATTCTAATATCCACATAATAGGATAACTCTCAATACTTTATAGATGTAAGAATGATCACATAAAATTCTGCAAATTTTGGGGAACTTTTTTTTGTCCAAATCTACACATTCAGCTTTGTTTTTATGGTTTTACATTGTCCCTTAAGATTCACGTAGGTGTCTTTCAATCTTCGGAGTAAATATTATCTAAGTTACCTTTAATTTGTGATGCATCAGGCTTGACTGATTTTGTGGCATGAATCTGGTAGCCTTCAAATAGTTGCCTCTGTGTGGCCTTTTTCAAAGACGTCTCCATAGAGAAAGAAAATTTCTTCTCATTTTCCTGATCCCTAATGATAAATGGAGTGGCATCTAAAATAAAAAATAAACATCTTTTCAACACAACCAATCAAAATTCGTTTACTCATATGATAAGCAAGCTGCTCTACTCATAACGCCAATCAGCTGTTATTTTAATAAAAACAATTGATTTTTATTACTACTTTCACACAAGAGCATCAGTAAGTACTGTTCAAAGTGTATTTTACAACTGTTATACTGTGCACACTATGAAACATATGGGATTTACATATATTTATGTTCTTCTACTGTCACCACTTATCTTGCAGTCCTCCTCATGATTAAACGAGTTTTAGTATGTTGTAATTGTATACAGTAAAGTACATTGTACATGTATGTATTGTATGAGTCACTTTACCTAGGAATGTTTTAGCATCTTTGCACCTCTCCAGCCACACGGTTGAAACAATGGGTATACCCCTAGCAATACAACAAAGGAACTTCACTGTTCTCCTCACCTGTAACAAAGCCATATTGTGCCATATTCATAAACAAGGGACATAATAAATGTCACATATTGAAATCAGATTCCGAGATTATCATGCATGCACAGGGCAACTTAATGCAATTATTTGCATGGTGTTTTTTATTTTGTTTGTTTGTACTGTGTAATCATTAAAGGGATTCTGTGTTCTTAATTGTGCAGAGAGATAAAAAATGCAGTTACAATTCGTTTATATACAATACTGTCTTAATTGAGGAGTCTCGCATTGAACCTCTGGACATCCATCAATGCATATTAAATAATGCAAGCAAAATAACATTGAAAACAGTTAACATAGCCACTTTCAATTAATTGGGGCTAGCTACATCTCATATTTGTGATATTTAGTATTTACTGTCGGAAATTGAACAACACCAAAAGCTAGGTATAAAGAAAGACAGATTACCTTATCAGTGACAAGATGTGTGCAATCAGCAACTGTTTGTACATGCTCCCCTCCCAATGACTTCAATGTCTAAAACATACGAATCATAAATATAAAGTATACAAAAATGGTTAGAACTGGATCACTGCTGTTAATGTCAATGATTTTACTTTCACAAAGGTGACCTAAATTCCCTCAATAACAAAGAAATTAATTTTCTACTTAATTCCTGATACAGTCTCTGAGTGCTATGAAATTCATTTATGCGTTAACTTTATGCGTAATATACTTTTTGGATGTACATGTTTATGGTATGCTTGCTATCTTGGTACTCATACTGCTTTATTGTTGACTTAATCTTTTGATCTCATTGTTAATGGGAAGATATGCAAGAAAAATACAAATCTCTATCAGTCTATGCAGAAACTGTGATTGATAGATGTAAGATTCACTTGCCTTCTGGCCCTGATCATCCACAACCCCAGTAAAAAGTATCCGAGGCTTGATGGAGGGAGCTCTCAGAGAGGGACTGCTAGTGTTAACTGGAGGTCTGGACAGCCTCGCTGGTGAGCCAGGGTCACTCTTCTATAATGAGAATGGCACAAAGCAAAATGTATTAAATATATACATGTACAATAGGATTAAAATTAAAAGATAATTTCTACTAGAAATTATAGAAAGGACAAGGTGCAATTATTGGCAAATATCCCTATGGTCAAAATGAATCATTCGTAGGTGTAACATGAAGAATAAAATGTCATATAATACTTTGGAAAATATGAAAGTGCTCGGACACACATAAGCTGAGATAGGGATCATTTCGTTCAGTAAGATTGTATTGACTTACATGGGGCTGTGCACCATTGACTTAACATGAGGATATCAGCAGATCCCAATAGAGGCCATTGGTTTCCATTGACTATCACAGAAATACCAAAAATACACTATGACCTGAATCTATTGCAAACTTAATAATTTCACAATACGACACAAATTGTTTATCTCATCAAATGTGCAAATATGGAGTTTGCAATCGATTCAGGTCATACTTAAAATTAAAAGATTGTACATTTTTTCATCATTTTTTCCCCTACAAAATGGCTATAGAAAAATGCTCCTAAAACAACTTTTACAATTATCAAATATCATACAAGTTTGTAAAACCAAAGATTATACTATTATATTTCATTATGTAGTAACATATTTGGATAAGATGCAGGGATGCGTAGGATGTAAATGGATTTTGAAAGACACAAAAATACTTCCTGGTTTGGAATCTATGCCTCTACACTTCATGATTGAATTATGACCCTAATAAGTGGCCTTTACATCAATACAGTGCTGAATATAGGTCAACAAGATACTAGTGTGCATATAATTGTAATAATTGAAGCAGACTACTCATTTTGAAAAATCAGATGAATTATTTTTTTCCCATGGGGAGATCCCAATGGAGGGTGTATAAGGTCCTTTTCTAGGAACATCTTTTTCAAATATGACTTCATGTATTTGGCTTTCCCATGATGAGGCCTAACTGAATTTTGATCCAAAAAAATGGATGTCTTTAGTTCCTAATGCAGGATAGAAAGCCAATAGATGATTGCGACACATTGAATTAATGTGATCTTGCCTGTAGTGGAGGACTATGGCTGGGAACATCAGATGGTTCTGGGCAACCCATGGGATAAAATAATCCTGTTTATCCTATGCCAAGTAGAGTTTTAGGGAGATAAGTTGGTAAGATATATCCCGTATCCTGATTTTGAGGTTTCCATATCCAGAACCTCCATATCTCCCGCCATATCTCCCGCTTCGGTGCATATCTTCCCGCTTCCGGTAATTTCACTTCACATTTTTAAAAAAATATTGAATTTTTCAAATTTTTTTTTAATTTAAAAAAAATCAAAATATTTCTTTTTTCAATTTTTTCACTTTTTTTTAATTTCTTTTTTTTTGCACATTTTTTGAAAATCTCGCAAACTTTAAGACCAACAAAATGCGTACCTTAATTATGTTTTGGAATTTTGGATCTTTATAAGGTATGATGAACCTAGAACCTCAGTAGGTATGAAATACATCTGTTATGCACGGTCGGTGTTGGATACATTTATCCTTTTGTTACATTTAGCGGGGTCAGATGTCCTTTTTTTGTTCGGCTTTTTCAGGAAAGCAACAAACTTGGCACAGTTGTAGAATCATATGATCTGAGTAAAAAATGATTTCAGGGCAAGTGATTTGGGGTGGTCTTCATGGATTTTTTAGCCTCTGACCCCCCGCCCCTACCAGACTGGGAGGGGTATATTGTTAAAATTAAATAAAAATGGTTTTAAAGTATTTTTCTTTAAATGACTTCATTTGGTGATTGCTTTGAGCCTTGAAATTGTGTAAAACCCAATTAAGAAGTTGTCTGTAGCAAGAAAAACTCATTTTAACCCAATTATCTAAGAATAATTCGTTGTTTAAAGGGCCAAATACGGAACATCTAGTACTGTATTTCAAGAATGTGATGTCTGATAGTCCTGAAAAAATTCATAGTAGTAGAGGTTTAAGTGTTTATCACAGATAGAAAATATAACATGGGTGGCTCATGTGTTTTTTGAGAAAAAAATTCTCGAAATTTCAATTTTTAAGTGCATGCAACTCAGGGGTAACCTTATTTTACCTTAATAATTTTTAAAATATACAATGTATGCATCTCATATGAGGTCAAAATGATGCATAGAGTATTGTTTTGTCATATTATTCCTAATAAGATGTAAAAAAATTATTGGAAATTTTTCAAAAATCCGAATTTTCATTTTCTCTTCTAAAAGGCCAGGGGTTACCATATTTTACCTTAATAATTTTCAAGATATGTAATATATGCATCTCAAATTAGCTCAAAATGGTGCATATAGCTTTGTTTTATCAGATTGCCCTTGATTAGATGTAGAAAAATGATTTTACATTTCTTAAAAATCTAAATTTTCATTTTAGCTTATTGTGGCCTATGGGTAGCCATATTTTACCTTAATAATTTTCAAAGCACACGACGTAAGCATCTCAAATGAGCTTTAAAGGTTTTTTTAATCTTCTTTTGTCATATATTATTTCTAGGGAATGTAAAAAATGTTTGGAAACTTGAAAAATGATATTTTCATAGTAGGCCATAAGAATTAGATTCTCTGTTTTGCGTCCTGGCAAAATCCAAATCATGCAAGGGTACAAGGAAAACAAACACAAACTCAAAAAACACAAACTTGTTTGCTGAGAAATGTATATTTTATGGGCATTAAAAGGAATGACATACCAATTTGCAGTGATACAAACACAGATCTATACATTTATACAATATATTTAAATATAGGTATTATTCAAGGGTAAAAAAAAATACACAATGTATGCCCAAGTAATCAATAACACTGTCAATTTTGACGCACATCAATTTATCCGCCATTTCGTCTGATTCTGATTGAATGAAATGCGATGTTACTTTCAGACCATTGTGGTTGCTATTTGGATGTGTTTGTTTTTTTCTGATTACTCAAAATCATGCAAGCAAGGGGACGCAAAACAAAGAAACTAATTCTTACGGCCATTTTACCGTAATAATTTAAATAAAGATATATCACACTTGTTACTCAAACGAGCTCAAAATGTTGATTATAGTCAAGTTTTGCCATTTATTCCTTCTGAAATAAGAAATAATGATTAAAAAAATTATAAAAAATCTCAACATCCATTTATTTATTTATATAAAGAATCACAACATACATTTATTCCTTTTTAGTACCAGTAGCTCAATACTGTACTATAGTTTTATCGAGCACTTTTCTAAGATTTGAAAATGTTTGACAGTCCAGTTTATACTGAGTTGTAGCATTATTAAGATTCTGTGTATAATCATTTGAAAATATAATCCAAATCCATAAAACATAATCAAACAGGTCAGGATTTATAGATTCTGACAGTCTCCAAAGCAAATGAGATATGATTTCAAACATTTGCATATGTTCCCACAACACTCCTTAAACATTAAACAAGTTTTTTCCATGCCTCGGATGCAACATCTTTTGTTATTATACAGATATCCGCCTCATAGGACCTACATTTTCATATGTTGTGGCCTCAGTATCAGCAGTGGGAGTAGTCCAACCACATTCATGTGGTGATAGAAACTGTGGGTTAGAATGCATCAGAATAACAAATGACTCTACAACTGCAATGTTTCTAAAAAAGATTCAAAGTTTAAAAACAACTGCAATAGCTCTGGGTATACACCTTCCATTCCTTCAAATCAGATGATTTAGAGAAGTAGTAGAATGCAAAGGTGACATATCAAATCCAGTGATTGCATGAAAAATTGGGAGGGCTAAACTTTGGTCATGGCCAAGTGGTCTTGTAATATTGTGGGCAGGTAGGTATTGGAAGGATTTCCCCTTACCATATGCAATCCAAAATGACATTTTCAGTTTTTCAGCACAAGTTGCCACCAGGATAAACCACATCAAAATCAACTGTTAGGCAATGATTGAAGCAGTCTCTCGTATGGAGAAATATCCTTGAAGGCGCCTAAGACATTGCATTACTTGGTCACTATCATCTTGCCATGTTCTTGAGGGTTTCAGTGTTGATGCCTGGAAGGAGGACAGCTCCCTCTTGTTCCCACTACATCTTGGATTGCATTTGGTAAAAGAAAATCCATTCAATAACTATCTGTGCATGATATTGCAAGATCAATTGGCCATGACCAAAGTTTAGTCCTCCCCATTTTTCATTCAATCATTCTATGCGATGTCACATCTGCATTTAAGTACTACTCTAAATCATCTGATTTGGAGGAATGGAAGGTGTACCCAGAGGTGATGCAAGTGTTCTTAAACCTTATATCTTTATATAATACTTCATTGATTTATCGTTTTATATCTCAGTATGAATATATGAATACTCGTATGACAAAATGCCATTTTGAGCTTATTTGAGTTGCAAATGTGACATATCTTGAAAATTATTATGGTAAAATGAGGCCACCTATAACCAGTCAAAAGCTAAATCAAAATCTGATCATTTTTTCCACCTCCTCAGAAATGATATGACAAAACAAGATTATATACACCATTTCAAGCTCATTTGAGATGCATATATGTAACATACATTGAAAATTATTATCTTAAGTATGGTTACCCCTGGGCTGTCAAAACATCAAATATAAAATTTAGATTTTTAGATATTAGATATTTAGAAATGTCAAATTATGTTTTTATATATCATTAGGGGAAATATGATAACAAGACTTCTGGTATATGAACCACTTTGAGCTCATTTAAGATGCATATGTTATGCATTGCAAATTATTATGTTAAAAATATGGTCAAATAGAAAATTCAGATTTTTAAGAAATGTCCAGTAATTTTCTCCATCTTATTTGGGGTATGATAAAACAAGACTATATGCACCATTTTGAGCTCATTTGAGATGCATATATTACATATCTTGAAAATTATTATGCTTAAATATGGTTACCCCTGGACTGTCTGAAGCTTAAATGAAAATTTAGAGTTTTAAGAATTATCAATCATTTTTCTACATCTTATTAGGGTTAACATGATAAAGAAAGACTAGATGCACCATATTGAGCTCATTTGAGATGGATATATTACATATTTTAAAAATTATTAAGGTACAATATGGTTACCCCTGGCCATTCAGAAGCGAAAATGAAAATTAAATTTAAAAAAAATTCCAATCTTTTTTTACTTCTAATTAGCAATTTTATGACAAAACAAGACTAGATGCACCATTTTGAGCTCATTTGAGATGGATATATTACATATTTTGAAAATTATTAAGGTACAATATGGTTACCCCTGGCCATTCAGAATCGAAAATAAAAATTTGAATTTTTTTTAATTCCAATCTTTTTTATACATCTAATTAGCAATAATATGACAAAACAAGACTAGAAGCACCATTCTGAGTTCATATGAGATGCATACATTGACTATCTTAAAAATTATTGAGGTAAGATAAGGTTACCCCTGAGCCAAATGCACAAAAAAATTGAAATTTCGATAATTTTTTTCACTGAGAATACATCAGCTACCAAAGCAATATTTTCTATCTGCAATAAACACTTATACTTCTATTACTGTGAATTTTTTAAAGACTATTATTCATCACATTCTTGAAATACAGTAATGGACGTCCCATATTTGGCCCTTTAAATAATGAATTTCTCCTTGATAATTGGGTTAAAATGTATTTTCCTCACTAAATACCACTTCTAAAATGAATTTTACATCATTTCAAGGCTCAAAGCAATCACCAAATGAAGTCATTTAAACAAAAATACTTTGAAACCATTTTTATTTATTTTTTATAATTTACCCCTCCCCACCTGATAGGGGTGGGGGTCAGAGGTAAAAAAATCCATGAAGACCACCCCCAACCACTTGCCCTGAAATCATTTTCCACTCAAATCATATGTTTCTACAAATGTGCCAAGTTTGTTGCTTTCCTGAAAAAGCCGAACAAAAAAAGGGTTATATCTGGACATCTGATCCCGCTAATTGTTAAACAACACTTTTGTATTTCAAAAAGTTATCAATGTATTTAAAATTTAAAAGTGAAAAAGCAATAAAATGACTTTGCATATGAATTATTTGTTTATTTTTACACCTTGCACTATTGAAATGGCCATATGCCCCTGAAAACTCTACTTGGTATAGGATAAAGCAGTTATGTACAGACGGTTTGGATATTGGGTTCATCCCTCGTGAGATATGCACATCTACCTTCGGTCCCTATGGTCCCTCGGGTAGATATGCATATCTCCCTCTGGATAAACCCCATATCCAAAACCTCCCAGTACATAACCCTTATTTATGCTAACTTAATTGTAACATCTAATTACCTGACTGCTGGAGATGCTGTCTGCAGATCTCTGTCTCCTCACTTTGCCAGTAGCAGCTGGAGCAGGGGGTGGCATCTCCGACTTCCTCCCTCTGGATGACCTTGCCTTGGGGGCCTCTTCTAACTTTACTTGAGCCTCTAGCTTAATCCCATCTATAGGATTTATGACAGTAAATAATGTATTTTATAATTAAAACTACATTTGGAGGAGGGCTTCAAATTTAAGGGTTAATCAATTATTGTATTGTGACAGTCACCTATTGAATATTTTTGTAAAAATACAGCTGTAAAGGAAGGGGATAACTGAGAATTCATATATGAACCTATTTTCATGTAAAGATGAACCTCTAGGACGTTAATAATATACATGTACTATCTAAAGTATGTAGCAATCTAAAGTTAACAAATCAACATAAATTAAGAGAAAATTTTTAGTTTCTTACAAAAAAGATTTCCTCAAGATTGTTGAACAAATATCTTACCTTTTTTCCCTTTTTTAACCTGAACTTCCTCACTAAGTTCTTTCTGAGCACCACGTTTCCCTCGAGTTGATTTAGATATTACTACTGATTCAACTTTAGTCTCATTATTATTTTCACTTGTATTGCTTAAAGAAGAAATGTTTTCTTCATCGTCAATGTCTTTATTCACTCTACACGTTTTACTTGACGTTCCACTTTTCTCTGTTTTACTGTCCTCTGCAGCCTTTTTACTTCTTGATCCCCTGGTTGAACTGGTGGTGTTTTCATTGGGCTCCTCTTCAACTTTAATCTTTTTACTTCTCGTTCCTCTTGTAGTTGTACTCATTGTTTCAACTGACTTGTCATTTTCAACTTCGGTGATTTTACTTTTTGATCCTTTGGTTGTACTGGTAATTTCTTTAACTGGTTCATCATCCTCGACTTTAATCTTTTTACTTCTTGATCCTCTAGTAGCCTTACTAGTTGTCTCAACTGGCTCATCATCTTTATTTTCAGTTTTTGTACTTCGTGATCCCCTAGTCATACAAGTGAATTCTTCATTAGACTCATCTTCAACTTTGGCTTTCTTACTCCTTGATCCTTTAGTTGTCTCAACTAATTTTTCTTTCTCTATATCAGTTTTTTTATTAGTCCTTGCTCCCCTGGTTGTACTAGTAATTTTTTCAACTGACTCATCATCTTCAATTCTAATTTTCTTACTTCTTGATCCTCTGGTTGTACTTAAAGTTTCAGCAGGTTTGTCATCTTCAACTTCAGTTTTTTTACCCCTTGATGAAGATCTTTTGGGTTCATCTTTAGACACGGGTTTCATCTCTGTCAATCTTCTAGATCTCTTACTAGGCTCAGAGGTTTCTGAAGTTACAGAGACACTATCCGCTGATCTATTACGCTTGGATCCCCTCGTTCCTTTTTTTCCACTCTCCTCAACTGGAATAATACTTTTCCTGACTCTGCCACTTCGTCTTGGTTCAGATGCCTCTGATGATACTGATTCAGTATCATCTGTATCAATGTCATCTCTACCCGTATCCACCTTGGAAGGAACACCTGTACTTCTCTTACTTTTTCTCACTGGTACTTCAGTGTCTTTAACTTCACTTGGCACAGAATCATTTTTTGAGTTTGTGGTGGTTTTTGACTTAGTCGGCGGTTTTGGTGGCTTCTTCGTTACTTTATTTGCATCTTCTAAGGTAATTTTAGAATTTCTAGCACCTTTTTCATTTGGAACATTAGCTAACACTTCAGCAGTCTCTTCATGACTAGTTTCTTTATCTTCTTTCTTAATAAATTGTCTTCCTCTTGTTGACTTTCTTTTACTCAGAGGAGCTTCCTCTGCTATTTCTTTTGGCTTAGTCTCCACACTTGCTTCATTTTGTCCTAAATTTGATTTTCTTGCTCTTGTGTTTTTGTCACCTACAGGTACCAGTTCTTTTTCCTCAACTGCATTTTTTGTTGGTGTTTCAGTCGAGTTCATTTTCCCAAATACATGGCTTCTCCTAGTGGTTGAGGGACTGGTATTTGTTTCTGGAGTTAGAGGTGCTTTAATTGGGCTTGCCCCATAAGCTTGAGTAGCATCATCAGAATCTCCATATGCTTGAGTTTCAGCTAAGTTCTTATTTGGTGTTTGTACTTTAACAGGACTGAGTTCAACAGGTTCAACCTTCGACAGTTTTGTAATCTTGTTCCCGAGTGTTCGTCTTGATGAGGTGTCTTTAGCTGCACTTACATTATCATCTTTGTCTCCTCTTTTATTGGGTTTTACAGGCTGCTTTACTGGTGAGTCACTTCCATATGCCTGGGTGGCCTGAAGTTCCTCTTTAGTAAGAGGTGATATAGTTTCAGCAGGTTCAGGTGATTTTGACTTTCTATTAGACTTTCTAACTGGCTTTTCTGGTTGTAAAAAATCACCTAGATTTGTTGACTTTCTTTCTCGACATGATCTTCTTGGACCTTCTGTTTGTTTTACTGGTGTAATGGCATCATTATAAGGACTTATTCTAACTTGAGGTATGTCACTTATTTCATCCATAAGCTGAGTTTCAATTAATTGCGTTGGGTCAGTAGTTGATGTAGTAGGCTCGTGTATTGGTTGTGTCTCATCTTTCGCCTCTTCTGTTATAATTTCTTTTGCCACAGTGTCAGTGTCTTCATCTATTGGTTGAGTCTCATCATCTTCATTAAGTTCATTAGAATCTATATTTGTAACATTATTTATTTCCTCTTTATCTTCAGCATTGGAATTAACTGTAGCAGGGACCAGCTCCTCTTCAATTGGTTGTGTTTCACCATCTTCATCCAGATCATTAGCAGTAGCAGTTTTAGTTGATTGAGGAATATCCAAGTCTACTATGGGTTGAGTGTCTCCCTCCTCATCTTTACTTTCTTCATTTATTCCAATGTGATCTTGGTCTTTTTCCTTTGAGTCACTATTTTCTGTTTTATCTGAAATTACTGTTGGTAAGTCAGAGTTAACCTGAGGAAGAAGCAAAGATTCATCATCGCTTGATTCCTCATCACTGTCTTCTATTTCTGGAGTTGCCTTTTCATTGAGTACTTCACTTATTGCTAGTGTTGGAGCATTGGCATCATTAACTGAATCAGATGCATCTTCATTTGTTTCATCTCTTTTAGGAGTTGATTTCTTTGAAGGTGATCCATTTGGAATAAACGTTGGAGCATTTGGAAAATCTGAATCATCAAACCCCTGAGTTTCATCAAGATCATCCTCTTCATTGTCATTATCATTCTTTACATTATTTTCCTTCGGTTCATTATGGTTTTCCATCTCGAGGTCATCTTCAAAAGCTTGTGTGGCATCATCATCTGAGTGTGCTGCAGCCATTTTGTGTTCATCAGTTGCACCACTTTTATCATCTTCTTTGGTTGTGACATTTTCTGACTCAGTTGGATTAACCTCCTCATCAAAGGGCTGTGTTGGCCCATCATCTTCATATGCTTGAGTTTCTTCAATGTCATCAATTTCTGTTGTAGCTTCTACTACAGGGGGAATAATGGATACTTTAGGCTTTGTTCTGCTGTTAAATACTGGTGTTGGCATTTTAAAAACATCCAAATCCTCTACCATTAGAGTTGGAGCATTTGCATCATCTTCAGCTGCATTATTTTGTTCATCAGATTCAGACGTTTGTTTGATGGTGGAATTTAGCTTAGACACCAGAGGTGCAGGACCAGAATTCATAGCTTGTGTAGCATCATCCGCTAACTCATACTGTGTATCAGATTTTGTGGATATTAATGGGGTGCTTTTGTATATCGGGGATTCTGCACCTCCATCCATTAACTGAGTAGCATCTTCTGCGAGAACATATTGTGTCTGTTCACTTTCTTTTTCATTCTTTTGACCTGGTAATTTAGGCATTTTAAAATCAGTTGAATCATCAAATGCCTGAGTCTCATTCTCATCTAGTTCATACTGAGTCTCATCTGGTTGTTCAGATTTGCGAGTTTGTGGAATATTTTCAAAGCTGTCATCTAATATTTGAGTGGAATCTATGGGGTCTACTTTCTGAGGGGTTCTGCCATAAGCCTGTGTGGCCTCAAATGTTTTGCTGTCCTGAAAATCAACAAAGAAAAACATGATGTAATAAAAGTCAAATTTGATGAAGTTAATGAGATATTTAGTCTGTATTAGGCATGTTTACATATGTGAGTATCATTATACCTAAAGATTTAATTTGTTTTAAACTGACATGTTAATTATATTGAAGACAACTTTACCATAAAATGGGAGGTTAGATACTTCTTGAACTTATATTATTTGTTTATAGTTCAAAGGCTATCTCTAAATATTTTGAAAAAGGCAATAATAAGTTGTGTCAATACTTTGCCATAAGATGGCTTTTTTACATACATTCTGGATGGAGTCTGGATTATCAAAGATGTCAGACTCTGAACTGTTAGCTTCCTCATCAGAATCATCAACAGCTGGATGTCTACTGTAAGGTTGAGTGGCTTCAAACAGACCAGATTTATTGGGCTCACAATCATCTGAAGGAAGAACAAAAAATTCTCAGTGTGTTTCTTGTCTGAGCTTACAGGTAGTTTCATAATTTAAACAATCCAACAAGACCAGGTTTTTCATATTTCTAAACATTTTTTAAAATGGGCTTGAATACTGATGTAAGAGTTGTCAAAAAGATACCATAGATGACTTTCATTTTTTTTACTTTAATTTTTTCATGATCTTTTTCATTTTAAAAATTTATCAATTTCCATCATTCATGGAGGCATTCAGGAGTAAATATACCATATACAGTACGCAGTTGTCTCATCCATCTATCTTATGGTTGGAAATTAGTAAATACAAAACTTCATACCTTAATTTTATCTTTTTTACTTTAATTCTACACAAAAATAAATTCATTATCTTTTTTACTTTAATTCTACACAAAAATTAATTCAGTTGCATGGTGCTTTGTACAAGTAAAACGCCATTTTGTTTAAAAGTAAAAGTGTGAAAATAAATTTCAATGAGAACAATTTTCCCACAAAAACGTCCAATCCAAAGTCTGATGTTATTAATAAGAGTGTTTGGATAATATAGCAGTGTAGAATGAGGTTAAAATCACACTGTTTAAATTTTTTTTGATCCCTCACCCTCTTCATAAGCCTGTGTTGCAGGGATAGCATCTGTGTCATCATACATGATCAGAGTCTGGTCCACTATTGGCTCCTCTGAATCAGAGTCAGCAGCTAAGACATACTCAGATGATTCTATAGAAAACATTTACAATACATATTTAGCTATTTTGTGATCCATATCATAAAAACCAAATCTGAGCGAGTGTAAACTTAGCTTGAATCTACCTCTGACTTCACAATGTACATATAGAGTAAAACCTGAATTAGTGAACACCTCTCTCTAGTGAACATTCGTCTCTAGTGGACACCCTTCCTCCGCACATACTCTATCGTCTTATTTATAAATCATCCTCTCTGTAGTGAACACCTACTAACACTGAACCTTTTTCTCAGCAATTTTATGTTCAATATACACAGGTTTTACTGTTATATGTACCATCTGGAGTGTTTTAGGATTCTTTTTAAAGTGCATGTTATAATAGGTTGATTATCTTACGTTGAATATTTATTGAAAACAATATAAAAAGGGCACCTTTCTTTGCTAACTGAACTGCAGGTGTTTCGAGTATCAGGGGTGGCTTATTTAGTGCTGTTGTAGGGGTCTGTGTGGAAGACTTGTTGTTTGTATGGAAACCCTACATCAAGAAGCAAGATCGTGAAATGCATGCAGTGCTGAACTATAATTAGGATTCAGATAAAAGCAAAAACATGTTTCATTACTTTTTATCACATGGTTAGGAGTTTCTAAGCATTTTGATTGGTCAATTGTGATGATGCATATTCCGTATCAAAAGGCACATGACTCATTTTCATGCGAGATGGTGGACTGTATCACTACGTCACTGATTATATGCAGTTTTAAACAGCATCAAAATTACCAGGGCAGACTACCCACAATCACAAATGACCAAATCAAAATGCTTAAAAGCTCCTAGACGCGTGATAAAATCGTCATCATATGTTTCAATGTTACCTTTCATGGAATATTTCCTGTTTAACATGCTAAAACATGTGATAATTGGTAACAACAGCCATTTAATATCTTAGAAATGTAGTATATGTGTTTAGTTCAAATGTTATTGCTAAAATGATTAAAGAACTGAGAAGTGCATATCTGCCTAGAGTGTGGCGGCAATGTAAAGAATTGTCACCTGTGTTGAATCAAGAATCTCAGACAAATCGGAATCTGTATCAGAACCATCATCTGTTGCCTGGAAACAAATTATGCAAAGTTTTATGCATCCATCGAAATAAAAAACTTTAAATCATATCTGTCTTATGACAGTCAAATATATAACCAAGTTAGCGGCTGAGGGGAGAATCCCATTAAGTTTTAGTTTTAATTTGAAATGATCAATAAATGTTTAGCTAGGATGTCAAGTTAACATTCAGTTAAAGGCAGAATCAGATCTATAGGGGGTGACAAAATTACAAGCAACATGCATAATCGACCTACCAATGTATTCCTTACAATATCAAATACAATATCTCCCAAAAGATTCACGATATGTTATAAATTGGTGAAGTTATTAATGATTCAAAGTGCGAAAATGAGTGAAAAGTGTTTAAATTCTTCCAAATAATAAGAATGGTAACCATTCTTATAGAAAAATAATACATTATTGTAAAAATCTTTTGTTTTCCTTGAATAAAGTATGCACTTTTGTGATTTTTAGAAAATAGACATGACAAGGAATGACATGAGCCAAAAATATTCTAAAATTGAAACAATTTTTTGTTTAGCCTACTCGCTATCTCTGATTCTCTCTTTAATGATGTCTTAGGATAAGACAGCATTAACTCATTGCTGACCAAAGCTATTTTTGGAGGTTTTATGCTGGTGGCTGGCAATTTTGATGGAAAATTGAGAAAAATTGCACATTTTCACGTTAGCATAAAATGGACTGTATGAACACCCTTTGTGTTACTTTTTATGTCATTTGTGAAGCCAATGACAATATATTTCAATTGCACCCAACCATGTTCCCCTAGTAATCCCTACAATATTTGGTAAGATAATTGGTATAGATTATGTGACAATCAATGGACAGCAACCCGAGATATCTTGGAGTTGGTCAGATACGATTATGACGTCATAGACGAAATATCTCGGGGATGATCAGCAATGAGTTAATTAACCATGTCTCTAAGGTTAATAAATAGAAAAGAATTTATACACAGATAATATTCAAACCTCTTTTATTTCCAAAAAGGTGGCATTCACATCTCCAAATACTAGTTTATTGTTATTCTGCAGCTCATAGCGGACATTTGGACTGAGTACCATCTACAATTTAAAAAATAATAGAATCAATAGAGTACGTATTGTATATACCTTCAGTGTAAAAACTAATACTATCTTCTTTTATTTCCAATGGCAAATCTGTTAAAACATATAGAGAATGGAGTGTTCTTATTCAGTTTGATTTCATTGTTTGATCATAAAACTTGCATAAGTATTTGCTTATATGAAAATGGGTTTACCCTGGTCTTGAATATGTAACCAAGTAAAACAATATGGTTTCTAAGATGTACATACAGTATGTATCATGTATTATTGTTAGTATATCAGCACTTGCTTTCATGCTTATTGTGCTTCTGATGAACCTTTTAATTTGTGCTATTAACTGATTATTTACTATTGAGACCATTTGAATGTTTTAGTATTTTGACATTATGATTCATCTGTTTCTCACTTTGTTTCTGCGGGTCTTGTTCCTGCTTTCCATGTCCCATATAAGAGTGACTCCATCCTTCACTTCAATGCAGCAGTGCTCTTTAGACAGACCCTTAAACAATCAGGTATATATTGTTCTAAATGGAAGTCAGTAATTGTTCACCTGTATTTCACACTTTAATATAGGGAAATAACATAGCCCCATAAAGTGCTTTAAATGTATGACAATTGGTGATCAATGTCAATACACTTTATGTGCATTTTCAATTTCAACTATGTGATTATTTCTAAACATTAAAGTAAAGAAAGAGTGTAAGTCAATTTCAGCCAAAATTTGAAAAGAATTAATATAGCAATTCACTCACCTTAAGAGGTATTTGAATATCTGCTTTAACATTTCTTCCTATCACATACTTTTCTCCTATAAAAACAACATAATTTTCTGACAGTTAGGTCTGTCGTCATGTGACTAAAACATAGCATTGATTATGGCTTGCATACAATATAATTGAATAGCACACATGACACGGTGACCAAGAGTTAACAGTGCAAATCGGCCCGGTCGTGTTTTTTTAAACTCTGTAGTCGTGTTTTTTGAAAATTTGAGAGGTAGGTTGATAAATATGGTCATGAAATTGCTGTCACTTGACTTTATGTAAAAGTAAGTAATTTATATTGCTTTCCATACTATATATCTTAACTTCAGGTATTCGTAAACGTGTTATTTGCACGAATCGTATGCTATAGTCTTGTTATATCGGGAAATGAGCAATTCTGTCAGTGTTATACATATTTTTGCCTGAAAATCACTTGCCTGACTTGTATTCAATGAATACATCGATTCATAAGGAAAGCAGTCACAATATGTGCGAAAATCAAAAGTTAGAAGAGCTTAAATAAGTAGCAATTGACCGAATAATATTTTTTAGATTAAACTCTTTAGACGTGTTGAAAAGATTGCGGTTAATGACGTTGACCTGTTAGTGAAACGTTCTAGACGTGTAGAGACATTGAGGTTTAACGATTTGGAAGTGGGAAACAGCACAATTAACATTATGTATTTCCCAAAAAATGATCACAATGTGGAAGAAGTTGTTGTCTGAGTGACACTATCTTAATTATAAATGATTAACAATAATCAAATGTACGACATAATATGTCAAGATTGATCTATGGGATCACTACCGAATTTGATACTTAAATCAAAATGGTTAGAATCAGACACGCATAGTTAATGCAAGCGAGCTTTGCCTCGTCGCTCGTCATTTTGAAAATTTTACCAGTCATATTATTTTTTAATTGCCCTGTCGCTCATTAAATGGCTCGTTGCTATTTTTGAATTTGCCTCAAATACATTTTAAAACGTCCCTATTGGCCTTAAACTCACTTTTCCCTGTCATGAACGTAAATAAATTTATTTAAAATGAGAGGAAATGTTTAGTTTGTGATGCACTACATGTAAATGCATATATATGATAACCTAATGTAAGGAATAACTCCACCGTTATTAAAACCGTATGCTCAATATCTATTAGGTTTGCCTCAGGATTTTTAACAATTTGATTCGATGTTATTCCCTAATTCGCCTCACACAATGCAATACAATTTCAATTTTAATTTTCAAATTGCAATAGGTAAAAAACGCTACATATGCTGCTATCGTTCTATGAGTGATCTATGAACTGTACTGTAACATAGTTTTCTAGCGAATTAAATTACAACATCTGTTGATCTTGTTAAATCATATATGTGTCTTTTTTATTTATTCTTATTTATTCATATCTTGACTTCAAATTACAATAAACGGGTGACACATAATGTATATTCCCGTGTTTTATACTAATACATGAACAGATGGTGGGGATCTGCTTGTGTAATAATGCATACTATTTGTTTCTGGTTAATAGTGGGTGTCGCACTAGGCCCGCAAATTATTATAAAACCAACATAAACTATAAATTATATTATTGATTAAGAAGATACTTTTTGAGTTTTAACTTCTAGCAGAAATACGAGATAGTAAGAATTTAGTTTTTCAATTTATTTTAGTACTAGATCGTGGATAGGGATGTCAATTCTGAACAGATCAGTCGGATGAACCTTCTCATAATGTTCAAGGAAAGTGTTCTTATGAGCGCTTTTGAAAGAGCACGCGTGGCACTTATTCCGAGGAACTGAAATTACAAAATATGTGAATAGTCATGTAGTACAAACACTTATCTTCAAAGTACTAATACGATTATTTTCAGAAGCACAGACACATTATTAAGCAACAAAACATGGTCAATGTGAACAATATTACAAGACAATTCAAAGTCGTTAATTTTATCACGTCTAAAACGTTATCTTTACAATTCCAAAACGTTAACATGCTTATTATAAGACACGTCCTTGACGTTATATTGTCCCTTCTCCATAGTTAACTCCACTTTCTACATTTACGGTCATTTATGGCAATTTTAAGATAAATACAGTTAAAATATTTACACGATCTTTAGAGTAGTGAATATTATTCCACGTTGTTGAATGGATTGTCTGTTTAAACTTGATTAAATAACACTAAATGCAAATTAAGTACATATTTCTGGCACTTTGGGTATATAATTGCGATTGATATGAAGTATGATGGATTTATCCCCAAAATAGATTCGTGGGTATGAAGAAGAACATCTTAGGTAGAAGTCAAGATATGTAAGTTTGTAAAATATAGAATATTCTTACCTTTTTGCTCCATTCTATCGAATGTCGCATCCCATGTTCTTACAAAACACGACTAAAGAGTTTAAAAAAACACGACCGGGCCGATTTGCACTGTTAACTCTTGGTCACCGTGCATGAGTAGTATTTGTTTCTTTTAACCAATAGATGAAACATAATTATATTGTATGAAACATACTTATATTGTATTATTACTATCCAACATGTGGACCAAATAACAAGATATGACCATGAGGAGTCAATGAATGGTATTATATTAATAGACTTACCATTTTGCAGTACAAACTCAGTAAATGGGAATCCTTTTTGTTCTGCAACTACCAATTTCCCAACCTACAATATTATAGTCTCTAAGATAGAAGAGGGTTGAAATGTCAAACTGAATGCAAACTATGATCTATTCTATGAAATAACTTACTCGCCCAATACAGATGGTGCTTCACAGAAAACACTCTGTGTGGATATCATGCGCATGTGCACTTTGGATTTAACAGTCATTTTTGAATTTGAATTCATGATATTTTACAAACTAAGCCATGTTTGGTACTAAATTATGTAATTGTTCAAAGCTTATGTAATTAGAGAACTTGTAGGTACAAAGAATTTTCATCCCACATAAACTTACGTTCTGCTTGGAATCTTCCTCAGGGAAATCATCAATGGCCTGTGTACAGTCAAAGTCTACAGCTTGAGTTGCGTCAAAGTCCATGGTTCCGAACCCCAATATTTACAATGACCTTTGACCTAGTAAATGAAATCAAGAATTTAATCAATCAAGATATCAACAGATAGTACATAACATGCATGTCATTTTTATCAACTGGAAATCAAAACTGTATAAAGTAACATGAATAAAATGTGAAAACAGAAAAACTTAATATCATTGAGAAAAGTTGAAATCTAAATTCTAGTGACCAGTTCATATGGTTAAAATAATGAAATAATGAAATGTAACCATGTGTCTTCTTATCAGTTTGTTCTATGTCATCCATCCTGCTAGGTTACATTGTGGAACTCAGCCAAACACGACACTGAAGGCAGTACTCTGAGGTTATAAATCTAAATCTAAAAAATTTTAGATTTGCAGCCCCTTAGAGATTTCCGGAATTGAACAAAGTAGCAAACGTTGCGATCTTTCAACTTTAGTTCTTTGTTTTTCACCACTTTTTGTGTAGTGTTTTCATTTAGGAGGTGGTCTTACTTGAATGCATCAGTTCAGGTCTTTATGAATCAATAGATCAATAAGCAGACTAAAAATCTAGCAGTTTCATCCGTGTCGTACTGGGCCTGTTAGGCACGAAAAACAATTTAGCAGTTTCGTTCATTGCGTAATTGGGCCTTCTATAATCAGTAGAAAATGCTCGCAAAACATTTTCAAAAATATTTACTACCGTTTTCCTTGAAGACATGGTTTGGGTGACACATCATTAAGTCACATGATCGATACAGTAACTAGTCACGTGATCAGACACGTGTCACATGATCAGACACGTATCACATGACAGTGACGTGAGCTTGCAAAATGGACAATCTAAATTTCCCAAAATTCTGCTAAGATCAATATCGATATGTTGTTGCCTTCATTGTCGTGTTTGGCTGCGTTGCACAATGTAACCTAGCAGGATGGATGACATTGAACAAACTGGTAAGTAGACACATGGTTACATTTCATTATTTCGTTATTTTAACCAGATGAACTGGTCACTAGAATTTCTGTTTTATCTTTACTAAGTATGGAATAAAAACCATGACAGGAATCTGAATTTTAAATAATTTACCATATGTCGTTGTCTTTGTAAATTATTCCAAATTCAGATTCCGTTGTTATTGATGATATCGGAGACGCTGTATTCTGGCGATTCACGACCCAATTTGAACGAAATTGGGATTTCATGTGATACATTATCACAAGAGATTAATAAATGCACAGACTTAGCAACGATAAGGTCCCATGAAACGAGGAGCAAGTGATTGAAGAATTGAACCGACGGTTATGTCCGCCATTTGTGACAACGGTATCTGACTTTACCATTTTCAGGCTATTCCGGTGTGAGGCTAGGCTAAAAAACAAATTTGTAGGCTAACAGACTGAGACTGTAGGCTAGTCTAGGCCAATTTCAAAATAAATCTGCCAAAATAAAATTGAAAATAAAATTCCAAATTTTTCAACTCTTATAAAAACGATGTCATAGGTGATATACTAATAAATATATTCTCGTATACGTGCAAGTTATTTCTCACATGTTTTTCATATGCAATGTGATTACAATAACATACTAATAGACAATTACAACATAAAATAACAAAAACATAACTTGCCTCAAACACTCCCGCGTTTTCAGTTCCGGCTCTTCAAATGAACGACCACAAATCGATTTTGAGATTGGTGTGTGAGAGCCAGATTATGCAAGGGCGTTACAATACCCGGGAATTTATCGGTTCGTCCAGTACTTGTTTGTGATAGCGCCCTCTGTAGGTCACTGTGCTTATAGCCTACAGTAATACGGGGTAGGATATCGGGAATTCGGTCAGTTTCTATCCGTCGATTTCGCTATGAATTGAAGCAAGTGTGACCACTTTATCCACTTAAACAATTTGATAATTGATTAAATCTTTAAACAAAATCGATAAACACGTTATACACTTCCTATCTCCTTAGAAATTAGCATGTATTTATGGATTGTGTTTTCGAACAAGGCTCGACCCACCCCAATAGGGAAATCCTTATGCTAATTAGTATGACGTCATATTTTCCTGGGGAATCCTAGATTTCAAGGCCTCAGTCTGTTATTGTGTCAAATGTAAACGCTCTTGGGACGCTCTTTTGCAGACAGAAAATTGACAGATTAGCTTTTAACTTTCAGCTTTGATGTTTAAATATTCTGTATTTCTACCGGACTTCTTGCTGAATATCATATAATGTTATAACTTGATTTGGATCATTGCCTGATTGATCATTCTGAAATTTTGATTGTGATTCATGATTGATTGGCAAGAAAAATAATTCCTATTGTTTTCCAGCGAAGTCAAAATGTTACAGCATGAGTTATAATGTCGAGTTTGCATCATGTTAAATTCTGCTAGTGATTAGAAGTCCATGCACAAGCATACACATAAGAGACAAACACACCCAGGCTCCAGGCCGTGGATGCGGAAATATAAAACTATTTAAGGCACAAACTGGTATTAATAGACCGATATGTAGTGTCTGCCATGTATTGAAGGTAAACCAATCTGTATTATAAATGTTTCTTCTATCAATACATGGGTTGTGCAATAGAAAAGCAATGGCACAATCAAAAATGTGCATATCAATCGTGAATATCTCTCGGTTCAAAGCTTATTTCCAACAGAATCGTGTCAAAATATGTGTCTGAGTAACAGTTATACATTATAAGATCGCAAACTCTTACCAATTATCAGCCGAATGGCTCATTTTCAACGAAATGTCCTTAAGACAACAGCCCTGGGTCGCGCCTGAGACCAAAAACTACTTCAAATAGCCCTCCCCTAATTATATTGGATAATCACATTTATGCGTGCGCGCGCAGCTCATCCAATGAACGAAACGCCACTTCCCGCTGAAATCACCGGGTATTGATCTTTCCCTTGGATTATGGTAGTTTAGAAAATACATCACCAAGAAAATGCATTTTCTAAAATTTTGGGGCTCCCAGAGGGTAAATTTAAATTATGAATTTTACTTTTAGATTTTTATGAAGCAAATTGCCTACATCATTATGTATGTTGTAATATTATACATTAATTAATAAGAGGTACTAAAGTATTACTACTACACATTTAATTTTTAAATGTTATTATCGAATTCAAATATAAATCAACTATTTTAACTGAGCCAAGTATTGGATGATTGGAGGCAGTATTGATCAAATTTGCAAAGGGTTAATTTTATTCTCACCTGTCTCAACAAAACAGGAATATCCCAGAATTCATACAGTCATACTTCTCTTATGTAAACTATATCATCGATTGGCCAAGGGTTCATCTATAATCCTGGGAAATGACCTCTTCTGGACGAAAAGCGTGGGAACATCTGATATGACCAGTTCCCATAACAGTGTGTCACCTCACTGTATGTACAGTGATCGCCTACTATTAAAAGTGCGTGATCAAAGACTCGACAAGATGCGCAAAATTCGAAATGTCGGAGGAAAGGTATGTTCCCGGCCCATTGCCAGGTATGGTCAGTATATACTGACAGGTATACTTTCAGTCTATACTGACAGGTCAACTTTTAGTCTAGTTTCAGTATACTTTCAGTATATGTCCCATGTTAAAATTCCATTGACAGGTATGTTTCAATTATGGTAATTAGACTTACCAGTATGGTTTCAGTATACTTTCAGTATAAACCAATAGGTATACATTCAGTATACTTTCAGTATATACATACCAGTATGGTTTCAGTATAATTTCAGTATATACCAATGGGTATACATTCAGTGTATACATATAGGTATCTTTCAGTATGGTATCAGTATATACCTATAGGTCGACATTTAGTCTATACTGACAGTCTTAACATGTCAGTCTGTAGACTGATATGGATGAATGTGACTCTACTAACTTAAATTTTAAATCATTCTGCAGATGAGAAAAATTAGTACATGTAATTTGGATAGCAGTCTTATTTTCTAGCATTACATTATCTAATTAATTAGATGCAGGATTATGAAGACTTCTAAAAGACGTACCACAAATAAATTAATATTCTTATATTAACTATATTCAAGTTTTATTCATGATGTATTTTTGATGCAAAGTTTTAATTTTCAAATTTTAACTGTATTTCTTTTACTATGACTTTATCTTTCATATCTTTCTCTCATTTTTTGTGTTTTCAATATATAAAACATTCAATGTAATTATGAGCAGGAATGCTCCCCTGCCACCTAGTCTGGTTGGACAGGTTGTGGAAACAAATGGTCATAAAATAGAACTTACATATGAATAATTGTTGACTTTTATCATGAATTTTGCATTTGCCGTTTATATTATAAAATGATATAGTAAAACTGGTATACGTTCAGTCTAATCATTATTTATCAGAGTTTATTTGGTATGCTTTCAGTATACTATTGAAAATCATAAGTAAAACTGGTATGCTTTCAGTATATTCAGTATTTATCAGAGTTTGTTTGGTATGCTTTCAGTATACTATTGAAAATCATAAGTAAAACAGGTATACTTTCAGTATATTCAGTATCTTCATACCTATTTACAGATCTATATTCAGTATATATACCTCTTAATTGGTATGGTATCAGTCTGGTATCAGTATAGACCTATCAACAAGGTATACTTTTAGTATACTTTTGGTATAGACTGACTATACCTGGCAATAGGCTGGGTTTGTTTCTCTTTTCTTTACCACCTTAATGACATTTTACCTACAGATGGTATTCCATATGCTGTATAAGAGACTCAAGATTCATTTGGTAACAGGATTCGGTGATTGGTTCAACCGAAATACCTGAACTGAGTTAATAAATGAAGCAAAATCAAAAAACCCGCCGAATGAAAATGTATATTTCACCAAATTTTCTGTTTTTAGATTACCAAAACCACAAAACCAACATGCTTATGGTTAATATACATAATACTTAACATTACATGCATATCAGACGTTCCATCTCCCCTTCAGTATCGAGTAAGAAGGATGTTATGAAAACAATTTATGATCAGCCAAGTGGGTGATTTTACCATGTGGATTCTAATGATATGTTCTTTGCATTTCAGAGTGGTTGGGTTTACATGATTTTACTGTCCTTCATTACGAACTCCTAAATTTCAAATCATTATAAACCACCTTGTAGAACATCATGAAGAAGAAGAGATGAAGATGAGAAAGATTACTGAAAATAGAGGCAAATCTAGAATGATAACAAGAAATTTCTCTGGAATAATACCAAATGAAGTGAAATCAATAAATAAACACATACTTGTAGAAAGTGATGAATTCATGACAATTTCAGTGATTGACAATAATCGAATGAAATCATCCAGAATCTCTGATTCAACAACTGCTACAAAATCAAAAAAAATTACCAATGAAATTGCAATAGAACGAGAATATCAATAAGTAATGAAATGACAATAAATGATTCTGAAATTACAATAGACTCTCATTCTCCAATAGTGTCCACCAGTTAATCTGAGATGATACCCCTCTGAGCAAAGCCTAAACTGGAACTTTTACTCGGTCCCATCGATCCACATAACTCTGTCATTAGAGATAATAGCATGGTATTTATTTCACATTTTGTAGAGTTTCTCTAAAAACGCTCACTAGTCGTTTATTTTGCATTAGATTACATACAATTCTAAAATTCTCAAGCTAATCACTTATAGACCTTAGTTGAAAATTGATCAATAAATCTACTGAATATTGAATACCTTAGAGGAGTTTTCCCTTATACCTGTCATTTATATATGACCCAAGTTAGCCACCTCGTGGTGAAACTGGGAACTGACTACTGGCATCTACTGAAGGTTATTACGTCATTACATTACTTATTGATACCTTGCTGCAAAAGAATGATTTAACTCCCCAATGAAATAGATAATGTACAATTCAGATTTTATATTTTATTACAATTACAATTACATTACAATTCGACAATCATCTTGGATGCCAAGGTGTATAGTTCTCATACCTTGGGAACAGAGGCGTAAAATAAATGGACTAAAATGGAACTTAAAAAACGGTTCCACTTGTAAGGTGTTACGCTTCAAGAGGTGTTTCACTTAGCAGGTTCTAGAGGTTCAGTGTATATATCATTTAATGGTAATGTATTCAAATCTAGGCAGAAAAACAAAATGAACACACACACAGTGACCATTTAATTGACTGAATCAGTTTGGACATACATTTTGCGAGATCCCCATTTTCTTCTCTTGAAAAGCATATAGATATGGGTGTATGGTTTGCTGAAACTCACGCTATTGGCTGATCCATTCGTTTCTGTGTTAAAATATTTATTTCATGTTATTGAAGGGGAAACGTGAATTTCATCATGGTCAAATGGAAGTCCAAGACCCTACCTAAGTATAAAAAATTAAAGAGAGTAAAAATGTTCTATTGTTTTTGATATTTTCAAGCTTTTTAAATAAAATAACACATATTGTATCGCATTTATATCTTTAAATTGTAAAATCAATAACATATACGAAAAATGGTCAAACTAATATATATTTCTCAAAGAATATGGGTGTTCTTGTGCCTACAAAACCTAATTGAATCACCAGTAGCCTGTAATATAAACACAAATGAATCTTTTAAAAGTAACCGTTAAAAAATATTTGAATTTTGCGCATCTTGTCGAGTCTTTGATCACGCTACGCACTTTTAATAGTAGGCGATCACTGTATATACAGTGCATCTGTCATTTCTCTGGAATGATGTACACTTTCCTCCAAAAGATTGAAAACAATTGTAGTACAGTAAAACCTGTATATCTGAACACTTGGCTAATCCGAACACCTCCCAATTTGAACATTTTTTGGTCCCGTTTTTTCTCCCATTGACTCAAATGTTTAAAAAACTTGAAATATGAACATCTCCCAATTTTGACAGTGAACAGTCATGTTTGAAAATTAACCTATCTAATCTGAACACATAAAATATCACATGTTCCATAAATTGATCAAATATTTGAAAAAAACTTGAACGATCTCACTCATGGTGGGGCTTTCTAGGATGACTAAATTCATTTGAATCAGATTTTCATGTCACTCTAATGCCAAAGCTAAGTAGTCAAAAGAACTATAATATTTATTGAGAATTTGTTTCTATTTCTTCAAAAACCCAAATCTTGCAAATGCAAAACCTCAAAATGTGAACACCTCCTAATCCGAACGCTCTGAGCTGGTCCCTTGGATTAGACAGATTTTACTGTAGGTACAATCCCCTCTAAAAGTTACTGAAATCACTGGCTGGGAATTGGTGTTCGCTTACACACAGGTGTTCAATAGAGTATACTCATATGTTCGCTGGGCACAGTATTTCACTAAAGAGATGTTCATTATGACAGTTTTACTGTACTGGGAATTGGTGTTCACTATACACAGGTGTTCAATAGAGTAGACGCATGTTTTCACTGGGCACAGATCTTCACTAAAGAGGTGTTCACTATGACAGTTTTACTGTACTGAAATCAATCACTGGGAATTCACTATATACAAAATTGAAATCTGTGTATCATGCCACCCCTGCAAAATAATTGACTTGCCCACTTGGTCTCTTGGATCCACTTGCAAAATATATATAGTAGATGTGAATATTTTCGAAACAAATGAGTGATATATAAACATATTTTGTACCAAATGCGTGACATAAACGGCAATCGCATGCAAAGACCGAACGGAATGCGTTCGCTTTTTTCGCCATTCGGTATTTTACCGTGTTGGCCAGGGGGGAGATTCCCCAAAGATGCCCTATCATATTAGCACGTTCGAAAACAAATTTTATAAACAGGCCTCAATTTGCCGTTGAAATGGATCTCCAAATTTTCACTGTAGTTTTATGAGTATTCTTTACAAGTATGGATCGAGTAACTTCAATAGTATTACCGTAGGTTTGAAATGACGATGTTGAACTGATGTAAACGCCATTCCCACGATTTCAAATTTAACTCTGCGCATGCGCAGCACTGAGAGAGCATGTGCCCATGATTGTTCACGTGATCGAATCCTGCAATTTGATTGGAGATGAAAAAAGCACTTGGTGAAAAATGTGTATACCCTCTGGGAGCCACCAGCATGCATTTTCTTGGTGTTGTATTCTCTAAACTACCCCAGATTATTCCAATTTCAAGTTAGCAAAATAGATCTCCCATTGCCAGGTCGGGAAATGTGAAAGCCAATATATTGGGCCACCTTAGCCGTAGAGTTCCTAAGCTAATCGCACTTACGGGAGTTCCTAAGGGGGGCACAAAGTACCGCCCCGGGGAGGCTAACACTTCATGACATAAGGGAACATGGGGCAAAACGGCCCTGTGGGGCAAAGTGGCCCATCGAAATATCTTTTGAACTGTAGTATAAAAAGATGGTTCTTCAAAAGTCACATAACCGAATTTTGAAATTTCCGCCACCTTCTCGACCGCCCATTTTTAACTGCAAGCTCAGCGTCTCGCTTTAGGTAATTAGAGGTAATTCTACTTTTCACTCTCTTTTTTGCAAATTACCCCTCCCACAAGAATCTCTAAAAAATCCGGCAACAATGGAATATCGTTTTGATTGAACATTTCACACAGAGTATGCATATTCAGTTATTCTTTATTTTTGTAAAAATTCCGAGCTTCAAATATTAGCCAAATATCCTAGATGCGAGTAGAAATTATCTTGATTTATGTCATTAAAAGTTCCAAATTAAGTCAAATTGATGTCATATTTGGAATCTACATGTAAAATTACATCCAAAAATGTGGTTTTGAAAAGGGTTTATCAACTTCGAAAATTTAATTTTCTTCTTCTAGGTCTGGGAGATTCCCCATAGACCCCACGTTGTAAAATCACAAAAATGGAAATATCTTTTCTTGTGTTGGGCAGATAATATTTTCTTTCACTGGACATATTTTAATTTGTATAACTATCAGATACAAAAGGGTAATATGAAAAGTGAACAAGTAACTGATGAATATTCAAGTTTAAGGGAATTTTACAATACCCTGCCATGTTATTTCCCCCGAATCAGCCATCTGGTGGCGAAACTGGTAAGCCTGAACCTACTTGCATCTGAGTAACTCTATATGAAAATTCACATGCCTTTGGGGCAAAACGGCCCACACATGTTATAACATACAAAAGTCTTATTGTACAAGAACAATTCTCAAATTATAACGATTTTAACATTTTGTTTAATTGTACCTTAATTATTTCCTTCCGACACATATCGAATGGCTAGAATTATGGTAGGAGTTAAGAATACTTTATCTGCCAAAGGTCTGAGATAAGATGTGTGTAGACGAGTCTTGTAAATTATTAATTTTGGTTTTAAAACCCATGTAACAGAGAGTGGGCCGTTTTGCCCCACCCATGGGCCGTTTTGCCCCACTCTCGACAATATTTTTGACCATTGAAAAATCACAGAAAATAGTCCTAGGCAAGTATAAAACACTCCAAAAATGTAAACCACAAACCATTAATAAAGTGGAACATCAAAGTGCGCGATGATTGACAGATAAGAAAATATCCCGTACAGAACAACTTAAAACTAAATTTTTAGGGCCGTTTTGCCCCATGTTCCCTTAAACGTTGACGGGGATCCTCGGCGCACTCGAAGGGGTACCTTTTTGACATCAATTGACCCAAATTTTAGGATCTGGTCTGAGAATGCCCCCCAAATTATGACTTTTGAGATATGGCAATGCAAGGTCACATTTTTCCACTGACCCGGGCTCGGGTATGAGAATGGTCTGAGGCCCGGGTATACAGTCATAAATAAAATATCAGTCTTATTCTTATAGCAAGTAAGTAACTAAAGTAAAAGTCAGTATATTTACAACAGGGTCGGGTCAACTCGGGTCAAGTTGTAGCCTATACACCACGCATTACCAACTCGGTACACTAGGGGACTTTTTAAACATTCCTGGGCCTCAGAGAATGGTCATGCAAAATATGTTACCTCAGTCACACTTGTGACCGTATGGCAGTAGTAACTACACATATCCTTATTCGAGATTGTTTTCCGTTTTCCTCATAGATCATCTTTCTTCTCTGGGCCTTCTTCAGTTTGATTATTGGCTTTTTCAAATTTGGTCAGTTGGGCCGTGACATTGGTCCTTGGTATGGCATTGGTCCGTATCTGGACATTTGGTCCTATTGTATGTTTAGACATTTTGGTATGGCTTCCGGGTGTTATTTTGGTTGGTGTGGGAACACATCGAAATTTGACAGATTGGTATGGGGATATCTGAGGGTTCAGCCTGAGGACCCTGCCAAAATTTCTATCAGTGAAGTCCCCCGTCTCAGGCAATCATGATCCTCATTTTACCAAATAATTACTATTGCCTGATGACAACTCATTCTGTTGGGAGTGTAGTGATGTTGATAGTTCATCTTTGCAATAGGAGATATCACTGCCTAATTACTGAAGGGTATAACAAAAGATGGAGAAAATCGCGTTTCTTATATGATTTGACGTGTCTATGTATTTTGACAATTTAGAACATCAAATCTAACATATTGATGTGAAAAAATTAAAATGCTATATTACATAAAAATGTCATTAATTGAATATAATCAATAATAGTAACTAATTATTACAGCACTGTAAACTGTACTTCGTGTATTTTAGCGCATTATGCATAGAAAAATCTACCATGAATACAGGGTACTTGACTTTGCTAATTAATAAAAAGGTAATTAGTAGACTCCCATAATTTTGCACTAGATTATTCCTATATACCTAGGAGCAGCTACATGAAAAACCAGGCAAAGGCCGATGCTAACTTCAGAAGTTATCAGAAGAAATCAGACTAGGGGGGATACCCCCTCCCCCTTAGGAATTCTAGAGTTAGTGTTCTGACTCTTGTCCAACAGCAAAATTTGGAATTCTTGGGTAGCCCAGAACACTTGGAGCTTCACATGTTCTTACTCTGGTTCAACTAATCTAAACCCAAATATTCCCGGTTCAGCCTGACTTATTTTATCAGATCTAGAAATTCACAAGGAGGGTTTCCACACAGGTTCCGGCCCTTAGTAGGCTGAAAAAGTCGGACCGTCCTGCAATGACCAAAATGCATTTGCAGGACGGTACCACACCCCAGGGAGCACCCGGCGCGGGGTGGCCATCTCTGAAAGATACCCAAAGTTGTTCTTGAACCGACTGCAATCAGGCAATGGATGGGCCCAATTTTAAAATCATGGCCCAGTTTTCCATACTGTTTATGCATTATAATGGGCATTATATTATATATTCGAACATGACTTTATTCATGTCTTCCATAAACCGTGAACAAAGTCAATATTTCATCCGATATTTATGCATCGATTCAACACCCCGTCTGTACTAAGTGTCTCGTTCAGTAAACGCTAAATCAGAAGTGGGAACTGATCATGAAGTGACGATTTCGCAAAATTTTGCCGTGCGTTTTCATGTTCGAATCGTAATATACATGTAGACCTCAGGCCAGGTATTACATCGAGTAATAAATACCCTAGGGCTGGGCACAAACATTTTCGAACCCCTCACTCCCTTTGGTAATTCGGGATACAAAAACGTTTGTTGCTAGCACTGATAATGACCGGTAAATAACTAATGAGAGTACATGATGACATGATGAGTAGCGTACATAATGATGCCCAATCAAGAACAAATAATGGTTCCGGAATTATCATATTAATCGGATCTGACAAATCTGATATTTAGTTGCTACAGTAGGACTGGTCTATATTGGCTTTGGAAATTACAATGATAGTAAGTGAAATTGGAATAAAAATGTCCGGATGTTTCAGTGTCTAACTAACAGTCGTATTCATCTCAAAAATGCTATATACATGGATGCAGACTTATTCCTACATGTATTTTGTAGGTCCTGCGTGTTATTCTTGTGTTGGTTTGTTCAACGTGTGTGTTGGCTGATTACTACTATGACTACTATGGTCCCTATAGCTGGGAAGATGACCGTGAATATGGCGACGACGATGGGGAAAGTGGGAGTGGTAGTGGAGCTGGCAGCAAAAGCAACGAAGCTGGCAGCAAAAGCAATGGAAACTGTGGCAGTTGGCGCTGGGTTCTCCACAATGGCAACTGTTACAGGTTTCAAAATGATTATTTTAAAAACTGGGAGCAAGCACAGGCAGAATGTAGAAAGGATGACGCGGAGTTACTCAGTATTACTGACCAAAAAGAATTCGAATACGCTGCAGCCCAAGCAAAGGCACTTGGTAAGTCGGGTGACGTAGCGAGAGAGGTAATTGATCTTTTGTTGAGTGGCGGGTTTCATATTCTTAAGTTGAAATTTTATACAAGACATCACACAATGAATTAAACTTGATAAGACGGAGAATTAAGAAAATAATGTGTGAACTCGTTCGTTCTTGATCAATCAATACAATTGACAATATCCATATCGCGTTTCGTCTTCGTTTTCATCAGATTGGGTGGCGCCCCGGCAACCTGTGTGGATTGGCCTGGTCCACGTGAATGGTCAGTATGAATGGACGGATGGGTCGCCGGTCAAATTCACAAACTGGAAGAAGGGAGAACCAAATGACTACGGCAGTTGTGTCAAAACATATACTGCAATGTATAAACAGGTATAAAAATCGTAAATTACTGTGGACTATTTTGAAAAAGTAGTTGAACATCAATCTAGAATTAACATTATAATCTACAATACATGCTAGTATTATGATACAACATCTCTAGGATGGTGGATGGGCTGATGTAAATTGTAAATTCCGGGAGAGTTACGTAGATACACCAGCAGGATATATCTGCAAAAAGCCTGAACCCATTGCTCAGATTACAACCATTCAGGCGGGAACAAGCACGAATACTATTCCTCGTCCTACAAGAGGTCCTGTAGGTAACGGATAATATTCACGTATTATTTCGGCTAATTAATTTGGCCTCTTTATTTTAATACCAAGAATATTATAATTTGTTGTTGTTATGCCCAAGTCATCGTTCCATGACTATTTCAAAAACTATCTAGGTCACATTTGCTCCGATTCATCGACCGGCGCCCGGCCGATTGCAGTATTTTGTTCAAAACTGATTTTTTTAAATCATGTACACGTTCTTAAGAGTTCACATCTGATCTCAAATTTGAGATTTCACCTTCAATTTTAAGCAAAATACTTTTTAAATTATCGGCCAGGCGCCGGTCGATGAATCGAAGCAAATGTGACCTAGACATAAGGAAGGAATGTATCGAGCTGAGGATATTTAGCTTACAGAAAAAATTGTTAGTTTTACATGATTTTTCCTAATGACGAGTCAAATCAGTGTTGCGTCTATTTTTACAAGGTCCAAGATGTCTGACTTTAATTCCTAAATCAAATAACGAAAATATCGTTAGGATGAACGTACGGAGACAGTGCACGTTCAACCTTAGCTTCTGGTTTTATGAGCACACAATCTATATGCCACCATGCATGACAGCCTATACGATGGAGCTGCAGCTGGTTTAATGATACATGGTATATTCATCGATCATTTTTGTTTTGACTTTAGGATCGTCAATGAAAAACTGCAAGACGTCGGATTTAGGAAAATCATATGCTGGAAATGAATCAAAAACAAAGTCCAAGAAGTTATGCATGCCGTAAGTTTAAGATGATATTTCAATTCATCTCCCCAATCAGGAATTATACAGATACCGCCGTATTGTTTTACTTGGCGGTGTACTGTATTTTACGTCAGACTCTGTATTATTGTACTGTGTTGTTGTGTTGTGTTGTGATCGCTGCTGTGCAGTGTTCTGCTGTTTTCTTGCAAGTGCATGTGTTTTATCAAGAACATAGGCAAATTGGATTCCATTTTGCATGCCGATATTCTTTTTCGTCATCTTGGTTCAGAAATACATTTTTGCTCCCCCATAGATGGGCTGCGGCAGCAGGTCAAGACAATTTCTGGTTACCCACGTCGAATCAAATCTTCCCAGAGGGCAGTGGAGAAGTTGGTTTGAAATCAGCAAAGAACTTCTGCCGAAATCCGGATTCCAGTGAATATGGACCGTGGTGTTTCATTGATCTGTTTGGTACGAGAGAATTGTGTAACATTGAGCTGTGTCCTGCAGATGACGACCAGACTGGTAAGTCTACATAAAATCAAATGCTAATTAATATGGCCACACGGCAGCTAACTTTCATTTGTCGCTAGCTTGCATTCGTTAATGCAACTTCGGCTGTCGGCTACCGGATTAACCTTTTTATGGTCAACTCATTTAAACATGAATAGTACCTGCCCCAGCCACTATTACATTCATGTTTAAACGAGTTGGCCATAAAATAGTATTAATCCTGTAGCCGACAGCCGTTACTATTTGCATTCGCGAATACAAGCTTAGTCTTGCATCAAGTTTTTAGTCAACCATTCCATTTCCTCTCATTTTTCCTCTCAATGGGAGGGGTAATGGGGCGTTTAGAGTTGTCTTGTTTCTTGAAACAAAAGTGGATATAGATGAGTTAATTTTGCGGAAGAATGATTTCAAAATAAAGGAACTTCAATTTTGTTTTCAGGAGGGCTCGATGACATTGAGAACAGTGTGAAGCCATTAATAGCCCCGTAAATCTGTTAAAAGGCTGGGGGACCTAGCTCCTGGACATATATCTAAGTGAAGGATAGTTAACGTTGTATGCTAAACATATTTTTGAAATGTTCAATAAAGATATTGTCAAAACATAACATAATGTTGACAATCTGAGTAGTGTGTGAGCTTCGGTTACGATCTTGAATGTATCTATAACTTGTAGACCCTAAGAAATGAAACAACTCTTTTTCCCAATATCATCAATCAAATCCTTTTTGAGCCTCATAGAATCAGTCGTTGAAATTATGAAGAAATTATGATCCGTTCAATACAAAGGCATATTTTTTATTTCCATTTTATATTTGGATTCTATGAGGAATCCACCTGACCGAGAAATCGTTTTTTCGAAGCTGATAAAACTTCATTTGTGGATGTTATTCTACATGTAGATATATAAAAGTATCACTTTGACTTTTTGAATATTTAGTAATGATCATTTTTATGATTGTTTCTACTAGGATCTTGTCTACTCAAGTCTTAATTAACACAGTAGAGCCTCATAAGCCATAAATCATAATGTCAAAATAAAGTTGATTTTTCAAATTAAAGGGGCAACAAGGCCTGTATGGAAAATTCGAAACTTTTTACTTTTTCTGAGCTATCATTTAAAAAATATCTTCTTTGACATACCTATTTTCTTAAAATGAATGGATAAACTATCAATTTCAGCATTAAAAAGTGTCAATTCAGTTCAAAGCTTCTATAAAGGGGTCCCAGTTATAGATTTATAAGATCCACCACGTTTCAAGCCCGGGTTTCAAGTGGATATCAGCTGAAATAATGTTTTTCCAGGTGGTTTCTTTGTAGAATATAAAAATATATGTTAGTCTTGGTGAAATATCCAAACTTAAATATATTTTGACACTGGTCGATGGTCGTTAAATGGCCCCTCTGCACTTATTGTTGCATCTTTAAGAAATACACTCAGGTCCAGAGTCGGGAGATGAAAAACGTTGTGAGTTTAAACCTGTTATTTGTTTGGTGACACATGAAATGCCGACGGATAAATCTCTGCTCTTGAAAACGAGGAAACGTAATGAAACACTGAAATCAGCGGAAACAAGAACAACCTTTGGCAAAAATCGGTTATATGACAAGTAGCACCAAACAAAACATTGGTTTAAAACAATGGTTAAGCATATACAAATAGTAATTTAAATATTATTTTAAGGTGAACATGTATTGACGGATCGTGGAAGTAACGAGTTTGATGTCTTCGAGACTTGAAAATTGCTCCATAGGAATGTCAGCTTACTGTTTTCGGAGAACTGGCCATAAACATAAACGTTATCCACGAAAGATCAAATCACAATTCAAAGAAATATATTCGAGCGCAAATTAATAACTGAAAATGCCATAATTTACAAAGATTAGTGTATAAATAATATGCCTGGGGAATTGACGCCTAGATGAGGAATTGTTTGAAACAATAGGCCGCAAACCATAACCAGATTAATTACTAAATTATGCAATTAACTAAGGTATTATGTTGTAGACCAATTACAAGACAAGTTAGGTGGGTGAATCAGTGATTCTAGAGACAAGGGCATTAGCTAGGATCAAACAGACGAGCAATAACTTAAGAACATAGTCCGAAATGCGCAGTTTTACTTGACATAGTTCAGAAATAATTCGAGGAGTGTACCGTACTCGCAGATCACTTGAACGACATCTGGAAATGTCGAGTTATATATTTAAATCTTATTTGGACATGACTGATTAGCTCATGGTTTATGTTAGACAGTAAGGGTAGGATCTGGGGAAAATAACCTTGCTATCAACTTCTAAGTGGCGATAAAATACTTATTTTACATTTATTATACCCACTTGGCTATAGGCGAAAGTTAAATCGGATTCACAGAGAAGTAAAGTAGTCGTTGTAGTTGTTAAAGAACAGGTATGCCTGGTATTGCAACTGTTTTCTAAAGGACTCTCTACTTAACACAATGTGAAAGTCTCTGTGTGTTTGGTAAAGCGTTCAGTATGGCGTTGTCATTGAATGCGTTATCCTCGGTGATTTTGATGTTGCTCACGAAAACACGAACAACAACGACAGAGGGATTCACAGAGCGGGAAATACAAGAACTGGATAGTTTCACAAATAACTTATTAACATGTCGCGGGATACCTGGTCTTGCTTTGTCGGTTGTTAGGGGCCGAGATGTCCTGCTCACTAAAGGATATGGAGTGACGGATGTCTACAGCAAATTGACAGTAACGGAAAATAGCACGTTTTGTATCGGATCAATCACGAAGGGGTTCACTGCTACGATTCTAGCAATGCTGATTGCAGAAAATAAAAGGTACGCAGAAGATATAGTATAAAGCGATCCCGTTTTAGTTTGATCAATGATGATCCAATAAAATCCCGTGTAAAAGAAATGATGGTCCCCTTGGGATTATGGTCCCCTGTCCTTGCGGCCCTTACTGGCCCTGACTGTGTATAAATAATAAGGAAAATAATTAGGTCACCATATAAATCAATAGAGAGTAGGACCAAAATTTGATAGGACCACCTACCCTTTTACACCTGGTTAAAATCCCAAACGTCGGAAAACAAAATAACATAAATATCAGATTGGTAAATGCTAATTGACGTTTCTGTCAATTGCACATCAAGTGCATGCTTCAGGGTCGCAACTTAGTTAACTATTGAACAACTTAAAGAAATCGTTGAGTTAACTTTTATTTATTGCTACTGATATATGTCACTGCAAATGAATCATTTTCTATCAGTTATTATATTTGATTGATTCAAACTTTTAATTCCGTGTTCCTTGTACTATATGTTATTCTTGAAGAATCTAGGCACCAGGATATCCTTCTTTATCGTCATCCCTATAATCCAGGGATTTCTACGTAGGATTAACGACGGATTAACACCAAAATACTACAGAGCATCAATTAATTCCACAACGCTAGAAATTATCACCGTGTAATAACATAAAGTATTTCTTTGATAGGCAACAACACATTTCATAAAAAGAAACAATCCCAATAATACAGTGCGTGCATTCATATGTACACGCACGAGGCTGTTCAATAAGTCCTAGGATAATAAATTAATAAGATTTTATCAAATATGGCAATATAGATATTCTTGAAACAATATTGTAACTGAACTCACAATCTTTGAAAAGGTTTAAGTCCAAAGTACTCAGACGGAATGATAATTTGGATTATTTTCTTTCAATCATCTTTCCTAATTTAGATTTTGGAGAAGTTCATTTTTCTCAAGATCTTACCACACGATGAAATATTACTTAACCATATCAGTCTATACGATTTGTTTAGAGAAAATAAGCCGATCCTCTAAATAGTGGTTACCCGGGTTAAAAACTCAATTTATCCTTCTAGCAATTAGCACGAGTAACTGAAATGGATCGGTCTAATCATCATATCCAATAAACACAAGTCCATTTGTTTATATTATGATCTATGAATTCTGTCTTTTGGTCCAGTTTTTGAGAATTTGGGGAAACAACGCCTTTACACCTGGAATGATCCAATACATGGTAAAGTCAATTCTCATGGATTCAAGTTATTATTAAATTGAAAGATGTCGCTTCTGATAGTTCTAGTCCACAACGCCCCGTTTCACTTGGTGGAAGAAACAAGATGTCCAAAGTACTTGTATTGTATTGGACACAGTACCGTTAATTGTAAAATTTGTCTCTTAAATACATCTTAGATTCCGTGAAGTTTTGTGAACTTTTGTACATCAAAATTCTAATATGAACATTTTGATATATTATAGCTTGACTTGGGACACGCGAATTCGGGATATCATGGGAAACAGTTTCCATCTAGCAGATGAGGAAAGAACAAATCAGGCGACGATACGAGACCTCCTGGCTCATAAGCTGGGTATCCCTGGATACTTTGGCGCACTGATGAGTGGTATGGAAGTGGACAGGAAAGAACTAGTGAGGTAAAACAATTCTCAAAAGTAACAAGCACGCAATTCATTTTTATACGAAGCTATTCCATTTATCAAATCAAAATTTCATCTTCATCTCAGAACATCGTCGAACGTCGCTGCATCGTGTGTTGAGATAGCCTCAATTATCTTGTGAAATGCAATGGTACCAGGGGCGGATCTAGGAACCAACAACCGGAGGGGGGGGGGCATATTTGAAGTCTGAAAAAGGAAATTCCGCAAAAAGTCTTTTGAAAATTCAAGGCACATTTTCCTGATAATTTGGTCTAAAATTAAAAATAAGGCCTTAAAAGGCCCATTTTTGCCAAAAAAGGCCCATTAGCCCAGATCACCTTCTCGGTGTGCATTTAGTTGCGTTTGGAAGTTTATGTAAGTCATGGATCTTGGGATCGAATGCCTTATATTTTATAAAGGCTACCTTCTCTAAAATACTGAATATTAATCCCCTGGATGAAATGAAAGCTTTTGGCGCCTTCTTATGGCCCTTACCTACTTTGCACCTATGGACCGACCTTCTTCGAAATTTCTTGCAACGTGGCGCTTTTGATGTGACCAATACTTCGGTCGGAGAGGGCTCTCAAGATTATGCTGTAGTGAGTTTAATACATCCACTGTCTAAAACAATTATAACATATGGCATGTCACCACCACAAGTTGTGACATACTGTTGTTTTAATCTCCAACTTTTTGTGGACTGTGTTTGGCGGTTGATGTTCGGCGTTCGGCTCCCTCAATATATGGTAGGTGATGACATTTTGCAATGTCTTTTTTGTTTTGCAGCCGACTTCGCTACTTCACAACAGACGAGCCATTTCGTTCTAAATATATCTACAATAACTTTATGTACATGTTGGCTGGGTATGTCGCTGAAATTATCACCGGTAAATCGTGGGAAACCTTACTAAAGCAGAGGATTTTGCGGCCCTTGAAGATGACGTCGTCACTCTTGGTGAGTGAGATCGAGACGCTGGAAGGATTTGCTCTACCCCACATGTCATTCAACAATTCCCTCAAGTGTATAAGTCCAGATATTCTTGCGTAAGTTCTCAACACCCATGTCTGGTGAATACGTTAAAATAAAAATTAAGGTACATCCATCTAGCTTGCCATTACAAAATAATGGCACCGTGATCACAGAATTTTGACATCTGTATTATCTCTCCACTTACAAATACCAAGCATAGTGCGACATCTTTCTAATTTTTTAAAAGTTTGTCTAACCATTGTAGAGTGGTCAGCCCGGCAGATCCTGCAGGAGGAATCTGTTCAACTGCTCGTGACATGGCACAGTGGCTTTTGTTTGTGGTTAATAAAGGTTTAGACCAGGCTAACAATGAACTTCTTAGGTTTCGGGAATTCAAGGAACTTCTTAAACCACAGCTCCCTACGAACTTACAGTTGGGGAAGAAGACATTAAAGAAACCTATATTTCCCGTTTCCGAAGGCAGGTTTGCCTATGACATGGGCTGGGGATCTGGCACGTACAGAGGTGGGTAATGGGTATGCCTTTATTTTATAGTGTCGGTATGTTATTCACTATGTAACTTTGACGCTCTAAAGCTAAGAACCTAATGATATTTAGAGGACGCACATATTCGTTTAAATCACCATACTGACACAAATAGATATGGTTTCATTCTAGCACAAAAATGTTATTATATAATATGGTGGAAACATGTTTTTCCTCCTGGTATTTTAGAGTAAACTTTTATTTCAAGGCTTCCACAACGTTCAGCATCCAGGTCGAATCAATGGCTACGACTCTCTAATATGGGTTTTCCCTGACAGTGATATCGGAATCTTCACCAGCACCAATGGTCCTATGAATGACGAGTCATATAATGGACTCAGAGCTTTACATTACTATATTTCTGATATACTTCTAAAGGAAAAAGTATGGTTGAACCACACGACTGCTTGTACATTTCCAAATCCTTGGATGAGTGACCACGAAGGGAGACGCCCAGCATCTCATAAAGCTGATACAGCAGCAAGACGTTCAGGAAATTCATTACTTGAGACGATGCAGAAACTGCAATATGTCTCAGATATTCCGTTAAGACAGTACGCGGGAACGTACGGTCATTTAGCATTCGGGAACATAACAGTAACTTATAACACAACGGACGATTTATTGTATATATCACAAAATAAATATTTCCGTGCTCGTCTTTACCCATTGCATGGTCGGCATCGATTCTACATGAAACTATTCGGCCCATTAAAGTTCTGGACTTCAGCGGATGGGTGGTCGGATAGGATCCCCTTGTATTTCAAATCATCTGGGGGTAACGAGAGTAACATACAGACACTGGTAGCAGTGCACGTAGATGCGTCTGCCAAACCTGAGTTCCATCGAGGTCTCAAGTGGGATTCGCTCCCCATTCCCACTACTATCATGCCTGGTAACCCATGCGGCTTTGTTTCGCATGCCTGCCACTCTGTCAAGGATCCCGTTTCAGCCCTACTCCAAGTTCTTGTTCTCTTTTCGATCTTTTTAATCGATCATATTGGAATTCTAGTTTGATCTCCAAAACAACCCCCCCCCCCTCCCCCAATTTCATTTAGAGAATTGGGTCTTAGATCATCGAATAGAATACGCTGGAATAACTAACACCACACTCTTCCTTGCCGTTGCATTGGCGACGTCTCCTGTCGCATCCGTGCTTATGGCGGTCATGTCACGCTTTCATATTGCAACGATCAAAGAACAACATGATACTAAATTGTCTTTCTTGAAAGAACAAAGCAAATTGGTTTTATTGTAGTAATATTTACATCCTATATATGTAATTCATCAGAATTCAACAAAAAACTAGTTGCCTGCTATATAAATCATCAAGCTCATTTCGGGGAAACTTATCTGCCATGGTATGGATGCGTACGTATCAAAACATTTAGTAGAACAATGTTAAATAATACCTATGGCTGAAGCATGTAAATAGGTTCTCAATATGTACAGTGTATGAAATACAATTATTATTTTACTACATCGTATCTATAACATGTATATACTGTATAGTGTATGTTACAAGAGACACTACTAAGGTAGAAATTGAATGTCAAACTCTTTGACCTTAAAAAGAAATAAACACAGAATGGAAAAATGCATCTAAATTAAAACATACACAGAATGGGAAAATACAACGAAATTGAAATAAAATTAAAATAGCAAAGTAGGTTTATCAAATAACGGAGATAAAAATATTCTGGTCAAAATTTTAGAAAAATTGCCCTCTATCACTTATTCTTTGTATTGGTGATATGCTCTCCTTCAAATGACACGCCTCTCCAACTGCTGATTCTATTGAAGTAATATGTCAATTTATAATTTATCGCTACAAAATCAGTCTTACATCATCTTGTTGATTATACTATGACACGTGAGGTCGTCTCGGGTTCATATCTTGGGGAAGCGGGACGTATATTTACATGCATCTCTCGTTGTATCCGTTTCAATATTACAGAAAAACGTTTTTGTTCAGAGTAGAAACAGTCAAATTTGTAAGAATATCTCGCTAGCAAGCGTGTATTTGGGCATCAGACGGAAAAAATACTTAAGTTAAGTTCACTAATAAAGTTTACGAATCGTAGATCAGAGAGGCTTGGCTTTAGCTAAGAAACGGAAATCTCTGAAGCAGAAATGACTTGAAAATCAGCCAAAAGCTTGTCAAATGATAAATTAGTTATGTGATGATGCTCAATTTTGGATATAATGTATATCTCTTTCCGGGAAATTATATCTTACCTCGGACCATCCGGGACCTGGGTAATATATCTATATTTCCTTCAGGATATACCCCATATCAAAAACCTCCCAAAAACCTCCAAATATTTATATCTCCCGTTGTGTATCTCCCGCTCTCGTTTTTGTTAGTGTAAAAACAGTCAATTTGTTCAATATCTTACTATACAGAAACTGTCAAAATGGATGCAGCAGACGGTCGAATTTTTCTTGACCAAAATGATGATGGATTTCTCGAAAATAATGAAAAAGAAAACAAACATGGATACAGATCTAGATGTCCTGGTAACCTCACTGGTGAAGCCTCACTTGTTATAGGATAAATTAGTTATACGGTGTTCACTTTTGAATATGGGGTATATCCCTCTGGAAATATGATATCTTACCTCGGACCCTCCGGTGCCTCAGTGAGATATCTATATTTTCCTCGGGGTATACCCCGATATCCAAAACCTCCAACAACATAACTCTTATGTATGCAAGAATTGACGAAAAGGGTTGGAATCTCCATTTGACTTAATGGTTTGACTTCTCCTCTATCCACTGAGGGAGCAGATATAAATTCTCCAGAGTGAAATCTTAGTGATTTTTTCAGTCATCTCACAATTCCGAAATGGTAAGTTGAAGCATGACTGATAATGAGATATTTGGACGGAGAATTTTGTATGCCCAGCTATGGATTGAAACAAAAGTGAATTTGGGTGGTTAGCGAGACCAGTTTTAGTTAGAACATTCTTTTTTCGAATATTTATATAAATACGTTTATACCTCACATGATTTATGAAGTAGCTAAATGTTCTACAGGGTGTTAAAAACGCAACCCAAAGAAATCGTTATATCTTGAAAAATACTGGTCCAATTATGTTCATATTTTCAGGAAATAAAGACGAGACAGTGTATGTACAGATCCTGTAAATGGTAAGTTGAAAAACATGATGCATTGGACACCTGCTCAAAAGACATTTGTACTAGGAAAATATGAAAAACACAGTCAGGGGTGACTGCAACCGCAAAAAAATTAAATAACTTCCTAACCATAGTGTTCTGGCTCTTCAAATTTGGCACAAATCATCTTCATTCACTGTATGGTAAATCTGTAGAGTGAAACCAAAATCACTTCAGGGACTTTACAGTAATGGTTGAAATGCTTTCAAATCGCAATCAAACGCCCTGGTTCAGGGAGACTTAAGAAGCCATTTTGACCATGACTGTAAAGTCCCTAGAGTGATTTTAATGAAACTCCACAAACTCACTACACATTGAATGAGGGTAATTTGTGCCAAAGCTAAAGTGCCAAAACACCATGGTTAGAAAGTTATCTGGTTTTATTGCTGTGGCAGTCACTTCTGACTGCGTTTTCATATTTGCTTAGTACAACTGTCATTTGAGCAGGTGTCCAAGGCATCATGTTTTACAACTTACTGACAACAGGAGCAATACATACACAGTCTCTTCTTTCTTTTCCTGAAAAAATGAACACAATTGAATAAGTATTTTCCAAGATATAGTGATTTTCTATTCATGCTTTTCGTATTTTGCTAGTACATCTGTCTTTTGAGCAAGTGTCCGAGATATCATGTTTTACAACTAACTAACAACATGGGCTATACATACACAGTCTCTTCTTTCTTTCCTGAAAATATGAACATCATTGGATTAGTATTTTCCAAGATATAGCGATTGATTTCTTTGGGCTGCGTTTTTTTTAACACCCTGTACTAAGTGTGGCAAATATGGACATTAACATATATATATAACAATTACATTGCTAGGCCTGATTATTGTCAGATTATAATTAATGAAACTGTCTAAACGTCTAACCACGACCTATATGTGTCAGTTTATAGTGCATGGCTTGACAGACGTAGTGCAACTTTTTGTCAACACTTATACAGCTAACAAGATGGAATGGTGTCCTCTGGCAAAATAATGTCAGTTAATGCAGAACACTATTTTATGTTTGAAGTTACACGTCCGTACATTCGAGGTTGGTAACCCAGCTTGGATCATATCGCGAACTACTCTGAACATATCGCCAGATATCTTGACATTTATGGCTGCTCACTCTAATTGAGTCTACTGTCGGTTCTGCCTCCCCGCTGCAATCAAGTATCTAGAATAGTATGGTCCCTGTAAATGTGGAGTACATGTATCCGTGCAGGTATGGTGCTCTTGCTAGTAGCACCAGCCACACCTGATCCCCTTTCTCGAGATCCAAGATGGCAGTATTTGTCGCAGTGGCCCAGTAAGGGATACTCTCGGCCCATACAGTGAATATCATAGATTGTTTCTTTCCTCCGAGTCCCACTGAACGCATCAATTTCACAGCTGCCTGGAAAAATAAAATAAAAGATACATAATATTTATTCACAAACTTTGGTTTGTCGTACCGTGCCGTAACCTAGATTTTGGGATTTCTGCAACAAAGCTGTTAAAATGAGTTATATAGGTATATGTGTGCACAGCTCCTTATAGAGAAAAGACTAAAAATCACTAAAAAAGAAACATCTAAGAGCGCAACAAGTCATAAGGAAAACCAAACCCCAGCATCCCACATTATAATCAAACGCATAAAGAGGCAATGTCTAACATTCAGCTAGTCTTACTTCAAGACCTTGGACCGACCCCCCCCCCCCTTCCCTCCTTATATACTTTGAAAACTGTTGTAAAGTAGAAAGGGGGTCCAGGGCCTTAAAAACAGCTCCCTGTAGAGAAAAGACTAAAAATCACTAAAAAAGAAACATCTAAGAGCGCAACCAGTCATAAGGAAAACCAAACCCCAGCATCCCACATTATAATCAAACGCATAAAGAGGCAATGTCTAACATTCAGCTAGTCTTATATCAAGACCTTGGACCGACCCCCCCCCCCCCCTTCCCTCCTTATGTACTTTGAAAACTGTTGTAATATAGAAAGGGGGTCCAGGCCTTAAAAACTAGTTTGTGCATGACGTTCGTGAATTTGCCACATTAATACAAAAGTACCTTCACTGTGAACATTTAGTATTGCGAATTTCACACGTTTACATACCTTCTGTCGACCCTGTGCGGATATTACAACAAAGAACTGATAAGTGCCATTATGTGGAGCTGTGAACCTGCCAGTATTCTCATCATAGCCCTTTCCCCGGTTTGTCAGTATCCGATCGAAGACAATGTCAGAGTTTACATCTACTGGTCCAATGTTCTCAGAAAGACCAGCCATGAACGCAACCTGGTGTGGTGTTGGAGCAGGAAAGCCTACAAACACAATGGTATGTGATGGTATATTTATATAAAAGGCAGTATTATCTCAACCAAAGATGCTGACAAATGAAACATCTTAATTAACATTCGAAGACGTTTTCCGAAGAAATCAATAAAATCAATACAACTCCAGCGGTGCTGAAAAATAACATGTCAATTAAAGATATAGGCTTAAATGTGACACTTAAAATAATTGTATTTTAAGAGTGCTGTGGTATCCATCTTGCACTCATTCAGATTCAAGGCAACACTGATAAACTTAATAATCGAAAGGATGGGTATCGATATGGTGAACTTTTTGAACACACGTTTCTCTTAAACCAGTCATCAAAAAATTCTGATAATTTTATACATCGTCAATTTAATGGTCATTTTTTGGAGGGTAGCAATATCTATCCGAACCTCATATATATTGGAACAAAATGACATAAACACAACGAATTTAGGTCTCTCAATATTGTAATTGTACAAAGGAAAGTTTGGTTGATTCAAAAAAAATATCTTGTTAATGAAATAAAACGTTTATCTTAATTTTTTTATCTATTTGGTTTTTTTTGTTTTAATTTTTGGAATACTTTACCACAATTTCCTTTGTATAACTATAATATTGAGAGGTCTAAGAAAATGTTGTATATGCTATTTTCTTCCAACAGACTTCGGAATGATATTCTATTTCATTATCAAGAATTGGCAAAAAGGAACAAAAAACAATTGCACTAAAAATGTTAACCAAAACTATATATAATATGTATAAATAATTTTCGCATTAAATATATTGTTTATGTACGTTGTCAATCAGTCAAAATTACATAAAGTATCGTGTTTTTACAGAATGTTTTCAATAATTGGTTCAAGAAAAAAAACATTGTTGAATTTAGTTCACCATATCGATATCAATCCAATAAGTTCAATGATTGTCAAATACAAAATTAAAGAAATGGAAAACATTATCTTCCATTATTCAAGGGTTGTGCAAGCTGCCAGAAGACTTTTGGAAATTATATATAGATGAACAACCTTTTTCAAATGTCATATTTTCAAAAAGGGTCTCAAATCCTTTAATTAGTTATGAAAAGTAATCAAGATTTACATTTGCAGTTTTTGTAACAGATGGATATTTCCCTACATGTAGCTTTTATTCTAAAGAGCGTTGATCCCAAATCATTCAATTATATGGCGGAACGGTTAATTTTCGATCTAGTTAATTGATTCAAAATTGGTCCAGGTCAAAACTGTTTATAAATCAAACTAGTATAGTGCACACTTTGACTGTTCATGAATGTCCCTGATTAATATTAGAGTATATTATCGTCTAATGATCTACAGCATTTTTTCATCAAGAGATTTTATTGCCATTAATCATACGTATATTAAAAGTACATATCATACATGAGGGACCCAATCGCCAGTAGCATTATAGGTGTCCCTCATGTAACATGTGTCCCTCATGATCTACAGCATTTGTGTTACCAGTATTCATAAATAAATATAAGACTATTGAGATTAGATCGTCAACAGATGTTAAGTACAAACTTTATCCAAGTATCGGAACAGTTTTCACTTCATCTAGTGAGTTGATGATGCTGTCGATTGGAGTTGCCAATCAACGAGTGTTAGAGGACCAATTAATCACTCTTTATTTGTCCATACGGACTAATTCATTCCTCTATTGATTCTGTATTATTCACTAGATATTTCCCAACAAACTTAGATCTTACCTTTTCAATAGTACCTTCAGTGATATTTTTGAATGTTTCAGATAAGGCATGTTTCGCCACTTCTGGTACTTCACTTGGATCAAACAATATTCAGACAACTCTCGTCCAAGACACTCTTTGAACATATTGGAATAATCACGATTCCATTTGATAAATTCACTCGTTTTGTTAGCTCACATGGTGAGCTTTTGCAATCGCTCACTTGTCCGTCTGTCTGTCCGTCCGTCCGTCTGTCTGTCCGTCTGTCTGTCTGTCCGTCCGTCCGTCAACAATAGTGGCACGTTTTAAAACCTCTGTCGATAGGATTCCTGTTTTAAGTTATTTCTGTTCAACATCAATACAGAAAACTCCCCTATGACTCCTGGTTCAAAAGCTCGCCTATTTTCAAAATGGCCGCCATTTTTGTCTCGCGAAATTCACTTTTGACCCATTTCCTAGCTTTAAAATAAATTTCAGGTGTCCTACATTGTAAAGATCTGTGTCAATGTAAAGAGTAGATATATGAAATAATTTTGTTACAAAAAATCAGCGAAAAATTATATCTATTTTTTTATTTTCAGCCATTTTAGTTAACATTGATTTGTCCATCTGACTTGTGAAATCCACTTTTCCGTCAACAACACTGGCACGTTTTAAAACCTCTGTCGATAGGATTCCTGTTTTAAGTTATTTCTGTTCAACATCAATACAGAAACTCCCCTATGACTCCTGGCTTAAAAGCTCGCCTATTTTCAAAATGGCCGCCATTTTTGTCTCGCGAAATTCACTTTTGACCTATTTCCTAGCTTTACAAATAATTTCAAGTGTCCTAAATTGTAAAAATCCATGTCAATGTAAAGAGCAGATGTATGAAATAATTTTGTTACGAAAAATCAGCAAAAAATTATATCCATTTTTTTATTTTCAGCCATTTTAGTTAAAGATCTAATAGCAAAGGTTTTGCAAAAATAAATCAATGTAGTATAAAACAAATGTATGTATTATGAAGAAATAAATATATAATGAAAAAAATAGATATGTGTTTGTAATATTGGTATAAACTTAAGATTAAAAAGTGTCACTATCTCTTTCATTTTTCAACAAATATAGGCTCACGTGACATGTGACGCGGGGCAGTCAATTTTGATCTATCGTAGACCATATCAGTATCAAATTACTGATATTTCAACCTCGTCTTGCGAGGCCATTTTGATTTGAAACATCTTGAATTTGGTGTCAAAATGAAGCTGGTCACGCCCACTTTCAGAGTTATCAATGAATCATTTACTACGACTTCTATATTCATTTAGGAGGCGTGTAAAGTTAACCAATCAGAAAGACAATTGTTCCATATATGGCAGTTCATTAACATATTCAGTGTTTACTACTGCTTTTCACGTCATGACAACACGAGTAGTAACCAATCAAGATGCCGTATTTTATCACGTGAGTTCAGAGTGACACGCACGCGACATGTTGTCTGGGGTGATCGCGATGTTGAACAATTTCTTCTCGGAATTTGTCCAGAGAAATCAGCGATTCTAAATTAAGGTAGGATCTGCCATTTTTTCCTGTACAAGTTATAACTTATCTCTATCGAATCCTAAAGTTTTGGAAGAAGATATGAAGCGTAGGTTTAAAAACGAAGCGATTAATTTGAAGATCTGATTTTGCAATTTGCAATGGCCAATTTACAGTGCAAGTCCAGTGCATGTATTTGACAAGAGATAGCGCCAAGTCTGGTATCTAAATGCTTGTTAAGCCACTCAAAAACAAGATCCATATCTTCTAAATTTGATAACTTTGCAGAAAACCTGTTTTCATAATCTGTTTTCCGCGTCTAGATTCAAACTGAGTATGATAATAGGATCGCTGGAATCTTCAGTCAATGGCAACGGGTCTTCATTCCAGAACTCACATTTTTAGTTGATTCTCCGTCATAGTTCTTGTTTAAAGTCCCCATATCTGCTCTCTTACTGCCATACTTGCACACATTTCCCCTCCTTAAATTGTCTTCATTCAAATTACACCCTCTCGCCGATTTATATAGTCATTTCCCAGAACCCGGGAATCAGAATCGCTGATGTTTGCCATATTGAACATATATTATATTAGTACTGTAATATCTGTACATTGACTGCTACGCGTTATGGTCACGTGACTAGCGCGATACAGGAAAAATGGGGAATTTCGAAACAACAATTTTTGGGCACTTTTATTGCAAATTTCAGGTATTTATAAAGTGTTTGTTATATAAAATATAATCCACAGACATAAATGAACATCCAAACTACATATTTCATTAAGTTTTGGAGCCTTTTTTGCTCTTAAATCAACATCTTTAACATCCGTCTGTCTGTCTGTCTGTCTGTCTGTCCGTCAACAATAGTGGCACGTTTTAAAAACTCTCCTATGACTCTTGGTTCAAAAGCTCGCCTATTTTCAAAATGGTCACCATTCTTGTCTCGCGAAATTCACTTTTGGCCCATTTCCTAGCTTTACAAATAATTTCAGCTGTCCTGCATTGTAAAAAGCCATGTCACTGTAAAGAGTAGTTGTATGAAATAATTTTGTTACAAAAAGTTGGCAAAATATTATATCAGTTTTTTTATTTTCAGCCATTTTAGTTAACATTGATTCGTCCATCTGTCTCTCAGTCAGTCCAAAAAAGTGGCAAGTTTTAAACCTCTGTCAACACTTTTTAAATCCTCTGTAGATAGGATTCCCGATTTAAAATAATTTTGTTCAACATCAATAAAGAAAAAAAAACTGTGACTCCTGCTTCAAAATCTCGCCTAATTTCAAAATGGCCACCATTTTTGTCTCGGGAAATTCAATTTTGGCCCATTTCCTAGCTTTACAAATAAGTTCAGGTGTCCTGCATTGTAAAAAGCCATGTCTTTGTAAAGAGTAGTTGTATGAAATAATTTTGTCACAAAAAATCTGCAAAAAATTATACCCGTCTTTTTTATTTTCACTTTTGAGCAACACCATGTGAGCCCAGTACCCACGGTACTAATTTTTTTAATGAGCAAACATGGTCATCGATAAACTTTGAAGCTATTTGATGCATTACGTCAGTTTCAGCTTGAACATTTGAATACTATTCAAATGCACGAAATAGATCACTTGGATCTATTTAAGAACACTTCATATATCTTGTCATAACCAAATTGATATTAAAAACTGCAATCATCAGCTATTCAGATAAAATCAATTTATTTGGAAATTAACATTGAACAAACATATATGACAAATTCGAACCCGATTTAAAAAATTTCATGCTCGGTATCATCAGCAACACCAACTACCAATGAATAAACATTCATAAAAGTTATCAAAAGATACACGTCCAGCCACCGATCATGAATTTTATGGAATACATCATCTGTCTTTGTAACACAATACAATCTCCTGACTAAAAGGGTAACGCATAACGTTTAACAAATTGAACACCCCTTGTTGGTGTTGCTCACCGTTTAGTATAAAAGGAGCGATCTTGGATCTTGAAAAAATAGAATAGACAAATCAATATCACCTTACCTATCAACAGTGCGATGATATTGGTTTGATTTCAATATTATTGAAACAAAACATATAAATACAAGGATCTACATTGGCTCAATGCATACCTTGGATAATTCAGCCTCTCGATGTTATAGATTGCAAACTTCTTCAGATTATTAAACGGGAACAAAATTCCCCTAATTTCTTTAAAAGTAGACTGATCAAATAGACTAGTTTTGGAGCAGTTATACTGTTTAACGGGAAGCTTTATGTAACCCTTTAGACTAGGGGTGACATGGTTTATTCATGGTGGCCAAATCTGAATATTTTGAAGTCGAAACTTCCTGAGGATCAACCTCCTAGAAGAATTGCAAGTAGAAAGATAATCAAGAATACATAATACAATTAGCAGGCTGTATTTAGGAAGTTCATTTTTCATATCTGTTTATTCTTAAATCAACAAAAGCACAATTAGCATTCTACAGAGTGAAAGATGGTTATTATTAACGCAGCCGCAAGAGAACCCAAAGATTAATGATATCTTCTGGATTATCTCGATAATCAGATATTTCATATGTATGCAATGAGACTAAAATATATCAAAAAGTGAAGGTTCTTTATCTATTCAAATCGCACTTTGTAATCATTAGACGTGTCGCAAAAAGGTGGCGCATTTGTTTTTAAGGGTATCGCGTGAATGTAACTTTGATTCTCCGGATTATAAGATAATATTCTAAAGTTATATATCATTTTAAAGCTGTCTCGATGAAGTTTTTAGATCAACTACACTCCGTTCACGATTCTTGCGCGTTCTTTTAAAAAAAAGAGTTACCAAAACATCTGGCAAGTATCTCCTGTTGACACGTTACATTTTGAATTATTTTTCGTCTTTAAACGCTCATAACTCAAACAATATATGACTATTATACTTATTTTTCGTCTTTATAAAGGTAGGTGGACGTTTTATTTCGAAGGATGAATTTTAGTAAGCGTCCCATTTTCACGGGTAACTAGAGTATCCGCGTATATTGAGTATGACCGGTTCTTAGGCTACGAATATGACCTGTTTTGGAAAGTCATGAGAGGCACAGCTGCTTAAAAATGGAAAATAAAGGTTAACTTCTATATTATCCTTTTTGAAATTGCGTTTGTTGAATATAGTTTATGCTGTATTTAATAGTAATGTAACAAAAAAATGTTAAACATGAGCTATTTTAGCAATGTAACTGTTCATAATGGAATATCAATCAGAAAGTACAGATTTCTCGCATTAGAGCCAAATCATTAATATCACAGTTGAAAAAAAAAATCCCAAACCTTTTTATGGCTAACCTGAACAAGATTTCCAAATCTCAGTTTATATGATCCCCCGTAGAGTGAGCAAGAGAAGGATTTATCTTTTCCCAGAGGATACGCTTGTGAAATGTCATGGAAACGAGTGTAACACGGCATCCAAGACATTTCACAACCGTATTCTCCAATAATGGGGCACCAGTGACATTCGTATTCTCAAAAAATCAAAGATGTATCATATTTGGACAGAGCAGGCTAAATTATTTAAAATATTCATGACTAATTCGTAGATCTAGCTATATGTTATACATAAGATGTGTCATCCTCTTCGGGGTTGCGTTGTGTTACACAAAAACTGATCAAAGATGCTGGAAACTAGGATTTTACGGCTTCAATCTAATATTAATACGTTTTCTGTTGATTAAGGCCCCTTGTGATATGCCTGGCATTATAAGTATACCAAGTATCATTCATTGACCAAGTAGGATAAAAAGAAAACGTTCGAAAGTGTTCATAAAAAGCAAGTACTCACCCCGTCTGTTTATAGGAACAGAAATACGGTCACACTCGTAAGCTTAGAACCGGTCATACTCAATATACGCGGATACTCTAGTATCCCGTGATATTGTGACGTCATAGAGTTTGAAAAATAGAATCTGTTGACAGCGACCTTTTTTGCTCATTTTTTGTTACCTTCAGCTTTTCAGGTGTACGTTTAACAAAAAATACGAGATCAATTTTTAATAAATCATACATGATTATTTTGCTCCTAAACTCTATTTTATTAATAAATAGTTGATTTTGTTCGCAAAAGTATGTGTTTTCTGTTGTATGTGGAAAAGTGGAGGACGAAAGGTTTTCAAAATTCATTAAAATAGGGCTAATTTACGCCATTCGCCTATTTTCAAGCACAGCAACACGTATATTTATTTCACCTAAAATATCAATTGATTCGTGTTTTATGATACTCCTATCCCATTGTTAATACATGTACGATATCAGAGTTATTCGACTTAAACATTTTGAGATATAGAGGCAAATGTGGAGGACGAAAGGATTTCCATATGTGTACATTTTTCTCAAAAAACGTCACATTCTGTGGTGTTAAAAAAGCTAAAATGTGTAACAATGCGTGCGCGACCTTTTTGCGACACGTCTTATGTGGGGCCACATTTGCAACGGGGCGTTACAAGTAGAAAGTGAAAGCCTCTCAGGGTTGGCTTAATGAAGTGAAGTTGCTTCTTGTAAGGTTCGAACTTTAAAGAAGACCTCATTTTCTGAGACGTTTCATGTCACACATTGATCTATATTCAAGATGAAGATAAGGCGAAAAATCAAGATGAAGCTTATTTATTTGCTTATTGTGGTAAATTGGAGACAATGGCGATAGGCCAAATATTGATCCTATATACCAATTACAGTAAACACAATCTTGGAATTGCTTTCTTCCATGACAATACATCACCACATTTAGATAGTTGAACCAATGAAGCGTGAAATGGAAGATGAGGTTCAAATGGACCCCTGGAAACACGTTCCATCTGATTAAGATGATTATTGCGATCGAAACATTCGATGTGAAGACGTAATTTGATCGTTTATCAGCTTTGAACAGAGGCTTAAATGGATTGAAAGTTTCGATATCTTAACTAGCAACCCCTCTTGGGCAATGTTCTTCGATTACATGCATCGATCTAGGTATTGAGGCTAACAGACTTAATTATCTCTGATTTATATACTGACAATAATAAGACGTGATTAATTATTAACGGCATTCACCTGTGTCGAATTTACTTAGTCTTGGGTACAGGTATATGAATGATTGTAAATGCTCTTGAGGGTGGTGTTTATACAATAAGAAATTAAGTAGCACTTGATTGACCTCTCATATCTTTTTGTCATCATGTCATAATCCAGGATGATCCTCATGAACTTACCATTAAAATAATCACTAATCAAACAAACATGCTAAGCTTTATTGTGCAATGCTGTGAAAAGTAGCACTGACATTGCATTATTACAAATGTAAACTCAGAAAGTCAGTAAACCAAAAAAGCAATTGTATCAATCACTCCCATGGGAATAGTCATATTATTTTATTTTGTTTTAGTAGAAGTAATCAAAAAGATCCATACCTGGTTTTCCTGGAAGCCCGGGTATGCCATTCATCCCTGGCGACCCACTTTCACCCGGTTTTCCAGGTGGTCCTTTGGGCCCTTTGATAGGTAGCGAAGCGGGTAAACTTCCGGCGTCAGTACAACGAACCTCCAGAGAGCAGGTTCCATCATTTTTCTCCTCCAACTCCTCTAGATCTGCATTTCTGGGTTGTTTTAGTGATTTGTCCCTTTGGGGTTTATCTCTGAATGCCTTTTCCCGAAGTGCTTTGTCTTTTTGTGCTCTGTCTCGATGTTTCTTGAATGATTTAGTCCCATCTCCGTTTTTGTCTTTAGATTCTGACAGTCCCAATCCATAGAGTAACAGGCCAACAAGCAATAGAGTGAACGTGTAATGGTCAATCTTCATTTTACCTCCTAAAACAAAATTGATGGCTTCATCTGCTGGTCAATCAATTCACTTATATTCCATTAACATCATCCTATTTGAACTACAAACGTCCTATAATATATCCTAATTTAAAACAACGATTTTATTTATATATGCATAGCTTACCTTACTGTATATTTAAAATTATTCCACTTTATTTTTGTTTTTGTCTTGCTTCTAGTCATTCATTTAAATTTTCCACAACTTTTTGTCATAATGCCTTTAGTTGTTTGCTTTCATGAATTCGAACTTTATCTGCAAATGATAAGCCGCGTCCTGCTCGATTGCGAGTGGCATATAAGAGCCGATTGGAGCTCACTTGACTATCCTGGATCCCAGATATATCGATCCTGAATCTGATTTAAATAAAATAATATTTTGATACTGTTTGAACTTAATCACCCATACGAAATAATTTTTGATTCACTGGTTAATAAAGTAAGCTTTGATAGGAAGCGAATTTAAATCATAATTCAGGGATACCCGATAAATCAAATAGAGACAATTTTGATAATATTGGTTCTATTATGGTAAAGTAAATTTAAGACTGTATCCCGGGTGCAAATGGGTCTCCGGCATTCATTCAAATAATCGAATGTTGACCAGTTAGTCCCTAGAAACAAAACTAGACCTTTTGTCTTCACAGTACCAATATCTCTTAATAGGTTTATAGAAGTTGCCAATATATCTCATCCATCTACATATATGAAGCCTTTAATAATTCCTGCTTTATTGGACACTTTAATTTGATTGAAGCTCACAAATTATGGCCATTCAGAAGCCCTTAATAACTTCTTCCTCTAGTGTATTAATTCCATTAGATAGCAAGGCAAGAGAACAAACAAACATGGACGAATAAAGAGGGAAATGTCACGTTTTAAAGCAGATGTGGACTCTGAGAAAATACATCGACCTTATTACGAGCATATTTCACAGATTTATTATTCTGAATTGGCGAGAAGAACATGACAGACTATTGTGCCATTATTGCAATGTTATTAATTACAACCCTTCTTGGGAGGCAGATTCGTTTTCACAAAGAGTCAAGCGACTCATAAATAACCAGTGTTGTATTATCGTTTTACTGAATTTTTTGACACATTAAGAAACACAGCTTGATATATGGCTCTATCAATAATGGGACTAATATCCTAAAAACGTTTCGTTTAAGGTTTTCTAGAGAACATAAAACGTTTTATAATTTTCCAAACAATTACTGTAATGGAAGTTTCATTTCTATAGCACGATTAGTCATATGACACATTTTGCAAGTACTTTTAAAATATTGCCTTTATCTAAATATACTATACTTACACATAAATTTTGATGCTTATATACCACCTAAGAAATTAAATTTAAACAAAATCAATTGCAATCCAATATGCTTATATACATATTTTCACTCAGTAAAAAATGATTTACAGAAATCCTTCCGGATTTAATATTTTAACATTACACTGAGCTCACAATTTTTAATAGACCTCTTGTTTTTTCAAGAGTGCGATAATTCGCTTTGAATTGTCTACTGTCAGGTCCCTCAAACACATTAGGCCTCCAAGGTGTGTTAAACCGATATGTCTTTTGTATTTTGACACTATATTCAATATAAGTTTAAAGTCTTGCCCTGAAATAGATACCAGAGCTTTATTTGATTTTAAGATCGCGTTACAAGCCTCGCTGAAGTTCAGTATGAAAAGCCAATGTATTATTGTTACTTTGGAGAAATGCTTATATCCTTTATACACTCTACAGGGTGTCCATGAAAAAAGTATAGCCAACTTCAAAGGCAGATTACTAAACTCCTCAGGCCCGTAGTCAGGATTTGCCAAGGGGGGGGTTCAGTTTTCAAAAATTTCCATTTGACAATTTTGGCCCAAATATGACTAACATCACTTGAGAAGTGCTCAGAATGGTGAAAAACTGCATGATTTTGAAAGAGTTTTGGGCCAGGGGGGGGGGGTTCGCAATACATCTGACATACAAAGGTAGCTATAGCCGTAAAAAGCCTAGTTTGTCCTGAACTAGGTCAAATGGTACCTAGATCATGGAGGACTGAGCAATCATGACCATTATGAAAGCTTGGCACAGTGCCGATTTTACTACCTTTTAGGTATCATACGATGGATGACAAACTAAGCTCTTTACTGCTACTTTTGAAGTTAGGTATATACAGTTTTATGGAAACCCCTGTACATCAATCCTCCGCAACTTCTTCGTGCGGAGGATGTCACTTTACATCCCTCTCCTGCGATCTCCATTTTGTAATCTAAACACAACTCTTAGGAAATGAATGATAATCGTTAAACGTACTCCAAGGCCATATCATACGTAAATATATGAAGTACAATAGTATAAAACAGGAATATCTTTGATTTCACTGACATGATCACATGCTTCAAGGTAGATGGACTAGGTAGAAACTAGAAAACAGCAACTCCACGGAGTTGCAAACGCTACTGAACAAAACATGTTTTGATAAATAATAGCAATCTTGAAAATTTCTTCTTGAACAGAAATCCTTTGTATTGTCCCTACGTATCAAAATATAAAATTTCAACCAATTTGTCCACAGGTGTTTTAGTTTACAAAAATTATGTTTTCACGAAATATGGTGGCCTTTTTGAAATTCTGCTACCATTCTGAAAATTCCTTCTTAGCAGAGCTCAGGACTTTGACCTTGGCATCAGCATATAAAATTTGAACCAAATAAGTCCATTGGTATTTTTATTGACGAATGGCGCACATTTTGATTAATAGTGGCCATCTTAAATTATCAAAGATATATAACGGATTTTTACGAAAAATGACAATCTCTTCTCAGGTAGAGCTCCTTTGTCCCTAGGTATCAGCTTATAAGATTTTAACCGAATCAGTGCACTTATATTTGAAATATCAAAGATTTCGTTTTTACTAACAATGGCGACAATAGTAGCCATGTTAAAAATGTCTTCTTGATCAGAGCTCATTTGTCGCTAGGCATCAGCATATGAAATTGTTATCTCACTAAAAATAGCAGCCATTTTGATATTCAGCTGCCATCTTGAAAATCTCTTCTCGAGCAAAGTTCCTGTGTCCCTAGGCATCAGCCTATAACGTCTGTATAATATTTGAACAAAATTTGTCCAGTGGTATTTGAGTTCTCAAAGATTAGATTTTAACGACAAAATGGCGGTCATTGTGATAATTTAACATGCAGCCATCTTGAACATCTCTTCTTGAGCAAAGCTCCTTTGTCCCTAGGCATCAGCATAAAAATTTGAATCAAATCTTTCGAATAGTATTTGAGTTTTGAAAGATTAGATTTTCACGACAAATTGCGGCCATTTTGAATTGAGCGGCCATATTGAAAATTCCTCGACAGAGCCATAAGTCATAAATCTATAAAATTTGAATCAAATCTGTTAAACGCTATTTGAGTTATTGCCCTTGATAGACGGACAAACAAACGAACGAACGAACGGACGGCTTTTCTAAATCCCCCTCGAACTTCGTTCGGTGGGATAATACAATGTAAATGTTAGTTAACCTTATATACTCGATTTTGATTTGTCATTGAGCAGTCGGTCGTTTTTGAAATTAACCCGGTAATCTGTCGGTAATGCATTGGCAGAAAATGTTTGATTTGAACAGGCTAGAGTGACCATTGTGCCAAGAAAATATAGTACCAGATTTCTCATTCCCCAAGCACGTACTTGTAAAAAGCACGATCAACTCATCTAAGCATTTTACCTAAAACTAAAAAATGGTCAAGTGAAGCCATCTGATATCATAACTATTAACTTGAATTTAAACATGGTTAGTATACTCTTGTACTTTTTTTGTCCATAGCTTAACTAACTTCTATGTAAACGAGGTTTAATTAATTAAAGCATAGCTATATAGTTAGTCCGTTCATATATAACACCGCAAAATCAAAGTAACATCCAATAGCACATGTTACCAGGATCTTCGTCACAGAGCTTTATTTGCGTAATATCTTTAAAAATTATTTTACGTGGAATCCCATCATGCATTGGTCCACACCAATAAATGCATTTAAAGCATACATTACACCAACCGGCAACACACTGAAATTGAATAATTCGAAACAATTATAACCGTTGTGTAATTTGCAAATATGTGTGCAAATCAGTAGGGGACGAAGTCATACGAGGGTAAGGAAAAAAGTAAAGAGAAAGATGTACGAAGTTGTGCACAACCAAGTTTCTACATGTGATTTGATGAATGAATCCGTATCGTGTACTCTCGTATAAACAAACTTTTCTCATTTAAATATTGATATGTGATGTTTTTTATGATATTTTTCATTTCCAGCAGGCTAGGCCTACCTAATTCTAAAATGGAGCAATTATGAGTTATGAAAAGTACGTATAGTGATACCTCTTGCAGAAGAAAAGAAAAGCCATGTATCTTGGAAGTACGAGATTTTCTCTGTTCGTCAGGATGGCTTCAACAATTTCCTTGGCAACAGCGACCTCTTTCAATGGAGGAAAAATGGACGGAAACCTAAAAAGGAAAGTTGAAATAAGAATGACGAGATGATACCTAAATATCAAAGGTAACTTTCTCTATTATAAGTTGGATGTATTACTATGTATTTTATTGCTTGTTTGATGTAAAACACATTTCCCCATACCTTGTTTTAACACCACTGAACATTGTATTGTCTATCTGGTAGGGCAAGATGTTCGTAAAATGTATATAATCACAACCGTCTGAGCGTAGCTCATCTTTGATACTCTCAACCAGCCCGAGATTTGCAGCCTTGGTCGAGCAATAGAAAGGTGCGCCGTTAAGTGGAAGAACTCCCAATACAGAGTTCACGTTTACTATATGACCACGTTCCAGTTTTACCATGGATGGTATTAGAGATCTTAGTATCTGTAACAAGTATCGATAACCGTGAAATACGCAAAAATAGCCTTATACAATCATTTTCTATCGAAACATTGTAATGTGTAGTTTTTTCTCTGATAGGACATTTTCTACTAACTTTCTGTATACTAAAAATACATCTAACGGATCATTTCAAATACTAAATATCTTAAATTGTTTATCTAAATCTTATAAATTGAGACTTTAGCAAAAATTCACCTTGTAAAATGCTAGGGTATTGATTTGAAATGATCGGGTCAACTCATCACAGCTGCTATCGAAGAAGGATGTATGGTAAGCTACAGCTGCATTGTTGATCAGTATTGTAACGTCTCCTATTGTCATTCGTATAGTATCTAGCTACACGAGAAAACATGTCTAGGTTGGAAGTACATGTACTAAACTTGATTTTATCCCACGGTGAAAGCAACGTTTTTAAAATAAGAAGTGCAGCCTTGGCAAAAAGACCAAAGGGAATGTATATTATTTATTAGGCTATTATCATGCCCGGTGATCGGACAAGATGAACGGAGGGGAGGAGTAGGCGATCTCTGCAAGCAAATCCAACAAATCTTGAAGATTTATTTTTCAAGAGAAAGTTTACCAATAATTATATAAATTGCTTAATGAATAGGCACTGTACATGGCAAAATATGTTAGGTATTATAGTATTTTTTGGACCGAAACGCTTCTAAGATATGAGATCCATTACAAGAACACAAATGTGTACAAAATGTCCCCACCTATGGGTGATCCCTTCAAATGGTTATCCTAAAAATGAGTAGACAAGACTTTACCGACACAATTTAAGGACGGAAAATCCAAAATGGGCACCTTAAAATTTACCAAGAACGCAAAAAAATTAGTCAGTTCTAGATTTTCATACTAAGAAACACCCCTGAAAATTTGAAATTGATCCGTCACACAGTTACTTTACAGACAAGATTTGATGACAGAAAATCCAAAATGGCTGCCTTGACATTTATCCAGAATGCCAAAAAACTAATCTGTTCTAGATTTTCATACTAAGAATCATCCCTGAAAATTTGAAATTGATCTACCAAACGGTTCACCTGGAAATGCGTAGACAAGACTTGGACAGAAAATCCAAAATGGCTGCCTTGACATTTACCCAGAATGGCCAAAAACTAATCAGATCTAGATTTTCATACTGAGAATCATCCCTGAAAATTTGAAATTGATCTACCAAACGGTTCACCTGAAAATGCGTAGACAAGACTTTACAGACAAGATTCTAGGACGGAAAATCCAAAATGGCTGCCTTGACATTTACCCAGAATGCCCAAAAACTAATCAGATCTAGATTTTCATACTAAGAATCATCCCTGAAAATTTGAAATTGATCTACCAAACGGTTCACCTGAAAACGCGTAGACAAGACTTTACAGACAAGATTTTAGGACGGAAAAATCCAAAATGGCCGACAATAAAAAAGTGATTATGAGTTTTTGCTGATTTCTTTTTACAAAATTATCACATATAACTACTGTTAACAATAACATAGGCTTTTACAACAAAGTACACCTGAAACTATTTATAAAGCTACTAAATAGTTAAAGTATGAAAACTGAAAAACACCATTCAATATGATACAAAGTATAATCGTGCGCTAACTTTTCTTAAAACATTCAAAATGGCTGACATGACTGAGCTAACAGGTCCAAAACCTAATCAGATCTAGAATGAAGTGAGCTGAACAAGATGTTAAAGTTTTAAAAGCAACTGTGAAGCCGTTTTTCTAAAAGTTTGCAGACAAGGATTTTAGCATTTGATTTCAAAATGGCCGACAGGAAGTAGGTATCGAGATAATTTTTTTTCATCCACATCTGTATGCACTCATAAGTTATCCCTGAAAATTTGAAGGTGATATCTGTAGTGGTTTTGGAGAAAACTGCCGGACGTACGGACGGACAGACAGACAGACAGACATACGGACAGACAGACGGACGCGCCTAGGCCGACAATATGGCCCCACACTATGTGGTGGGGACATAAAAAAAAGGCGCATTCTCACCAACGTGCAAGAGTCAATGATTTTGCCATAAATCAGGCAACAATAGTCTACACGACCTGTAATAAATAGGTATAAGGAACGTTATTATCACAACACCAATAACATATTGCTCGCTTTTTAAAGTTAGTTCCCATGCTTATACAAAACATTATCGAAAAAATAATATTGAACAGAGGTGGGGAGGTGAACGGAGGGGGGAGTAATATGTCTTTAAGATGGAATAAGTTCTCAAGAACTCGGGTATTTGAAAAAACTAAACTCAGAACCTCAGTAAGATACTGGATATTACATCTCTGGAGAATGAAAAATGGGAAAATTTGGAGTTATATGAATAAATTCAATTAACATGTCTTATCATGTCATACATACACGTTACCCCCCCCCCCCCCCCTCCGTTCACCCCCCCCCCCCCCCTCCCCTCAATTCAATTTTAATTTTTTCAATTATTTTTTTAAAACGTATGGAAACTAACTAAGCCAATGATATCATTAGTCTTGTGATTATAACGTCTCTTATACCTATGTATTACAGGTCGTGTAGACCATTGTTGCCTGATTTATAGTTGACTTGACTTGACTTTTGCACTTTGGTGACGATGCGCCTTTTTTAATAGATCTCATATATTAGAAGCGTATCAGTTCAAAAAACTAGAAGACCTAACAAAAAAAACATGTACGTACTGCGCCTATTTATTTGGCAATTCAGTTGTAAACTTTCTCTTGAAAAAATAAATTGCCTCCCCCCCCCCCCCCCGTTCATTTTGTACGATCACCGGGCGTGATTACAAATGAAGACAACGAACCATTACATTTAACGCCGTCATTGTAGTTTGTACAGTGACAAAACCACAGGGTCGTTTGACTCCATTTTCCCCAGTTCCCTGCATTGGTGTTAAATATTCTCTACAGAGTATTACCTTCTCAGTTATGGCATTAGAGTCAGCTAAGTCGCATGTGACATAGGAACATGAAGTGCAACCGCTCTCCACTATCTCGTCTCTTGTTGAAGTCAGTGCTGCTTCGTTTCTCCCTAATAGAACTATCTGAAAATTAATATTTACGATGGAACGACGAAGTGACTATCTGAACTGTGGGAAACGGACGAGAATATTTTAGCATATGTCACTATTTGTGTACATTACAAATTGTATATCCAACCACCTGTCAATGTGAATAACATGTAATTTTCGATCTAGATTTCATAATTGACTCCCATCGTTAAAACGGTAACTGGTCAAGTCGTACCCAAGACAACTCATACCCAAGTTTTTGTTTTTAGAAAATAAGCCTTACATACTGAAAATAAACTTGGTTACGATTTGTCTTGGGTACGAGTTGACTATGAAGCGTTAAAACAATAAATATAATATGAATCCATTTAGTACTTGCTGATCACGAATAGTTATGATTTACCTCTTTCAAAGGCTGGCTGCTAGCTAACTTGCAGTGTTATTAATTTAAAACGTGCATGTTGCCTTGGAATTAGATTTTTTATCGTCGCATTCTAACAGATCAGTAGTCAGCCATTGAAAGAGGTAGGTTATGATGGCCGATTTCTAAAAGACGTACATGTTTAGGGTTGTGTGTGGCAATGATCAAAGAAATTTGCTTTCCAAGTCCGCTACCTCCACCAGTGACCAAGACAATATCATTAGTAATGTCCTTGTGTACTGAACGAAACCAATGAAACAACATTGTTTCCTACTTGGAATTTCTCCCACGGTGATCACACTGCCTTCGTCAATAAATACTGAAACAAATTAAAGCATGTGCCTTATACAGGGTGTTAAAAAACGCAACCCAAAGATATCGCTATATCTTGGAAAATACTAGTTCATTATGTTCATTTTTTCAGGAAAGAAAGAAGAGGCTGTGTATGTATAGCTCCTGTAGATGGTTAGTTGTAAAACATGATGCCTTGGACACCTGCTCAAAAGAAAGTTGTACACGGAAAATACGAAAAACACAGTCAGAGTTGACTATAAAAAGGGCGATCGTTGTTAGACAGACATCCAGTCCATTGCCGGCCAGTCTCTTTAGAACACAATATAACGTACGCCTCGACTGAGGTCGCCCATCACATGTTGTCAATACAAAGAGAAAAACGATGTACAGATTGCAGTACTATTTATTTAAAACGTCAGTGCATGTGTTGCCTTCCATTTATCTTCGTCGTGATCCGGAAGTCGCTTTGTTTTCAGTCTGCCGGATTACGCAGAAAGGTCTTTTACTATTCACTACATTCTCCAAAGCAACGCTTGAACAAATAAGGTAAGCTTTATACACTGGCAGATCCAGAAGCTATCAAGGGGAGGGGCCAAATTTTGAGTCAGGAAAAATTTTGGGCCCCTAAAACTTTTTGAATTTTAAAAATTTATGGCCCATGTTTTGATAAATTGGCCTACTAATGGCCAAGTTGTCCCCGGGCAAAGAGACCCATTTTGAGGCCCTACAACATTTATTATGGGCCCACAAAAGCTGCCCCCCCCCCTCCCCTGGATCCGCCAATGTTATACATTCCAAATAGTTGGAGATCACTTTTACAACCTAGTGACATCTATACAACAACCTGAATATGAATAATATAAAATAACCCTACTAGTGACACCAAACTAGTTCTCACTACGTTCTCGAAAACGGGCTTCAACTGTGTACGAACGGACTGGACGTACTTAGAACCGTTTGGGGTCTATTTACAAACTTCACCGAACGTACTCAAACGGGTATGTAGGTCCTCAGAACTTAGAACATGCTCTTCGTGGTCGTCACGTTCCGAATTTAGAAGGAGTGACAACGTACAAACGACGAGCTGGACGTACTACGAACGGAACTGTCGTACTTCAATCCTACTAGGGACGTTTTTACAATTATAATAACGAGTTGAACTGTCTGAGGACGTTTTGAGAACGAGGTAGAACTAATTGCAAACGGGTTTAAACTGACTTAAAACGTATTAAAGACTGCTTATGAACGAATTAGCAAAACTATAGCTATCACACCAAACAAGTTGCTACTGCGTTCTTCAAAACTGGTTTTAAATTGTGTACGAACGGAATGAACGTAGCTGCAACTTTCTAAGGTCTATTTACGAACTTATTGAACTTCCTCAGACGGGAAGGTGATTTTAGAATTTTGAATCATGATGGCGACCATACCGTTCTGTAATCAGGTTATGATGACCTTCTAGACTAAGGGACGCGTTATACGACGTTGCACACCGACGTGGTGCGACCTGAACGAACTACTGCGAATGAGATGGACGTATTGAAGACTGTTTATGAATGAAGTGGTAAATTATTTTAGACATATTTCCCGACCACAGCAAGATTGGGCCCGTTTTACGACGTTTTCGTAGGACTGGCAAGAACGGGTAAGAACTAGTTTGGTGTGATGGGGGGTAAGCAGGAAATCCCACAAGAGCAGAATAAAGTGCAACCATTGAGAATTAAAGAAAAGAACCTCGATATTCCTCCAAAACTAATACCAATTAGATTGTACATTTTAATCGTGATAATTCTTCATATGACTGCGATCGTTTAGTCTCCGGTCTCTGAACTTTCATAATTTCATACATTGTCCGGGCGGGGACTCGTCAGGCGCCCGTTTTTCATTTATGGAACATTTTCCAATTCATTATTGATTTCCTCGATTTCTATGTGTTCTCGAATTTTTATGAATGACGATTTTTCAAATATATTCAAATTACAATAAATATACTTGAATATTTATTATTCTCAGCCCGTCATAAATCGTGTGGTTTACCCCCCTATCACACCAAACTAGTTCTTACCCGTTCCTGCCAGTCCTACGAAAACGTCGTAAAACGGGCTCAATCTGGCTGTGGTCGGGAAATATGTCTGAAATAATTAGCTTCTTCGTCCTTAAACAGTCTTCAATACGTCCATCTCGTTCGCAGTTCGTTCAGGTCGCACCACGTCGGTGTACAACGTCGTAGAACGCGTCCCTTAGTCTAGAAGGTCAACATGACCTGATTACAGAACGGCATGGTCGCCATCGAACTTTGAATCGATTCAAAATTCTAAAATCACAATCCCGTCTGAGAACGTTCATAAAGTTCGTAAATAGACCTTAGAAAGTTGCAGCTACGTTCATTCCATTCGCACACAGTTTCAAACCAGTTTTGAAGAACGCAGTTGCAACTTGTTTGGTGTGATAGCTATATTTTTGCTAACTCGTTCATAAGCAGTGTTAAATACGTTCTTAATCAGTTTAAACCCGTTTGCAATTAATTCTACCTCGTTCTCAAGACGTCCTCAGACAGTTCAACTCGTTGTTAAAACGTCCCTAGTAGGATTGAAGTACGACGGTTCCGTTCGTAGTACGTCCAGCTCGTCGTTAGTACGTTGTCACTCGTTCTAATTGTAGAACGTGACGACCACGAGTACATTTTGAGCATTGTCTAAGTTCTAGAGGACCTACCTGTTCGAGTACGTTCGATGAAGTTTGTAAATAGATCCCAAACGGTTCTTAGTAGGTCCAGTCCGTTCGTACACAGTTGAAGCCCGTTTTCGAGAACGTAGTGAGAACTAGTTTGGTGTGATAGTAGGGTTAGAGAAACATATTCTCATTAAAATTATCTACACTCTATATGACATTGGAACTATATGGAGTATGATAATTTGTTCATATATCATGCGTGGGCGCAACAGTTCAACGATATCTTCAACCGCTTAAGGGAAGGTAACTGGAAATGTAAGTCATATTTAGCTCAAATATCAAAGCATAACGCCAACTATATATATACATTTAGTATAGTATTTTATATAGTTTAATTCGATGAAAAACTAAAAATATAGAAATCGACACTTTCTGTCCGCCACCTTTGATGCGAAGGTGACGGCCATTACCTTCGCTTGATACTTTCAAGTGCTACATACCCATACCCGTGAAAATGAAATCTAATGATGCTTTTAGTTTGAATCGAAATTTCACATTTCCCTTGCCAAATTTTTAGATCCTGACTATGCCAATCTATGATGATGAGAGAAGGCCGTGACTTCTCATGATGGCCTTTTTCTATGGACGTTTGAATGCATCTGAAATCAATCCATTTTTTCCTTTCAAGTTGATTAGAGAAGGATATTGATCAATGCGATATTTGAGAACATTTAGCTGATTCTATCACCAGCATCACTGTAAAATCTTAACATGCCAATCTACGTATGTATGTCTCTGTCATTTATTGAACGTGACAAAAGTGACAAATACAAGAGATATATCCTCATGATATATCCTCCGTCCAGCTTTTATTATATGAATATAAACTAAAATAGATGTTATTTTATAATTATTTATTTTATAGCAATTTATTAATGAGAATTAAATAAAAAGTGTAGTCAATCATAGCTCATGGAGCGATTGGTGGTAATTGAGTCCTTTCATGTTTCATATAGTCAATTTCATATTTATCCGGGGTATATTGTCCCTTTTGCTTCAGTTCGTGCATTGGTCCAGGATTTGCAGATCTGTCCCAGAACTTTTCCATGGGTATTGGCGCCTCCCATCGTGTATTGTATTGCGCCCTGGAAGGTTGTACGTGTCGTTGCCAGTGCCAATTTCGTTCCTGTTCTGATCCCTGTCTCACAGTATCGACTTTCCTCGAATACCAGTAAGGTTCTGTGTGTGCATATCTATCATATCCTCTCTGAAATAAATAAGGGTTATGTACTGGGAGGTTTTGGATATGGGGTTTATCCAGAGGGAGATATGCATATCTACCTGAGGGACCATAGGGACCGAAGGTAGATGTGCATATCTCACGAGGGATGAACCCAATATCCAAACCGACCGTACATAACTGCTTTATCCTATACCAAGTAGAGTTTTCTAATTTTCTTTCATTTTTTTCAATTTTTTTTATTTTTTCACATTTTTCAATTTTTTCTATTTTTTCACATTTTTTCTTTTTTTTTAATTTTTCTTATTTTTCAAAAAAAAATTCGAAGCGGGAAGATATGCCCTGGAGCGGGAGATATGGAGGTTCAGGATATGGAAACCTCAAAATCAGGATACGGGATATATCTTACCAACTTATCTCCCTAAAACTCTACTTGACATAGGATAAACAACGATACATTCCTCATTATAAGTCATTAAGAAATGATAAAGATCATGTGTTAAATGCCAAATTAGTATTCATTTAAGATTGTCGGTGTTGAATACCGATTGATTGAATACTATGCTTGGTTCTAAAATACAACACTTCGACTAATGTATTTAATTAAGCTTGCGTTTATTTCTCACCAGGGCTTTCAGTTTTACAATCTTGGAAAGACGAAACGAACGAGCATGACAGAAGCGGGTAAGAGGGTGGGTATCAAGTATGACTGGTTTTATTTAGAGTCAATGAGATGACGGAAATTGTAATGTATGATAAAATGTATTAATTGTTCAAGTCTTCTGTTTATACACGGTCATCATTGTTACAATAAAGGTCATGAAATGCCCAGTCATTCTACGTCATCATGAACGTGGTAGAAGATAGATTTATAAAAAATAATTCCTTTCACAATTTTGTCAAACCAATAATTATGGTATAATAACAATTTTACTTCAACTAAACCTATATTAAACGTTATATTTTGGTTGATACTCACCTGGTACATATCTACGTGGCTGCTATGGGTAGGATTGAAAGTGTCGTATCTATGCTGCCTGGAAATGTGAAAAATAGCTATATAGAATAACATGATGGCTCTCAATTATGATTAACATTACTGTCAGCTTAAGTTACAATTCCGACGTCTTTAATACCTACGGCTTTACTATGAATACAAAGTGAATTCTTTTCCACGGACTTCAGATGATCAGTTGTGAATTGTAAAGTCTTTTTCTGAACAAATGATTTTTCCTGATGGTTTTCAATATTGAAGAAGTATACAGTGTAAGTACAAACTTACCACATCGCTGGCATACTGGCGAGTGGTGGTGCTCGTTGACTAACATTGTACGGTATAGCTGCCCATGTCGGAATATGAGTCTGAAACCCCACCCCCGTAGCGCTGTATGTCGCTCCATAAGATCCAGACATCATCAAATACAGGTAATTAAAAGTCCTAATATGTTATGGTTCTTCCTCAATATCAACTTAAAATAATAATATATCAATCGGACCCCGTCTGTGGATTATAAATGTTTGCCATAATTATTGAATATTGGAAAGCGTTAGTTGTCATTTAAGGGGTCTTAATGTTGTTAACAACGAGGCCATGCGCCTCTATTCATATGAGCTTGTTATCTAGCAACCACCGAGAGGACCTCTTATTAAGTACAAAGTCTACGATAGATTGTTCGCTCATATATAATGAATCGATATTTATTGCTAATACACAAACTACAATTCAAGGGGTCTTTCAATAAGGTTTTACCTCAGCAGGTAAATACTGGAATACATACCATCATATTGTATCGTAAACATGGCGTCCGCAACATGGTTGTCTACTGGAAATGGAAAGGATCCTTATTGGGCGACTATGCCACCGAAAGTACCCGAATATGTAAACAAGCACAACTTATTAAGGTAAATTATTGTGTAATTATGACATATCGATGCATGGTTGCTTATGTAAATCAGATCTGGAAATTGAATGTGTCCATTTGTGAAAATATAACGTCAACTACATATGCTGTAAAAATTAATTAAAAATAAAAATACATTTGCTTTGTAATACCTACATGATTCTCATATACTTCAAATACAGTTAGTGGAAATTTTTGCGACCACAACACTTATTGGTTCTTCATATTGTATAAGAATGAAACGACCCACGACTGTAAGGTTTGATGATATCTGCTAACTATTCAAAATGTTTACTTACAGGAATACACCAGCAAACAAATACACCCCTGCCATGGGTTCTATCCCCGGGACGTACGCGTCACCCACTGGGAGCTATGGACATCAGGTAAGTCTATACATTTAGCACTAGTCTCCACTAAGATCCTGGTTGTAGATGTATGCTGTATACTACATAAACATCATGATAGACATCGGTCTAGTAGAGATCCTTGAGTTTCCCTAAGTTCTACTCCACTTCCATAAATGGAATCGTTTAGTCTTTCTAAATATGATATGTTGCTATGATTAATATGAACTATAGTTAATTATTGAGTCAAAGGTTTTGAGAAAATAACTTTTTATTTTCAGACCTGGTATGATAAATGGCACGCAGAGCGACCCGTGTGGAAGACAGACACCCTGAAACACGGACCACAAACACATTCTAACTGGAGATGGGAGGGTGAGCCAGGGTCACATAAGAAAGATACTTCATTACAAAAACCTTCTTATAAGACTTGGTGGGCGACACCAGATTTACTCCAGGACTACTGGAGACAGGGAAAGCCACAAAGTGAAACAACACGTGCAAGAGGACAATATAACATTCATTGGGCAGAAACGGACCCTAAACTTTATCCATTTTCCAACAATATGACATCGACTTACAGGGCTCCTGTATGGTCAAAATACGGACCTATGTTGAGGAGAGAAACATATGGAGTAAATAGTCAACATAACAGACATGGAAATATGCCATTCGATGATTATTATTAGAGTATATTCTATTGTACATGTAGCTTATACATGGAATCTGGAATTTTAATCTGAATTCATTTCCGGGATTCATTTGTGACTATCTAACCCGACTAGCTGCCGTACGGGCTATTTAGAGATACTCATAAAACTGTTTTAATAAACTAACACAACTCTAACGGTGTATACACTCAATGCGTACGTTTGGGGCCTATAAAAATATTAATTACCAATATAATCTGTGTTCGGGTAATATACTGCAGTTATAAACAAAAGCTAACCTTCATGAAGTGGAACTCGAGATTATTGAAAGTAAAAATAAAAAAAACATATCAAAATAAATTTATTATTGTGTTACAGTAAAATATCCATATATTCTGCTAAGACTGTCCTCAGAGAATGAAAGAATCCATTTAGGCTATTTCTTGCTCCCTAAACAAAGAGTCCGAATAGATTTGCCTACGTCCTGGCAATTTCTTTTTGTATAATATTCAGCGACACACAAACTCAAGGTACAATAGATGTTTATCCTACAACACCAGGCTGGTAGTTAAAACAATTCACTGGACGACCTACAATGGGATTGGCATAAATTAATTATTTAGTCAACTATATGGATTATATCAGACTTGTCAGAGGTATATCTGGTAGTCAGTCTTTATACAGTCTGACCCTAAACATTTATATAACGCCTTAATTTTGAAAATAAGATTAACAAAGTTATTCTAAAACATATGTAAAAATATAGTGTTACATTGGATCAACCGTATATCTTTAATTTGATCACTCGTTGCATTATTTTATCACTGTTAATGTTGGAGGACCATTCGATATTAAAATGGCCACATAATATCTATGCTGAGCTTTTCATTACCCCATATACGAGGGGTGATCAATAAGTAATGGACGCTTTTTTACACAGATGCTTTTTACGGACCAATCCCTTCGATTTTCTTACCAGTGATAGTTCATTCAATTATCTATCAACTCTGAAGATTTGAAGACAAAATATGTAATACATGTTGATATATCCTCATTTCCGTGAAGGAGGTACAGGTACCCCGGGACCGACATTTACGTCACATATTAGGAAGCTATTTTATCTTGTTTAACATGCAATGCAGTTGAATACAGGCTGAACAAAACAAACCATTATGGTCATGAATTACCCCATTTTGTTATGCCATAGTTGATTTGGAATATTTTATCATCACTATGTGGTATTCATGCCACATTTATTCCACAGAGCCCTCTAGATAGGTTCCATCAAGTGCTACATGTACACAATTCCTCATCCTCTTAACTCAAGATTGTGAGACAAGGCTGAATCCATTCTCTGACATGGTAGCAAGATGCAGTTGCACGGATGGTCTTATTTAATCAATGTTAATAAACCTGCGTCCTTTCTCTATAGAAATAAGTAGTATAGAAATAAACAAGTCACACGTGAGCAGATGTGGACAATATAGTGCATCGGCCAAGGGCTCAATTTTGAAGTTCAGGGATATTGTTTTCTGAACATTTTGAGATCTGTGGGCAGGTGCATTGTCCATATGGAGTAGGGTGTTTCCTTCTCTCACCACCCCTTTCTTCTACAATGCTTTCTCAAATTGACATGCAAACCCCTTCCTTACAAACTATCTGACATTACAATACTTTCTGTTTATGTGTTACCAGTTAGAAAAATATTTCAAACAATACAACACTTGTTGCATATAAAAAGTTCAAATCTAACTCAAATTTACCAAACTGGCTAAAAACTGAATAAGTGACGTAAATGTCGGTCCCGGGGTACCTGTACCTCCTTCACGGAAATAAGGATATATCAACATGTATTATATATTTTGTCTTCAAATCTTCAGAATTGATAGAAAATTGAATGATGTATCACTGGTAGGAAAATCAAAGGGATTGGTCAATAAAAAGTATCTGTGTAAAAAAGTGTCCATTACTTATTGATCACCCCTCGTACTTACCTCCGTGTCTCGCGGGAGAAGCATCGCATATCCTCCTGTAGTCTCCACTTTCAACCACTCTCTGAAAGGCTCGGTTCCACCACTCTGGTAAAGTATTACCCTTAAGGACCATCACCCCTGAACCTTTGGCACAGTTATATTCCCCTGGAACCCTCTCAACGCCAGGTATAACAGGTCTCGGAGCAAATAGAGCGTCGACCTGTAAAAGATTGAACAAAACATTTTATTTTTCCAATGCTATATTTTTTCAGCACTCTGAAGCTAGTTTCGTCAACTCTGTGGTCACCAATTGCAAGAATATACCGGTTACATATCACAGGGTATTCTCTCTATCTCACCCTATTCTCCAGGACATTCGCCAAGGCATCCCTCAATCCATTGGCTACCACGGGAACTGCACCATTGAGACCCAACCTCTTTAGACAATCCATGTTCGTATATGTGCCATTTAAAAATGCTGAAAATCATCATTGGTAGGTCATTTTGATATGAATAATAAGTTAATAACACATACAGTGAATTGACCATAATTATATAACTGCATTGGTTGGATATCGTAAATAGATTTACTTTTATCATTTGGTTTTGTTATCCCTTTTTGAATAGCCCTGCTGGCCATTATTATGAAGAAAATTATCATATGGCCCTAAAGAAATTTCTTCATCCTAGGCCCAAGCCAATGATTCGATTGAAAGTAAACAAGATGAAAGAAACATATCAATGTGAGACCTATTAAACCTCATGTACTCACTGATCTTTTTGCCTTGAATCTCCTCAGGAGAAAAGTGTCTCGGATTACCAGGTGCTACATGGAATCTAGCGGTGGTCTTGTAATAAGCTCGAGTGAAGTCAAACACCAGCTCCCTTTCTGCTGTGATTGTTGTGCTGAGGCAACCATCTGCCTCTCCAGTGACTAACGCTTAAAGAATAGACAACTGATGTCAGAGTACTCGACTACTCGCTTAACCAATTGATAAATGATTTGGGAATTTCTAGACGGAACACACTGAATATGACGATTTCTCCAGAACTAATTAATAACTGGTGAAAAATCCTTAACAATTACCTTTTCCTGGTACGAATTTCCCCCCTGCAGAATTGGTGACGCATCCAAGTGGCAGTTTTGCAAATGTGCACTTCTTCCCGGCAACACTACATACTAAATGGGAATGGAGGAACACTGATATAAAAACTCTCAAATAAAAAACATTTTGGAAGAAATCTTATCATCATAATTAAGTTAGTGAAACGTAAGCAACTGTGCATGTTTGGTCGTTGACTTCAGCAAAAAAGTTTAATGTGGTCTTCGCATTATTTCTATGAGGAAGAATAAGTAAAATATCTGCATGCATGCTCTTTCGTATGTTTGGAAAAGTTGCTCTGCATATTTTAAACAAAATATACATGTACCTCTATTAGCAATATCCAAATCAAACCCCTTTAGATTACCATTTTCATCACTGAAATAGACCAGTTACTACTATAATCAGATTGTTAAATTTATTAATGTATTAATGTGTATTAATTTCGTATTTCCTGAAAGTGGGCTGGGTAAAATTCTTATTAATTTTTTTATATTTTTTGAATTGTAAGACTGACCACTATAAATCAATAAATAAACTATTAAAAAAACTATAAAAGTGATATATATAAACTATATACATGTAGGTCGAAGTACACTGGATGCATCCATGTTACTCTGGCAGATGTTACTCTGGATTTACATTTACCATTTGAATATATTTAAATTATTTTTAAAACTTAAGGTAGGCTTGATGCATCGGGTAATCTTAGCTATATTACAGAGAGTCTATTAAAGATATTTCAATTGGAGGATAATAAATATTCGAATTCATTCTACTACTTACACATAGTTCAGGGGCCTCCTGTTACCAGACGCGGCAAATACATACGTTTTCTCCTGTAACGATAATACATGAAAAGTCACAACATGAAAAGTCACATACATGTACACGGAGTATATACACATATATGGAATATCTGACATTTTAAAGAACACGAATAATCTACCATATATACAGTACGTAAATACATTGCACATAGATTCATTAACTTTATTCCATTACATTACTCACCGTACTAAATTCAGTTTTAAAACATGCCCCACAGTGTGTTGTTAAGGCTAGAAGCACAAATGTAAGTGCTTTTGATATATCAAACACCATTGTCATTAAATTTGTAAAGAAAGAAGTCCACTCTCTAGTCCGATCCTTTTCAACTAACTGCAGTCAATATTTTGCACACTTTCTTATCATTAATTAAATAAACAGATAAAATATGAACTTATATAAATGTACTTAACGACTAGTGTCATGACATCGTCGACAAAGTCGAGTGCACTGGCTGATCCGGGGGGGCATATGGGTGGCCCAGAAAATTTTTTTAGGACCCCAAAAATGTTGAGTCTAAAAATTTTGTAGGGCCTCAAAAATGGACCCATTAGGGCATAATTTGGACTCTAGGACTTTTTTAAGCCTTTCACTTAATCGGCATATATTCGTAAAATTTACAAATGGAGTAATGGCATATTTTCACTTTGAATCTTTGATAATTTCACAACTACTCAAAGCTATTACGGATATGTATAACAGTGACGATAAGCAAGACGCACTAAAGCCCATTTCACAGTTATTGCGTCAGTAAAACCTAAAAAAGGAATAAAATGCAATACCCTTTGGAAAATGTATTCCTATTGTACATATATATAAATGACATTTGTTTATCTTGGATTGCTTCTAGTTTGGCTAATAAAGTGCGTGACCTCTTTTGATGCTTCTCTGCCATAGTATTTTCAAAAAGATTAACATGGCTCAGGGTGAAATTCTTTAAATTACAGGGGGGCACAGGCTTATTGCTCAAAAAACTAAATAATCTGAAATATTCAAATGTCATTCATGTACAATATGAATATACATTTCCATATATTACATTTGTATTATTGCACAATGGTCTATTATAAGTTGATTGCACTCATTGCCTCATATTACCAACTGAATACCAAAGTCTAGTAATAGCCTATAGCCATAAACACTTCATTCATTGTTATGGTTTTTTATCATGAGGAATGATGGGTCTATACCAAATTGTTTATTTACATGTAGGCCTAATTATAATCATTGCCCCACCGTACTCATTGGCCCACTGCCACAGGTATTACCATTCAACTTTTTAAAAATTAGCTCTGATCCATACCGTCGAGTGTGCTGCTGGCATGCAAAATATAATGGAATATCAACAAAAAAATCAGAAAACATTTGATAAAACTGACACTTACATGACCCATGCTAGAAAGAATGTAGCTGTTCTTCTCTATAACAACAGCTTGCACTGATGCCCCAGGCCAGGTGCCGAAATGTCACAATTCCATCCACTACTATTTAGGTTTGTTTTGTGTTGAGACCCACCGGCATTCATTCTACGTTCTACTGTATTCAGTATTATACATTATTTGTTATGTGCTCTCAATCCTCAGCACATTCATATGGGACTGTACAGTATATTCAGTCGGTACATCTTGACCTCAGCCGCCCTTGCATCTTACACCACCGTTCTTTTTCGTTCTGTGCATATTTCCTAGTAATATCCCGGGATAAACAATTCCCAAAGTCAATCAAAGTGTTCTTTCTATTTATTGCATAGTTAAATGTTCTATCGTAGAAGACATGAAGGCTTTAATTTTACCGATCAAAATATGACACAGGACAACGGATGCTGTATAAATGACAACGGTAAATGTGGGTCAAATGTGCTGATCGGGATGACAACGGTATATCCCAGCCTTTCAGTAGGTGATGTAGGTTCGAACCTAAAAGTGAATCCCGTAGTTTGAAGGTTACCTAAACGAGCCTACAAAAAAGTAGGTTCACTTTAGATTCGAACCTAACACAATTCTTAGCTTCTCGGGTTCACTATAGGTTCGAATCTATGACATTCAAGTAAAAAATCTATGATAAATATAAGATACGTACACAAAACAAATATACTTGTATCATACATTTTTTTTATAGAACCAACAGGGAAACGATGTTTCAACGAAAAATACAATCTCTCCGAATATGAATGGATATCAACCTTTAGATTGCCCTTTGAAGTTGCCCGTGAGCCAAAAATAGAAAGCTTTCAATATAAACTCTTATTAAACCTTACGCTATGCAATCTATTTCTGTTTGATAAAAAAAATCTCGGCATCAAAATTATCCGACAAATGTAACCTTGGCCTAATTGACTATACTTTTCATTTTTACATAGATTGCCCAACAGTAGTGAACTAGGCGTCGCAAGTAATCCAGAAAATGACAATAAATCTGTACTAAACTATTGCCTACTTTACGCAAAAATATAACATTCACGTACTCTTCTAATGAGGAAAACTCGATTATCAACATTAACGGTTTTAAAAATCAACAGAAAATCAGACTAGGCCACTCTTTATCATAAAATAGAATTCTATTCTTAACAAATTAGAGATACGCTTTTAACAAAAAACTGAACTGTACTTACTTGTATTTTATTACCGTATTTTATTACCTTTCTATGTCCGTGTATGCCAGGCCCGTAGCCGGGGGGGGGGGGGGGTCGGGGGGTCTTACAGATATCTCCTAAAAATTGTGAATCTGCCTTGCCTCCTTGTCGGTAAACCTGCTCTTTCTTACATTAATTAGGCAATTTAGAAAAAAGTGGCATTACTGGGGATGGATTGTTTTTTTTAAATTAGGGCATTCTTTTTCAAAATTCGGGCCCCATTTTCTTTTTGAGCCCCTTCTTTTCTGGATTTTTAGGATAGCCCTCTGTGTTTTGTTAAACATTGCCATTCACTGGTGGATCCAGGGGGCATGAGGGCTAACCCCTGCTCCCCTAGGATGGTCCCGAAAAAATTTTGGGCCTTATCTTTTAATTTTAGGCCAAATTAACAAAGAGGGCCTTAAATTTTCAACATTTTGTGCTCGTTTTTAGTTTTAGATATGCCACTGCTCTACATTTACATAATGAAGGAAGTTGGTTTAGCACGGGAAATTTGTTTAGGCCCAAAATTTTGTGAAGCCTATTAATGGCCCTGGGCCTTTTGGGCCATAACTTGGCCGTCTAAGGTCTTATCTTTTAATTTTAGAGGCCAAATTAACAAAAATGAGCCTTCAGTTTTCAAAATTTTGACCCAATTTTGGTTAAGGGGCCCAAAAATCTTTCCTCTCCGGACATTTGCTCCCGGCATTTGCTTCGGCCTTGAAATGTGGGTCCCTCCTAGTTAGCTTCCAGATACGCCACTGCCCTGGTTTAGCATTTAAAAATCTATTTGTGGGCGGGCGCCTCTGGATTGATAAAGTTCTTAAACTCCACCCAAAGATTGATATGACAAGTGTGTCATCCCCATTTTCTCCCTGTTTAACCGAAATAGAGTAATATTACTTAAATCAGACCTATAAAAACTCGAGAAATGTATGTACCATTATCTATATACGCTTGAAAAGTTTTTGCAATCTTAATTCAATGTCAGTGATACTTTTAGAAATAGTTAAGTTAATATATTATTTTGGCAAAAACCTGTTTTTCATGTTACAGTACAGAAGGTATCGTTATATTGTCGGTGAAACGACAATATGCAGTTACTAAAGACAAGATCTAGATGCACGTTTGGTTCGAAGGCACCATGATTAACGTTCAAAATTTAATTTGCTTTGCGTTTGTGTTTTTAATTAAATGTATGAGCACTATTTCGAAGACACGTCAAATTGTCATAGATGGACCGCCGACTGAGAATTGGATTATGTACAGAGCAACATCTCAAGACATTCCAGAATATAAGTACAAATGGCCTTTGGAAAACAATCAGGGTCAGGTTGTCATTGATATAGACAGTTCGAAATGGTTAACAGTTGGTCATTATTCAACTGTATTGGATGTGAAGAGCAACACCATCGTGGGCACGATCTATAAGCTTGACATTAAATTTGATTGGGACGATCCGTTGGTTCAAAGAAACACGACCGTTTTACATGTTAAATGTAGAGAATACAATGGATTGAAACCTTCGATTCCTAATGCTGTTACTTTAGGACAGTATAAGGATATTCGTTACTCAAGAATTGAATGCTTCTTGAAGAACATCACTACACCATTCTTAGAGGGTCTCATACACTTAAAGTGGTTGGATCTAGCGAACAATAATATTACTGAAGTTGAGCAGCATGCGTTTGATGATTTGATTGCATTGGAAGAGTTAGTCTTAACAAGAAACCCGATAAAGTTCCTTCCTGATGGACTATTCTGCAATATGCCCAAATTGAACTCATTGAAACTGGATAACTTAAACCTGACAGGATTCCCAACTGCTGCGTTCCATCCTAACAATTGAGAGGTTAAGCTTTGCATATGTAATCGAAACTGAACCTGTACGTATCACTCGACCATATACAAATTCATGTAGCCTTCTCATATAAATAGCCGTTCAAATCCAGTGTTTGTTTAGACTACACCATAGCGTGTAATGATTCTATAGTATGTCATTGATGCGGTTTTATAGCTGGTTTTCTAATACATATTTTAAACGAGCTCGTTTCGTAAGATTTTTGGCGCTAAATCATGCATGACATACATCATCGTGTTCAGCAAGAATTCAACTGTGCATCGAAATCAAAATTGACAGCATAGTGTTCAATAGACACGAGTAAAATGGCTCCCGTTGACCCAACGTCAAATTTCAAAATCTCCCGTTCTAAACCCGAAACTATGAAGCTGAAAGAGTATCTGAAGTAGACTAAGCGCGCATATAACTATGAGCGCTCGATACATTCCTTTGTTATTTTTTGTACTTTGCGTTCACGGTTACGTTGTGAAAAACATCGTTAGCTTAACCTCTCCAATAATGTTTTACATAACCAATCCAAAACGACATGTCTAAGTAATCTTCAAAATCTGGATCTCTCAAATAACAAATTGGTTAGTATCCCAAATAAGTCCTTTTCTGAAATGAACATGCTGACCAACCTTAGTCTTTATAATTGCTCCATACATATTTTGGAAGTGAATGCCTTCGAAGGGTTAACAAATATCGAACATTTAGACATTGGACAGAATTGGATAAAAGAATTACCAGTCGACATATTTTCAAGTACGCCTAAATTATATAATCTTACACTGAGTTCGAACAACATTACTCATTTTGCATTCGATTTGCTCGCGAATTGTGTAAACTTGACATTTTTAGACCTCCAGATGAATCAAATCGAACACATACACGGAAGTATAAGCAACACTCGACTCAAACTCCTGTTTTTGCAGGACAATGTTATTCAATCATTTCCAGCTAATATGTTTTATTCTAATGACACGGGTACTCTTTTGCTCAATAATAATAATATTTCGATTATTCATCCCGGTGATTTTTTCATGCCAAATCTACAGCTTTTAGGAATAACTCGGAATAACTTAACATATCTGGGGAACTTAACATTTCATCATCTAGGTAAGCTGATCCTTTTATTCGTAAGGAACAATAGAATCGTAGAACTTGGTGCACTGGCATTTGAAGGTCTTGAAAAAATGGAATATCTTTTCCTGGACAACAACAATATCAACAAGGTTCCTCCTGGAATATTCAAAAAGCTACCACTTTTAAAAGCTTTGTCATTAGGACACAATCATATCCTTAGTTTAGATGGAACAATGTTTGATGGCTTAAGTTCGTTGGAAGAGATATATCTAAACAATAACATGATTCGAACAATTGGAAAAGACACATTCAAGCACTCTAAATCTCTTCATATCATTACACTTCAGTCGAACCACATAAACACTATACCATATGGTACATTTGGACATTTGCGTCATACATTAGGACGGATAGATCTAAAAGGGAACAACATAAGTGCACTACCAGCAGATTTGTTCACAGGATTCTATAATTTACGTGACATAGACCTTTCCCATAATAATCTTGTCAATCTTTCTCTGAATTTAATTGATGGTTGTAGAACCCTACAATTCCTCATTTTAAGTTACAATCAGCTGAAAGAGTTCAATGTTTCGCTGAAATCAAACATAAATTTAAGGGGTTTAAATGTCGCAAATAACCAACTAAATGACGCATGGAATATATTTGACCATATGCATCTTATTCCATCACTTAAACAGTTAGACCTATACAGTAAACAATATAACTTCAATTGGATCATTTCCGCGGGTATTGACGCCTACTCCATCTCAGCTTGCTAGCGTAAATATAAGTCATAATAGTATCACCTATATTACAGAAAACCAATTTTTTCTATCGACACAGTTGCGAATTCTTGATATTTCGGCTAACAGAATACACACAATAAAAGAACAAACGTTTATGGATCATCCAGGAAATATTATCTATCATGTTGGTACAGAAAATCCGTTTATATGTGACTGTTTCATGAGATGGGCAAGAAACGCACTTAATTATTCTCTATGCACAGTTCCAGTTCTGAGTGATGGGACGGCAAAGAGGATGAAAGATGTGCCAGCTCGTCTATATCTTTGTCAAATAAAAATGAAGTGCCCGGAAAATTGTGAGTGCTTTGCCGATACAGTAAAAGAGCCGTACGTTTGGATACATATAAAATGTTCCAACAAAGGACTAGATTACATACCCTTTGAAATTCCGAATACAACTAACGTACTAGATGTATCTCATAATAACATCAATCAATTGGATTCGGCAACATTTCATAATACTAGTTGTCCTATATTGCAGATTATGGACTTGTCTAGCTGTCAAATTACAGCACTCATTGGGAATGACGTTTTCAATGGTTTTGTTCAGTTAAAAACATTGAACTTAAACAATAATCGCATAGTACAACTAAACGGTGAACCGTTTAAAAACTTGATGATGTTGAATGAACTAAAAATTGCTAACAACTCCATCAAAGCAATCCAAGATAATGTATTGTAACAGTTTGGCCTATTTTTGTGGATATACGTGGTAGCGTGACTAATAATAGGCCCACTGTTTAGTAAACGGTGTTTACTTGGTGAGTTACACGGCACACGTTAAATGTGCGATTGTCCCTAAAGAATTAAACAGACATATACAATTAAATATAAAATATAAAACAGTATATTGTGGCGTTTATAAGCCCAAATAAAGATGTACATTAAATGTCAAGTATGAAGGTTAAAATGCTACGATGTTATTATCTTTCTCAAAACTCACAACTCAAAAGTCCATATAAGCTAATAATAATCACTAAGAACACAATATCCAGAGTCCATATAACTAAAGTTAATGATCACTATATACACTGTTGTATCTCCAATATTAAAAGTCCATATATGTTGTAACCCTTGTAAGTCTTGTATTGTACTTGTAACTTGAACCTGAAATAGTAATCTCCTGGATCCTCTTCAATGTAGTGTAGTATGATTCAAGTTTGATGATATGAAATCATCTAAGTCAACCAGCGGCTCTGCAAATGTCTATCTCCTGGATCCTGTCAACTATTGCTCAGTAAACGGCTATCTCCTGGATCCTCTTCACTGTATTGTAGTATAATTCAGCTTTGATAATGTGAAATCATCAAGTCAACTATCGGCTCGGTAAATGGCTATCTCCTGGATCCTCCTCTCTGTGTTGTAGTATAGTTCAACTTTGATTATGTGAAATAATCCAAGTCAAACTATTGGCTCTGTAAATGGCTATCTCCTGGATCCTCCTCTCTGTGTTGTAGTATAGTTCAACTTTGATTATGTGAAATAATCTAAGTCAAACTATCAGTTGTGTAAACTCCTAAGTCCTGGATCCTCCTCAATGTGTTGTAGTATAATTCAACTTTGATTATGTGAAATAATATAAGTCAAACTATCAACTCTGTAAATGGTTATCTCCTGGATCCTTCTCTCTGAGTTGTAGTATAATTCAACTTTGATTATGTGAAATAATCTAAGTCAAACTATTGCTCTGTAAACGGCTATCTCCTGGATCCTCTTCACTGTGTTGTATTATAATTCAACTTTGATTATGTGAAATAATCTAAGTCAAACTATTGCTCTGCAATCGACTATCTCCTGGATCCTCCTCTCTGTAGATGTATATTCTAACTTCAATGACACAAAATCATCAAAGTCAAAATATCTCGCTTGATAATCTGCTAAGTCCTGGAACGTCCTCTCTGTGAGATGTATATTCTAACTTCAATGACCAAAAATCATCAAAGTCAAAATATCTCGTTGAATAAACTGCTAAGTCCTGGAACGTCTCTCTGTAGATGTATAAGTCAAAATATCACAATCTTCAAACTACCAAGTCCAAGGACATCTAAAACACGGCATCAACTGCTAAGTCCATCTAGCCTACTTCCTTCACAATTAAATAATAAGGCTACCTACAAATATAGCATGCACACAACGACATATGCAAAAATATAACATGTGAAAATATTTGACCTCTAAAATGACTAAGTTCATTTAATGTTAAGTGATACTGATATTAAAATATTCTAAGTTCAATATTTCTCTTTCCAAAAACAACAAAGTCCAAAATAATATTTCACCAAATATTGACTAAGTTAATTTCATACTAAGTTATACTGATGTTAAAATATTCTAAGTTAAATATTTCTATCTCCAAAAATAACAAAGTCCAAAATAATGTTTCACCAAATACTGACTAAGTCCAATAATGTTGTAAATCGTCTAAGTTCCTTGATGATCAAAATAGCTTGTTTCTCAAACACAAGTTATGTCAGCATTTCCTCTCAGTCTATGAAGGCTGGACAATACGTCTAATGCTTTACGCTGGGGATAGCTTCACCCTGTCGAAGTTTTGTCCAGTCTTGTAGATCTCCCTTACTTCCAGTGCGATAAATAAACTAAGTTCCTCTCACTTAGCTACATCAAAGTTTCCAAAAAATTCCAATCTCCAAAATAAACTAAGTTCCTCACACTTAGTTTCCTCAATCTGCCCTTGTATACTGCAAACGTATAGCTTGGCTCATCAGATGTATTCTTCTAAGGTACAGCTTCTATCTTCATGTGTATACTGCAAACGTATAGCTTCAACTCCACAAAATCGACTAAGTTCTATAAAACTTAGAAGATTTTAGCTGTTTCCCGAAATTCCGCTTTAGAGGTCCTTCCTCGACAACATCTGGCATCGCACTGACGAGCCTTCAACAGCGAGATAGTTATATAGGCCCGATGACGTCATCGATTTTCGTACAAGATTTCAACTGTGAATTACAGCTTACTTACGCCATATTTCGCTTCAATATTGATCATACAGCAAGATTATAATATTGACTCAAGAAATACAACAGTAATTAACCACTATCTAGTCTAATTTTCCTTCGATTCAATCGAATCAAAAGCAGGAAGTAAAATAATAAAGGTGTCATGTTAGACTACCGATCAACTACAAATTAGACTGCCAGATAAGACTTCCCGATCAACATAAACAAAATCGTGATAAAATAAATAAAACATGTGAACTATTTCACCTCTGTAAGTACAACCTAAGTGCTGCAAATGATACTACATTTATAAATCTTAATAATCTCAATGGGAAATTACTTTCCAAGTGTAATAATTGCCTTATATACAAAAACACAGCACTTAATTAAAAATCAAAAATTTTACATTTTAAATTCCGTTACAGTATTTTCTCGTCTCAGTTGGCTGTCTTTCCTTGATCTTGAAGGCAACCAGCTACAGAGTGTAAACCTTACTATTTTTGAATCACTGGGATTGATGTTGATTAATGGAAACCCGTTACTTAAGGTACTTGGAGGTGGCCCTCTAAATGTTCAAGACCAATGGGAATCAAAATGGTCTGTTTTGCTGTCTAATAACCCATGGGACTGCTGTAGGGCTTTACCATTAAAGAGATGGTTAAACTCTCACCAAGCAATCATACCCAATTTGGTAGACATTCACTGCATGCGAGGCAATTTGACCGAGCTGGTTCCTTTATTTGAAATCAGTGATTCGAACCTTACATGCATTCCAGAGCCGCCAATACCATTCCAGCAGAGTTCGTACTTCCATGCAATTATAGGAGTACTTGTTGTTGTATCTCTCATCCTTACAACTGTATTACTTTTTTAAACGATTTGAATCACATATAAAACTTAAGTTCTTTATCTGGTTTGGTTGGCGATTCGACAGGATAGACAACAGTAATAAACAATATGACGCATTATTGTCATACAGTGGGCTCAATGGTGATTGGGTGCGTGATGAATTGCTGATAAAACTTGAGGAAGCTGGGTATAAGCTCTGTTTACACGAACGTGATTTCAGAGGAGGAGAACCTATCATAGACAACATAAATAATGCCATAGACAACAGCAAGAGGACAATTATTGTTCTTTCGAATGAGTTTTTACATAGTGGATACACTATATATGAATTTGTAAGGTCATATGATGATTGGGTTATGGGTGAACGAGATCCTGTCATCTTGGTGCTCTATGATCCGATAGATATTTTGGACAAAGATGAGTTAGCAAAACATCCAACCATGAATACGTATATATCTACAAGAACCTATCTTGAGAGAAATAATAAATTCTTCTGGGAAAGTATTATTCTTGCAATGCCCCGACAACGAAGGAAAAACACAGATGTCAGTGATTTTATGCTACAGTGAATATGCACGTGGGTTTTGATTGAATTATATACATGTAAGACAGTAGTCTCCACATTTAGATGATCCTGCACTCATCATGGTCTATATCATTTTTAACATCTTAATTTCTTACCTCTTCATTTGAATTTCCTGTTTGCAGCTGTAAACTTCTGATAATACTACCTCGGCACCTTAAATTGGCAATTTGATACTAAAATAAATGGCGGGTCGTCTAACTGGCCTGGCTAGTATGTTATATTATAATTAGATTCATAATTATAAAAGTATGCGTTGCTATCACTGATAACTATATGAACTTTAAAGTACGATAGAAATATAATAGTGCCCTATAAATATGTAAAACTTTATTATATAAAACTTTTGCACCTGTATTTGTAAATAATTTGTATTCAATGACTTATAATTATTTTATCTTAAATACTATGTATATGCATAGCAATGCATGAAAAAGTATAGTTCTAGGATCATTGTGGGCAAATGAATCAGTGAATAAATGGGTGACCTAATTTAATAGATGTAAACAAATAGGAGGAAGTAAAATATCTGATTGATTACTTATTTTGGGATTTTTATATTTTCCCCCTGTTAAAGATGTTGACATCGACAATCTTTTATAACTGAAGCAGTGAACATTCTGAACATGCCTCGGCTTTTCCTGCAGACAATTAATTTGATTTGATTAATTTGAGACAACATAAGTCGTATAATGGCAGTGATTACTACAGGGTGGGTCAAACAAAAACACCCCTAGCCAATATTCCCGATAAATATTTATTTTTTGACAATCACACCAACAAGGATATATCATATTAAAGATAATTTAATTTGCAACAAAATGATGTGTAATAGCCCCATTTTCAACAACCCCATATAGAAATATTACCAATTATGTGACATGGGGTCAAAGAAACACCTCAATTTTCATCGATTTTGCAAACAATAGCCTATTTCTACCAAATTTTATTGTTCAGTTAAAAATTCCAACATTGTCGCGAGTGTTTCATAATTGGATATTATTTATTGTTTTCATTCAGGTTTTGAACCATGCATGCTCAATATACATGTTTATGCTTTTAAAACGAATTCTTTTTTTAAATGGAGGACAACAGTTCCTTTATGGTCCTATAAGTCTTATATGGATCTATCACATGGATACCACGTGACCCAATACTAACTCTGAACTTTGGGAAATACCCCCCCCCCACTTGCTTGAATGATGTTCAAAATGCTATGATTTATATCAGACCGTAAGACCGTCTTGAGGTTATTCCTTGGTAAGTATCCTTTGTTTGTACAATTTAATTCAATTTGAATGTTTTAGTATTTCAGGCTTAAAGTAAGATGTGCAAACATATTATCGCCCAGTATAAATCGATCATGATCGATGTGGGCTGAACTTAACTATTTGACACATTTATATCCCCTTCTAACTATCAAAATGTAGTTTATTATTCTTTCAACAGATTGTCACAACAAACCATCAAAGGGAATTTTCAGTTGTAAATTCATTTTGAACATTATGCCGGCTGGCAAATGTTCATCCATTTGAATTTAAGGGGAGTCATAGAAACTAGTAATTGCAGTTCTTTTGGTTTTCACTCATTAAAGAATTAACAGAATAAACAGTAAAAAAGTGTTTTACATTTATATGTACCTTAATAAATATACATTGTATGTATATACGAACAAGATGTATATGTACTTGTATGTAGACAAATTACAATTGGTTATATACAACAAATAATATAGTTAACATGATAATGAAGATATCACAAAAATACACAAACAACAATGACCATTGTCCAGTCTACCTGCAGCTGAGGTCGAACTCTTGTTTTACCTTAACTTTTGTAAACAACCAATAGACCACTTTACTGCAACAATGAATAAAATAGAAAACATTTCGAAGATTGACCGTTCTGTACAGGGTGGGCCAAAAAACGTCAATGTTTTTGTTTTCGCTACAACATTTTTAATATTACAGACAAATGTTTAAATCATATACAGTTGGACAGGCAATTCAACTTCTGACAAAATGATAAATAATTTATTTATTTGACTACCACAGGGGTCAAAATCATGATTTACCGATTGCTGAATACGGAATGCTAAAAACTGACCAGACAGATATAGCCCTATGTCAGCTTTGGGGATATAAGTCTAATTACAGAAGGTCAAAGTTGTTGATTTATGTATCAAATGAAAGCAAATTAATTTACAAATACAATGTTATTGAGTTCTTTTATTATTTTGATATTATAGCCTAAATAACTCGGCGAAATCTGCATCAAATAGTTAATATTTAAACTTATCCTACACTTAGTGTACTAAATGTATAATAGCATTAAAAAATTAATTTGATATTTATTGGCAAAATGAATAACCGGAGGATATCGTAACGATATACTCCGGGCGGAGGATATCGTGACGGTTTACTCCGGAAAACTCAATATGCGGAGGATATTGTGACGATATACTCCGCTTGTTGATTTCCCGCCAAATTGACTCCATTTGGCATGAAATTCATTTTGCAATGATATTATACATTTAGTACACTCCTTGTACACTCCTTGATAATGCCTAAAATAGGCTAAAATCATCATGAAATGATCAATAATGATGTTTTACTTATATGACTTTACTGAATTTTAGTGGCAGACAATGCAATAATAGAGACCAGAAGAGGAAATTATGGAAATGTATTCCGTATCATGGGTTATGGCAAAATTTCAACTGAGTTTCTTTGCAAAACATGTTTGAAGCAAATATCAATTTATCTAACAACCTTACTTAATAACAAACTACAATGCATAAAAATAGGTTCCATGATTATTTTAGAGCTACACAATGATTTACAAACAATAAAGCTCAATTCCAATACCTTTTCTTCATATGAAAGCCTAAAAGTGTTGATTAACCGATACAATATCATGTATTAAGCTCAAATATAGCGAAATGTTGTTTTCGACTGTTACTACCCCATGATACGAAATAACCATGGAGTCACCAATAGCCATTCATACTTTATGAATTATACATCACTTTCTTGGACATTGAATTATCTTACAAATGATATATAATTTATGGATATTCCCAACATACCAGCGACGATATTACAAAAATAAAAATATGAACGTTTTTATTAGCCCACCCTGTAAATATCTTCTCTCGTCAGTACCAGACAACGTGCAGTTACATGGTGACACACAAATGCCACCCACTCACTAATTTTGAAATAACTCTCTCAATAATTAAGGCATCTTCATGGTTTTTAATTTGTGGATAGGGTGTAGATTGGAATGTCAACAGTTCTGGATTATAGAGATATCTCATTTTCTGTGGAGGCATGCTCTGACACCTACAATCACTCAAAAATGTAAATTAGAAAATCTTTCTTAAAAGTTTGACAAGATTATTTATTAAGAAAATGGGCAGATGTAACATATCATTTACAGTATACTAGTACGTGATAGTAATTCGAAGATGACTCCAATAATGGCTAAGACAGAAATCCCAATTTAAAAAATTGTATTTTTGAACATTTTTTGACAATTTCACAACGAGCATACCTGAACGGAAAACGTGATATCTCTAAATTTCAAAGTTATTGATGCAGTACAAGTGAACCCGGAAGTGTAACAATCTTTGTTGCATAGGACACTCTATCCAGCTACAAATCGATACTTATTGTGTTATTCCGAAATTATGGGTGGCATTTTTGTGTCACCCTTTAGAACAAAAACATTCTGTAACAACAAATTACGTTTGCGACTGTAAATAACGAGAGTGTATATGCACCACTGCATTATGGTCTATTTGATGTTTATTTTAAAGTGAACAGTCTCGATTTAGTATACAAATAGTACTTCTACTGATAAATATATTATTCTATATAATAAATTGTTTCTTTTTCAAATAAAAATATAAAATAATCTTATAAATGCATGCATTACAATTGCATACAACCCACATGATTTCATTTCCGGTTCGTAACCTTGAAGGTCAATATATTAGTAAGTAGAGTATAAGCATTAATAGGCTATAAGTTCGAAATATTAGTAATATTTACAAAAAAATTGTAATTTATTTATATTAATATTATAAGATTAATGAAAGGACGAATTTTAGCTTGCTCCGTCTCATTCACATTTCAATATTTTAGATGTCATACACAAACATTGTTAAACAATGATTTATAAAACGCTAAAGCAAACTAACTAACCAGTATTCCTTTTGTGTTGAAAATAACAATGAAATTGGTGAAAAATAAGTAAGAAATTAACTCATGAGAGCAGGTTTAAAGAAAAAAGCATAAAATGTTTATATATGTATAACATTATCGAACTTTTGACTGATCTATTCAATGAATTAGAGAAAATAATGTGTTGTTGTATCTGAAGATCTTAACTTATTTTTGTTATTTTGTCAAATATTTGAAAATTCTAAGATATACAATGGTTTTTTAAAGTTATTCAAAAAATGTTTCAAATAGTTTTTCAAGTCATGACAAGTGATATGAAATATGTATGAAAGCAATCTAAAATGACTTATCTTGCAAATAATGGCAAAGAATATAAGAGCATAATGAAAATAAGAAAATGAAAAACATTTATGAACAACTAAGTGCGAAGAAAGCATGTCGATATAATTTGTATAGGTTTGCACTTTTACTTGAATGACATTACTTCGTAACTCTGTGAATCAAGCGACAGACAGCAACATAAAATTGGCCCTTTCTTTCATCGTGATTTTTCTGTCGTTATTATAACGGTTACCCCATTGTGATGAGGGTCCACTCAAGGTCTTGGCCTCATATACATAACATTGCTGGATGCTTATACATAATTAGGTCTAGATCCATATTACAAATTGGCATGGATGTCCAATCAACATGATTTGGAATGATCCATGTATACGATATGTGGATTTATGCGCTGGTACTACTGTCATTTTTCAGTATCATCAGTATGATAAAATGTTACACGTAATTCCAGTTTACAAGTTCACAATTCACTCATTGTTCTTGTTAGTTATGTGAACGAAGTAACAATACTCTGCAGCACCATGGAATCGTTTTGCATACCCCTGATGCCCCATTGGCGGCGTAAAATAGCCCTGACTCGCCTGACATTTCACCCGATGCAGATCCCATAGTAGAAATACGATGGTATGTGGAGTCGTGCATACACCATGCCTAACGAGTTCAATAGTGAACAACGTTGTCGGAATATGTCATGACAATATTGATGTCAATATGGACAACATGGTACTCGTTCTTCATTTTGGAACCACCTGTTCCCGTAAGCCATTCCGCTCATACCCTGTTTGCACCATCGTTATTGTTTCCCCTACAAAAATAAATTCATCACTGATTAGTATGAAGCATTGGGGAATATCAATCTTGAAAGATGCGCATGTCAAATTGAACGAAGTATTTGTACACGTACGGCTTATAAGTGTAGAAGAGAATGAATTCATCCTTTTACTTTTTTGGTGATATAAATATACGACGTAAACGTGTTCTTACAATAAGCTAATTATAAGTTATATCCTTATATGCTTTTGACAAAAAAAGGTCGTGGCATTTATAATGCTGGGTTTGTACCTCGGTATTCGACATTTTTAGAACTTTCACATTGTTGATTCATATTTCGAACAAGTTTTACCTCGCTGCTCCATTTTCCAAATTCACATTTCCTCGTCTGTTCAAATATTTTCTAGTTCCGTTGTAAAGTAAGAAATCCAAAATTTCAAAAACTGTTAACACACTAGCACCCAGCAGTAGTCCCATAAATCCACCGATTTCACCTTTAATACAAGGATAGAGTTGATACATAGTTTCAGAATCAAAAATTAATTTTTAGGAACAGAGCTCTAGACATGTTCAGTTATTTTAACTCTAGTTTTGTCAACTAAGCAACAAGGTCATGCTTTGAGCTAATTAATGAAGCAAACTTACTGATGAGCATTTGCCAAGTGAACGCCTCTTTCTGTTCAACTTTTTGGTAACTCAATTCAGCAAAGTAAACGTCCATGTATAAGAAATTTGTCCTGCAATATATGATATCTCAGATATATGCATTCAAACTTCATTTTAGGAAGTCATGTAACAGATACCTTCCAGAATGAATTTTATAATGATCAGTAGACATTGTGATCACACGTTTATCATAGTAATGAATAACGTAGGCATATTTTGTGTAATCAAAGTCATTGATTTCAAGAGAACTTGTAACTTGGATACCAATTCTCAGGTCCTGAAAACTTAATATGAGTTAATTTTATCAGAGGACCGGTTTTGTTTGATCAATATATAACTATCTGTTGAAGAATTAAATCTCTTGGTTATTTTCAATTACAATTTTATATTGCTCATAAAACAATTATATAGCTTACGTTACGAAGTTCTCGTCCATCTTACTTGCAGCAACATAAAGCTTCATTCTATCTTTGGCAAAGTTAAGACTCTCTATCAAGTTACGTTCATTTTCCTGCAAACCAGTGTCGAACCGTGCTATATCTGCAGACACACTTGTACGAAAATGCTCCGCCATTTTTTCCGACAAAACACTGTCGTTCATATTTTTCTCATCAATAAGGCCCAATGCATTCACAGTTTTCCATATGTTTAATATTTTTGGTGAGTAGTCGAATTTTTTGTCATAATATACCTGTAATTCCTCAAGCTTTGTTAATATTGCTTGGTACTTCAATGTGAGATGCTCATTGATGTTCGTGATTTCTCGTAAAAGTTCCTCCAAAACACGTGTCTTAAATGAAGACACAAAGTTTTCAATGTACAGTATATCATCATTTATACTAGATTCAGAAAAATAGCCACCAGCTAATTTAAGTTTGGTGATTTCAGATTTAGTATATGATCCGTACAATTTCCCAAGTGTTTCTTTGCGATGAGTAATATTTTTTGTGTATATTGCTAGATCATACAGAGTGTTTCTATTCAAAACAAACCGTTCATAAAATGTTTGATTTTCATGCTTGATCTCCTCTAGTGAGTTTTCATACCACATTTTCATGGCATGAATCTTATTGTAAAAGTCATTTAAGCTTTGGAGTAATTTGCTGATGCTCTTGTCCAGCACATCAGCGTTGAAACTGTTAAATATCTCAGTAAGCTCTACTGGAATAACCGAATCGGTTGAGGTAATACGATTTAGTTTTTCATCAATGTTTGGAAAATAGAAATCCAACAGCTGCCACATATCTGCTAAGAAATCATCTACCGTTCCGCCAACGCTGGAATAAGATGTATATATGGTTCCTGGCAGCATTGATAACTCATAATCAGGAAGTTGTTCATCTAGTGGCCTCCCTGACTCAAGTGCTTCTCTAAACGCCAACAGTTTATCGACAACGTCTTTGCCTTTCCTGGCAGCCTGTTGGACATTCTTACGGATAGTTCCACTTAAATCTGTCGGCGTAAGTCCAGGAAGCGACTCTACTAATTTGGGTCCATCTGATTCAAATATCAACCTGGTTAACTCGAGGAAGTCATGTGCAACTTCATAGAGGGTGTCATTTGTAGTTTTGTAGCTCCTACTGTAGATGCTCAAGAACTCCTCGTGTCTTGCAAACGTCAGATTTAAATCCCTGACATAGGTTTTTATAACAGATTGGACGTTATACACAATTTCATTCACCGGTTGATTGTTGTCTTCATCCTTATCATAGAAATGAATAGTGTAATCAACCAGCTGATTGTAATCATTAATGATATTTTCAAACATGTGCTGGTCAGTTTCCCAAATTTCTTCATCTACATGTTGGACAATATCTAGTACCTCGTGATATTTATTTCTTAGTTCAGTGGTCTTGATGTTGCGCTCATCAAGTAATTTATTAACACTCAAGCTCGATATTGCACCATAAGAGAGTCGGGGCTCATATACTACTTTCTTACATGGCTGTGGGCAAGAACAATTAACTTCCATGAACTTGGTGCTATTCTGTAAGGAAGGCAGTACACAGTCAAAGTATTCTTCCAAACTGCATATCCTCGGCTCATCTGTAATATTATTATTGTATGAAACTGATATGAATAATGTTATAAACTTTATAAATGTATATAACTAAATAGCAGAATCATATCCATTTCAGGGATAAGGTGCTAACGTGATAAGGGATAATCTTTAGTAAATGTGTCATTTCATTAATTAACTACATCTAAAGGTTATTCGAATCACAGGCCAGTGTTGGTCTGCTTTTGTAAAGATACATACAAGGCTTACTATGGTGTTTCTGGGGCATATACGCTGCCCTACAGTGACATATCGCCACAACATATCTCGTCTGGCAATCAATCATACACTTTGATACAGTATAGTCATCGAAATAATCCAGTTCTTTTTCACTACATGTCCCCCATGGCTTAGACAGACTTAAGAACTGAAATGAAATAGTGAATTGATTGTGCCAAATTGTATCTAAAATATTCAATTTCTTTGATGATTTCTACATTTTCTACTTTTTGTCTGCCTTATTATGAGAGACGTACCATTTTTGTGTCTTTACTTCTCATCATTTTATTTTGAATATAAAGTTTAAATATAACAACATTACAAATCGACAATATTTACAAAATGAATAATTGAACCATTGTAATTACTTTTGAGAAACAATAAATGGGAACTGATAAATTATAATATAATAATGCATTGCCTCGGCCCTAATACCTCGGTTCTCTTTACGGCAACAAGGGAATGCATCCCGGGTGCAACGGCAAAGCCGATATCAGTAACCATTGGCACTTCCGACTGATTGTGAAGAAGAACCTAAAACACAATTGTCAGGTGAATTATCAGAGATTAACACTGGAGACATCAAAGGGGAAATATGTACGTCTATAATCTTCTTGTCACTTCACGTATTTGTAGCTCTTGTAGCTCTATATGAATGGTTCTGAGTTTACAGAAAATATGAATTCCTGTCAGGGGCGTAGCAAGCTTTCAGTCAGGGGGATTGTGATCGCCCAAAAAATATCGGTTTCAGTCAGGGGGTGCGATTGTGGCATAAACAAGCCAAAAAATTAAGATCAATCTTGAATTTTCTTCTTCTATCTCTTTCTTCTTCTATTTTCTTCAAAATGAATTGTAATGACTTCATCAGTATGAATGAAATATCCCTTGGTCTGGTCCTGGATTGTGATATTGGTTCTCGATTGGAGGGGGGAGGGGGATGTTAGACATTGTTTCTTTTCACGTTAGATCATGGTTTTGGGATATATAGGGTCTAGTTTTCTTATGACAGATTTACACTTACAGTTTGCTTTTCTTGTTGGGTTTCTTTAAAGTTTTTAGTCAGCCTTCCCTTTGGCATTTGTGGTTATATATTCATGAGTATATTATTTTTATTGGTTATTGGGGGGATCGCACCCCTTGGCTACGCCTATACCTGTGCAACAGACTTTTTTTGCATAAAACTAAAATAATGGTACGATGCTTCGGTGGAGAAAAGGTGGAGAGTTTGTTATGGGCATTGACGTCACATTTGTGGATGCAACTTTAGAACAGCGACTTAACAGTTAGAGAGTGACCCTTTTCAACCATTAGCATTTACCATGAAGGGTTATATGGGCTTTCAACAGACAAATTAATATTTTTCTCTGATATAGTTTTCTAATATCTAATTGGGTACGGGTAACAATCTATATCGAAACTTTAGAAATCATATGCTATACCCTCTAATTTAAGAAATAATACTAAAATATTACCATACCTTTATCCCTGCATCTGTTCTAGGCCCTACCATGTACTCATACTGCTCCACATTGATGATTAGACTGAGACCATTACTAGTGCCTACAACATGTACTTAGCTTTTTAAAAATACATTTAAGTAACATGTATAAAGCAGAGTAGTTTTTGAGAAAAATAAAGAAAAATATAAGGATGGGTATATGGAACCGTATTGATAATATACTTGAGGATGTAATTGGAGATCAAAAGACCAATGATGTACTTAAGGGAGGATGTGTAAATCATATCACACAAAATGAAACAATAGCAGTGTATCAAAAAGTACACATTCTGTTGATCTAAGGTCACAAAGTACACTTATATCACAAAGTTATATAAGAGACCATAACAAGATTTAGTAATGGTAATCATGAGAAAAGTCAGCAACGATCAAAAATAATCCTTTATGAGTGAAAACCTATATGTTACGTAGTTGTGCAATTAAGAGTGATACTAATAAAGCACAAAAACACTATGCTATGAGGATAGGTTTCACACTCTCCAAAATTCCAAATGTAGTTTTGACTGATTTTTGATTCACCGAGCGTAAAACATACAGATAAGAATAGAATAGTGACGTTGATAATAATGATGAATTTCAAACTATTATTGATGGTGACAATTAATCCTGATAATTAGGTAACAAGAAAATGACTTCAGGTCAGGGTGCATGTTCGGAATTTTTCTGCAACCCTCACTTTTGAGCAACTAGTGCACCAATGTACCTAGAAAGAATGTAGAGAAGAATGTTTTGATAAAATGTATAAAAAACAAGAAAATTCAGTGAAAAAATTCAGAAAATTTTCACCAGTCTTTTCTAGGCACATGAATGCACTCTTTATGCAAACTGGAAGATGTAGACAATGTCAGGAAGGAGTGATTACTGTTTGGAGAACAACATGTGACTCAATTGAGGAATGCAGCAAAATTCCGAACATGTATTTTTGGTCATTTAAATCATTAGATTCATGCAAATTAATCGTGTAGTTATACTGTGCATGGCCATATTCTGGCTTTTTGAAGAAATTAGTAACTATCTTAAAATTAAAGAAATGTAAACATATTGTACGAATATATTGCATTCTATTGTACGTAATAATGAATTGATAATAAAGGATTATAAAATGTTCGTTGAAATATACTTATAATGTGATTCAATCAAAACATATATGTCCAAACATAATTAATTAGTATAGCATGCACTGCTATAGCTTGTGCAAATCTCTATAAACCACAGAAAGTGCAGTGCTTTTTTAGACATTATTCGAATTTTAATTAGAATCTCAAAACATGCAAATACAACGTTTTTAGAAAGTCGATTAGCTTAATAAATCACATTCAAATATGCATGTAGTTAAATGTTGCATCATATTAAAACCCAAAAATACATGTATGTAGAAGCACACATCCATAGCCCCACACACCGTTGTTAATAATGCTGGAACATTAATGTATAACTATTTACAATATATTAAACAGATTTAGTTGTGCTATGGAATTTCCAATGAGAAACGATATTTCAAACAATTTACTTGACATTTTTGCAACCATAATAATCAAGGTCATGTCTTTTAAGCTTTTTAAAGATGCTGATAGAAAGTGTGCTGGGTAGTATGACTAATATGTCAGGTCATGACATCTAAAGAGTCAATAAAAGATAGATATAACAAGTAAAGTGGTCAATTTCATGACTGTGTAATGTATTAATGATCTCGAGACTTGTTCACCTGGATTGTGCACTGTTATAAATTCCTCGGCATTATTACTTGTATTGCTTGGAATAAATGATTCTACAATGTGTGAAATATTAGTAGAATTATTAAACAAGAAACCATCAGTGTCAATTATGTTACAATAATATTGAAAACATGCCAAAATTGTTAAAAAGATGTTCCAATGCAGCAATGTCAAAATACAAAATTGCAAATCAATAATTACATGTATATTAAAAAAACATAATCAAATATTATCAATCAGAAATATAAAAGTAAGTTAATATTGTGAGTGACCAATCCATAAAGTAATAATGAAAGTGTTTTAAGTAGTATAGCAAGGTGGTATTAGTTCTCAACAATAAAGATGTCAGCATCAACAATGCACATGCATTCACCTGGCTGTCTTATTTTTTCCGGGTGTTCTAATGCAGCGACAAGAGATGAATGATCATCTGTCAACAGTATTATCAAAACACTGTATTTTTATATCAATATTGGATAAACCAAAGGTTGGATGATGCAGAGTCGTGCGTTTTCATGGCTGGCCAAATGTGATAACATTAGAAAAATGAAGTTAACTTTTGTAGTTGTTTTGGAGTAGTATTAACATCATTTTGCTGAAAATTCAATGGCCATTCTGTAGGTAGACAAACTAAAGTAATGTATCAAGTGAAATCTTTTTCTAATGCTGTCAGCCATTTTGGTCAATTCTGTATATTCGGGTTGTCAAAAAGTGTTTGAATACATTTAGATACATAAGTATTCAAATGCATGACGTTTGTCAAACAAGAAAACAGTGAGCCCATTTCTATTGTAAAATCTTCAAATTTATATTATCGAATGCAATCTCCACCACCGTGCTTTTCACCTGGTTGATATACTTTGGTTGCTGTTTCATCGGCTACAAGGCTGGTATTAGCTTAACCAATAAATTAAAATATCATCACATTCATGATATTGAACATTTTAAAAAAAAGTTACAATATAATAACAAGAACCATGTTGAGTTATCTCTTTGAAATAGTAATGCTATAGGTATGCGGATTTGTTTATCGTATTTCATATTCAATATTTAGACAATAACAATAATTATGGCTTAAGGAAATATGAAAATGTAGTATACCTGATTCGTTGACTGCAAATTCGCTTCTTGCTTCCAGGTTGAAAGTATAGCAGACTCCAAAGTCAGTCAATGTAACATCAAAATCAGACGCAGAACATTCAGTTCCCTTCCACCTGCAACTGTTCCAAAAGAAGGATGTTAGACAAAGAAAGAGAACGGGAAATAATCAAACTCTGTGTCGACAATACAAATCAACATGTCCAAATAACATTTGAGGAACGTATTATCTTGCCTATATATAAGGTCCCCCTTATTGTGTGCTGTTGTCGTTAGAAATTCATTCAATGACAGTTCCTCTTTCTGTTCGTCATTCTCATGTAACTCATCGCCCGCTTCGTTGTCCAATTCATCGGTGACATAATCAGTCGCAATTACATCATCTTCGCCAGATGCTACAATATTATGACTCATATCATATTTAATTTCTAATAGTTAAGCCATGGGCTTTCAAGGTTAAGCATAGATCATTGAGAGTATACTAGATAGTACATCAGATATTGAAAATCAAGAAAATATCAGATAATTTGTTTCACTTGAAATAGTTTAGGCTTCGCACAAACAGATACGTTTTCCATAAAATATAATCATGGCCACCGCATCTAGTTACTTCGACGCACCATTCTTCCGATTTAGAAGCTATAATTTGGCTTCAAGCTGTAAAAAATATTACAGTATAATAATATACTGGTGGATAGATTGATTTTCAAAAAATAAAACAAAATTCACATATTTAGTTTCCATTTTTGTTACTTGGACGATATTTTTCGTCAAGCATATGTACAAAATTCCCAATCCATTGCTCTTGTGTTAAAAGCAAAAGTGAGGAAATAGATATTGGAATCGATGCTTTATTTAAAAACCAACTAGCCGTCAGTAGCTGTAAATCGGGAAAACAAAAATATAAAAACAGGAATATCAACCATGTTAATACTTTGTAAGTACGTTAAAGTAAAAGGAGAGCTGATGGTGTTCCAGCTTAAATAATATACCTCGTCTTTGAATATGGTGAGATTCATTCACCCCAGTAGTATCTTCTACCAGTGCAGGGTATGTTACGTTAATAGTAGCTACTGTAGATCCTCCTGTTATACGCTCATCTGTAGAAGGCTCTGTATGCGTAGTCCCGGACATTGCAGGACGTGTTGTCTCGGCTGGAGTTGTAGCTTGTGTAGTTGTGGTCGTAGTTGGAGGTAACCGAGGCGTTGTCTGCGTTGATGAATCATCCAATGAGCAACTCGGAATGTTGATGTTGTTATGAACTTTAAGAGATAAATGAAATGTGATTCACACATGGCTAGGCAATCCGAACAGAGTATTCACATAATGAACAGTGTGTGAAATATCAATAACGAATTTGTTGTCTACAGTTGCTAAGCTATTGAGATTGAAATTGAGTTTTCCAACATTTGACCCTTGCAAAAGGTTTCATTGAAAATGTGTTCTTTTAGTGATTTTGTATCTTTTAGGTGATCTTATAGAAAATATTTTGCAATGTGTGAAAAGAATTTAAGCCCAAGACTCATGCATTGTGGCTGCTTCATTCCACTCAGATGTTGTTCCCTAAACTTTGCATTCCCTCTGCGGGGTCATGCAAAGATTTGGAAACAACATCTTCGTTGAATGGTTCAGCACACAATGCACCGAGTACAAGGCTTAAATCCTTGATTTGTCCCCATGTACAAGTAAATTCTCTGCAATACATAGGTACAGTAGTATATCACAAATATATTAATTCGTGCAGTTTATAAGATTTGATTTATGCCCTACCCGTGTATGTCTCAAATAATGCTGTTATTTCAGCGTCAGTCTTTCTCACATTCCACATAAGCATTTCATCGACTTGGATAATATCTTTCTCACTCCCATTACCCACTGGAGGTCCAAAATGGAATTGATTATTCGGCGATGCCGCTTCATGTTTCCAGCGACGCACTGGGTCTCTTGCTGACCCATTGACGTAAAGTGTGAGACCATCTGCGTCCTCCCATGTCACTACAACGTGAGTCCAGACCTTATTTGATAGCTTAAATGACGCATACCACCTCTTCTTTGGTGTGATGATTGATACTTTTAAGTTTCTACCTTCAAAAGTCATCTTTAGTGGGTTGGAGCCAAGAAGTGCAATATTAGCTCTGTTGTCGTCGATGGTTACATTCAACCACAGTGCGAGTGTGTAACCGTCACTGCAACAAGATGCATTGTTAATGCATTCACCTTGCATCGAACCAAAGTCCACGTACCCCCTTCCGCCTTTGAACTCTATAGCCATACCTAATATACCCTTAACTGTGGCTGTGGCCATGGTGTTTTTCTTTTTTTCTACTATCTTTCCTTCCATACCCACACCTACCAACATTCCATCCTCAACTCTATCCATCGATACGTAGATGTGTTTGATATCTATAAAACAGAGATTTAAAGATCCAGGCCTAGGACGGTTTCATTGATGTTTTCTCAAACTGGACACGACTTATTTGAATATAGGAAAGATCTATGATGGTATTACTTACTTACAAAGTGCAACAATTCTTACCTTTTGATTTCGTTAAATCCTTGATGAAAGTTTCATCTTGTTGTATGTTCCAAAAATTCAGATCATCAATAAATGCATCTCCGAAGTGTTTATGCTCATCATTTGGTCTTCCAATCACAAAATCAACATCTTTTGTATAATTGCTTGGTCTCAGTAGTTTCCATGTTCGATCCTCGTGTTTTAGATCTCCATTGTGATACAGGCGGAGGCCGTGACTTAATATCCATGTGATAGTGATGTGGCTCCATTCGTCGTCCTTGAGTGCATCAATTGAGGCCTCATATAGACGGCTTTTTGTTTTTAGGTGAACGTTCAATTTGTCAGACTGTTGAAATACAGTTATGCCTTGAGCTCGAGGTGACTGAGCTCCGCTGCTTAAATAAAACATCGAATATTTTTCGATTGGGTGTTTGTAGCCTTTCTTAATCCAAAATGCTAGTGTGAATCCATCTTCACAAAGATCAAGTGAACCCAAACACTCTCCACTGGTGTTACCAAGGCTGGCCCACTGGTTTATACCATTTAAGTAGAGGCTATTTTGCAACTTTCCTGGTGCAGTTTGAGCGCCCTTGTATACCGTGGCGTTCAGCCCAATACCATATATTTGATCTTCTACCTGGTCATCCATTGGAAGAAAATACTGCACCGTCGCTAAAAGAGATAAACGTACATGCATTTTAAAAGTATCGTAGAATATATTTAAATGAAACTGACGAAAAGGGTAACAATAAAAGTCGCATACCTGTGCCCGCATATCTCTTCTTGTTGACAATGGTGTCCCAAAACATGAATTCGTCAATAGCTGTTGGTCCATAGAAGCGTACTCCTTCAGTTATGTTGGTAATGTTAACTGGAAAAGATTCCAAGACACCAGGGCATATATTGCTGACGTGTTGATTGCCCGATTTGCCCGTAATATTTACTGACACGTTCAATCCAAGTTCTGAAGACCATGTGATGAATAAATGGTTCCATGAATCTGGGTTAAGCCCTATGCTAGTGTTCCAGTATCTCCAATCCTGAATGACATGCACCGATACTTCATTGAGATCAAGAAATACAAAAACTCCCTGCGGGGGGACATTGCTGTCATCATTTAGTGAATAATGCGACGTATATAATATCCTTGGAGTATTGCAAGGGTGGGTATCGTCCCTCAGCCAAAACCTATAGCTAAATCCATTATTACACATCTGTATGTTGCCAAAACAACGATCCTTTTTGAAACCAAAGTCTAATCGCTGACTGAAATTGCTCATATAAAAGCTTTTGCCGAGAACACCGTCATATCCAGGGTCATATGAACTCTCAATGTCAAAATCTTCGCATGGGTCTACGATCTCTATGACAACTGGGCGGGGACAAAGAAGCTCGCTGCTATTGCCGCCACATTCAACTTCGACATGATATTCCTCCTCAATTGTCACATTATTGCATACTTCAACCTCTTCAGTGAGAGGTACATAGACGTCACTTTCATTATGAGTTGAATTGATGGATGAAATGTTACCATTTGGAATGGAGGAGTTGATAAAAGACGTGGTGTTCATCAAATAATCTGTGTAATTATCTGTCATATTGCTGACGATTGCAGTACTTGTGTTAGTCATATTATTCATAAATCCTGGAGTATTTTCAATATCTTCCATGAATCTCGTTAGGTTCCTCGTATCGTTAGTAGATACCGTGAGGTTTGACATATCGTTCAAATCTGTTGTGTTTGCTATATACTCCGATGTAGTATTTAATGGAGTAGATGTTGTCATCGTGGTGTCATTCCCTTCAGTAGGGGTAACTGGAATGTGACTTGTGGTCGTTACGGTTTGGTTAATTAAGATACATTCTATACGCGATTTGTTCCTGTGTCTCACAAGATAAATTGATCCATCAATACAAGATATCACATTATCTACATATTTAGTTTGATTCTCGTCATGCCCCAAAACCTGTATTGTTACATTAAGCTCAGTTCCATTGAAACATTGTTCGACAAATATCTCTATGTCTGTTTTATTCTCAATAACTGTCTCTACAATCGGAGGTGGAATCCAGGGGTCAAAGTCCATTGATGCCTCTATTCCTCTACCAAGAATGGAACCTCCCCATATATAATCCATAGACATATGGTAAAATACAGTTGGCTCGGGTTGGCTCTCCTCAGGTTCTGTTGGATTCTCAGGTTTGGCATCATCTTCTTTCAAAAAACCTGAAGTAAAGTGTGGGTCCTGGTTTTAATTGATTCACTCTTATGTTTTATAAAGAAACGACATAATGCATTTCATAAAATAATTTTTGATGTTTCTGTGTAAATTCATGTCTCCGGTAATGCATTAATTAAGTCAAGTCCATTTACTTCAGAGACTAATATAATTTATTTTCGATGTTTTTAATATTCTTGATAAAGCTAGTAGGATAATCAGTGAAAGGTTGAAAATAAATTATATAAGTCTCTGAAGTAAATGAACTTGAGTTAATTAATTTTTGATGTGTTAATATTTATTTGAAACCTTACTTACCCTTGTACCCATCAAACACTTTGACTATATCACTCCCATTCATGTACGTATCCCATATGTATAAATCATCCATGTATGCCTCGCCCAAATCTGTACTAAACATTTCATTTTTCAGGAGAAGGTCATTTGGTCCACCTAACGTCAATCCATCCTCCATAGCATCTTCATCGATCTCAACTGCTTTAAGAGGGTAATACTGGCCATGGTCAGCTTTTGAACCGTTTATATACATCGTTAAATCTTGCTCTTTAGACCATGTAAATGCTACCATGTTCCAGACGTTCTTTTCGACGCTGGTGGTAACATGCCATTCCTTCTTATGTGTGCGTATATAAACAACAAGCCTATCATATCGTTGGTACATTGCAATACCTGTATTTCCAATTTTGTGACCTCCAGTAGATATATAATGTAAAATTTGAGAACCAGAGGCTTCTTTGAAGCCAAGTTTGATCCAAAGTGATAAAGTTAATCCAAGCTTACAATCATCCAATTCTTTGAGGCATACGCTGTCAACCGCTTGGTTATTAAACTCTACATGCTGGTCAAGTCCATTCAAATAGAGTGCCTTGTTTACTATGCCATCCACAATTTCGGGATCTCTCAAAGCAAAACCAATTATTCCCTTGCCAACTATCTCTGTTTTACTTTTAAGGCTGTCCATATTGAGGTATACAGTAGCGTTACCTGGAAAATGTGTAATTGTACAACACAATATTTGGTATCTTTATACCAGAAAGGATTTCGTTAAATCATTCTTCCGAGATTTTAACACAATAATATATCTAATTCTTCTCCAAAAGTTCAGTTCAATACAACATTAATTCTAAAATAGGCGTCAGTTACTTGTTATGTTTTTTGATGTGGGATGATGTTCCTTCTCTCCAACAGGAGTTGTAGTCACTGGTGCTGAAGTTGTGACATTGACCAATGTGGTAGCTGAAAATTGTAACGTTTCATATCATACGCAATTACGCATTACAAGCAAGTAATCTTACATTTAGCTCCCGGGGCCTCTTGTCCCCACCTCATATCACCCAACCAAGTATTCAAGTAAGACGCCTTGCGTTGAAGAAAATGTCACAAGCTACTGCAGAGTTCTCATCAAATATAGCACGATAATTTTGATTGCAATTTAGCCTGTTCATAGAAATGTCACGTTTACATCAATGGTTTACTAAGCCAATACTTACTGTTGTCATTTGTTGAATCCTTTTCTTTTTGTTTCTCATTGCCGAAATGTTTTCTAACAAGCTCTACTTTATTTATTTTTGCAGCTACTGAAACTCTATAAAAATTTAAACACTTTTATTCAGAAACATGTAAATGTAGTGTTTCTTTGGCTGTAATGTATGATATCATAAAGCTATTTGATGCAGAGTTTTATATCAAAACACTGATTAACTCATTACCCAAAAAAGGCTTGACAAACGTCGTTGGGTATTCAAACAATGTAACCTTTAAAATGAAGATTTTATAATGAATGTCACAAAAATGGTTTGGTCTCTACGAGATTTTGGCACATGACGTTTGAGTCAATATTGGGATAAAATGTCTAATTATAACATAGTCTCGAGTTGGCTATTTATGTCACCCATAAGTGGTGACATATTGCTATAGTCTCTTTTTGTGGTGGCGATTGGTGTTCGGAGTTCAGCGTCTGTAACAAATGACAGGTGTTGGCATTTTGGATGAAATGCCTTGTTTTATATTATAATCATCAGAAACATGTACAAGGTACGGCGCTGGGAAACCAAAATTAACCCAATATAAAATAAACAATATCAAACGATATGATGATGACGTTGGCGAAGATGATAAGTAAACAATAGTTTATAATTAATAGACTTATACAGTAAATCATGCAACGTTTCCAAACAAAATTCTATGAAGTTTTTCAGAATTAGCAACATGTTTGCAATAAAACTGTACTTTAAAATGACATACCCAATGATTTACTAACATAGTCTATTGAATTAAGAAATCATAAAAAATAATATTTAGTACCTGAAGGCATTTTCATTGCAAATTGTCACACTTGGGAATGTAAGGTTTTCTGTGTAGGTGACCTCTACGTTAACAGTCTTCTCCCAGCTGTAATAGACGGTACAGCGCACCACAACTACGTAGCTAAATCCACATATCGCAGCCAGAACGATAAGGACCCAAACCAACCTGCATATACATATTAACGATGTTACGCGTTTTAATGTATTGGAATAAATCAAGATTTTGTAGTAGTAAATTGCTCAATTCAATGTTGCAGGCACCTCCTATAAAATATTACTCATGAAACCCTAGTTTCTAAATATTTTTGTATGTAAATGTCTGTAACAATAGACGGTGAATTTCATAGATAAACCCACACAAAAATCGAATGTAGTATTTGGTAACGAGCAGGTAAAACCTGAGATACGGTATAACGCAAATTATTCAAATGCCTTATGTTGTACATTACCGTTACCGCGCGTTGTACCGTAGACTACATTTTGAGCAATATTAATCACTCAAGTAGGAATGACATCAACTAATTGCTGATCAGAGGTGGTCAATCATATTCATATATGCCCAGTCGCAACCATGGATTATGAGTCCCTCTGAGAGTAATTTGTAAGACCAAATCATGTAACAAGTGATTATAGTCATGTTAAAGGAAACATGTACTGCGGTAGTTGCGACACGTTTGTACTTCAGTGTTATGGATGGTGTCAATAGACAGATTTAATGACCCATCACACAGTGATGCCCTTTAATTAAACCTTGTTTCTTTCTACATCAGCGCCGGTTTCATCCAATTGTCGAGAGACACTATTAAACGCTTCACTATACATGTCTATCCAGGAGATTTGATATGCATCTGATACTCGAGCTATTCTAGTAATTGACTTCGATTCAAAGTATACATTATGATTGTGTTTTTACTATTTTTCAGTTTATCATGTCGCACATGGTTTGTTATAGAACTGTATCTCCTTCGAGATCTGCGTTTTATGCTTGTTTTTCTTTGTTGATATCGCAACTTATTGCTGTTTGAATATATGTTCGCTCAAGTAGCAATAAATCTCTGTTGATTAACTAGGATCGGAGATTTAGAAGTTGACAAAGTTTTAAGCTTTTTCCAATTTCATGAAACCGTATCAAATAATGATGTTACTTAAGATTTGAGACGTAGAACTGGGTCTGAACATCATCAAATAGCACTTAGAGGTCAAATGAATAAATGCGAGTAGTGAAGAGTGAACATTTATATAACAATGACATAGTGACATAGTATGATATAGTGACATAGCAACCATGACATAGTTACGCATGGTCTGATTGGTTAAATTTCCCGCTGCAATCTGATTGGTAAAATGATGTCACGTGACTCCAGCCCGTTAATGATTAATTAGTGATAACCCGTTGCTGAGCAATTTTATAAGGCTTATATAATACTCATCAGTACAAATACAAAGTTTACATTGTAGTATTTACTTAAACAACAAATCTATTATTTCACGATCACCTGATAAGATATTCATATACTGGACGTTTGTAAGGATACTATATTTACACCTTTAAAGAACAGGCTTAACTACAGGAGATATTTTAAAAAGATTATGGAAATTTTTCATTTGAAACCTCAAGATGTCAGTAAAGTCGGGGGGACCATAGTAAAACCATTAGAAACTGGCCTTCCAAGAATGTTAAAGTTAGCCGTAGGACCGCATCGTCAACAAACAATTCTCTTCCCAACAGTTGACCATGTATTTATGAAAACGTACGATGTGCTTGATGTACAGTCGAAACATGATGGATCACTACAAGTACCATTTGAACCGCAATCATCCGATCCATGTGCTGGAAGGATAACAAGACAGGAATTTGACTATTTCATAGAATGCTGTCAAGAGAACTGTTGTATATTTTCAAAGGACAACAGAAATTCTTCAAAATATGAACAACAAGCCCTATATACATATGGTTTAGACCACTGGCAACACTTAGGCAGAGGATATGAATTTACGATTTCCAGCAACTACAAAACGTTAGAAATCGTGTCAAATAGGTTCAATGAAGAGAAGGAGATTTACGAAGTAAACTGGAGTCTGTGTTTAACATTTCAACAAATACACGACTTATTAGATAATATATGGCTCATCATGGAGCCTTTGACACTGGCCGAGAAAAACTGCCTAGCTACTTTACATGACGATCATCTGAATCAAATGGGCACATGGTCATGCAACGTTTGCCAATTCATGAACCGCAGGACAGTTTTTGATAAAGCACTTAATGACCAATAACACTATGCTTGCTGTCATTTTTTGTATCAGACAATAGACATGTTTATTAGAATATTATTTGAATAAACATACATATGTAATAACGACAATTGCAATCATCTCCGTTTAAATTCCTAAATCAAACCTTTACACCATGACACCAATAGTAATACCAATACTTGAATTTCCCGCTGCAATCTGACTGGTCAAATGATGTCACGTGACTCCAGACATTTACCTACATTTTAACTCAAGATTCTTAACAGTTAGTTAACCATATCGAGTAAATGACTTAGTCAAATGAGTAACTTAATTGTGTAAATGAGCTACCCAATTGAATAATGAACAAACTCAATTGAGTGAATGGATACCTCAGTTGAGTAAATTTGTAACTCAATTAAGCAAATGAGTTAATCTATTGAGTATATAAGTCACTCAAATTAGTAAATGGGTAACTAAATTGAAAAATCGATCAAATGAGTAACACAATAATGTAAATGAGTAACTCAATAGAGTCAATGAGTAAGACAATTAAGTAAATGAGTAACTCCACTGAGTAAATGAGTAACTCAGTAGAGTAAACGAGTAACTCAATTAAGTAAACGAGTAACTCAATTGAGTATATAAGAAACTCAGTTGAGTAAATGAGTAACTCAATTGAGTAAATGAGCAACTTAATTGATGTATTGAGTTACTCAATTAAATGAGTCCATTAGTGACTCAAATAAAAATAAATTGCTTTATGGAATGAGTAAATGGCTAACTGGGATGAGTTAATGAGTAACTCAAATGAGTAATTGAGTGCTGGATTATCAAATTTGGCTGATGCATTTATTCAATCGAGTGACTCATTTACACAATCGAGTTACTCATTACTCAATCTAGTGACTCATTTACTCAATCAAGTTACTCAATTTACTCATCCGAGCAATTCAATTACTCATTCTCTCAATTTTACTCACCAATGACTCAATTATTCAAATGAGTTACCGATTTACTCATTAGAGTTACTCATTTACTCAATTGAGTTACTCATTTTACTCATTCGAGTAAAAATTATAATGGATAACTGGGCTAGAGGATTAACTCAATTGAGTAAATGAGTAACTCAATTGAGTGAATGAGTAACTCTAATGAGTAAATTGGTAACTCATTTGAATAAATGAGTCATTGGCGAGTGAAATTTAGTGAATGAGTAATTGACTTACTCGAATGGGTCAATTAAGTAACTCAATTGAGTAAATGAGTAACTCGATTGAATAAATGAGTAACTCATTTGAATAAATGCGCCATTGGTGAGTAAATTGAGTGAATGAGTAATTGACCATCTTGCTAATGTCATAGTCATCTAATGTCATCTTAATGCATTTTAAATATCTTATTAGTTTAGTGAACATTTGTATCATATGGGAGCAAACAGTTTTTGGGCAAGGGGGGGGGCCCAAATTTTTTTCCGCGCTTGTGCGGAAAAAAAGACAAATAATTTGGGCCCCCCCCCCTTGCCCAAAAACTGTTTGCTCCCATATGATACAAATGTTCACTAAACTAATAAGATATTTAAAATGCATTAAGATGACATTAGATGACTATGACATTAGCAAGATGGTCAATTACTCATTCACTCAATTTACTCACCAATGGCGCATTTATTCAAATGAGTTACTCATTTATTCAATCGAGTTACTCATTTACTCAATTGAGTTACTTAATTGACCCATTCGAGTAAGTCAATTACTCATTCACTAAATTTCACTCGCCAATGACTCATTTATTCAAATGAGTTACCAATTTACTCATTAGAGTTACTCATTCACTCAATTGAGTTACTCATTTACTCAATTGAGTTAATCCTCTAGCCCAGTTATCCATTATAATTTTTACTCGAATGAGTAAAATGAGTAACTCAATTGAGTAAATGAGTAACTCTAATGAGTAAATCGGTAACTCATTTGAATAATTGAGTCATTGGTGAGTAAAATTGAGAGAATGAGTAATTGAATTGCTCGGATGAGTAAATTGAGTAACTTGATTGAGTAAATGAGTCACTAGATTGAGTAATGAGTAACTCGATTGTGTAAATGAGTCACTCGATTGAATAAATGCATCAGCCAAATTTGATAATCCAGCACTCAATTACTCATTTGAGTTACTCATTAACTCATCCCAGTTAGCCATCTACTCATTCCATAAAGCAATTTATTTTTATTTGAGTCACTAATGGACTCATTTAATTGAGTAACTCAATACATCAATTAAGTTGCTCATTTACTCAATTGAGTTACTCATTTACTCAACTGAGTTTCTTATATACTCAATTGAGTTACTCGTTTACTTAATTGAGTTACTCGTTTACTCTACTGAGTTACTCATTTACTCAGTGGAGTTACTCATTTACTTAATTGTCTTACTCATTGACTCTATTGAGTTACTCATTTACATTATTGTGTTACTCATTTGATCGATTTTTCAATTTAGTTACCCATTTACTAATTTGAGTGACTTATATACTCAATAGATTAACTCATTTGCTTAATTGAGTTACAAATTTACTCAACTGAGGTATCCATTCACTCAATTGAGTTTGTTCATTATTCAATTGGGTAGCTCATTTACACAATTAAGTTACTCATTTGACTAAGTCATTTACTCGATATGGTTAACTAACTGTTAAGAATCTTGAGTTAAAATGTAGGTAAATGTCTGGAGTCACGTGACATCATTTGACCAGTCAGATTGCAGCGGGAAATTCAAGTATTGGTATTACTATTGGTGTCATGGTGTAAAGGTTTGATTTAGGAATTTAAACGGAGATGATTGCAATTGTCGTTACTACATATGTATGTTTATTCAAATAATATTCTAATAAACATGTCTATTGTCTGATACAAAAAATGACAGCAAGCATAGTGTTATTGGTCATTAAGTGCTTTATCAAAAACTGTCCTGCGGTTCATGAATTGGCAAACGTTGCATGACCATGTGCCCATTTGATTCAGATGATCGTCATGTAAAGTAGCTAGGCAGTTTTTCTCGGCCAGTGTCAAAGGCTCCATGATGAGCCATATATTATCTAATAAGTCGTGTATTTGTTGAAATGTTAAACACAGACTCCAGTTTACTTCGTAAATCTCCTTCTCTTCATTGAACCTATTTGACACGATTTCTAACGTTTTGTAGTTGCTGGAAATCGTAAATTCATATCCTCTGCCTAAGTGTTGCCAGTGGTCTAAACCATATGTATATAGGGCTTGTTGTTCATATTTTGAAGAATTTCTGTTGTCCTTTGAAAATATACAACAGTTCTCTTGACAGCATTCTATGAAATAGTCAAATTCCTGTCTTGTTATCCTTCCAGCACATGGATCGGATGATTGCGGTTCAAATGGTACTTGTAGTGATCCATCATGTTTCGACTGTACATCAAGCACATCGTACGTTTTCATAAATACATGGTCAACTGTTGGGAAGAGAATTGTTTGTTGACGATGCGGTCCTACGGCTAACTTTAACATTCTTGGAAGGCCAGTTTCTAATGGTTTTACTATGGTCCCCCCGACTTTACTGACATCTTGAGGTTTCAAATGAAAAATTTCCATAATCTTTTTAAAATATCTCCTGTAGTTAAGCCTGTTCTTTAAAGGTGTAAATATAGTATCCTTACAAACGTCCAGTATATGAATATCTTATCAGGTGATCGTGAAATAATAGATTTGTTGTTTAAGTAAATACTACAATGTAAACTTTGTATTTGTACTGATGAGTATTATATAAGCCTTATAAAATTGCTCAGCAACGGGTTATCACTAATTAATCATTAACGGGCTGGAGTCACGTGACATCATTTTACCAATCAGATTGCAGCGGGAAATTTAACCAATCAGACCATGCGTAACTATGTCATGGTTGCTATGTCACTATATCATACTATGTCACTATGTCATTGTTATATAAATGTTCACTCTTCACTACTAATGCGCGTATCTGTCGTATTTATTTATTGAATACAAAACTGAGTTGAACTTTAAAAAATGCTACAAGTATTTTTGTCAAGATGTGAATTTGGAGATTTCAGAAAATTACATCACAAAAAATAAATTCAATAGCTAAATCCTGAAATTGAAATGGTGAGTTTTGATTCTTCCTTAGATACCTAGTGTTAATTTATGCATGCTATGTACCATCCATTACCATACATTTGGAAAGGAGGGTACGAACTGTGCATTGTGCTGTTCATTTTGCATCTAGAAATATTTGGTCCAAATGTACAAATGTAGTAAGCATGCTTTCATGGTATAAATCAACGCTGACCGTATTATAATTTAAATGAATAGCGAAAACAAAAAAACTAATTTTACCGTCAATTTTCTTTTGTACGTTCTACTTAGATACGCCAGATTAATAAGTAGCGTTGAAAGAGATCAATTCAGAAACTAAGAGCTAGATTGTGTCGGCAAATAAAATGAAACGAGGTGGTTACTGAAGCTTATATTTGCCTTGATTAGTTTATTGTTGATACTTATTTAATTATAAATGATTGGGAACACTCTAAGAGGATCACGTTAAGTGTACGTAGCGGATCGAATGAAAAGCGATGCGTCTAACTACAGACATAATTGCTAGATGATTTAAGTGACTTCTAATTCAATTCTCCACGACTCTGATATAGATGATATGGATAACACTAGCACGGATTCAGCAAGTTATAGTATCGCAACGACTACCTCTGTTAGTATCTAGATTGATTTACGTAATAAAACCTTCCGGTTCCATAGAACTCATTACAGGATATCCATGTTACTTAGAATGCTCAAATCTTAATCCGGCATTGCGATCAGACTCCACGTCATTTGTATTTACATACGAAAATAATCTAATAAAAGCATGTGAATACTACATAATTAGACATGTCTTTCATTTGCTGAAGTTCAACCGATAGGTGTGATTACTGGCAATTGATGGGCTTTTTTCATCTTGGTTTGAATGACCAAATTGAAAGAGGAGAGTCTTGCAATTACGTATCATACATGTACCTTATTTTAGAGCCTCTAATGTACCAGCTCTTTTAGGATCCTTCAACCTTTTATTCATAGCAACGGATTTGTGTAGAAAGGTTATTCTAAAATACCTTGAGACTATAATGTTATGAGGTATAATAAACCAACACCACACTTTCTTTATACCTTTTAGCTTATTAATGTTGGCCACCTTTATACCACTATTTTGGTCCAAGAAAGTCGCTCTCGCTAGCATAAAATAAACGAATGTCATTCTGATACTCATCGTAACGCCTGTAATGAGTCCATCTTAAGAAACGAGATATGATGGGAATGAGATACATGTACACCCTGAATCCTCAATGTTTTTGTATATAATATACTATTCAGTCAGAGTAGCAATTCAGCAATAAGTAGAGAACACCAACCTCAATACAACATTCGTCCTGTCTATCAATTCTATTGTTTGACAATCACGTCCTTAATTAAAATATTCCTGAGTAAGATAGATGGAATATTTATGTTGATGATCTCTTAGATCACAGGGAGGTTTAACATCAAAACAAGAAGTGAGCTTCGTGTTTTATTTAGATATCCCCGCATATAAACGAGATTTGCAGAGTTTATTTCTATTGGGAATTAAAATATATTCAATAGGCCTATACGTCTGATTTTACTACTACATAAAACTATATGATGAGAAACATTTACCATTTTTATTACAAAGATAAGACTATCGTACGGAACGCAAGCGACTAACTAGAAAATGTCATCATAATTATCTAACATCCATAGTATGTAATAAATGTCGCTTTGAGTTAATGAAGAATATACATATTAAAAATAGTTAAAATACGTACTTTCTGAGAATGTATGGAGATGTTTCTGTGATGTAGCGAATGCCATGAAAGGTTGAGTTCTGTGTGAATGTATGTAGTAGGTCACCCCAAGATTCTTCACTCTCTGAAAAAACATATTAGACCATATTAGGCATTATCAATTGGGAAACCAACATAGTGATGAGGAATCAAGCACTCTGGAAATTATAATATAAGCAAAGATAAGCGTACGTAAAATAGTCCTTAAATCCTAAATACTGAGGCGGCCACTTTCAATTAATGGCAGCAGTTGAACGGAGAGCCAAATAGCCTAGCAGTGTTAGGGTAGCTGTGATAAAACAAAATCTGATTATTCTTCATATACTTGATTATATCAATTATTTCCAACTGGAATAAAGTAAAACGCCATCGTCGCATACTTGTATGAGCTTGTCAACATATCTGAAGTGTTTGTTGTGGTAACCCTTCAGATTGTGACTCTGAATATAACTAATGGCCCAGTTGAAAAATACATCGATTGCAAAATTTATTTGGTATCAATGTGATCAATCATAAATTGTGTAGCGAATAGCGATACATTTGTCGTAAATGAATGGGAAGAAATGCCAAAAGCTGACGCACTTTCGCCTCAGTTCCATTTAATATCAAGTTGTAAAACATGGGTAAACAAATTTTCATTAAAGGATCGCTTCTTCGAATAGTGGTCATTGACATAAGGGATATTGTCATCGTATAAATAGCCTTATATCATAGTAAATGATATAACATACGAAGCTATAACGTAACACCAATTATTTCATCAGCAAGCAAACATTATAAATCATTTTTATTAAGAATGAATTAACTTCTAGCCACCTCAAATACGTGTAATTGAAATTACAAGATTGCGTGGGGTTGAGGTTAACATTCCAATCTCTCACTTTAGATATAAGATACATATTCAGGATCACTCATACTCATACATGTTTTAAATGGCATTGTGTCGATTTAGAACTTATATGTAACTTATTCATATGATGCAGTTCAAAACAAAATGTCATTTGTGTTCAGATGCACTATGCATCTTATTTTAGAAAAATGGAATAGTACCTGTTTTAAAATGGAAGAAAGCGTAATTCGGGGCGAATTTGGTGGTATAAGAACTGACCAAGAACTGATAAGTTTTTGTATTGACAATCACGATATATGTTATAAGCGTATTAGAAGCGCTAACTATATTGGTAATCCAGAGTAGTTTTACATTTAGAATCGATTCTCTCGACCAATCAAATCGAGACTTTCTGTATCGTTTTCACGTGCGGCATATTCTGCAGTTGAGTATGACATATTCTGCGGTGAGTATTGGATATTCACTGAAATCAATGTATCGCATATTCACTGCGGAATATGCCATACTCACCTGCGAAATATGCCATATACCGCAGGTTAGTATGGCATATTCACCCGTATCACAAATACCGTACAACCATGAATATATGCCATATTCCGCGTAACATTTTCTGCAACTTGACTATTATAAGTCATCATGATATACCATGACATCTCATTTCTTCTCAGCCCTGAGAGGTGAAACAGAAAGATGCTATGAGTATCAGAATGATTATAAGTAGGTTTAAATCGAGTTTTTCAAGAAAAAAATGAGTCACCAAAAGAATACCAAAAACCGATTGACCACGATACGTATGTTTCTGAGATAACACCGAGTGGTCTATAAATTGTGAATTCTGACAGTTTCGAAGAAATATGCCGTTCAACTTTTTGTTTTGTTTACATAGACACCTACTAAATCCTCTTATGTGTTAAGATATAATCAGTGATCGCACTAATGAACTGATGTAAAAGCACCTTGTCTCTTGGAGATAAGCTCAAGCGGTTACAGATTTAAATGTTTTTTAACCACTGGTTAAATCTGTTTTATTTCTTCATGATAACTGTGATAACCCATAAGTGGAAAGAAATGCGTTAGATGATAAAAGTTTATTGAAGAGGAGTATAAACGGATCAAAGTTATGATGACCAACAACAAGATCCACCTCAGTGTAATTCTGCCGAACTGCGAACAGGTTAATTTTGATACAAATACGCCGTGAATTCCCACAGAATAAAGCCCGCTTCATATGTTTGGCAACTAATCAGAATACTCTTGTACTAAAAATGCTAGGTTTGCGATAGAGAATACAAATTGCACTATGATAAGACTTCACGATAATTGGACGTAGCCATGATCTAAAATAATTATAAGGTGAGGCAAAATTAATAAGATGAGGCGAAAATTCCCCACGTCCCTCCATTTACACTGGTGGCTCCAGCAGGAGGGGGTCCATGGGGCTCGCTCGTCCCACAGTGCAGTTATAGTGCAGTTACTTTCATCAGACTTCATTTTTATCTTCCGGTTTTATCGGAAAATATCCCTTGGTGTTCTGGTCCTGGATTGTGATATTGGCTCTCGATTGGAGGGGGGAAGGGGCTGTTAGACATTATTCCTTTTCACGTTTTAGATCATGCTTTTGGGATATATAGAGACTATTTTTCTTATGATAAGTTTACACTTAGAGTTTGCTTTTCTTGCTAGGCTTTTGGCAGTGTTTGGTCCTTTCCCTTTGGCACTTCTGCTTAGTTATTTAATATTTTTCAGGTAAATTTTGGCGAGGCAGTTAACTCGCCTTCCTCATGCCTTACTGCTTTATGCCCATATAGGGTAAATAGAGCACATATCTCTCTTTAATTACCAGTAACAAATAAATGGATGGTTAGGGATGGCATCACACCTGATACAGTACCGGACACACCAATGCACTGCACTCAATTCAGTATCCCTGTGGGAAGTGAAAGATATGCCAGATACCCTGAGATATAGTGCCTGCAGGTCAGTAACAGGTGTAGCAATGCATATGCAATACCAGGGATATAACCATTCGGATCGCTGAACCATATCAGTTGAAGGTTTGCCGTGTTTAATCGGCGATATGCTTCGAGTATTATCAGAGGTACAATAAAGCAAACCTGTTCTATATCGAGAACAATTGTAATTTGATTTAATCAATGTTCAAACCGTAATGGTACAATGACGCAAAAACATATGAATGTTACGCATTTGTTCATCGATAAGACTCCAATACAATGAATTGAGTATCTCTAGTAATTTTAGTGTGCGTAGCTTTTCCGAAAAGAGATCAAATACACGACAGTGACTTATCAGTGAACAACGAAGCGCAGCCAACCGTACTGATACTGATAGATAGTCAATCACCGACACATAAATATGAAAAACTTTATACTCATTTTTTATAATCTTAAAGTATCGTGTTAGTAGTACACGGTGTCATATGATGTCATGTTTCAGAAAATGACGAAGTGGTTATTATGAGATCAATACGATGAAACTTTACTATAGCCTTTGCTCTGTCATTTGTCAACCAGTGGTTTGGTGTTCGAGTCTTGCTCCGGGCTAAGTTTTTATGCTGAACGTATCCAACTATGAAACGAAGGACTTACAGAAAACGAATATGTTGAACCTCCAATTCCCATTCAGGATGTGAGGTCAACTACACCACGACCAAATACCATACCAAACCATGGGCTTGAAAGCCCATGACCAAACCAACCACCATTTTAAAAAATGGTTCAATACAAGACCTGCTTTCACCATATTAACATTCTGATTTATCAGAGCCTTTCGCTGTATTTAAAGCTTGTGAAAGTCCGAGGAATAGAAGAGACCGTGGATTCCACAATACACAATATTGTTTCCTAAAATATTGAAATGAAGCAAATCGGAAATCTTTTTAAGATAAAATAATTGGTTCTGACATCTACATCGAAGAAATGAGTTCCTTGGTATTACTACAAGGTTGATTTGAATAAATAAGCTGTAATTCGTGCAAGTATGATGCGCAATACGCATATCTAAACTATTCAAGAATTCTGAACAAAAAAGTGTTTCGCACAAAGTTCTAGATTAAATGGCAAGATGTGAAACCCACGGCTGTGATCATTAGCATATGTTTATTGTGTTTTTTTGTTGTTGTTTACTCAGTACCATAATGGATTAAGTAAGTAACTTTACTATCTATCGTTGTAAGAATTACGATGAAGAATTTTGCCTAAACCGGGAATCGAACGAGGGCGAAACCAAGACAAGTACCACGGGTATACATTCCCCCTCACTGAGTTTTCAGGCCTGACTAGTGTTTTTTATTATGTTTTATTCTCAAAACCAGTGTTCAACTATAAATAAAGACTAATGAAATATTCAAAATCGCAATAACAACGCAATTTGGAATAAATAACCTGTCAATACTATTGTAGGATTGATTTAAAACAATCGCGTAAACAGCTGATGAACTCTCATAAAAATACTATAAAAGTAAACTTGAGATGAAATATTTTACTAGGCTAGCTGACAGTATCAGTGACCACACAATGTAAAGTATCGATTGCGTTAATCAAATGCTTCACTGGCATGATTGTGTTTGGTTGAGTATGGATGACGTGATAAAAAAAGTTATTAAACTCTTTTATATACCATATTCTCTTGAAAGTCTTCACCAGTGAGGAATTCAGCTATAGTTTCAGCTATAGAAAGCTATAGAAAGTGTAGAAACAATCCAAATTGTAAATTACAAGTGTTCCAAATTCCAAGGAATACTGTTAAGTTACTCTAGGCGTATTTTTACATATTTCCATCTTTCCAATTTAACGAATTTTTACATATTCAGAGTAATATGTTCCTATTTAGACAGACAAAGTGATGAAGTTATCAAAACACTTAACTGGAACTTCTGGGGTGCCTGGGTAAATTATTGCTATGCCACTATGAGAGAACATTAATTATTGATCAACCCTCGTGGAAAGAGACCTCCAGTATAGTGACTTAATACGATAGCTTATAAGATAATAACAATATTACTAGGATGATTATCACAATAAAGTGTAATCTCTAAGCAAGTGTTTGCACTAATCTCCTACGTAGAAAAAAAACAAAACGTTTTTTGTTTTTGTTTTGCGTCAGATCTTTGTATGTTCCCAGCGTTCTCAGGGCAACCAATTAGATTTGATCATGTGAGGCCCTAGAATATTTAAGCGAGGGAAAGCAAGTCTTGTGTGTTAGAATGTATTTGTTTTGTGTTACGTGAAAAGCGTGTCTGGTATTTTGTATATTTTGAAATAGTGTTCGTTAAAATTAACAATTTGGGCTTTGGGAATGAAAAATTGATATTATTGATCTCTTCAAAGAGTAGATAAGAATTGTGGGGGGGTCTACCAACACATATGATGATGGTCCTCTGCTAATTGATAGTACGGGGAACCACCAACACAGTAAGATGATGGTCCTTTGCTTTAATAGTACGGGAAATCACTAACACACGATGATGATCCTCTGCTTTAAGAGTACGGAAAGCCACCAACACGCCCCTTTGCATTCGTTCGACTTCGCTTCTCAAAAGAGAGCTTCGTCTCTCGGCTTCGTCTTCAGTAGTGTATTCGTAATTTATAGCAGAGATCACGATAGTTGAAAAAACTTGTTAGCCATTGTGGCTAAATCTTCCAAAAAAAATTTCGCCAACCAAAATATGAATTAGCCATTTTGAAAAACCGTAAAAAAGGAACGTTAAAAATGATACAATGTCTGATGATGACAGTTTCACTTTCACTTTCAGTTTCACTTTTCAAAATCATATTCAGAAATAAAAAAACGTCAATTAAAATTGAATGTAAAGCATCTGCCGCGAATGTGATCGGCATTTCACATAGTCTGCACGGTGTAATATCACCAATTTGTTTACCTTGTGATATCGGAGTCCCAAAATACTTCAAAACTGCCGACTTTTTCGACTTAGATGCCGGCTCGATTTTTCAATTTCTTTCCTACATCCGGCATACTGATAATGCACTCGATTTGCGAACGACGATGAAGAAATTTACGAACAAGCATTACCATCTACCTGAAATCGCGGGTCCGTTAATAACACTTTTCAGTGCAAAGAAGTGTAATCTAGGTACGAGGTAAGTGAAAATATTTAATTTTTCAGAACGAAATCGGAGGTGTTCCTCGCTATTTATACACGTTTTTATGCATTTTAGGGAAGGAATCTATGTACCTATATTAACTCTTTCTGTCCCATGTCCCGAACCGAAGCATCTGAATCGAAATTCGGTCCAATATCGGGAAACCGTGACACCTCTAATTCGCCATAACTGCGAAATACCTTTACATATTTTTCGCCACCTCTTTCGAAAATTCGCGATTGGCGAATGGCGAACGTCTACCGTGATCTCTGTTTATAGCTACACTCTGCGCTCAGGGTACCAACACGCATGGTGATGGTCCATTGCTTTAAGAGTACGGGGAACTATCAACAAACATAATGATGGTCCTTTGATTTAATAGTACGGCAAATGCTTGGTAAACTTAGAAAAAGTCATTCATTTGGGTCAAAGTCCTGCCTCTAGTTTATAGTTATAACGGCACACTTCTAACTACAGCTGTAGGAATTTGAACGTAGTCATTCAAGGTAATGATTCATTTCTTTATTGCTGCCTCAGTCTATAATAAATCAATTAAGCCTAACTTTTTATCAGGTACTTTCCTCTTCTTGATAATCTCCTACTGCAGTTTCTTTAAATAAACTATAATTACAATAGATTGATTTATCTCCTTGAATATCTGTTTTATTTGCAGTTCCGATCTAAATATATTTATTTGAAAATAAATATCAATTATTCTGGCGATCAAATGTATTCCTCATTGAGTAATTTGGGATTATAGTAGAACCTGTCTAATCTGAACCCAACTCAAGAATCTGTCAAACCTGTTCGGGATTGCAGGTATATGTTTTTTAACATGTATTAGCTCACATGGTGAGCTTTTGCAATCACTCACTTGTCCGTCTGTCTGTCCGTGAGTGCGTGCGTGCGTCCGTGGATAGATTAGTGTCGATAGGATCCCCGTTTTAAGTTCTTTTTGTTCAACACCATCTCGTGAAATTCAATTTTGACCCATTTCCTAGCTTTACAAATAATTTCAGGTGTCCTGCATTGTTAAAATCCATGTCAAAGTGAAGAGTAGTTGTATGAAATAATTGTGTTACAAAAAATCAGCAAAAAACTACATCCGTTTTTTTATTTTCAATTTAGTTAATATTGATTTGTCCATCTGTCTTGCGAATTCCACTTTTGGACCAACAATAGTGGCACGTTTGTCACTGTAAAGAGTAATTATATCCGTTTTTTATTTTCAGCCATTTTAGTTAACATTGATTTATCCATCTGTCTAGCGAAATCCTCTTTTGGACTATTTGCATTAAAACCTCTGTCGATAGGATTCCAGTTTTAAGTTATTTTGGTTCAACATCAATACAAAAAACTCCCCTATGACTCCTGGTTCAAAAGCTCGCCTATTTTCAAAATGGTCGCCATTTTTGTCTTGCGAAATTCACTTTTGGCACATTTCCTAGCTTTACAAATAATTTCAGGTGCCCTGCCATGTCTTTGTAAAGAGCAGTTGTATGACATAATTTTGTTACAAAAAATCGGCAAAAGTATACCCGTTTTTGTGTTGTCATTTTAGCCATTATTCACTTTTGAGCAACACCATGTGAGCCCAGTACCCACGGTACTATTTTTATTTTTTGTTTGACGTTGTGTGTTTGAACATTTGAGGCAATGGGAAAGAGGAAATTATGTGGCCGAATAAGATTTTACTTTGAGAGGCGTTCTGATACAAAGGATTTACTCGAGTGTCTAACAGTATAATAATGTTTAAATGTGATTATTGTGAAAAATACAATTTACATAGATTAGATAGATATACTTACTTACGTTATTAAACAATGTTATGTGTATTAGCACTCACCTTTCGGTTGTTTTTCCACTTTATCCATATCCTATTTGGAATATATTCGAAATATTGACGAACCTGTCTTAAGGAGTTGCAATTCATCCAAATTAAATGATTTTGTTACAATAATTTCCTGAGGGCCAAACCGAGTAGAGGACTCACCTTTTGGATGTTTTTCTACTTTATCCATCATGTCTTTGTTGCAGTATTTTCCTGTGGACCAATCTGTCTTATATTCTTGGGAAGCCTATAAATACTGAATGATAGTCTTACACCTTCCCCCATTTCTTGATTGCCTCTGGGACAGCGGGGAGTAGAGAGGTCCAGAGCGTTATCTGATTTTGATTGGTATCCGCTGTGAGTAGTAAAACTACGCAAGGCAGATCAAATTTATTACTTATGCTCCAAACTTTTTTGTATGATTATTTTTTGTAACGATTGTAGTTTGCTATCTGCGAGGTACCTGTGCGTAAATTTCTTCACGTGTTATCGGATAATTCACCAAATACCTCCCGATATTTCTGCTAATCTTTCCACAATATGGTTACACCTTTTCCCGAACGTCCGGCCACAAACTTCTGATTTCATATTTCTATGATTAATGAAAAGAAATCAGGATTCCAAGTCTCTCTGGTTCAATAAGTTGTTTTTCCCATAACATTTTCGTCTGACTTCGAATGTAATTTGCTATGTAGTTGCGAATAATCTTCTAGATTTAAACTTTGACGGTGCTACAAATGGAGAAGAGTACCATCATTTTCTTTTACCATTGCAGGTAGCGTGTTTATCTACAGCCAAGTGCGCCAGTTGGTCATGTACAATCAAGTCAGGCTTGCGAATTATCGATAATACTAAATATATACTTTGTACTAATATAAATAACATAAAACTAGTTCAGCAACCCCATAATCCAAAATGATTATTTTGTAATATTATTGAATGATCAAACTGCTCCATCGACCATTTCTTTTTCTCCGACGTACTATTCTAGAACTTCCACCCGTTTGTAAATGTTATGAAAACGTACTAAATGAGAATGCTGCTTTCTATAACGACCGATTGCAAAACAAATGTGCCGTTCTATTACTAGTTCTCGAGGCTAAATAATACTCATAAATGTTATAAAACTTATAATAAAATGCATTTTCCGAGACTGCAAATTATTATAACGGTTACTTAAAGCTAGAATCGCAAAATTGCGAGCATCGTTTACGTTTTTAGCCATCGTTTACGTTTCCATTTCTAACCCTTATTATTTCATATACCATATCTCAAAAATATTTTTGTACATCATTATCAACTCATCAAAATGAATTTGTGATTGAAAATTTCAGATAATTCTTGATGATGAGAACCAATTAAATAGATAGATGGTCGGACCCCCCCCCTCCCTATCTACTTTAACAACAGGCTGTTCAAGTAGGGTAGGGGGTCTTGGAGCAATATTTCCTTGGTAACTTGCGTTCTTGCAATTTATTAGAATAATTACTATGATCATATCTAAAGGCTTTCAGTATGCGCAAATGTGCAACTGCCTATTATTTGAACTTCTGACGATGTAAAGCTAGTAAGGTTATGAGATCTTATGATATGTTCTATTGTTGTTGTTTTTTTCAAAGTAGGAAACATATAAGATAGTTCATTATTAGTGATATGAAACTATGTGATTATCAATAATGGATAACAATATTGATAAAATGGTACACCCCCTACAAAAGTTTGGAATCTCCAACTCGTCGACTGAATCAAGTGTTTCTTTTTACATATTTGATCATCAAGAAGTTTTCATTGAGTCTCATTTAATTTAATTACCCTTGAGCTTTAATCGTTAAAGTGCTATTCAATATGGATAAGAATCATACATACTATAAGTACGCTATTGGTACACATTTGAAATCGCCAATATAATTAAGACGTCTATAAAGATCTCGGTCTTCGTTTAACATGTATTTCGACATAATTTATAATAATTTTTATATATCCTTCTTGCTATTATATAATGCAATTATTCGAACTGAATTTTATGAAATATCCTCTATGGTTATTCAATTCACAGCCCTTCGAAATAGCTCTCAATTGAATAATAAGGCGTGTTCAACGTTTCAACGAGGAACGGAACAAAATGGCATGTAGTATGTAAAAGTATATATCTTTTTAACTGTTCCATCAATGTTTATGATATTTTCAGGATAATACCCTATTTCATGTATCATCAATTTTATGCATAAATATTTACAAATAACGAATAGCGTATGACGTCACAATAGCTATTGTCGCAATCGTAATTGTGAGTGACTCGTGTTCAACTCTGGCTTTTTCAGCCTGCGTATGGTACTTAAATGTAGATTTTGTGAGTTATATAGCAGTTTGTCATACAGTTGTTATATTGTTAGATCCGGAAAAGTTTCACGAACATACTGAAACTATACTTATCAGTGATTCAGATGTAAACGTATCAGCCACGATGGATTTTGTACGAAATATTAGGAGTGAAGCCTCGTCAAAATTACGTTATTTTTTACCACGGTAGATATGTTCTAAGCCATCTAAGTCTTTTAAATTGCTATGAATCATCTCAAATTCTTATGGTCAACAATAAAGAAGATGTTTGTTCTACAAAAAAGTATATTTGATGACCTGGTGGCCATATCAACCTCGTAAATTCTATTAAATATTGAAAAATGTCCAAGTGAAGCCTCAGTGATAAAAATCCCCGTTAAAATCAATTGGGCATTTTCAATCAATGCGAGTGTGAGTATGTTAATATTTTGGGTCCTAAAAAAAAATTTCTCAGCTGCGCATCAGGTGATTATAATGTATTAAAAAATTAGAGACTCTATTTTAGTTTTTAACCTTTTAAAATGAATGATACCAGAGTCTGAACTAAATGTGCATAGACCGTTTTGACGTCATTTTACACACAAAATGGGGACTTTGTGTCCCCTTTCATCGGAATTAGCGCGGACAGATTTTATTGAAATAATTGGATAGCTTTTTTATTTGCCTGCGCATGTTCCATACATTACAGTGGTACCAAATGATAGGGTAAACCATACTTCTTCATGAACATATACCGTATTCTTTGAGTCTTAAAGAATAGAGACATTTCCGCGCTATAGGTTATAATACGCGAGAAAACGTAAAAAGCGCGCGATTGATGAGTCCCGCATCAAAAGTTAACAGAACAAATCATAACTTTCAATCATGATGAATTCTCATTTGAAATAAAGATGCACATGTCATTTTGATGTAATGATTATCTATTGGTATTATTAATGATTATATCTTGTAGGATTTGCATATAAATTCATCAAAAATGGAAGATTAGTACAAATTTTTCAATTTTATAGTTCAGAATATTTGTCTTGGTTTCCATGTTTATTCAATTTTAAATCGATGTTTTGATTGAAGTTGCTTGGTTTGTTTTGAAATACCTTTTCATCGATTCATTCTTTAGATAGAATGTAGGTAATAAAAATGTAATGTGTCATTTTCATAATTTTATGTTCATGCTTCAGTGAATTTCGAAGGAATAACGACGTCGTCGAATGTTCGTCAAATTGCGAGAATATTTTTCATAACGTCACATTTCATTGTTTATTGTGAAACGGGAGTGTGCACCAATAGCGTACTTATAGTAACAGCGACCTAGATCTAGAACAAAAAATTATTTTCATTTCACAAATGTGGAGTTGTGCATATCAATATCCCCTATTATCGAGATCCACTTTCAAAAAATTGTTCTAATGAAAAAAAGAGTGATACTATATCTTGTAGTGTTGTCTATGCCAATACATCAACTGTATCAAAGAAAAAAACGACATGATAGCAGGTATAGCGCAAACGCATTAATCAATAGATTATTATAGGGTGCAAAATAAGAGTGGAACTTTATTTTTCCCAATTTTCTGTCCCTTTCTCGGGCCTTCTTCAGAGTGTTCTATACCTTTGATAGAGAATGCAATTCATGCGTAGAGTGTGATATTAATTTCCAGTTATTAATTATCACCCTACTGAAGATACATGAGATCATTCCAAACCCATGGGCTCGTCAGTTCTCTATGGCTCCAAGTGATGATGATGATCCATTACGTAAAAATTTGTAATTTCCAGACATGCCGCTATGTTTAATTAATTACCCTCTTGAAAACATCGAGATATAATCTGTGATATAATTTTGCTATGTTTTATTTTGTGAACCAGTTTCAAGATTCAAGAGAATTATGAAAAAAGAAACTACTCCCCGAGATGCGTGTTACCATGGAAGCCCATGGTGTTAAACCATTGTGCAGAGTCTAGCGATAAACTACGAACCCCTCTTTTAGAAGCGAAGTCAAAGGAATGCAAAGGATGCTTTTGCAATAAAAAACTTATCATTTTCACTAAACTGAAATGTAATCCAAATGAGTGTGGAGTAACAAATCATTAATTTACTCTGAAGTTACACGATGCAGAAGTAAAACACAATATTATTATTTTAGTCCATCATACTTAATCATTATATTACAGATGTGTGGCATACTAATGGCTAGCTTGGCACCCAGATTTTCTTTTGGGCTAATTTTAACCAAACCATGCAGCGTTCTGTAGTTGCTTTTATTCATGGCTTTATCCATAGTAAAAAAAGTATATTTTCAAGAGTAAATCTATGAATAGAAGTACAGTAAAAACAAGAAATTCCCGGCAAAATATCTTATCATATATGAATGTGTGCTATCCATTGTTTTCGGTTTCACTGTCAACAGTCACCATAGTGATGGTCACCATGGTAGTATGTCTTCGGTTTAAATATTTGAAACTGCATTCTACTACTGATAATTAGAACGATATATAGTTTAACAATGTAAATGATGAGTATTGGCCAAAAATTTAGTTTCCCGGCTGTTGTAATCCGAGATTATCTCTGAGTTTGAAATATTTAGATTTCAATCCGATGTTTTGGATACGTGTTTGATGTGTAGGTCGCTGAAATGTATACAGATGCAAACCACTCGTTTTGGTTGCTTTTTGGTAAAGGTGCTGTTGTGTCATCTGATTGACGCATGATGTCAAGCCTTGCTTTAATTGCTGTTGAGGCCAGTGAATGTACTCTTGTACCGAATCTCGAGATTCATTTGAGGTATTTTTCAAAAAAAACACACACATGTAAATTATATACAATAATTTTGAAATGACCAAGTCCTGAAAGTGCATATATATAGCAGTTTTTGATGGATATAAGATGCATTTTGGTAGATTATTACCTCAACTGTAAAACATTATTACCTCTAACACTACACGATCTGTTTTGACAAAGAATGATGTATTTTTGTTGGCCCATCATGCCCATCTAGTTTGATTTCGATTCTTAAAAAGAAAGCATCATCGTCTATACGACTTCAAGCTGTTTGGCCTCATCGTAGGGCTCATACACAAAAACAATTGCATATATAGCTGAAATACCTCTATGGTTGACTTGATGACCTACAATATTTTTATCTGATATCATAATAATATCTTCAAGAGGCTGTGAAGATACTGAACTTGTCTGCAACTTGCTAAAAAGAAACGATTTGTTTT